TTACCGGTTAGTTACTCGGTTAACCGAAGTAACCGCGAGGCGCAATGAACACCGGTTTAGCCGAGCAGAGAAGGACGAGGCGAGGCGAGGTCGCTTAGCCGGTTGGGGGCTAGCCGTGCTCGATCTGGGCGGAGGAGGAAGAAGGCGCAGAGCACGACAAGATTGAAGACGAGAGCACTAGTAGGAATGAGATTCCTCTCCTCCGTGGGAAATCCTTGACCTCCTAGTTCTCGATTCCGTCTGAAACGAGAAACCCCTACGGTAACGCGTCTGTGGCTAGCGGCAGTTGATTGGTGATCTGAACGGCGACGATGATGTATATGATGGGTCGCGGTGGAGCTTCTCGTCGGCGACTGGCGGAGGAGCAGGCGCCGTCGCTCGGCGAGATGCCTCTGCCGGGATTGCGAGCGGCGGGGTGCAGGCTCCGATTGCGGTCGGGGTTTGGATTAGAGGTATGGCGACGACTACCGGCGGTGACCAGACCTTCGCGACGATGACGCTGAGGGAGCAGGAACAGCGGGAAGAGAAGAAGCAGCCGCAGATGGCATCTGGCGGCGGCGGCAGGATGAATGGCGATGGAGACCAGGAGAAGTGGGGATGGAATTGAGTGGAAGTGGAATTCCTTCATGGTCAGTAGTAATTGCCATTCTCAATTGGTATATTGGATATGTTTTCTTCGATTCTGTCTATTGATCTTTGATTTCTGATTTCTGAATAAATCTTGGGTTTGTTTGTTTTTTTTGGGGAAAAAGCCATGGGAGATGGACAAAGCAGATGCATCGCCTACTGGACTGTCAAGTCCCTCCGCTGGCCGACCGAAATGTCGGTTAGCCGGTTAACCGGCACGGCTAGCTCCTCTACCGCCAATCGCCCGAGACCCTATTTTTCGGTTATCCGGTAACCGCCGGTTATCGGTTTAACCGGCCGGTTAACCGGCAACCGATAACCGAATGGCCAGCCCTAATCAACCACCAGAGGGCTTTAATAAGGACTGATGCAATTCGGTGGGAGAGAGACAAGGGAGTTGGGGAGAGAGGTCAGAGAGGTGGTGGAGCCATGTCGTGAAGGGGTCGATGACGAGGACGACAACATGAAGACGACGAAAGTGGAGGATTCATAGACGGAGATGTGGAGCGATGGCAGGATGTCTGCCTAGGAAGCGACGAAAGGTGGAGGTCGGCGAGGTCACTGCTGCTGAATCGCCGAGCGGAGGAGCTGCGGCGGTAGAGGAGACGTGCAACGGCGAGGTAGAGGAGATGTGCCTCCCATCGCATCTCTAATTCATCGACGAACAGCTGAAATTAGAGGAATTGGTAAAGCTCGACGCTTCCCCCCGCCTCCACTAGCAAGCCCGCCCAACACAATTTTCTTCCCTACTTCTCCGATTCTGCAAAGCAAAACCTCCCACCAGTCCACTTGTTCTAATTTCTAGGGTACCAGCTATGCGCCTCCCCTACTCATATTCCTCACTACTGCTGCCGGCGTTGGTTCCCGGAATCCCTCTACTGTGGAGGTAACGAGGGATCCCCTGTTTTCATTGGTGATGGTGATTCTCTTCCTTCGTTTGAAATCGACGAGGACGACAAGGTAGAGGAGCTCGACGAACGGAGGGATTACGAAGATTTGGGGGGTTTTCATAATTTTTATTTTTTTCCTTATTTTAATTATTTTAGATGGAAAAATAAATGAAAATTCCACATCAGCCACATCAACACTGACTGGATTTTCTGTTAAATACTAACGGTCAACGCCGGTCAACACTAACGGAATAATAGTTCAGGACATAGATGGAATATTGGAAACAATAGGACACAAGTGGCATTTTCCGGATAGTTCGGGTGTTGTAGTGGTATTAGCCCTAAATAATAAGACCATAACATGCAACGATATTCCGGCCCTACCAGCTTACAAGTTTTAATTTCATTAAACAAGACGAGACTGACAAGAAGTTCAACCAAATGAAATTTCTTTCAAGTTCGAATTACTATTTTCAATTTAAATTTGCTCTGCATATTGAACCAAACATTCACTTTCTAATTTTTCATTCCAAAGATGTTGTTGGCCATCTTATTGAGTATTTAGTTTTATTGACATCTACTAGACTTACTGGAAAAGTTACCCACAAAGAGTTCCAACAAAAACTTTCAGATTGTATAAATTCTTTTAACTTTCAAATTGTACATGAGATTGGTTGTGAGGTAACTCTCTTGACTCTTCGGTAGGATAGCTACACAATTAAATTTCATCCTTGCAAATACGTGTGATTGCCCTCTCATCCAGGTCCACAAGGGGGGGCGCGCCTAGAAAGCACGTGTGTGGGGAGGAAGCCTCCTCTCGCTCGCATGCGTCTTCGGCACACTTACAGAGAACCCACCATCTTTCCAACCACATTTTTGTCCGTCAGCCATACCAAAAGCCATAATTCCACTTTTAATGTCCTTCTCCTTTTTTGGAGGGCCATTAGAGGATGGGTTGGAGAAGAAAAAATGGATTGGAAACTCTTTTTTTTTTCTTTCAAGTTTGAGCGCTAGGTTGGCGCTAGTCTTAGATAAGAAAATGGAGATATGCATTCCAACTGAGGATACGTTTATCTTTTACTCACATTTGGTTTGCATAGGACAAAAAATGAGGTGATTGCTTCATTAGCGTGGCCTTCCCTCTTTATTTTCTTTATTTTCACATTTGGTTTGCATAGGACAAAATCTCGCTCAAACCCGCCCATTGCCAACCATCACAAAAATGAGGTGATTATTTGACAATGGAGATGAGGATGGTTTAGAAGCTGTTGGGTACCCACAGTTGCGGGTTTGATTGCCATCCCTACTTTTCACCTACTTTACTTCGCGATACTATTTTTATATTATTAATTGAATAATCTTTAGGTTTTTCCTTAACCAACTAAAAGTTAACATACTTCATACAATTTTTACTATTATTTATGAGATTTCCATCATTATACAGATTCAGGATCCACCTTCAAGTTGTGGACAAACAGTTAAGTCTTTGTTGTTATCGATCGAGTGAGCGATTGATTTTTCAAAATGTCGGTTGTCAGACTCAAACTACTCCAAGACAGCGATAGAATAAGAGGACTACCACGTGCTCATCTCCTACAATTGAGGGAATGATGTTGACGTTCAATATTAACCTCACAGATTACATCTCTAACCCAACAAGTGAGTTCACAATGTCCAAAACAGGGAAGGATGAGGCAGAGCATCACTCGGTGGAATTGAATGAAACAACGAAAGGGTTATTGAAATGCAAGGGAAGGAAGAATCAATTGATATCAGAGATAAATGTGTCAGTTGTCACTAATGGAGATGAATACATTATTACTCGCGGGGATGAAGATGTTGCTCATGGCGTAGAAAATGCAAAAAATCCAAAAAGAAAACGTACAATAATCTCTGATGATTAGGAGTAACCGAGTAAATAGTAGGGTTCTCCGAAAAAAATGAGGAGTCGGTTCCCTAGCACGTGGTCTTTCTTTCATTTTTTTGTGAAAAGGATTTTAGTCGATGTGTTAGTTACAATGTCGGAAAACACTATGATGTTGGTCCTTTTGAATGATTGAAGTATTTTAATAATTTAAATTTTTTTTAATGCTGCCAATTAATTTGGATACTCACTAATTTGAAAATTTTAGTTTTTCTTATACGTACTCGGTACTACCAAAGAAATGTGTATATCACATATAAATTGCTACTGTTGTTGAGTGATTGGCCAGTGAATCCGGCCAACTGGCCGGGCTAACTTTAATAATATTCATTGGCTCTATTTCTTTTATCGACTTATATATATTTTTTGGGTTAATGCCACATTTGGTCACTGTGATTACTAAATTGTGTCATGTTTAGTCACTAGAAAACATTAATATCAAATTTGGTCACTGTAATTACTGAAAGAGGTCACATTTAGTCACTCTCCGTTAGTCTCCGTCCAACTCCGTTAATGGAGTTCGTTATGTGCTGACGTGGTTAACGGGAACGCCTAGTCAACACCATTTTGGACCGAAAATGGTCAAACCCGACCTGCCACGTCACTAAACCCGCCATGTCATACACCCAACCCAACCCATTAACCCAACTTGACCCATAACCAAACCCTAGCCCACTTAACAAAACAAAATTGGAAAATCGATCGGGTTAGTGGCCATTTCATACCAAAACCCTTTCTCCTTCCTCGCCAAGCTGCGTTCCTTTCTCGAATCAATTCCCCCACAAAAAAATCCCCAAATTAGTCGAAACCCGGAATCCCTAGATTGCGAAGCCACTCACATCCTCGCGATCCTCCTCTTCCTCGCTCTCGCGCCGCCGCGCTGCTCGGCGGGTGGCGCCCGATCGACCCGAGGGCCTCAAGGATCCGGACGTGATGGATGCCACGAAGTTCACCGTCGAGCAGCACAACGAGAAGGAGGGGGAGAAGCTGAAGTTGATGAGGGTGGAGTCCAACGCGTACCAGGTCTCCGGCGCCGTAGACGCCAACGGATTGTCCTAGTACGAGGCGATCGTCTGGGTGCAGCCCAGCGCTGTGAAGAGGCTCACGTCGTTCAAGAAGGTGACGTGAGCTAGCATGCTCGAATCTCGATCGATCTCCCTGGATTTCTCTAGATTTTCGTGTTCGGATGATGCGATTGTATATTAATTTAATGGGAAAGGAATTGTGATGTGGTGGTTATGTGAGATGTATCTGTGTGCGTGTTTGCATTACCGGAAATAAGAAGGGAAGAAAAAAGCTCTATTGTTGTTGGTGCTATTCGACATCTGTTTATTCTCCGGAAAAACTGGTTTTTGGAACTTTCTCGAGAAAGGGTTTTGGGCTGAAATGACGACTGACCGATCGATTTTTCAATTTTATTTTATTAAGTGTTCTAGGTTGAGTTGGGTTAATGGGTTGGGTTTGGTGTATGACATGGCGGGTTTAGTGACGTGGCGGGTTGGGTTTGACCATTTTCGATCCAAAATGATGCTGACTAGGCATTCCCGTTAGCCATGTAAGTACATAACAGACTCCATTAACGGAGTTGGACGAAGACTAATGGAGAGTGACTAAATGTGACCTGTTTCAATAATTACAGTGACCAAATTTGATATTAATTTTTTCTAATGACCAAACATGATACAATTTAGTAATCACAATGATCAAATGTAGCATTAACCTATATTTTTACGAATTCACTTCTTATATCAAACAAAAGGTAAAAGTAAAACGGAAAAAATGGGATGAAAACAGTTTTTAACAAACAGAGCGGCCCATGGATGGATTGGGTCGGGTTGCAAATGTTAAAATGGGGCATTGGCTAAACGGCTCTTCAGTACTCACCTCCCTCCAAATATTCTCAGTTTCTCACATCTGTGCTATACCGCCTACCGCTGACATCTATCGCCTCAGCTCAAAAAAATCCCGTCGGCCGACCTCCAAAAATTAGTTGGCGTCGATGGCCTCCTCGTCGGAACTGCCGCAGCACCAGCGTCATCTGTTTCCCAATTTCTTCCACTCAACTACCTCCGCCGTCCTCTCTCTTCTTCCCAATCCCCGGCCATCAGCTTCTCCGGTCGCCTCTCCGGCTTCTTCGCCTCCCAAAGTCTGCTTACCCTTTCAGTTCGTCGATTCGTGTCATCCACAGTCATTCCGTTACCCTCACGAGTCCCCTCATCCCGACTCGGTGTCATCGAAATCGGCGACGGTCAAGGGCTTATCCTCTGCCGAGTCCAATTCGGGATTTCCGTCCACGGTCAGAATTTCCGGTCTGAGTTCCGACGGCAAGGGCGGCGGGCCTGCTTTTGTAGGACAGGTTTTCAGTATGTGCGATCTTTCCGGGACTGGATTGATGGCCGTCTCTACTCACTTCGATATCCCATTCCTCTCTAAAAGGTTAACTCTGCTTTGTATCTTTGCTTGTTATTCAACGAATTAGTTCTTGGTGCTAAGAATCACTAGAGAGTTTCGAATTACTCATGGCTGCCACGTTTTTATGCTATTCAGAACGCCCGAGTGGTTGAAGAAGGTTTTTGCCACTGTGACCAAGAGCGAGAGAAATGGTCCCGTGTTTAGATTCTTCATGGATTTAGGCGATGCAGGTTTGATTTCAGTGCTGAACTTTGCATGTAACGTTTTCCATTTCTGACGGTGCTAGGGATTTCAGTGCATAATTTATCGGCAAATATTGGTTTTAATCTTGCTGAACTGTGGAAGAGTAGCTCTAGCCTCTAGGAGTAATGCTCATATGAGGGATGTCAGTTAACAAAGGGTGTCATCTAGGTTCACTCGGTCTATATTCTTGTACTGAGTCTTCGGTCCACCAGCTGGTTGTGAGGCTGGTTAAGCTGTTATTTCACTTTAACCATTTGCTAGATCGCCAAGTACGACCGTTCTTAATTGGCAGAAGTAGTGTCTAACTTGATATTTTGTTACTTAATTGTTTAGTTTCGTACGTGAAACAACTGAACATCCCCAGTGGCATTGTGGGTGCTTGCCGCCTTGATCTGGCATATGAACATTTCAAGGTATTGCTTACTTTGTCGAATTTGATTTTCATTATGGTTGCACTAGAGTTATGTTTCTTGGTTTTCAACCATGCTTGACTCCCTATTCAATTTCTGGCACTTGTATGTTCAAGATTGGGCTAATTCTTGTTGCTTCTTTGTGCAGGAAAAGCCTCATCTCTTTCAGTTTGTTCCAAATGAAAAACAGGTAGTGTATGTCAAGATGATGTAATAGTAATGGCTGTGAGATTGATGGATCATGTCAACTTTTATAGGCATCATAATTCCATTCTTAATCTTCTGCTCTTATAGGTCAAGGCAGCAAACCAGCTCCTGAAGACAATGCAGCAAAGTGAAGGGAAGAGAAAGGTGGACGGGGTTCCTGTGTTTACTGCTCAGAACCTGGATATCGCCATAGCTACCTCAGAAGGAATTAAGTGGTAATCATTAGCTTCTGAATTCTGATGCAGTAATTTATGCGTGAATTTGAGGTTTGAAATCTTTGTTTACAAGACTAGAATTTTTCTTTAGTGCTCACTTCACTTGAATGAATGTTAGTATGGGGTTTGTCTTTGGGAATTTGTATGATAGAGAACTTTATGTTATTAGCACCTCATCCTAGTCAGGTCCACTAATTTTTTTTTTTGTATACATTAGGGAACTATCAATTGAATGAAACACTCCTAATCTGCATCTTTCTTTTCCATTAGAAGTTCGCTTTGTTGATATTTGAACTTATGTGGTGAAATTTCTAATTGCTTCACTTGGACATTGAGGGGTTACCCCTGCAATGTTGAGATCCTTTTTTTGTTATTTTATGAAGTTGACACTTGACAGTGTTAATATCCTTGTCTACTGCTTATGCCAATGGTTTGTACTGTTAGGTATACTCCGTACTTCTTCGATAAAGGCATGCTAGATGGTATTATTGAAGAGTCAGTTGACCAGCATTTCCACACTTTAATACAAACTCGGCACATGCAGCGTCGACGAGATATAGTTGACGACAACCTGGCTGCAGAAGTGATTGAAGAAATGGCAGAAAGCCTAAATGAGCCACCTGAGGTAAAGAGTTACTATTGACTGTTTCAGTTAATATTGGATGCAGTGAGCATGTTCAATGAGAGAAACATACAAAGAAATAACTGAAGTATATGCACTGTTGTATTTTAATAGTAATGATATCATACTGTTATTACTACAAAAACTATACAGATTTTTATATGTAGAGAATAGTAATTTTTTCTGGTTGACAGGTTCAGGAAATGATGGACGAGATAGGAAATCCTGGTATACCTCTAAGTGTCATCTCGAAAGCTGCTGAAATCCAGCTTTCTTATGTTGTTGATAAGTTACTCCTGGGTAACCGTTGGTTGAGGAAGGCCACTGGGATTCAACCAAGGTTCCCCTACGTCGTTGATTCGTTTGAGAGAAGGTACATAGATACTATCTCTTCAGCCCTCAGCTATCGTCTTCTAAATTTTAGTGTGTAAAATACAAATACATGTATTTCTTATATTTGAACAGTTAGTCAGTTGGGAATCACTAGACTGATAGAGCTTGGATATGTTACATTGACCTACCTTGCCCATCTTTATTAGTTTTGTCAAGCCCATAGGCAAAGATTAGCATTCCACCACAGCACCACCTTATTACACTGTTCAAAAGAAGATACCCTTCAAGTTGACACCATTGACATTTATTTGGTTCTTAGCCCTATGTTGTCAGAGAGGCGGATGATTGTTGGATGGAGGGTCAATGTTAGGAGGGGTCAATATTTGAACATTGCTGCTTCCACCTACAAGTTTCACCCTCCTCTATTTCCACTTCTGTAGAACATATTAGTTCTATTTAGTATTTTGTGTTCCACATGGTGAATGGATGTGATTACTGTTTCCGAGTTCTGTAGAGAGATTTCCTTTTGGCTATTCCTGAATTCTGTTGTGAGGATGTTGCAGGAGTGCCTGTTCCTTAAGGCGAGCATCGAAGTCAACCAGCTTACTTGACATTTCACAAGCCGGTGATAGAAATTCTGAAATTGAAGTAGAAGAAAATGCTCAAGTGAGTTACGAAGAGCGACCAGATTTACGACTACCCTTTGGAAATTGGCTCAGTGTCCCATGGTTGAAAAATCAATCCAAACCGGCCGGAGGGTCAGAAACAAGGTGCGGAAATTATATTCTCTTTCTGCCTCCTACTTCAGCACCATCATTAACCATGACTCTTCATGACAATTCTCAGTCTGAACTTGTTATTATTCCTTTACAGAGTGGATGGTTCATCAAAGGAATGGATGGAGCAAAAGTTGGATGACAATCCTCTTCTTCCGAAAATCACCATGGTAGGCATATCTACTGGGGAGGCTGGACAAATGAGCAAAGCTAGTTTGAAGAAGACGATGGACACTCTGACTAAAGAGCTGGAGCAGACTGATCACAGTAAAACCTCTGGCAATAGCGATTTCAAATTCACGGATAGGGATCCGTTGTTCGTGGCAAACGTGGGGGATTACTTCTCGGCCATGTCGAAGGCGAATTCATCGCGATGGGTCCGTCGGGGAATGAGTTGAGTAGAGTGAAATCGAAGTAGCTTCCCTAGTGCGTGACTAAATGATTTTTGAGTCGAAAGAAGCATGATTACTGGAATAGGTGGATAAAGATCGAAGTTGGTAGACGAAATTGTTGTACAAATTGTATCCAGATCCGTCGAGATTGTGAGAAACTATTCGAGTTTCGACTTGGATAATGTACGACATTGTAAAATGTACATTACCTAGTTTTCTTGTTCAGCTGATCTGTTGTTAGAACTGGAGAATGCTTTTAGTTGCCTGACCTTACAAAGAAAGATCAATATGGATTTGGATGAAGCAACATTATCTATGGGCACACTCCAGAAAGATCAATATGGATTTGGATGAAGCAACATTATCTATGGACACACTCCAGAGAAAGGAATTTTTTTATAAGATAATTGAGAAACTAATGCTCTGTTCATTTCCCATTTCGTTTTCTATTTTTTGTTTAAAAAATAAAAAACAAGAAACAAATGACAAAAAACGTGTTCACTTGTCCATCTCGTTTTCGTTGGAAAAAATCAATTGTTACAAATGGGAAAGCTGTGGATAAACAATAAATAGTCGTTTTCTATAAGTAAGGGGACGGGTTATTCCCCCGTTTCCCAGCGGAAATCGCGCTATTAATGAGAGCCCGCGTTCGAATCACCGCAACCACATTTTTTTTCTTCTTTTTCCTCCTTGATCCTACGACGCCGTTTTTTACCCAACTCTTTCACCCATAACCTAGAAGAACTCCTCGCTCGACCTCACTCGACTCCTCGCAGCCCAGCCGACATCTCCCTCTCCCTCCAACAGACCCGTCGGCCGCCACTTCCTTCTCCACCCAAACCACCACCAGCCCCATCGTCTTCCTCCGCCAGCCCCACGCCTCGCCAACCCCGCGTTCGAGCTTTCCCCTTCTCGGTTTCTCCTCCAGCAGAGAAGCTCCAGCCGCACATTTTCCTGGGTGGAGTCGCCAGCCCCACGCCGCCATCATCTGCGAGACGGAATCTTCCCCGACGCGAGAAGCTCCAGCCGGCGGAAATGGCACCTGCAGGCGACTCATCCCAGTAGAAGCAGCACCGAAAAGGAGCTTTCCCTTCTCGATTCATCCTCCATTCCTCCAGCAGACACCCTCCAAGATTCTTATATCCATCATACTACAGGGGAAACTTTCTGGTCATCATTCGACAATTATACAGTGGGTTGGTGGCAGTTCTCTACTAGTTAGTCATACCAGTGACGTGAGCCTTTCACATTTCTCTTTAATTTGCCAATTGTTGAAGTAACCTTGGACTTGTAACACAGACTGCAACACAAGGACTAAGATGTGGATACAGAACTCGGAACACAAAAGACAATGAATGAATGAGGATTGGAAATGTAAAGTTGTGTTCTTGATCTTCAATCCATCGATCATGTTGTATATGATAGAACGAAAGAGAATGCAAGTATATGAAGACCGGAGACAAGTTTAGTAAAAAAATTCTTTCCAATGATATCAAGATTTGTCTCAAATGAGTGATATTATTAGGTAGATCGTTGAATGGTTTACGATTCCATAGGAAAGCGATACTTTCAATGAGTTTGGTGAGATTTTTAACTTTCCATGACATGCTATGCTAGATTGCTAGGCCACATTACACATCAACCACACTCATGAAACTTCACCTTGCAAATCAAGCATATGGAAACCTTTTTTCTTAATTGAAGCATCGAAGGTGGCTAGAGATATATAGCTGCTGATTGAGGTCAACGGTAGTCGGTAGCGATATATAGCACTTAATTAACATAAGATGTTTTACTTGTATTGTGTTTATTTGTAGTTTAAAACTATTTAATTCGAATTAAAAATTATAATCATGGTTAGGGTTGTATGATAATAAAAAATCAGAAAAAAGAATGAAGCAACTAAACAGGTTTTTATTTTCAGAACTCAGTTTCAGAACCCATCAAAATTCTTAGCTAAACAAGGTTTTTTCAGGTTTTGTTTTCCAGAAAATGACAGCTTCGTTTTCATTTTAATTTTGTTTTCTGTTGTGACAGCTAACAGAAATGGAATGGCAAGTAAACGGGCCATAAGGTAACAGACAGCGAGAAAGGGGCATAATAGTAAAATCAGGGGGCCAAAACCTGTTGCCGGGGTTACGTTACTTTCTTGGATCTAGGGAGAAAAAAAATCACAAAAACCCCAAAGCGCATTAGCTATCTTTCCGTCGCCCCCATTTCTCCCCCTCTGTTCATATTCGCATCGGCCGCACCGGCGCTCCGGAGTTTCAGATCTCGATCTCGTTTCCCTCCGTCTCTTCCCGGTATTTCAACTATCTCATCGATTTCTCCATATTTGCATCTCTGGATTTCCGGCGTTCGAATTCATTCGTTTTTAAGCTCGTTGTGTAATCGGGACGCTCCACCGGAGTGTTTCGGGACTTCCGCCGCCCCGATTCAATTGTTTAGTCTAGCTTGACGCAGTACCAGATTTCCTTGCCAGTAATCGAATAGTCTCAGTGATAGCTCTGTTTGATCTCATGAGTTCATTTTGTACTATTTTTTTGTCCGTGCGTTGATATCTCAATTTGAGCGGATTCTTCTCCGCCTCTCGCTTGAACTGGACTGTTGCTTAGTTAGTTGCTCTGAGCTCAAGGTCAATGAATTTGTTATTTTCTGATTGTTCCCCGTGGTTCTAAGTTCTTGAGAATCTCACCTCGGATTCTTCTCGATTTAGACGCTTGCATTTGAGTATTTTGGAGTGATTACTAGTCCGAAATTTGGTTCCAGGTGACAGGAGGTCAACATGGCGGCTTCTGAAGAGAATAGTGCGTTGTTCCCAATTTTTATTCTGACAATAATGGCACTGCCCCTGGTGCCTTACACAATAATGAAGTTGTGCCGTGCTGCCTCAACGAAAACAAAGACCATCCACTGTAAATGTTCCGAGTGTACCCGTTCGGGGAAGTACCGGAAATCTCTATTTAAGCGGGTTAGTCTCCTTAGGACTCATTTCAGTGTGACATTGTGTTATGAGCTCTTTGATTGGATTCTTTGGTAAGTGATTGAGTATCTAAATTCTTTTCCCTGTCGCAGATTTCAAACTTCTCGACATGCAGTAACTTGACGGTGATACTACTCTGGGTCATTATGATATTCCTAGTTAGTTACATAAAGAACATGAGCCGAGAGGTAAATTTGTGGTTCTTTTATGGTGCCTTAGTTGATTGCAATACCTACTTCGACTAGTTTGTTGTTTGAGGAGTTCAATTTGTTACTTCCGTTGTTTTGCCACTTTCACTTGTCCTGGAAACACTTTCTTCTGTTACTTATGATTTATTTGTTTTAAACAGGCTCAACCTTTTGATCCATACGCCATACTTGGATTGAAACCTGGAGCCTCAGAGACAGAAATTAAAAAGAGTTACCGGAAGCTTTCTGTTCAGTACCATCCTGACAAAAATCCAGATCCAGGTTGGAGGTGTTATTTTTCTTTGGCTATTTCTTATTTGTAATGCCTGATCAATTTTAAATATGCGGAGTCTTTTCTTCTACCTTCTGTATCATCTAGTTATCAAATGAATGCCTTATGTTTCCATTTGTTTTCCCGCAGAGGCTCACACGTACTTTGTGGAGTTTATAACAAAGGCATATCAAGCGCTGACAGATCCAATATCTCGTGAGAACTATGAGAAATATGGCCATCCAGATGGTAGACAGGTGATTGCTTTTGTATTAGGACTGGCACTCAGTTACTGACATTTCTGTACTTCTATTTCAAAGCAAAACTGAATAGTTGATTCTTGGCAGGGATTTAAAATGGGAATTGCTCTTCCTCAATTTCTCCTTGACATTGATGGTTCATCGGGTGGAATTCTTTTACTTTGGATCGTTGGTATTTGTATTCTCTTGCCATTGGTGATTGCTGCTATATATCTTTCAAGATCTGCAAAATATACCGGGAATTATGTCATGCACCAAACTCTCTCAGCATACTACTATTTTATGAAACCATCACTAGCCCCAAGGTAAATTTTCTTTCAGTGGCTTTGGTTATCCTAAATCTTGGTCATCATGTAAATTCTTTCAGCAACCAAGTAGTTGCATCATAGTGACACTGGCTTCTAAAAAGATTGTGAAGAACATACTCATGTTACTTGAGTAGTACGGTGCTTCTATTTGGTCTAAATGTAAACATGAAAGTTAGTTGCCATATAATTATCATGCCATATCATCCCTTAAGATAGATTGAGTTGATCTTTCAACAGGAATGAAATTGTTATCTGTTGCTAGATAATGCTTGCTGGTCTGTCATCTATGTTCACTTAGTTTTATCATCGTTCCATGATTAGTGGATTTCTTAGTGAAGTACATTCTGCAGGCTAAGCTATTCTTTGAATTCCATAGAAATGTGTATTTTCTCTGCTTTTAAATGCCTGATGGTACGCCATTTGGAGAGTTTGTGTATTGGTCACCAGTATTTTCATTTTGCCTAGTTTCCACTTATCTTCTGCAGTAGTGGTTTTGATGGCATATTGTTGAAGTCTAGAATTATTCTCTAACGTGTTTGTTCCTTTTCTCCAACAATGTAGCAAAGTGATGGAGGTTTTCACAAAGGCTGCTGAATATATGGAAATTCCTGTTCGGAGAACTGATGATGAGCCTCTTCAGAAGCTCTTTATGTCTGTTAGAAGCGAGTTGAATCTGGACCTCAAGAACATAAAGCAAGAACAGGCTAAATTTTGGAAGCAGCACCCTGCTGTAGTTAAGGTACTTTCTTGGAAAGTTTGAATAGACTTCCTTTTTTTTTTTTTTTTTGTTATGGTGGCTCAACCTGTCATCATTCAATATGCAGACAGAATTGTTGATTCAAGCTCAGTTGACTCGGGAATCGGCAGCCCTGCCCCCAGCCTTGCAAGGTGATTTCAAACGTGTGCTAGAACTTGCTCCTCGTCTTCTTGAAGAACTGATGAAGGTATTGTTGCATCCTATGGCATATTGAACTAAAGAGATTGCACTATCATGGTATACACATTAGTAGAAAGCTAGTATGTGGCGATAGGGTTCCTTTGTAAGGTGAACATGGCTGAACCGATTGGTGTCCACTGCATTAGAAAGTTGATCATCTTTGAATCCGGGGTTCTATGGTAACTGAACTTGAGAACTAAAAGAGGATTTCTTGATGTGCTAGCAGAATAAGCTTAAAAAACTATAAGACGACAGAGGGATTTGGGCTTGCATCTGTCTTTGGGGCAACTGGTGGCCTGTTTAGGCGATCAAATGCTAACTATATTGCCCGAGATATATCGCATTCAGATAAGGAAGACAACTTGTAACCATCTGAGTTCTTCCGATCAGAAAGATCCCTTAGGATTTTGGGTTTTACTCGGCCAAATTATGGTCATATTCAACAACTTCTGAGAAAGATGGAAGTGTGATGAACTTCTATTTTTTGTACTGCACAGATAACTAATCAGACGGAAACTTCTCATTTATCATCATCTTGCTATATGACGTATCCTTATATGTTGGAGAGAAGATCCCTTTGCTGCAGACTTTACGTTTCTAATTTTTACTTTTTGTATGCAGATGGCACTTATACCGCGCAATGCTCAGATGCACGGATGGTTGAGGCCTGCTATAGGGGTTGTTGAGCTCTCTCAATGCATAACTCAGGTGTGTATTAACATGTTCCTTTATATTTAGTGTTCACCGAGATTTTATTGCTTTTTCCTTCCAACTCAAATTGTCGTTTCTCTTTGGCTATGCATTATAGGAGAGTGTCGAATCTCTTAATCGTCCATAATTTTTTCCTCTCTTAGACCTGTTTGAGTTGCGATTATGTTCTGTGTTCTTGTCGTGCTTTCTTTCATGAATGAACTGTTCCTAATTTAATGTTTCAGTTCCTAATTATTTTCCAGTATGGAAATATTCATGTTTGCTTTTGTTTCACCAATGTAGGCTGTTCCACTCAGTGCGAGGAAGTCCACAGGAGGTTCGGCCGAAGGGGTTGCTCCATTTTTGCAGCTGCCACATTTCAGTGACTCTGTTATCAAGAAGATAGCTCGCAAGGTATATCCAAAATGCGATGAACTATTACTCACAAAATAATGATGAACTATCTTTCTGAGTGTTGTAGATCCAGCATATGTATAAGTTAGGAATTGAAAGTATCTTCCGTTTCATTAAGTGTCTTTTTTTCTTTACTTGCAGAAGGTAAGAACATTCCAGGACTTCTCTGAGATGTCCCCAGAAGACCGAGCAGAGCTTCTCACTCAAGTAGCAGGATTCAGCTCATCGGAGGTGCAGGATGTGGAAACGGTACTTTCAATGATGCCATCAGTAACAACTGAAGTCAGATGTGAGACTGAGGGCGAAGAAGGCATACAAGAGGGTGACATCGTCACAGTCCAAGCCTGGATCACCGTGAAACGACCCAATGGCCTCCCTGTTGGACTCCCACATTCTCCATACTACCCTTTCCACAAGGAAGAGAACTACTGGTTCCTCCTCGCAGACCCCGTCTCAAACAACGTGTGGTTCTCCCAGAAGGTCAACTTCATGGACGAGGCAGCCGCCATCACCGGTGCTTCCAAGGCAATCGAAGACACGATGGAGGGATCAGGAGCGAGTGTGAAGGAGATCAGTACAGCTGTCAGGGAAGCGGTGGAGAAGGTCCGCAGTGGGTCCCGCCTCGTGATGGGGAAATTCCCTGCCCCAGCGGAGGGGAGCTATAATTTGACTTGCTTCTGCATGTGCGACGCTTGGATAGGGTGTGACAAGAAGACGAGCTTGAAGGTCAAGATTCTGAAGCGAACCAGGGCTGGCACACGTGGCGGGTTCGCGAATGAGGATGGACTTGTTGCCGAGGATGGGATCGAGGAGGAAGAAGAGAACGAGGAAGAGGAGTATGATGATGATTACGAGAGCGAGTACAGCGAGGACGAAGAAGAAGAGAAGGATACAAAGAGGAAAGGTGCGGCGAATGGGACTGTCCGTAGAAAGGAGTCGAGTTCTGAGGATGAGGGTGAAGATGAAGAGTGAAACAAAATGATCAGTTTTGGGGGGTTTGTGTCAACAAGGGAATAGAGGCGTATGGATTGGACTCTAGTTTTTCGTCGAAAATTTGATCGCAGCTTCTTTGCTTTTGTTGAATTGAATGTACTCTTGGGAAATGTCGATTTTACAGCCATCATAGTTAGACTACAGTTACAGTTATTTGTCTGCAGACTCAGAAATACAGTTTTAGTGCTTCTTAGTCATGTTTAGGTTCTTTCCAGTTGGAGCCAGCCAAATGACTAGGATTCCAACCGGTTTATTATGTGCGAAACCTCGGCAATCTCACTGCCACCACCCCCTCTCTTGTCGCAGCAAATTGTCGTCGGTTCTTCCTTGCTGCCACCATCCCCTCTTTGTAGAAGCACACTGCCGACTGTTTGTCGATCATCGATCGCTGTATCTGATGGGAAGCATGCTGGGCGGATTCATCTCCACGCACTGGTTTGAGGTTGGAAGAACTATTTCCACACCATTTGTTAATGACAAGATCGGAGAAGATGGCCAACGAGGATTCTAATTATCTATCACATGCATGGTGCTTCTAATATTTTAACTGTACAAGGGGAAGAAACGAATCTTCCATCTTCGTAGTTGGTGGGGTGCATATCTGTCAACAAAGTTGTGCTTGTCTCGTTGTTATATGTTATGTATGTGTTCATCGCCATCCATAATTCATTCTCACAACACAAGAACAGAAAATGAGGAAACTGATGAAGAGGAAGAAGAAGAAGAATAGCCAGAAAAGCGGCAGTACCATGTTCCAAGAAAATGTCAGGAGAAAGGAAACGGGGGAGGAGGAATCGGCGGCAGCAGCGGCGGCGATGTGGGATTTGGGGAGCCCGCTGTTTGATTCCCACGAAGTGGTGTCGGTCAGCCATTTGATCGACCGCCACCTGATGGCTCTGCCGTCGTCATTGGGCAGCGGCGGATCGAAACAGCTCAGTAGAAAGTTCTCCTCGTCGACGTCGGGTGGTCGCAGTAAGGCTGTAGTTGTCCCGGCTCCTCCATCTCCAACTCGCTCCACCGGAGGGCGGGACAATAATGATGAAGCTATTGCCGCCATTGGAGGTGGCAGTGGTTCTTCTGATGCTCGTCGGTGGAAGGTGGGTGGGATGTTGGGTTTCGTGGGCAAGAAGCTAAGGAAAATTAATGAGGAGGAGGAGAAGAAGAAGATTAGTAGGAGCGGGAAGCAGCAGCGGTCGGCCAAGGGCAAAAAATCAGTAATCATTGCTTGCTTTGGGCGCAAGAAATCCTGATCCTGGGACTAGAATTTGTAATCTTCTATCTCCATTCTCCACCCACTGAAATTGGAAGTGTAATACAATTTCACGTGGAACTCTTTTCTGTAGTCGTAGACAAGAACTGTAATTTGGCAGTGACAAATAAAGGGTGACTACGCTATTCAGTGGTAAAACATGGCTTCTGTTGCCTTACCCTCGTCAAAAGGTTCCTATGCTTCTATCAAAACTATGACCTCTGTTTTGCATCTCACTATGAGCGCCCAGCAGCCCAGCACAATGATGACATGAACAGGTTTGAATTCGGTTGCCACCTCTTAAGAGTTTCTTTGCCGACCAGATTTCCTCTCGTGCTGGCATTCTGCAAGTGCGAACGAATCAACTCTTGGCCCTCGCCTCAAGAAGTTACCGACTTCAACTGGCATCGTCAAGTTCCATGGACTGCTGATATGATGCAAAGGCTGCCTCATCGCTACTCCTGCTCAAACCTTCGTTTCCATTGCTACTATTGGTGTCTCTACTCAGTTGATTGTCGAGCTCATCGTCAAACTCATCCGAGCTGAGACTAGTCTCTTCCTCATTGCTGCTTTCGTCTGGGTTCTCATCATCGTCCATTTCGCTTGAGCCATCAAGACTTGCATCCGCTTTATTCGCCCCTCCCTTCTCATTCTCATATTCACGGTAATGCTTGGCTCGAATCCTCACACGCTTCCCCTTGATGTACCTGAACTCCCATTTCGGCGGAGGGTACTTGGCTTTCAGCTTCTCGTACTTGTCCACCATGCCTCGATGCTGGAACACGGTCCCGATCATGTTGACTATCGAAACACTCGGCTGGACCCCCAGTTCCTCCATGTCAGCAAATATCTACAAAGAAAGAGCAGTCATTTTAAGTAAACCATACATGAAAAACAGTTTGTACAGCTGTTTCGGAGAGTTACCTCAAACATCTTGTCGTGCATATCCCTCTTGTAATAGATGGACATCATCTTATCGAAGAACTTACGAGGCATGCCTTCCAGGTACCGCATGAACAGCTTATTCCATAGCTCTTCAGCTTCGTCGAGCCTTTCATCCTCGGCCAATGCACTCAGTAAGATGAAATATGTTCCCATCGTCCTCCCTTGCCCTTTGTTCAGCATCCACTTAGAGACCTACAAATCCCCCATTTCTTGTTTCTTTAATCAAAAGCTTTCAAGCTTAATCAGTAAAAAAAGAGGAAAGATGCCGTTGAACCCCCCAGTACCTGAATTACTCTTTTCCATTCTTGTTGATGCTCTAGAGTCCTCAATGCTTTCTTTACAGTGATCAGAGGGAACTCCAAGTCCCAAGCGACAAAAGAATCAAGTGCACCATACACTTCCTCCTTCACATTCGACAATCCCTTTACCTACATGACCACCACACAAACCAGAAGTACATCATAAATCACATTCCAGAGCTCAAGAACCAATTCACCCCCAACAACCCGAGTTGTAGCAAAAGACCCAAGAACCACATCTTATACACAGTGCATTTCTTCCAGTTGTGAAATTACTGAACAAAACCCACATCAAATTCTTCGTAGAGAAGCAGAATGCAAGGGGAGGAGAGATACTTACACAGTCAACCAGCTTGGCTGCCTTGGAGACGGTTCCGATTCTCGTTTTCGTTTTCCAGACTCGAGGATACCTTGGCCGCGGCCCTTTCTGCTCGCATATCTACATCAAGCATCCGCCATTCGGTAAGAATTCTGCCTCATATCGAACCACGAGATTGTATAATCAAACTTGGAGGAAAACTTACAATATAGCTCCTCGGGCACTTCTTCTTCGATGCTTGAATTGATTCCAATCTTGTCGGAATAAGCGGCAGACAGTATCGTAAAGAAAGCATTCCGGGAAGAAGGTAAAAACTGAAGAAGAAGAAGAAGAAGAAGAAGAAGAAGAAGTTCTGGTTCGCTACACTTTCTCAGGAGTGAGGTGTTTTCTTCGCGTTTTCCTCTCTAATTTTCTTGCGTTTTCTTGCCAAAACCCTCCATCCAAACAGCAGATATTTTGATTTCCCGTTCCTTTCCTATCCTTGAATGATTCCGCTTCTGGTCAAAACGGCGCGCTTCTCTTTTTCACTCGGTTTAACAAGGGGCTTCTTCTAATTCTTCGGATCAAACCGGTTTCAACCATTAGACTGGCCAAACAAATGGGTCTTGGGTGGACAGAGAGAATCGGGTTGGTTAGGTTGTGCAACAGACTGGTCCTTGCCAGACCAAATCAATGTTTGAACCGAACCATACCGAACTAAATATAATATGGGTCGGTTCTTGGTCCCATGAATTTTATAAATAAAGAAGAAAAATAGACCGAATTGATATTTGGACCCACCAAACAAGCCAAAGCACTGTTGATCTGGTAATTGTCCTAAGATGTGTTTTACTATTAGACGGCGGTATCTCTGAGTTTGTCTGGTTTGGACAAGACCGATTCGTTGCACATCCCTAATTGCAGTTGGCTGATTGGCGGATTGATAGACAATTTCGAGCGTTTAGTGCGAGGATTTCTTGTCGGCAATGCGTTTATTTGGAGCTGGCAAAGGACGATATGTGGATGCTGGTAGGCGGATTTGTGGCTGGCACGTGTGAGTGATGAGAAGAAGAAGGATGAAGTGACGACTAACGATTAACCGAACAATTTAGTTTTGCATTGAATCGGGTGCTCGGTCAAACCAGGCTTTGTGGGTTTGACTGGGCACCGGTTTTTAGTGAAACCGCTGGTGCGGGTTGATTGGATTCCCAACCAGGCTGTACGTTTGTTTCGATGCTACTGCATGCAGGAGATCGATCCTCCACAACTAGCAGCGGCCTCATCCAATAATCTCTGAAATTAAAATGGCTCCGCCTCTACGGTTCAAAAGAGAGCGCTGGGTTTCATTTCATCGTGTCGACACAAGAAGTTGCTTCTCTACTGTTAATGGTGGAAAGTAGGAAGCAGCAAGCCGAGAAATTATGTTGGTGATGATGATTGAACCAGCGACGGCCACCCGCTTCGCCGCCGGCGCTAATTTCTGCTCGGCCGCCACCTTATCCCGTAAGTTCCTCCCGCTGTCCTATCTAGCTACTTTCCTGCCTGTTGTGTTCTTCACCTACTAAATTGTTTCCCGCCATTGGAGCTCTGGAAGAAGCTCGAAAGCTTCAGTTGCTTCAATGTCTCAACTGACGCTCCTGAAGCGATACTGCCTTTCGAAGTTTTCATTCACTTTCCGTTATTAGCTTAAGTTTCACGCATGAGCAGTTTTCTTGATTTTTGAATCGGAGAATGAGGCCTTTCTCTTTGTTGCTGTGATCTGGAATCTCCGATTGTAGATTATCGCGGAGCGGCCAACTTGGAGGAACATAGCAGAGCAAGCGGCATCACTCGCCGGCAGCTGCGCACGGCCAGCTTCGACCTACCGTGGTACTGTTTGCGTTTTCTTCTTGTTACAGCTACTTCAGTTCTAGAGTCATATTCGAAGATGAAATTGAAGTTCATTTCTGAGAAATTTTAATTATAAGTTCCGTTACTGAACTCAAGGATTTCATGAGTGCTTAATCGGAGTTCTGAATGCTTGTAGAATGTCTTAGAGTTCCTACAACGGACATGTGTGAATTTTTTTTTCTGGATCGTTCCCTTTCATCTTGTCTATGGAGTTCTATTTCATAAGGATCGTTTCATACGATTATCATCACCACAGGAAGAAATCTCAGCGATCAAGAGCTGGTTCTGTACCAAAGAGTACGATTCGAGCATCTCAAGGACAATTGGCATCCGGCTCGGATTCCTCTGAGCAGAATGACAAAGTGCAGTATCATCCGTTTGAGGGGATTGCCGATTCGGCCTCCAAAGGTAGTGGAGATGCTAGGCTTACAGCTGAAGAGACTTGCAGGACTATTGTCGAGGTATCATATTTTGAATGGAAGACATGATTGGATATTTTCAAAGAATCGGAGTGGTACTTTTGCATGGCTAACGCTGTCTGTAGTGAGTCATATTCAGGTGAACAGCAGAGCTACTGTGATGCTGACCAACTTGTTCAATGAGGAAATTCATGAGAATATCGTGTGGTCAGACATGCCATATGTGACTGATGAATATGGAAGTAAGTCATGCTTCATTTTGTATGCTGAAATCTGCAACAACTTGCTTTATGGTTTTAGGAGTCAGAGTTGTTGAAGAATTTTGTATGCTGAAATCTGCAACAACTTGTTGCAGATGTCTATTTTCAAGTGAAGAATGATGAAGACATACTGAAGACGCTTACGTCGGAGAACAACTATGTGGTACACATTTCCCTGCTACTGCTAGTTACCCTAGTTGTAGTTTATTTATTCCAGGCACAAGTGGCACATAAAATTGTTGGTCAAGTGTTTACTTTGTCCATAACAACACTGCATAGAAGCAATACAAAAGCTGTCTGGCCAGTAACCTGTAGAGGGAGATACATAGTACAAGCATTTTCTAATGGCTAGCAATTCTTCTATTATTTCAATGTCTCTTATTTTCTCATGCAAGTTCTTATATTTGGAAGGTTTCTTCTGTTCATACAGCAAGCTATTATAGGCTTTGATGCAGACGACATGATCAGTGAGATGGAGCTGCTGAATAATTCTGACATTGACTTTGAGGGAATTGACGATGAAGATAGTGATGGCGAAGAAGATGATGATGATGATGACTATGACGAGGTTTGATATGATATTTCTTACTCTTCTTATTTTTCTCGCGTTCGGTTCAACTTGTAACTTGCATAACTGATTGTATTTTCTTGAGACCAATTCCATTGAGCATTCTCTCATTGTTTGTATAGGAAATAGTAGCTGTCCTCGAAGATGAAGGCGATGAGGATAGTGATGACGATGGTGATGATGAAGACTGGGAAGACGGGGATTCTTCTCATCCAATGTATTTTGCCAAAAGGCTGACTCAGGTAATTTTATGGGAGACTCTGGAAGTCTTTACTGAAAGATGGTGTAAGCACTTGTAGTTGTTGAGCTAAGAAGATGACTTTCTTCCTTCTTTTTCTGTCGTAGATTGCTTCAGATGATCCTGTAGATTGGATGAAGCAACCACCAACTGGTCTGGCCATACAAGGGCTTCTCAGACCTGCATTTGACGAGGAACATACCGACATCCGGAGGCATATGTCTGACAATAAACTCCGTCACGAAGATCAAGCTGGGAAAGAGAAAGCAGAAAGCAAAACAGATGATCTTGGTGCAATCAATGGTCAGGAAACCAAGCCTGCATCATCTGAAGATGTTTCAGTCCGTGCAGAGAAAGATGTGGCTGCCCCAGCGACTGGGACTTCATTTTACAAGCTTGAACCGATAAAGATCCAGCTTATTTCAGCTGATGGACATCAAGTAGGTTCTTATGTTCACATAATGCAGATTATGTCCCCATCGGTAATTGATATAACAATTGTTTCTTCGGCTTTGTGACTCTTTATGAGCAGTCTTTGAGTCAGCACGAATTATGTCAGCTCATGTGATTTTCCGGTGCAGACTTCAGTTGAACCAGAAGATTTTAGGAATGCCAAGCCTGATGCCATTGCTCACTCAGCAGCCAAGATCATATCCCGTCTCAAAGACGGTGGTGAAGAGGTCACGGAAGCCCTGATATCACTGTGTTGGAGATGTAAAGGCATCCAAGTTGAGGTAATATGCTCAAACCTTTTTTATTTGGGAAATTTATACAAGTCAGTTGTTTGGATCATGGATTTGCCTCAAGAATTTGAGCACAGAGAGTTAATCAAGAAACCCTTGTTTGATGGATAAATTTTTTGCCACAACCATTACATTTCTAAATCCATGCAAATACGTGGATCCATGGATTTCATGAGGGTTTGTAGAATCCAATTCTACATTTCCATGGGTTTGATGGGTGAAACTAGTAACTCACTTCTGTGATCCTTCATTTTGCACAATCCATCGATTTTCAGATAATAAGACTGACTGCAACACTGCATACATTACTAATTAGCCTGTTGGAGATCTGCAGGAAGCAACCGTTACAGGCATGGATTCTCTGGGTTTTGATTTGAGGGTTTGCTCTGGAACTCAAGTCCAGACATTGCGATTTGGATTCAACTCACGGGTAACAAACTGCACTATGAATCAAATCACATCATCTTTTCAGTACCAAAAGTCTGCCTATTCCTAAAGATTCACTCATTTCCTTCCAATTACTTGCAGGCAACTTCGGAATACAGCGCAGAGAGACAACTTAACGATTTACTATACCCGAGGACCATCCAGATGCCCCTGAAACAGAAAGAGCCTCAGCAAAATGAACATCAGTAGCGCTCTCTCCTCTCTCTCTCTCTCTCTCTCTCTCCAATCTTCTCTATCAAAATAACTCTTTTGCGGCACAATCAATTATTCAAATGCTGGTAATATTTTTGGAATCCCATTCTTTTCTCCCTCCCTGGCTCGTTACCTTTTACAGCTTCAACACCTGCTATACAGTGATTTGGCGAGAATAGATTGCTGAAATATTTCGACAATGCTTTCTCGAGAACATCCATTACAGGGCAGCCAAAGAGATCGAGAAAGCCGAATGTAAGCATAGAAAGAAAGGCTCGAATCACCAAAAAAATTCTGCTTCATTCTCCATACTCATTTCTCTCCAGGTACAAGCTCTGTATATCCACTTCACTCCACTCTTCCTCTCTACCTTACTTCTTAGCTCGAGCTGCTTCTGTGCACGAATTGCGCCACGAGCATGTCCAAAACCGCTTAACCAACAGATTTGAACACAGTAATCTCATCACAGCCCTTCCTCCCAACCCTCTCCCCTCTCATCAACTCCACCAGCAGCCAAACTTCCTCTTGAACCCACCCACCAGCTCCCCTGCCTCGACTAAAGCCGCCTCATTATCCGCGAACACCGCCCCTGCCCTCTTCAACGCAACGTCGTCGCGCTCCCTCGTGTTCTCTCCTTGAACGACCCAACCAAATCCAAATGCGGCCCTGACTTCAGCTTCTCCCCCTTCACCAACGCCGGGGCGCCCACGCCGACCATGACGAGGACTCAACTGTCGGTCCGAGAGGAGCTTCGAGGCGAGCCCCGAGAGGCAAGAGGCAGGAGCCAGGAGGTCCAGTAGAGGACCTTGCAGTCGCAGCCTCGCAGGTACCAAAATAAGCAGCGACTTGGTCAACGCCAAACGGTAGTGGCGACGACTGTTCAGTCAAAGCCATGGTCAAGAGTAGGGGTGAACAAACATACCCGCAAACCGACCCATCCGTCCAAACCGACCCAACCCACCCGTATTTATCGCTAAAACAAAGATTTTGGGTTGGGTGAGGGTTTTGTTTTGTACAACCCGCCTCTTTTGAGTTGGGTTCGGATTTTGGATTACACAACCCGTAGAACCCGACCCAACCCGTGTTCCAACTATTAGTATGAGTTCGTAGCTAAAAAATATTTATGTCGTATATAGCCATACTTATGAGAAAATTAAGATATTTCGCCATGTTTTTCTCTCATGGTCTTCCTAATCTAATGCATTATTCGACTTAAAGTTTAAACATAAATTGAACTTTATGTTTGACTCGCCTGCAAGTTGGGCCTGTAAAATTAACTCGAGATGATCTAATTGGGCCTCGACCCGGCAGACCTGAAGCCCAATTCCCAACTTTTCTTCACCCTCTAAAACCGAAGATTTCAACGTGGTTGAATCTTCTGTTGCTCCTGCCTCGTGCAATACGATTGGAACGTAGTTGGCACTAGCTTGCTGCGAGATCCGTATTTTTCAGAGTGGTAATTTGCACTGAAGTGGAGGAACTCTACGAAGCTCGGTATCTTTCAAAATTTTGGCAATATCAGATTCCTAGAAGTCTAGAACATACCCATAAAACGATCACCAAAAGGAAATGCCGAAACGTAGAAATGTTAGATGATTTAACACAAACTAGAACAAACAAGCACAAGCATTACCGTGCAAACTGGGGTAGTAGATTGGCTTATTCATTGCTTATTTGTTATTAGTTAGACTTTAGATTCTGAAAATAAGTTTCATGACTACTAAATATTGAGTGCACTAATATCGGTTAAATTCATTTGAGATAAAAATGAACCAATACGACATTTGGTTGTACTTGTAAGTTCGCAACACAAAGATTAACCCCCACTTATAACTAGGTGACCCAACCATGGCGCTTAGCTATGTACATGGAGGCTTACTTGGCGCCTTAGTCTTGCCTCCTGCGTGTTGCTTATTTGTACAAGAACCTAAATCCGAACAACGGAGACAATCAAGTCGCCCTAAGTACATTGTTCAGACGGTTTCCCTAGCGGAATTCTGCCATCATACCCAACTTGAATATCCAAGCCAAGGAAGAAGCCATACCTGACATGTGACATCTCTTCATGCTCAGGGTTCTACTACTGGCATCCCATGGTCGATTGATTTCAAGTGCATTAATTCGGCCTGAGTTGCAGTTCTTTCAACAGCCATCCACCATGTCTCATCATCGTCACTAATGTTCTCCTCCTGCTTCCACAACATTTCGAAAGACATAAATAAACGGTCGAGAAGGAAACGTGGCAAACAAGGTTCTAAGAGGGTAAACAAATTTCTGGTTTTTATCGATCAGTCAGACCAGATTAACCATCTGACTAGGCTCCATGGGATTCCTCTTTGTCTCTATATCTTCTGCAACTTTCATGGCTTCAAGCCACCAAGAGTCTTTACCAGAGCTGCCTGTGGCTGAATTGCTTCCATTCCAAGGCACGGCTCCATTGTAATTACTGTTAACCAACTGGTACTCGAGACAGTCGTTTGTTAACGCTGCCTGACTCAATGTCTGTCCAGAGTCGCGGGGAAATGACCGGTTTGGAATCATGTCGATTGGTACTGGACGGAAGGGAGATTTGTAACCTGGTAGTGTTGTTCCCTCAATTTGGTCAGATATAAATGATCGCTGACGCAAAAGGTAGCATGCCAAAGGGAAAAAAGCACAGTATTGGCTGATGGACAATGTACCTTGACAATCTGGATCGTGGCATTTTTGGTAATAGACTCCCCATCTTAAGTCAATGACATATATAACTGTACCAGGGGAATAAGAAGGAGATGAGGGTTTCAAAATCGCTGGAAGTTCAGCATTATAATTCATCAGATGAGTTAGGGAGCTCTTATTAAGATGAGAAGCTACCATGATTGCTTTTATGCTCCCTGCCAATTCGTTCACAATATCTATTTCTTGCCATGCTGTAGACCATCAGTCCATACTCGGAGAACCAGTACCAGCTTCGGATTTTGCCTAAATTTAGCACATTGTTAATAAGGGAATCAGATAGAGGAGCAAATAGTAAAGGAATTGAAGAGATTCTGCTGCGACCATTCTTGTATCACAAGAGAGCGTAAAGCCGAAAAATGAGATCACCTGATGTACTTCCCGTAGAGGCAATGGATTCCACAAATTTGTCCAAAGCAGGGAATGGCGAGTTCCCGTCCATGGATGTCACTGGAGCGCCTCCAGTACTTCCATTTGTTGACAGTTCTCGACGAGAGCTGAATCTTGTTGCACTGTAATTTACCTTGAGAAGAACAAATTTCCCAGTTTAAATAGAACATACACCGAAAACTAAGGCCCTGTTCACTTCCATTTTCGTTTCCTGTTTTCTGTTTTCATGTGATAAATTTGGCAACCGAAATGAGAAAACTTGTTTACTTTTCATTCTGTTTTCTATTCGTTTCCAACTATGAAAACAGAAAGTGGCAACTTCCTGCTGTTTTCGGAAACGACAAAATGTTGTTTTCACCTGTTTTCAACATCTGTTTTCTCAAAAACAGGAAACAGAAATGAAAGTAAACAGGCCCTAAGGGTTGTGTTTGATGGTCTGTACTATATGAAAATATGAAGCAATAAGTAGCTTTACCTCTGTATCAAAATGCAGCTTTTTGACACAATCCAAATCCATTTTGCAGACCAGCAGCCTGTCACAGTCACTATCTATATTGCAGATCAAGGAAGCCATGAACATGTCTTCTTCACACTGTTCAAAAAGAAAAGATCGCAAACACAAGTGAAGAAGCACGATAATCGAAGGAGTTTCGCGAGAAGATAGCATCTCGTTTCATGAATATTGTTAACTAGGATAAAGACTGCATACCATGCTTTTACATTTGAAGCGCCCTGTTGGTAGAAGTAAAGAAGTTTTCCCGGCCTTTGATGAGAGAGCCAAGCGAAAGCAACGATTTCTGGTATAAACACCACTATCTATAAATAGCTGATTTGGAGGTCCAGCAGATTTCGACTCTTTTCTTATAAATAAGTTGTTGTATCTCTCATCCTTCTCCTTTAAACTTGAAATCCGGGAACATACCTGAAAACAAGTTAGTAGCGATAGTGAAAATCGATTATATTCCTGCCACAAAGAAAGAAATAAACTAGCTCTATAATATTTTCTCACAACATTCAGTCACAAAACAACCATCTCTTGAATACTTAACATATGTTAAAGACGACAGGGCACTTAGGACGAGGCATCGGATTGATATCATTATGGTATACCTCTGACACAACTGCGCCAACGTGGGAATTGTCCTTAAAAGCAGCCTTTGGTATGCGGATAACTAGATGGCGTGAGAACTTCTCTGCAGAGCAGTCAGACAAGGCTAATTAATTGTGATAAGCAAAGGCTAACTAGTTCTCTATAAAATCTCGAATACATTGGTTCTCCAGTTTGCTGTTTCCCTAGTTCTCATGCTTTGAAGGTAAAGCAAAAACCACAGATAATAGAACAAGGGGCTGTAAATAAAGTATCACCCAGTACACACCTGCAGTGGAAGAATCAAGCTCTACTATCCAATCTCCACTTCCTTCAATTGAATACTTTTCATTCAAGAGCTCAAGAACGACTGATATCAAGAGATCGACCATTTCATCCACATTTTTCTCTACGTTGTCTTTCTTATTGAATTCCAAATCAAAGTATAGGTGACATGGTAATCCCTGGAGATCCAAGAGAATGAATGTACACCAAGTGAATGAGAGGCTTGCAGGTTTATCACTTAAAAATGGCAACATAGACAGATAATTACCTCCTGAATCACTTCATAATGGTGTCGAAATTTGGATTCCATGTTTTTGTACCTGAAATTGAGAAAATTGAATGGTATCAACACCTCCACAGAGCATCCCCATAGCAGAATGGATTCATTAATTGAATAAAGGAACAACTGAAGGACCTTTTCCAAAACTCATGGTATGTCGAAACGAGGAACCTTCTTTGCCCGTGAATATGATCTTGATAACTGAAAATACGGACATTATGATGCTCTTTTGCAAAGTTCATAGCTTCATTCTGTCTAGGAAATGTAGCCCACACCTCCTTCCTAAGTACAAACCAAACTCATATCAGGATGTCATGCGGCATTAGCATATATAAACAACATAAACTAATACCTCATAGCTGAAGAAAAAACAAAGGCTCATAAAAACACCAGGGGTACCTCAAGTCCTCTTTTCCTTGTTCCGAAAGATCAACACGTATCTCGCGCAACAATCGTAGCAAACTGATTGGTCTCTTGGGAGGCACTCCATTAGGGGAACCATAGAATACAACAGGAGAAATCTGCTTGCCGCACCTTAAGCCCTTTGATTTAGATGTTGAAGCAACCTGAAGAGAATTGCAGGAGCATAATTAGTTAACATCAGGCATCAGTGAAGCGAAACCCTAACACAGCAATTTATGATATAAGCATTAAGGAAGGCATCAAAGCTGATCACGCGGGGAGAACTACGTACATTCTCTTTGAGGACTAGTGCATCAGTAGCAGTCTTCTTCCGCGGCTCAGCTGAGCTTGGAGACGGAGTGCCACTAATTGCATGGATCCCACTCCCTTGCTTCGATTTGCTCTTGCTTCTTTTCCTCTCTCTTACAGCCGATTCTGACAAAACACCATGGACGGCCAATTCGAGCTTAGGCGAATAACATCAAATGAAGAAACTGAATTACGAAATCGATCCTGAGAGTAGATCGGAAGTCCAGTTGAGAAGAGCAGAAGAGGCGCCCAGCCATATGGCAAACCGCTCAATCAGCCAAGCAGAAAGTGAGGTCTAAATGAATGGATCCTTGAAAATCACCGGTGAAACGAACAACGGAAGTGAATGAATCGCTAAAATCTACGATGAATCGAGCACCGGAAGTGAATGAATCGCTTAGATGAAATCTCCGATGAAACACGAATCGCTTAAATCTCTGGTGAATCGAACACCGCAAACAGCGAATTGAGATTTCGGAGAGAACTTACGAGGAGGAGAAACTCCGCACTTGAAGCACTGGAACAGACGATCGACGTCATCCATGGCGTCCTGCGGCATCTTCTTCTCCACACTTTTTCCCGAGCTCAATCTCGTGGCTGCTTCTCCTTGCTGTGCTCTTCTTCTTCGCCCTCATCCACCCGATTCCTTCCCCGCGACGGCTCTCGTCTTCCCGTTGGTACTTGCTAAATAAGCGGGAAATTGATTTGCTAAAACTGGAGGCTGGCGGTTGATTTGAAATATGAAATATCTATTGGCTGGTTCTCACACCAAAAAGGAAGACCGTGGAAAAGGAAACTCGCCTCGCCTGCGACCTCTGTTTGCCAATACTCCTTGGGCCTTCAACCAGGTATAGGTGTTTCATTCGACTGTTTTGGGCTCAAGGTTTTTGTTGGGCCGATATAACACTATTAAAAACAAAAAATACAAAAATAGCACTCAATTTCAATTTTTTTGAAAAATAGCATAATTTCTCAAAAACTACTAGGTAGGGGCGCAGTTTTGGACCAAAACCACTTGAGTTGTGTTATCAATGCATTCATCTCATAATTATCATTTCAAAACAAACGACTCATTTTAAAACAACGTCAATAATCACTTGTAATATGATGAAGAAAAAAAAACACATGAAATTGCACAAATATAGTTCAAGAATTATTTTGATTTGAAGGTTTTAGAGTTTAGTAATTTAGCGTTAGGATTAGGATTTTAACGTGGACAGATTTTAACGTTTTGTACTGGATATTTTAAAAGAAAAGGTATTTTACCACAACATTGTCACCATGACACCATCCACAGTATATCTTATACTTATATGTCATTTGCAACTTGTACTGGCCTAAGTAAAAATTAATATGTTCATCAATCAAATACATCATGATCTACCGGTGCCCAGTATATACCCTTAAAGCAAATTATGTTCTTCCTGCATTTCGTTTTTTAATGCTATTTTCAGCTTTAATAGGTTCAGTGTAATAAAAAAAAGTCAAAGGACAAAACAATTTTAATATGTTAATGGATCATTTATCTCCATAACCTTGTGTATAGTAACTTTTCATTAAGTTTTAATGTATAGGTGTCAAAACATAGCCCGACCCGATTAACCTGCCCAATCAACCTGACCCGCAACCCGACCGCAACCCGAATTGATCAAAAGTCAACAACCCGTAGCCCGCCCGACCCGCAACCCGATTGACCCGCAACCCAACTAACCCGCAACCCGACTAACCCGCAACCCGATTAACCCGAACCCGATTGACCCGAATCCGACTAACCCGTAACCCGACCGACTCAACCCGAATTTCATCTAATCCACTTGAATAATTATAAAAATATACAATACATAGTGTTTCAAAATAAATCTTTTCATTCTAAACTTAAGTAAAATTATTTTTTCATTTCGTATAAGAAATTTTAAAAATATGAAACTCACTTGATATTACGTATTTTAAGAAAGTTACAAAAATTGAAACATGAAGGTCACTTGAGATCATGACAATATTAATATAGTATATAAATTAAAATTTTGGTCAATTTAACTATTCAATAAAATTATCAATTAAATATAAATAAAGTAAAGTAATGTATTTGGTAATTTGATGTTTTAAAAATAAGAGGAAAATTTTGGTGTATTCAAGTTTTTGGGAAGAGAAAGAAGAGGGAAATTTGGTTCTTTGAATTTTTTAGAAAAGAAGCAAGTGGAATTTTGGTGGTTTTCATATGTGGGAAGAGAAAGAAGTGAGAAAGTTTGATTCTTTTGATTATGAAAGAGAAATAAGGAGGGAAATTTTTGCCTTTTCAACTTTTTGTAGAAGGAAATAAGAGGGTAATTTGGTTCTTTCAATTTTATGGAAGAGAAAGAGGAGGGAAAATTGAGTTTTTCTAATGTATGGAAAGAGAAAGAAGGAGGGAAATTTTAGTATTTTTGTGAAAAGAAAGAAGAAAACAAATTTGGTGTTTTCAATTTTTTGGTTTTTCATAATTTTAGCTTTTGAAATATGAATCTTTAACTTTTATATGGAGGGCATGACTAGTTAAAATTATTCTTATATGCTTTGAAGGCTAATATGTATATATGTATGTAATTTTTTATGGGCTAATAAATAAATTAACTATTAGTTACAACAATTTATACTAAACTTGATAAGTAATCTTTGACGGTTCATTGTTTAGGATATAAAGTATATGGTTAGGGTATAAGGTATAAGGTACATATGGTTTAGGGTGTATATGGTTAGGGTATAAGATATTGATGGTGTTGACGGTTCTAAGTTTTTTATTAACATATGTTCACTTGAAGTCATTTGAAGTCTTTAACGGCAGGAGATCCATTTTTAATTTATGTTTATGGTACGTGGTTAGGGTACAAGGTATGTGGTGTAAAGTATAGGATATATGGTTAGGGTATAACAATTAGCAAATATCACTTTTTATTTATGTTTTGAAAATCAAAGTATGAATTTCACTTTTAAATTAACTATACTAGCAAAATCACAACTCAAGGACATATGGTTAGGGTATAGGTTATGTGGTTAGTGTATAATGTATTGATGGTTTAGGGTATACAATCAACAACATATACTAACTTAATATTGTTGATTGAGGATAAAGCTAAGTGTATAGGATATATGCTATTGAGTAAGTTATGATTGAAGTCACAATAATTTTACTAAATTTGATAGCTAATCTTTAATGGTTCAATTTTTAGGATAATTCGAACAATTTTACAAATAACTCGTTTGGCAACAGTTTACTAAAGTTATTTGGGCAATGAGTTATTTTAAAATAACTCCTTTTATCACTATGCTTTTGCCAAATACCACACGCCAAATACCAGATTTGCATGGTTATACTAAACAAGATACTTTAATCCAATTACTACTGAATTAATACTAAAATATCAAATAAACAATTAACGGTGTCTTTTGGTTGCAAATATTGATATCACCATTACTATTAGCTATAATACTTTACCAATTATGATTAATTACATAACAAGTTTGCAAGTCATACAAATTGATTTAACATTTTGACTAGTTTTTTTCAAAAAAATAAAGTATATATATATACGAGGTAGAAATAAATTGGTTAAAAGTTGAGAAAATATTTTAAATTAGTGTAATAAAATGTGTAAGTTGGTAATGAGTAATGAGTTAAGTTACTTGATGTGCTGGCCCGAACAACCCGAAACCCGACCCGACCCGCCCGCAACCCGCCCGACCCAAAACCCGATGAACCCGCAACCCGATTGAATCCGAACCCGATGAACCCGCAACCCGACTAACCCGCAACCCGTTTGAACCCGAACCCGATTGAACCCCGCCCGAACCCGCCCGATTGACACCTATATTTTAATGGATGATATACCATTATTTGTTTCATTATGAACATGTCTATTTTAATTTAATATATATTGAAACAATTCAAATTATGCTCTTTTATCAAGTGTTACGCCTCCGTAGTCACATGCGGAAGTTCGATAGAGAGGTGCCGCGTCCAAAGACCACACTTAGAAAATGTATACACATGAAAAAAAAATTGAATTTTCAAGGAGGATTTAGATAAATATCGAACTATGGACACCCTCTTCCCAAGCCAATAGCTTTGCCATAGAATACACACTGCATTTTGATTATCTTTGGATCCCACTAATTTATATTCCTTGGCTACGCAAATGCTTGTGTTCCTACATATTGAAACGATCAGAATATAATGGTTGTGAACTTGTTTATAACTTTTGGGTTATGCATCTCCAACCCTGTACTCACTATATGATTTAAAACTCAGTCTAGTTTTCGATTTCACATTAACAATTCTCCCTTTTTGTAAAAATGCACACACAAAAGAGCGCTTTAATTCGTTTTATGATACATTTGAAATTTCAAAACTCACAATAGTTTCTCGATATAGCCAAGAAGCCAACATAAACACTCTATGCCATCACTACCAGTACCCTAAACAGAGAGATCAAATGTCCCTTACTCGCTAGACGGATCAAATGCCCCTTTTTCTGTTCATGATCAACTTATCCCCACTTTTTTTTTATCAGTTGGTTCTTTACCAAATCCACTACGCATATGGACCTGGCCGACCTTGGTTTTAAATCTCAACATGCTTTCCTTTTTCTTAATGGTGAACCTTTTACAGCCATACGCAGGAAAAATCCAACCAGAAGCATACCAAAGTGGCAATAATGGCTGAGAATTCATGCTGCTTATCATTTCCCAACTGCTCCGTTTTTCTATATATGCTTTGCAGTACGGTCACTTTGGAACATTCGTGGAGAAAACAGACAATAATTAGCAGTTTGATGTACGAGAAAGAAAAAAAAATGAAGGGTAGAACCAACAAACACAATGCAATTGTAAAATTGAAATCGGACTAACCATACCAGAAACACTTTCGATTCGATTCTGGAGCTTGCATTTCTTTTCGACTAAATTCGAGGCAAATTCGGCAGAAAGCTGATGTCAGGAACAAAAATTGTGTATTGCTAGGAACCTGCGTGTGGGTGGATATTGAATATTTAGAGCAAAACCACGCTGACGATGGAGGAGGTTCAGCAGCTTCTACAATATATTAATTTCATTGTCCATTCATCAGTAAAGACAGAACCTAACAGTCTACTGACTTCATCAGTAACAGTCTAACAGAGATTTAACCCTTTTTCCCTATATAACTAACACCCTGCACTATGAACCTGAGCATCTCTAACTACCACAAGCTTTACTTACTAGTTCCGTTTAGCCTAATTTTCTTCTTGTCTGTTCGTCGCTATTGATCGTCTAGCAGCACAAAATGTCAGACGATGTGCCCTGCTGTGAGCCTATGTTCTGGGGATACCTTGTTGCCTGTGTGGTTCTGGTTGCCTTTGCAGGTCTAATGTCTGGCCTCACCTTAGGCCTGATGTCCCTCAGCTTGGTTGATCTTGAAGTCCTCATTAAGGCTGGTCAGCCCGATGACCGGAGAAATGCAGGTTAGAGTACCCTGCAAACAATAAAAAAACATGGTTATAGGATTAATTTGTGCCCTTAATCAGACAGCTGATTCCGTTTCCTTTGCCTTCGCTTTCAGCAAAGATACTGCCAATCGTGAAGAGACAGCATTTACTGCTGTGCACCCTTCTCATAGGAAATGCAATGGCAATGGAGGTAAAGGGAGTTTCTTTTCAGACACAAATGCTACTCTGAGTTGAATGCTAATTCTGAAGCTACGACACTTACTGTCTGATGAGTTTGAATCTAAAATAGGCACTGCCCATCTTCCTTGATTCCATCCTTCCTCCTTGGGCAGCTGTTCTCATATCAGTCACTCTCATTCTTGCCTTTGGCGAGGTAAGATGACTAATCACGTTACCTTGGAGTAAATCTTGCGATCCACTACTGGTAAAATAATGTGCTGATAAAGTTCAAAGTCTTTGTGTGATGCAGATTATACCGCAAGCAATTTGTTCCAGATATGGTCTACGTGTTGGTGCCAAGCTGTCTCCTATAGTAAAAGTGATAGTCATCATCCTCTTCCCAGTTGCATATCCCATAAGTAAGGTAAGAATCAGAGAATCTGCTTCAACATTTTGGTTTCCAATCCCTGAAATTTTGATTATCAAAGAGCCTCTGAAGCCCCCTATACTTCCATATCCTCAGCTACTTGATTGGGTTCTGGGGAAGAAGCATTCTGCACTCCTGAGGCGAGCAGAGCTGAAGACATTAGTGGACTTGCATGGGAACAAGGTCACCGCTCCAAAATTTTCTTCTTCTTTTCTGACTAAGTGATATAAGTATGCAGCCTAATGAGCAACTGAGAGTTGAAAATTATGGGATCATGAGCAAAGTGTCTGATGTTTTCTCTCTTCTATTTCAGGCCGGGAAAGGTGGAGAGCTGACACATGATGAGACCACTATTATAACTGGAGCTTTGGATATGACCTTGAAAAAAGCTAAAGATGCTATGACTCCCATCTCTAAAATATTCTCACTTGATATCAACTCTAGGCTTGATGAGTAAGCTCCTTCCATTCCCGATCCCATACTGAGCTCCCATTTCCCCTCGTTTCTCACCTGAAATTTCTTTCCCTTAGGAAAACAATGGAAGTGATAATTGGCCAAGGGCATAGCCGCGTACCCATCCACATGAGCAGGCCAGAGAACATTGTTGGCTTGATTTTGGTAAAAGCATGTTAAACCCTTTCTAGCAAACTGGTGAAGTTGATGCCAGATTGAACAAAAAACAAAATTGCTTTAGTTGATTCTGGTGATGATGTACTCTTCATAGGTGAAGAATTTGATCAAGTGCAGTCCTGAAAACGAAACTCCTATAAGAGAGCTAACAATCAGAAAAATCCCTAGGTATTTGACCAGTAGCTGTCACATTTTATCAACATAAGTGACAATCAATCAGAAGAAGAAAAAAAAAATAACCATGAAGTTACTGAATCGTTTCGGCAGGGTAAATGATCAGCTTCCTCTATATGACATACTGAACCTATTCCAGAAGGGTCACAGCCACATGGCTGTAGTTGTGAAGTACAAGGATGATGCTAATAAGGCGAATGCAGAAAACACTAGAGCCGAACGTGAGGTTGTAGAGATCAACATCGATCCAAATTCGGAACCAATAGAGGCAGAGAGGAAAGGTAGTAGTAATCACATGCACAGTATGCTTACTGAATGGTATCAGGGAAGTTTAATTTACCTCAAAATTGGGTGTTCATCAGGAATTCATCATCAACTCAGCTGGACTGAGCGAATGTTGATGAGCGCACCATCATACTCCAGTGAGAAGGAATTCCTGGAATTCCAAGAAAGAACCCTTTCTAGTGAGGAACTGGAAACAATTTCATTCCCTTCTGGAGAAGAGGTCATCGGCATAATAACGCTGGAGGACGTCATCGAGGAATTGCTCCAGGAAGAGATTCTGGACGAGACAGACGGCTATATGGAAGTTCACAACAGGTAACTTTCAAATTACGGTGTCTTATTTTCTTCGAATCGAGATTTCCCCCAATTTTTTTTAGGGTTTCGGAAGCAAACCTATAGAAATCCAATTGTGAATCTGCTTCATTTCCGTCAGGATAAAGATAAACATGCTGCCTTCTCAACGATCGCCCGTGAGATCGCCTGGAACGCCGTCAGCATCTCAGTTCCAACGGCGATACTCTCCGTCGCCGTCCCCGGTTTCTCCATATCACCGGAGCCCGCTGTCGACGCATAGCGTCCTGCGTTCGCCGATTCCGCCGTACGTTCGCTCTCCGGTGATGAAACCTTCTATTTCCAATTCTCCCGGGAAGTCCATTCCAACTTCCCCGGCTGCCGTGACTGGTTCTCCTGATCGCCGTTCGCCTTCATCGCACCGGGTAAATTTTGCTGATTTGATGGAATCAGATTTTCGTATTTGGGGGGTTTCTGACTTCTGAATTTGGTTGCAGGTTTCGAGGAAACCGTACGAGAAGCTGAGGAAACCTGACGACGTCGGTGACTCGCTTTAGAAGGCGACTAAAGTGCTAAACAGGCCAGGCCGACGGCCGTGCATCGTTAGGAGGCCCAATGAGAAGCCCATTTCGTAATTGGATCAACGCCTTTGCATCTGAATATGGGCTTAGAAAGTAATACCCGGGATGGTAGTGCAAAATGTTAGATTCATCGACATCTATGTTTGATCTCTGTTTTGTTTGTTGTGCAGTTGTGCTTAATAATAGAGTGTCTCATATGGTAGTCTATAAAGTTTTGTTTTTGTTGCCTTAGAGCTTTGGGATGTTCGGCTTCGTTTGTTAGTTATGTTCGCAAATAAAAGATATATTGTGGTCAAATTAGATCAAATTAAAAAAAAAATTCTTTTTTCAAATTGATATGAATGCACCCTATTATGGTTCAAAAACTAATTGAGAATCAGAAAGCTCATCACAATTATAAAATTTCTTCTCTAACGAATTTTCCAATAAAACGCTCAACTTAAGGTAAGTTACGGTTGGTCCATGGTGCAACCGCAACTCACTTGCGGTTGGTCCATGGTGCAACCGCAAGTGAGCTGCGGTTGGCCCATGGTGGAACCGCAAGTGAGCTGCGGTTCCCCTTTTTTTGTTTTTTTCCAATTTTTTTAGTGAACTTTACCGATTCAGAGTCGCTAGTCATGATCCAGATATCATATCGATGATTCCGACTCCAGAATGACGATGATGAATTCTCTCTTTTGAATAATGTTTTATTTTCTTTACTAAGTGGTGTTTGTTTGCTAAAGGAAGAGTAAAGAAGCTAAAAGGTTAAATTTGTAATTTTGATGTTTTTTAGGGCGACATTTAGCAATTTTAAGGGCGACCTTTAGCAACTCCCAAAAATTAATATCAATTTTGGTCACTCAAATTACCGAAATAGGTCACATTTAGTCACTCTCCGTTAGTCTCCGTCCAACTCCGTCAAAAGAGTCTGTCATGTGCTAACATGGCCAACGGGAGCGTCTAGTCAGCATCGTTTTGGGCCAGAAATAGTGATATCCGACCCACCACGTCACTGAACTCGCCATGTTCATATGGTAGTCTATAAAGTTTTGTTATTAAATGTCAATCCGCTCGACCCTTAACTTGCCTCAGACCAGACCTCCATTCCTCTGCTATGATCCATTCGTCATTTCCTCTGCTACTCTGTTTTGTACTTATGCTCGACTTTTTCTGCCCGATTGACATTTTTTCTGAAATTCTGACAGGGAGAAGCAAGGAGCAATGAAAAAACAAAGGAAAAGGCAATTTCAGCTCCTGCCGCCAAGACCAAGAAGAGACGTAGATTGGATGGTTATTTGGATACATGTGAGTCTAGTTTGCATTTTTTTTTGTCTGTTGTGAAATGATCAGCTATTAGAAGTAATTGTTGTTTCTTATGCAGATGTAGGGGGTTGGCGGAAGTGTAAAATTCCACACAGTAGCTGCTGTTTTTTATGGTTTTCGAGTGTTTTCGGTTAGTTTTGCGGTTAGTAGAGTAATTCGGTTATTTGTTGTTCAATGCGGTTCGGTTGTCTGCGGGTTTTTGTTTAACCACGATTGGTCACACAGATGAGGTTAAATCGGTTGTTACCTCCAGTAACCGCGTTTTGCGATTAGCGGTTAACCGCGTACCGTACCAGGTGCGGTTGCGGTTGGTTAATATGAGTACTTTGCGGTGGCGGTTAACCGCAAATAGCGGTGCAGTTAACAGCAACCACACCGTTTCCTACCCTAATCTAACCCAATCCCAAAGCACGGAAAAAGCATCTTTGATCATCAAACTTGCTCTATCAATTCAGTTTACCACTAGATTTATTTTTAGGTCAACTAAACCACTAAATTTGATGTAAAAGATCACCATCCATCACTTCCGTTTCAACCTTGTGGATTATTTTAACGATGCTGACAAAGCGTTAACAGTGATGACGTGGCCATGGGAGATCTTGCATAGAAAGGCTTTGGCAAACATTCGACAATGGATTGACGGAAGCATCTTTCATCATGTTGTAAACGATACAAGAGAGAATGAATTGTGGCAGAAATTAGAGTCTATGTATGAGCGCCAATCGACTCAAAACAAAGCCTCACTCATTCGAAGAATTGTGAATTTGAAGTACAAGAATGGTCTTGCTAAACATCATAAAGGCGTTGGATGAGCGAAATGAAACTTCCTAGACATCAAACGAGCAGCCTGAAGATCGTATAGACGCTGCCTTGTTTACTTGCACTGGAATGAAACTAGGTATTGTATGGATATATGGGTTTAGTCGGCTAAGACAAAGTGCAATTACTATAGTTAACTCCAACGCAGATCTCAAATCCTGAGGTCCACCGAACGAGGGTCCGCCAAACTGACCTCCAGTCCCCGAATCCGAACCACAAAGTGCAATTACTATCGTTAACTCCAGATAGTTCATTCTTCGAATCAAACTCTGATACCAATTGTCGAAACCGGGGTGCTCAATTAGTACGATATTGTCCGCTTTGAGCCAAGCCCGCACGGTTTTACTCTTGGGTGTCCTCCCCAAAAGACCTCGTACTAATGAGCTTGGTAGACTCTTATTTACAAGAATCCCTTCCCTTGCATTACCGATGTGGTACTTGGATTGTCCCATAACACCACCAAACACCGCTACTGTGATTGTTTTTACTCTGCCCAAACAAGGAATCTCTCGTTTGATGCCACATCTTGAACCCATTCGCCAAGAATTTGCAAAGAAAGGGAATGTAGTAAAGCCAGTTCCCCTCTCCACCAGGAAACTACCCGGAAACAAGTAGACAACAACTGGCTTTCTTTCTCCCCCTTTTGAGTTCTTAGTTCCTCTCTCAATCTCTGTGTCTGTTACTAATAGTACAATTGTTAGGTCTCCATTTCCTCTTCCCTGACTATACATCCTGTTACAGGTCAACAAGAAAACCGCAAGAATCGAATTCAAAGTTAGATCTTTGTTATATAACCTTTTTACTCTCCCTTTTTTTTTACACCAATCTGATCTTGAATGGTGAAGAGAAGATCATCATCATCTCGCAATTTGATGCCCTTTGCTACAACATTGATCTCTAGCCCTTGCCCCGCGGGACGATTCTGCTGCAAAATCTCCTGGTACCACCATTGCTCTGGCCTCGACCCCTGACCCAAAATTGTAGCTGAAAGGTACAATTTTTTTTTTCCTCGCTTTACTTTGGTTGTATGATGGAGGAGCTGAAGAGGAACGTGAAGGAGAGGGTGATGGCTGGAGAAAGAAAGCATCTGAACAGGTTGCTGGGTAATGTTAGCGAATGTAGTAATAGGAGGAAGAACAACAGCAGGTTCTTGATTAGCGTCACGGTCCCTGGTAGCTTCGGGCCGATACGGTTTCTTGCGAACCACGACGACACCGTGCTGGCCGTAATCCGCGGCGCCCTGAAGCGTTACGCTCGAGAAGGCCGGTTCCCTGCCATTGGTTCCAACGCCCATGACTTCCTTCTCTACCGCGCCTACACTGGTTTCGATGGTACGTAAGATATCGAATTATCGATTCGATCGATCGATTTAATTGAATTGAATTGATTTGTCTTTTCTGTTCTAGGCTGATAAGTTGGTTGCTTGTGCAGCACTGAATCCGGGGGAAGATATCGGAGAGTGTGGGGGGTGGGATTTCTTGCTGTGCAAGAAACAGTGGCCGGAGATGGGGAAGGTTGAAATAGTTGGTGAAGGCAGGGGAGGAGGTAGTAATTGTTGTAAGGAGTGGATGTTTCATTCGTTGATTAGGAAGATCTGGAAGGTTCCGACCGCGACGAGCCGCGTCGGGATGCAGGAGGAGGAAGCTGTTGCTGCTGGTGGTGGTGGTGGTTCGACAGCTTTGCTGATGAAGATGGTGACTGATCCTGCAGCCTGGATCCAGGCTAATGGAGTTGATCAGAAGCACTGCAATTCCCCTGCCCAAGTTTGGTCCTAGATTGCTGAGGGTTGTGTCTTAGGTCACAGCTTAAACATTAATTGATTCATGTATTATTTTATATCCATTAAGGGTTCTCGTTATGTGACAGTAGTGTGCATAACCTGAATGCATTCTTTCCTAATGCCCACTGGGTTTAGGTTTACTGATCTTATTAACTTGATCAATCGGAGATTACTTATTCATTGTAGCTATACCAATAATACCAATAAATAATTTGTATTATTAATACTTCCCCCAACGCTGTTTAGAGAATAGAAAGGACAGGATTAGCTATGAACATGAAAACATTACCTAGCAGGTAAAATCAATTTTGCATATTCCTTCAATCTGTTCGTATATATTGATAGCTTTAATATTTGATTAAACTAGCACAAAAGCTCACGCTGCGCGCGGAGGGAACCGATAAGGTCAGTAACTCTATGATTAGTAACCATGGGTACCCTGTCCATATCAGCATGACATTAGTATTCTCTATCTCCTGAAAAGTATTTTATCTTTTCTCATTTAATTTTTAACGGACGATTTCTCTCTCGTTTTAAGTCGAAATTTAATTTTTTTTCACAGATAAATCAGATTAAATGTGCTCTTTAAAATGATATCCACTTTGATATATTTTTAGTACAAAAAAATTGAATAATTTTTTACCAGTCACTACCATATGGTATGCTCCTATTTAATACCATATGGTAAGAAAGCGTACCATGATGGTATGAGCATACCAATATGGTAAGAAGGTTGAATACATGATAGTAGGAGTATACTAACTATCATTTACGACTTTCATCATTGTTTACTACAAGTTACCACCCACACACCATAGTGGATAAGTATGGTAATTTTTTATCCACTATTTTTTTCACCCAGAAATTTATAGATTCAATAGATCATAATGAACTCGTTCCTTTTGAGCAAACGTTTTCAAAAACGACTTAAAAACGAAGAAGTTATTATATGGTATGTAGTTGGTAAAAAGAAAGTTTCTCGAAATATATTGAAAATTGATCTCATTTTGTAGAGCACAACGAACTCGTTCCATCTGTGCAAAAAAATTTGAAATCCGAGTTAGAACGAAGAAGATAAGAGTCGATTAAGAAAACTAGGGAAAAATAAAATATCTTTAATTGACAACCCTTAGATCTGAATTTTCTGGACCCACTAAGATCTAAAGGTACATATTTAGTTACTCATAGGTCAGTAACCACCCTATCCTAAGCCGCGCACGGCAGGTCGTAAATTTTAGTGATTCGAGATTATAAATAGATAGTTAACCTTATAAAGAGTGACATTATCGATTTTTCACGTAATAGTTTAAAACACTCTTTGTTATGTCATCTCACAATAAAAATATGTTTTCAAAAGGTATAGAGAGTAAGTTTTTTTTTTGACAAGTTATACCATGAACTTGACATTGTTTTTTTAACAAAATTCACACCCGATCCTACCACCAATCACAAAAGTTGGTAAAATTCGCTCTCAACCCAAAACTAATCAATTCTACCCGCTTTGACCAAATTTGATTTGGTTGTGTCTATTTAAATTATATATTACCATAAAGACTTATAATATACATATATTTCTAATAATTAGTGTTTACCCAAATAAATATATCTTTGTAAAATCACATTGTTTTGTTCTTTGGGTGCGGGTCGAATGGAAAACGGGTCGAGGTTTAACAAAATCAGCACCTTAGCCAACCTGCCAAATACAAAAGCAGTTAACACTAGGTCTTGACCCAAAACACATCAACATCATATTCAACCCGCTTTGTTCGGTTTGATTTTTGTGTGTGTCAGATGGAAAGCTGGTCGAGTTTTAAGAAATTCACACCCGACTCAACCCACCAACTACAAATCAAAAGTATATAAAACTCGCTTTAGTAGCTCTTAAGTGGATGGCGGATGACTCAACCCTCGTAGCTCTTAAGTGGTACATTGGCCCTGCTTTGACCTGAAAATGCACAAAACACTGCTAGAAGCATAGTTTGATAACAAAAACAATCTGAAACACGCTTTGAGCATTCACATATAGCAAATCCAAAGTATATAATGCTAAAGATGGGAAATCAATGCACTAGAATGGCAAAGCCCATCATCTATCTCAGCACGTTGGCTCACATTGCCTTTTGATCATAATACGAGGATATAAAATACCGTATTTCACGTGTTATTAACCAGGTTCAACTTGCTTTGATTGGGTTGAATTGATTTTGTAACAAATTCACATTCGGCAAAGCCCATCATCTATCTCAGCACGTTGGCTCACATTGCCTTTTGATCATAATACGAGGATATAAAATACCGTATTTCACGTGTTATTAACCAGGTTCAACTTGCTTTGATTGGGTTGAATTGATTTTGTAACAAATTCACATTCGACCCAACGTGCCAATTAGAAAAGCAGATAAAACTTGCTCCAACCCAAAACTCGTCAATATTTAGTTCAAGTCGTTTTGATCAGGTTGAATTAGGTTGGATACCTATTGGCAAAAATCCACTTCTTTATTAGGTTTTTCTCGTCTAACAACCGATAATTTATTGTTTTCAAGAATAAATCTACCATATCTTTCTTATTTTTTTATAGTGTATTTTTAACAAAAACAATACAATTCTCAATCATGTTTTTCTTCACATGTACAATAGTTTGTCCATAGTTTTATGTGAGGTGCTATATACAGCCTGCTCGGTCAGATTACTTGGCATGGTGACATATTATGCACACCTTCATATAGATAAATCTACATGTTAACTATAGATAATGCTATTATCGCTCCAACTAACTAAAATGAATATCACGATCACAGTTTCGAAACAACACTACACTCTATTTTACTCAACTTCAACCACTCTTCTCTACATATCATAATTGCACTTTTAACTAACCAACATGTTTAAAAACAAAAAAAAAACATGTCTCTCTCATCCCTCTTTCTAACGGAACTTTTCTCTGAACCCAACGGTTCCTTTTCCGTCCCCAGTGCTGGGACTTTTCCAGCTCTTACTGAGAGCAAACAGAAGATCAATAAAGCAAATGGGAAAGATCATCCTAGCATTAATGGAGTACAAGCAGAAGGAATAGACAGAAGTGCAGCAGGAAAAAAGAGACTGAAGAAGAGTGGACAAGGCAGGGGAAGCTTTGCAATAACTATAAGGAAAGGATGGATTTGGAAGCCACCAGACTGGAGATTGGCTCTTCCGAGTCAGATCGAACAGAGGGGAAGGGAGGTACGAACGAACAGGAGAGTGAGGAGGGTACAGCCTGTAACCTACAAAACCGATTTGGGACAGAGTGAAGAGAACATTGAGCCAAGAGCTGCTGTTGGGGAAGACAGAACAGGGGAAGATTTAGTCAACAGAGGCTTTATGAAGCTCTTGAAAAGAAGGATTGCTACCCAGATTCGGGGGGAGTAAATGCTACCACACTTAGAGGAAGAGCTTATAAGAAGGAAGAAAGCAGAAAGAAGGAAATCCCTACCCCTGTTCCTGCAGAAAGAAAGCCTCTCCTCCTCTTACAAACTCTGCTCACCCCCAAAAATCTCCCAACTTCTAGAATCCACAAAAAACAGGGCAAAAGAATCAGGATGGACATCAATGACCTGACCGAGAGGGCTGGCCGTCTGAGCACCGAACGCAGCAGCTCCTTTGCAACAGGAGGAAGAGGCTCTCGCCCACAACTCACTACAAACAATGGCAGGGGAATTTCAATGCTTCTGGGGAGGATGCTCACTGAGAACAAGGTAGCACTGGCAAAAGCTTCAGGGGCGGCTAGATATGCCTGGGGGAAATTCGGGGAAGTGGGAGTGCAGCCAACTCAAGCACAAAATCTGTTCATCTTTACCTTCAAATATGCCAAGATCCGGGAGAAAATCTGGCTGGAAAGACCATGGAGTCTATCCCACACTATGACGGCTTTGTCAAAGTATGAGGGCAGAGGAGATCCGGAAGCAGTGCCCATGAACAAACTTGCGGTTTGGGTGCAGATTCATGGTCTCCACCAGAGTCAGAGAAGTGAGCAGAATGTAATCTCAATAGGGACTTTCTACTTCAGCAAGTTCATTGACATGGATAGAGCCAGCCTCCATTTCCACGGCTACATAAGATTCATCCGGATGCTGGTCGAGCTCGAGGTTAGTGAACCAGTCCCGACGGGCTTCGACTTTCCCTCCACGGATGAAGTAACTGGTCGAGAATACTGTGAAGTGATCACGTTTAAATATGAGAGACTTGTCGAACTTTGCTATTTCTGTGGGAGAATCGGTCACAACTGGCCGACATGTGCAAGAATGAAAGAAGAGAGGAAGAAGGGAGGTCAGGTCAAGCTCTCGGACGTCTACACCTCTGAGCTGAAGGCAGGGATCGAATCCCCCTACAAATCAAGTGGTAGCAGAAGCAGGATTGAAGAAGAGCCTTGGTGTTCATCCACCGACCCTGAAGCTTGGAGGGACCATTACAGCTCGGGGGGATTAATCGATGGCAGAGAGACAATGGTGGCGGCAGATTTCACTTCGGCAAGACGAGAAGAAGAAGTGCATCCCCAAGTCCCACCGGGATTCACTGTTAGCCGGCTGGAGGAGGAAGCAAGGGCGGAGGAAGGGAATAATAGGTGGAGGATGAAGGGGAAATATAGGGAGGAAATGGGGGCAAGGAATTTGGAACTGGATTTGGAGGAGGCATCGGCGGCAATGCAGGGGAGCCTTTGTCTCGACGGAGGGGAGGAGATGCAGCGGCAGGCAGGAGGATAATGATGGGAGCCCAGCTGTCACTTGGGCCGGGAAACCCTAACCCACAGGCCGGCCCACGATCTGACCTGGAGCCCAGGCCAATCAGCACTCAGGCCCAGAGCCTATACTAGCACATTCAAGGGGAGCTGGAAGGAGATATGGGCCGAAATTATAAAAAAAGAAAGGGCCAATCTGTTCAAAGCCCAGGAGAAACGGGCCAGAGGGTTAATGAAGGGTCTGGTTTTAATTTGAGCCCATCTAGCTTTATTTTTGCAGGAGGAGTGAAAGGAAGGAGTAAGAAGAAGAAGCACCAAAGAAACAAGGCTCAATAGACAAGTGAAGACATAGGGGAGGGAGAGGAAAGCGACACAAGGGCAGCGGTGGTTCGCCAAAAGCCACCTCACGATCCATGAGTATTGTTAGTTGGAATTGTAGGGGATTTGGCCAATCCCTTACGAGAAGTTATGCTAAGCGTCTTATTCGACGTCATGGCCCTTCTATTGTCTTCCTTATGGAAACCAGCAACAACGTAGAATTCATGGAAGAACATAGGAGAAGTCTTAGGGTTTTCCCCAATAAAGAGTATGTCGAACCGATCAACTCTTCTAGGGGCTTCGCTTTATGGTGGAAGGAAGGGATTAGTATTAATGTAATCAGTAGTGATAAGTATTATATGGATGTTAGCATCGACATGGGGAAGAAATTCTTCTGTACTTTTGTCCATGCCCCGACTACGGTTGTTGGTAGAAGGGAGTTTTGGGAGCACTTAAGCTCTCTTCGGAGTAGTAGAGATGATAGTTGGGTCATCGTAGGGGATTTTAATGCTGCTATTTATGAATATGAAAAAGAAGGGAGGTGCCCGCTTAGGTACGAGAATGTGGAACCTTTCAAAAGGTTCATTTTTGACAATGCCCTCATTGACATTGGTTTTAAAGGCAACCCTTTCACCTGGTCCAATAAACGCTCTAGCCCAAATCTGGTTAGAGTTAGATTGGACTGAGTGCTGTGCTCGCCATCTTGGAGAGTGATGTTTGGAGAAGCGGTTGTATTCCATGAAAAGATGGTGGCCTCTGACCATAGCCCAATCAGAATTGAATTCCACTATCAAGGTAACAGAAGAAGAAGAACACCGTTCAGAGTGGACGAGAGATGGCTGGAAAAGAGGAATGCAAAGAGATTGTCTTTAGGGAGTGGGATCCAGGAGGGCCATCTAGTAATCAGTTAGACAAATGCGAGAGAGAACTGAAGGCATGGGCGAAAGATTTCCATAAGAATAGTATTCTTAGGGAGAGTGAAATCGGGTCCAGACTTGAGATTCTCCAGCAACCACCGCGTACAACAGAAAATGTGGAGGAGGAGAAGATCCTTACGGCAGAATTGACCAGAATTTGGCTTGAGGAGGAAGCATTTTGGAGTCAGTGCTCTAGAGTTTTTTGGCTTCAAAAAGGGGATCAAAACACGTCCTTCTTCCATTCTAGAACTATTCACAGAAAGCATAGAAACAGAATCCTTCGCCTTAAAGATGAGGTGGGAAATTGGATAGAGGATGAGACAGGGCTGAAGGGTTTGTCGGTTGGGTTCTTCAAAGAACTTTTCAAGGCTAGAGATACCACTGAGTTTACCCATCTCCTTCAGGGATTCCCAGCGATGGTAACAGGAGAAATGAATGAGGGCCTTTGTGCTGCGGTGACTAGGGAAGAGATTAGGAGAGCAGTGTTCTCTCTTGGAGCGAGAAAGGCACCGGGCCCAGATGGGTTTTCGGGTAAATTCTACAGAAGATATTGGGATAAGGTGGGTGAAACCCTCTGTAGAGAAGTTGAGGATTTCTTTGAATCAGCTAGCATGCCTGAAGGGTGGAATGATACGCACATCGTGATGGTACCAAAGGTGGACCACCCAGAGACAATTGGCCAGTTTCGACCCATCAGCTGCTGTAACTTCAGGTACAAAATCATCTCTAAGATTATGGCTACTCGACTGAAGAAATGGACACCCGTATTGGTCTCTGAGCTCCAGACAGCATTCATTGGCGGTCGCCTCATCCAAGATAATATCATTATCGTTCATGAAGCTCTTCACCATTTCAAGAATCATAAGCTCGGCAATAGAAGAGATATGATGATGAAGTTGGATATGAAAAAGGCTTATGACATGGTGGAGTGGGAATGTCTGGAGACCCTCCTTAGGCGATATGGGTTCGAGGAGAGATGGTGCAAATGGGTCAGCGCTTGTATTCGTACTGTTAGATTCTCGGTTCTGTTCAATGGAGAAGCCTCAGAGAGCTTCAGTCCCTCGAGAGGCATTAGACAAGGAGACCCTCTTTCCCCTTTCCTCTTCATCCTTATGTCTAATGCCCTCACGTTCCTGGTTGATAAAGCAGTAATGGAAGAACGAATCAAGGGAATTAAACTCAACGCGAGATGCCCTACTCTCACTCACTGTCTTTTTGCAGATGACACGGTCATATTTGGGAAAGCTAACACACAGGAGGCTGGAAAAATTTTGGAGGTCATCAACGACTATGGGGCAGTGACAGGTCAAGAAGTCAACGTACATAAATCCTCTATTTTCTTCAGCGCGAATGTTCCAGCGGGAGAGAAGAATGATATCATCAATCACATTGGATTTGCATCCTCCAACTGCCATTCTAAGTATCTTGGAGTTCCAACAGAATGGGGAAATTCAAAGAAGGAAACATTCTACTTCCTTATCCAAAGGATGGAAAAGATGGGGGGAGCATGGAAGAGCCTACTTCTTTCACATGGAGGAAAGGAAGTCCTGCTAAAGTCGGTTATCCAGGCCATCCCTACCTTCATCATGTGCCTATTCCTTCTACCAGTTTCCCTGACGAAGAAGATGGATTCTCTCCTTAGCAATTTTTTCTGGTCAGGGTCGATGCAGAAAAGCAACCTCCACTGGTGCAGGAAGGAGGTTCTGTGTTCCCCAAAATCAGAGGGAGGCTTGGGATTCAGAAGCTTCAGAGATTTCAATCTGGCCCTGCTGGCCAAACAAGCCTGGAGGCTTATGAACAACACTGATACACTCTGGAGCCGACTCATCAAAGGACTTTATTTCCCTAGAGGCAATTTTCTATCGGCTAAAAAAGGAAGCAAACCATCTTGGATCTGGGCGAGTCTTTGGGAGTCTAAAAAGGTCATTGATCTAGGAGCCATTAAAGTTATTGGATCCGGTGATGATACATGGATTGATCAAGATCCGTGGGTTCCATTCCTTCCCAGAGCATGCATCCAGAGTGGTCCACAAAATCATGCAAGAGTGAGTACCTGGATTGATCCTGAAAGCAGAAAATGGAAGGATGAGTTTATTCAGGGACATGTCTCCCCTTCAGAAAGAGATGCTATTTTGAGAGTTCCGATTGGGGAGGAGGAAGCTAAGGATTTCTGGGCGTGGAGATTTAATGAAGATGGAAAGTTTACGGTCAAGACAGCGTATCATGCGGTTCACTCGTCAGTAACGGATCCCCATACGATGGACAATGTGGAGAAATGGAAATGGGTGTGGAGTCTGAATATCCCGCCTAAGCTCAAATTCTTTGTCTGGAGATGTGCTAGGAACGGACTGGCAACAAAAGAGAGACTCATGCATAGGAAATGCTCCCCAAACGCCACTTGCCAGGTGTGCCAATGGCCGATTGAGTCCCTTTTCCACTGCCTCTTTCAATGTCCCCATGCGAGGGAATCATGGGAAGTTATCTTCCCAAACATCCCGCTGCCAACTCAGTATACTGCTTTCCTTGACTGGTTGTACCTCCTCAAGGGCTCTATCCAACCAGGAGCCCTCACTCATGTTATTTTCCTCTGCTGGAATATCTGGAAGGCTAGGAATGAGTGTGTGTTCAAGAATCGGATCCCTTGGCATCCGAACGTTATTTTGCGAACTTACAAGGAATTCACGGAATGGACTAATTGCCCGAGGAGTCCCCCCAATGACTCTCCTTCTACTCAGCTCAGGGGAGCCCAATCACTCAATTCTCCACCGCAAGCAATCACAATTTTGTGATTCACTGTGATGGGTCGTTTTTAAACGACTCCCAGCCGGCGGCATATGGTGTTGTGGTCACTAACCACCATGGACAAGTGTGTGATGGGCGAGCTGACATTCTCCTTTGTTCCACCCCACTCGAAGCCGAAGCAAAAGCACTTCTGGAAGGTCTCAAATTAGCCCAAGAATATGGATCTGAATGTATTGTCCAGTCAGACTGCCAGCTGATTGTCAAAGCTCTCTCGGAGGAGCCAAGAAATTGGCCTTGGCGAGGTGCGGCATGGATTGGATCAATGGTCTCAATCCTAAGAACGAATCCTCAAGTGAAGGTCAAGGCAGTTTCACGAGCTTGTAATGTTAGAGCTGATTGGGTTGCACGATCACTTGCTAGATCCTCCCTACCTGATGACTGGATTAGTATTCTTGACCTAATTTCGGATTTCCTTTGATTAAGTGTAATCTCGCTTTTTTCGAGTTGGAAGTGGAATAAAAGGTGAAAGTTTATTGTCAAAAAAAAAACTAACCAACATGATAACAAACAGAAGAAGAAGAAGAAAAAAAATTGATAGCATAGAGAAGCTAAAACCTTCTTCACCAAGTAACGTGTGAACTTGGCATTCAAAACAAAGCCCCCACACACACACAAACAGTCGGATTGCTGCAGTTGGGAATTGAAAGATTGGACAACGTCTTCTGAAATGGGCCACAGACATCGATACACAACAACGTCGATTGATTTCTTATTAAAAAGCTTTTTTTCTCCTTTGGAAGCTTCAAATTTGGCCATATTCTTGCCAATTCGGACTTGAATTGTTCGAAAGAGACATCCCCCCCTCTATTCCCTGCCCGCATACAACCTCTCAGATAACTTCAAAGCCAGCCACCTTTGTCCATTAGCTGGGAGATTGAGCACCAAAAGACGCTATCAAAAACCGGCAACAATATAATCTGCCGCCTGCAGGAGATCCAAAGCCTTCATATATTCTTCGCATGATGTCATGGCGAGAAAACGAGAAACCCAAAGCTCCAAAAAGAAGCGAGAGCAAAGACGGCCAATAATTTGGCACCTCTCTCCTCAGTCGTCGATTTTACCGATTCTGCAATTGCAATCTCTCACACGGTTCTTAAGCTGATTGGCCCATCCCCAAGCTTTTGCATTTTCGTCCCTGCACTTGGTCCAAGGCTCCTAGGCCCTAGCCGACTCTTTCCAATATCATTTCCATCCCTACATTTGGTCAAGAGAGTAAGCAAGTGCAAAAGGTTTTCTTGGCTTCCCTTTTTAAGGTAAATGACTAAGTATAGGAATTCTAACGGATCATCAATTTGATCCTATTGTTTTATTTTGAAATAATTTGATCAAATTTGATCCGTTTGACGGTATAAATTTTAGATGAAGCAATTTTATTTGGAAATTTTTATATTGATTCGTTTTGAGGCAATTACAATTGTCTGGGGTGGGAGCATACAATTCAAATTGACTCGTTTTAAATGACTCGTTTTGCAAAATCAGACACTTGGTCAGATTATCTCGTTTTTCCAATTGATCCATCCAAACGACCACTTTATGCAATGTTTTCCTGGATAACTCAAAGCTAAGTGATCATTTACGAGTAGTACTAGCTGCTAATGATGTTCGTGGTAGCATTTGAGATAAGTAAGTGGGGTTCATTTCAGCCAGTTCACGATGATTTACATGTTTTATATTGTCGTATTGTAAGATATCGTCATTCGTAGATATAAAAACTACAATACGTACATTTTTTTAGAAAGCGAATGTTTATTTTTTTTACACGAGTCGAAGCCTAGAAAAGTATAAAATCTCCTTGTACAAGTTGCGTGAACCAAAACACAAATTAACCGAATAGAGTGGTTAATCGTACCTTCCTATCAAAATTACGAAAAAAATATACGTAAAATTATCCTACAACAAATCTCTCGCATTGATCAGAAAAATTAGAGCCCTAAATCATTACATAGACCTCCAATGCATTATTCAGTCTCATGTAAATTACATCACAACCATCAAAATACTATTAAAAAAGGTCCTAGCAACAACTATTAAGCTGGCCAAAAAATCCAGCTAGCATCAAGAACAGAACAAGCTCTCACAGTCTCACAAGTCACAACCCAAGCCTGACATTCTGTACAAGCACTAGACATTCGTCTTTAAAACGATTCTTCATGTAAGCTAAAACTCGCCGGGAAAACTCGCTTCCCCGCCGGTGAAACGACGTCACGAGATGACGCAAGAGTTGGGGTCTTCCTCCGCAGGCCGGGCGTAGTAATAAGTTGTCATGGGCGGCGGAGGGTAGTATTCGTTTCTGTAGGCATGATAGTTCACCATCCCGTAGGGAATCTCCCTGACCGCCGGCGGGGGCGGGGCCTCTTTGGAATTCCCGCCGCCGGACGGCGGCCCATCTTTCTTCTTCCCCTGATCGGCAGCATCTTTCTTCGGCTGCTGCTGCTGCTGCTGATTGTCGCCCTTGCCCTTACCCTGGTCGTCTTTCTTCTGCTGCCCGCCTCCCCCGCCGCCGCCTTCTCCCTGCGGCTTCTTCTCCGGTGGTTTCGGCTCCGTCGCCGGCCCCACGGTGACGATCTCCGTCCGGCGGAACGACTTCCTCAGCTTGCTCACCACGTTGACCGGGTCAATGTCCCCTGTTACCGTCAGCTTCCTCTCCTTCATGTCCGTCACGATTGAGTCCACCCCTGCAATAATCAATCACTGATCCAAATTAATTATCACACCCATAATTATTGTCTTCAAAACTAATTACCATATCTGATCCAGACTGATGCTTAAATAATACCCGCCTCTTGATATGACTTAACTCTAATCATATGCATACTTTTGTATGCGATCAAATTATCGATGAAAGAGTCTCTAATGTCACTATATGAACAACTCTGAAAAAATTTCAAGAAACACAACAAATGTTATGACGACTCTAATAATGAAAAATGACACGATAAATATTCAAAAAAAAAAAACATAAAAGGAAAACAACCTCTTCTATGATCGCTCCAGCCAGCGAAAAAAATTAACTAGTATGGATCAGATTCGAATTTCGGACTAATGACTATCTAAAAAATAAAAGAAATTTGAAATTGACATCGCGCGATCCTGAAATTTCTATCATAATAAACAAGGAATTTGGGATTGATCTGTACCTGAAAGGCTAGAGACGATCTTCATGGCCTTCTGCTTGTCCTTGTCGTCGTGCATATCCAATTTCAACACTAATTTCTGAAACAGAGTCGAGATCGTGTTAAAAAAGAAAGTACAGAAACTGAAAGGGGAAACCCACAAATTTGATCACAGCCATGGATTTGCTTTAGCAATCAGCCAGCTTTGAAAAGGGAATATTCAAGCCTAGAAAGAGTGGAAATTGAAAGAGTAGCTAGAGAGTAATTAAAGAACACCCGACCTTCATAATTCTGAACTGCTATCTGGATCTGAAGGGAAGGGAATTAAAATTGACGGCAGATCGAGGGCACAATATTCTTGCAGATTTATGTCAGAAACTGTTGCAAATTGAAGAGATGTATGGAGAGATTTATAGAGAGAGAAAGAGAAGCAGAAGAGAGATGGGAAAAGGGTCAACTCAACTCCTCAAGGTTAATGGAATATATCGTCAAGAGGGGAGAAGGGGCGGGCGGTTGACGACAAACACACAACATTATCATCCCATCGCCATTTCCAACCTGTGTTAATCTCTTTGAAAACAACGTTTTACCACTATTTTAATTGCGGGGATTTTCACATTGCGTATTGGGGAAATAATCAAGGATTAAGGTGCGGTTAAACTCGGATCTTCAGCAGAGGAGGCTGTTTTGGGGGGTTTTTCCTTTTTGTCCCTTTGCTCTAGTCGTCTTTTTACAGAGGTTAAAAGCTAGCTTAGATGTACACTATAACTATAGTACTACTGTTCGTTAACACGTGGTAACTTGGTTTCATCACATTCTCTTATAATTGCGTACATCAATATATAAAAGTGGTTAATTTTTGAACTTTGATGCTAGTGGTCGGGCACTATCCTTAAGCAAGATGGCTTGCCTGCTTGTATCTTGTGGTTCATGTTTCATCTAGTTGGCCTTTTGGGTTTGGACTTCATTCACAGGGTGTTGTGAGGTTCGCGGAAGATTCAAATTGTTGTTTTAAGTTTTAACGGTTATTTGTATCGTCATTTTGATTTTATTATTGTTTATTTTAGATCGACAAAGGGTTGTTGGTGAAGAGTGATTTTGGTGCATGTATTTAACCGTCATCTCAATATTTATGAATAGTTGAATACACAACAAATTTATGAGGTGAACTATTTGGGGTAATAGAAAAAAACTTTATTTTTCGTCACTCAAGAGATTCGAACCTGGACCTAATAGGAAACGAGCTAAGAATTTAAGTGTCATCGTTTCGTTCAAGACTAAAAGGGATTCATGCATCATGTGTACTCCACGTGTCACATAGCTCTACCAATATAGAAGTCTTTATTTATTTCACAATAAAATAAATTAACCTGAGCTCTGTATATTGTTGTAATGTTCTCTCATGTTAATTTCTGTTGTAACCACATATGATATGAGAGTTTAATTTTGAGAGCAACCAACACTTTATTAATACAAATCCAAAGTCATTCATAAAAGAGTCAATAAAATAAATTTGGGACCTCCTACGGTAACTTGGGTATAATTTCAAGTTAGGTAACTTGTATAGATCTAAACCGTTAAAATCGATCAAACTTAATGTAAATCATTGATTAAAGAAATAAAAAAATAAGTAAATAATTAATGGCAACAAGGGTTGCCCGTCACCACATTCTCAATTTACCTATTTTATTTTTTTCTTCCTTTTTCACATTTAGTTGGGTTTCTTATTTTATCTTTTCCTTTTTTTTTAATTCTTATGGAATTAGAAGCGTTACGTAAGGCTTCCGTAATAACTTAGCTCTTTACGTAACACAACGTTAATACTCATTACGTAAAATGGCCTTTCATTATGTAAAGCTTCCGAAATGACATTTTACAACAGTTACGTAAATACACATTCATTACGTAAAGGTTACGATACCATAGTTATTTCTTACGTAACAGTTAAATCGAAAGCGTTACGTAAGGGTTTCTTAATGACTTAGTACTTTACGTAACGCGAGATTAATACTCATTACGTAAAAAGACCTTCAATTACGTAAAGGTTACGAAACGACAGCTATTTCTTACTTAACAGTTAAATCAGTAGCGTTACGTAAGGCTTCCGTAATGACTTAGCATTTTACGTAATGCGAGGTTAATGCTCATTACGTAAAGACGCTTTCTATTACGTAAGACTTCCGTAATGATATTTTACAACTGTTACGTAAGATTACCATATGTTACATAACCATTACGTAATGCTTATTGTATTTTACGTAATGCGACCTGTGAAACCTGCTATAGCAGGTAAAAAATTCAAGTTACCTTACTTCAAGTTACTGTCGGAAATCCCAATAAATTGATGTCACCATTATCAAAAACACATCCATAGTTTAGAGAAAATGTACTAACGATAAAAGTATGATTAGCTTCTATGTAATTATAATTAGTTAGGTACCACAATTTAGTTAATTCCATTGGAAACCCCCATTTACTGTTACTTATTTGCCGTCTTTAAGGTCACAATCTGTTTGTGCTTGGATTGTTCCAAGCGGTTTGTGAGACTCTACTCGCCTTGGGCGGCTTTGATGGTCGGGGGCGGTCTCCGAACCCTGCAGAAAGGTCCTCAGGGGGATCCTGGGACCTCCTCCGATGCTTAAGTTAGAGAGAGAAGTGAAGTGAAAGTAAATAAGAGAGAGAAAGGAGTTGGTTGAAGTTACCATAAATGTGACCCTATGAGGGGTATTTATACTAGTTTAGAGTGAGTTATGTGCATTTAATGTCGTGTCGGGCGGTCTATGGCGCCTCTGGCTTTTCCAACGTCCCTCGTCAGACTTCGTACGATAAAGCCAGATTGTCGGGCGGCCCTTTACCTGAGGCAAGGTTCCCTGTCGGGCGGTCTTCTCGCAACGTGATGATCAGGACCGCCCTTGGCTGTTTTCTTCTGTTTTGGGCCTTTCCGGTTCCTACGTGGACTTTGAATGCAATTGGGCCTTCGGGCCTTGTGGCTTAGTGCCCGGCCTAACACAATCAATACCTTCCATTAAAAACAAAGTCACAATCAGCAGTGCACCACTCTATTTCTACTTTTAATAATCCCAAAGTTGATTTATTTGTGTAGGAAAACATTTTTGCACCACGCTTGACAAAAAAAAGAGTCATTATTTGCATGTTAAAAAACACATTAAATCTGCACTGCATTCTTATAATTAAAAAGATATAAATATGTATGGAAATTGAACTATTTGAAACGTTGTCTTATATAGATCATAATCACGGAACCAAAAAAATATATAGATCATAATCACGTACAAGAAAGTGCAACCTTTTGATATTGGGTTTGGGCCATCACTCATCAGTCATCAAGCACTGAATGACTGTTTTGTTGCCCCCCAGAAGGCAGCAACACGACGCAAGCTGCTAGGTAGTGTGAGTTGGGCATTTCAAATACGACGTCGTCTCGTGTCCTTAATTTCCTCACGCACTTTTCCAGCAGTGGCACTTGCCCTTTTTGCCTGGACAAAGAAAAGGCAACAAAAAAGGTTACTTCCACTTTCCTGGAAACAGCACGGCAGCAAGTCGTATTTTTATGGTGGGTTGGCCACTTTAACTCTTGGCCTCTTGTTGCCTTGCGTACTACTACGTAGTTATGTCAATAGTTTTATAGCCCCATTGGTCAAGCTGTTGAATCGCTCATCACTACGAAAGTGGCCAACTCATCTCGAAAACCGTGGATTCGTCCACCTTTTGATTATTCTAGTCTTGCCGTCCCCATGTTCACGTGGCGAGATGCGAGATATCTCCTCGCATTGCAACCTGTGACAGAAAGGTAAAAAAAAAAAATAGTAAAACTCTCACGGAAGATTGAGAATCTGCGGCTTTGAAATCCACTCTCTATGGAAAATGGAAACAAGCAAAACGGAAATTGAGAGCTCCTGGCTCGTGTTTCGGTGTTTTTCTGCGGCCGATTCTCCATCGGCTACGGCGGAGCTGCGTTGTCGCCGGCATATGGAAGCGCGGATGGAGACCGACGAAAGGCGTCGGCACTCTGAACCAGGAAAAGTACAAAATAAAACTGAAAATACAAAGGACGAAACCGGGGCTAATCTCGTAATTCCATCGTTCGGACGGAAACCCGTCTAAATCTAGTCTTTTATACTTCAGTTGGGCTGCCCCTTTTATATAGGCCCATGGGCCGTTTTAGAGGTAACCCATAAAGGGGGGAAAAACTAAAATCCAACGCGAGAAAAAATGACGATAAAGTAAATTTCAATATAATTCGTGATAAGTAAAAGTATGGCGGTAATATTGCGATATTGCCGTGATATTTCCAGTGTTACGGAAATGACAAAATAATCCACAAAAACAAAATGCACCAATTTTTTTTTTAATATAAGAAATTAAATCTGAGGTCATCGTCGCTTCGCTAACGGAGAAACTAAAAAAAAAAAGAAATAAAATACTGTAATTCCGGTAACTATCAGTTTAGTTACAGCCTCCACACCCGGAAAAGCCACCATTATTTACATAACCTTTGGCAGCCCTTCCAAGATCAGACTCTGCGCTTACGTAATTGAACTCCAACCCAATTTAACAAATGACGCAAGAATTTGGATCGTCGCCGACGACTTGCGCGGCGCCGCCGTACTGGTGGTAAGGGTAATTGCCGTACCCCTTTTGCTGTTGATAAGGGTAATGATTGTAATAGTAACCGCCGTTGACTTGGGGAGGGTAGTAGGAGATGACAGGAGGTGGAGGCGCCTCAGGGTTCTTTTTGTCTTTTCCGTCGTCTGCTTTCTTTGCCGCCGGCGCCGGCTCTTCCTTCTTCTTCTCCGGCTGCTTCGGCGGTCCCACCGACACCACCTCCGTCGGGAACAGCTTCCTCAGCTTGCTCACGATTTCCACCGGATCCACGTTTCCCACCACCGTCATCTTCATGTCTTTCATGTCCATCGACACCGAGTCGACCCCGGAAATCCCGGTGACTCTCTTCATCGCTCTCTGCTTGTCTCTGTCGTCGTGCAGATCCAGTTTAAGAACCACAACCTGTTCAAACAAGTAGGTCTTGATCAGAAAACATCAATTAAGCACTCATTAATTATCTACAGCATAATTAATCTAAGACAGAAACAGGGTAATTAACAGTACCTTCATTTTTTCCCGTTTTGCCGGAAAACAGAGGAGTGAGCTTCAGAGGAGGGATGGAATCGAGCTAGGCGAGATGTGGAGAAGTTTGAGAGATTGGTGTCAACTGTTAAGAGCTTGAATGACAGGTTTGATGGGTGAAGCTTCTGGTGTGCTGGTTTTTATAAGGGGGGGAATGGGTTGCGATAAGTCAATGGAAGTCATTGCCATGGCTTCCTGGCGGCTGCATCAGTCCGTGGACAATAAGGAATATACAGTGATGACTGATGATTAATTAAAAAGGGAAAGAAGGTTAGAGCCTAGAGGTGGGTGGTGCGTCCTTTGGCCTGTTTGAAAAATACGACGCGTTTTCTACGCTCAACTAGTGGAGCTAAGCTATTTCGCGACTTCTACACTATGTTTTCGAAGGAAAGGAGGAAAAAGAGGGGAGGTGAAGGAAAATTAGGAGGGGAGGGGAGATTTGGAGGTGAAGGAAATTGAAAGGAAAATGTTGTTTTATGGAGGAAAGTGGGAAAGAAAGTGTGTATTGAAAAGTGTGATGAATATATTATTTTATTGGTTATGTAAATGTAAAGAAAAAGAAAAATTGAGATGAAAAAAAGTATATTGAGAAATATGATAAGTATGTTATTGTATTGTGTAATGTAATACTAAAATAATATAATTGTGTGTTTTATTATTTCAAATAATTATCGATTATTAATTAAATTTGTTATTAATACTTGCTAATTTGTTCACCATTACAAATCTAAAATAGATCGCTTGACAAAACTTGTCAATCCATTACTAAAATTTTGTTCACTATTTTATTGATTCGTCAACATAACATCTAAACTTAAGTGTACATAAATATATGCAGATCGCACTTGTGTCCGAATTCAATTGACATCCCTACTTGATAACATCATTTATAATATAATTATATAAGATATTATTGAGATAACATATTATATATATACCTTATTTTATTATTGAGATAACTAATTACCTAATGATATTAGTTATATGGTTACCTAATGAATTGATTCATTAAACATAATTGATGAACAAATACCGAAACAAGCTAAATCAATTAAAATCTATTACACTCTCAACACTCTCAATTAAATCTATTACATGTTATTAGTGCCTGGGTTAGAGATAATAATATGTGTGAGTACAAAAGCAAATTGAATATATTTTCCCCATTCCACTGGATGCTGGATCTCTTTCTCATGTATCACTTTTGTCCAGAGGAACATTCTTGAAAAGAAAAGAAAAAAATGCCAATCCCCCACTAGCGCAGACTCTCGTTCCCCCGATTAGCCGTCGGTGAGGTTAATTGTAGGTTAATGGTGGCGCTGCTGGCTTCCAGCTCTCAGCCGCTCTCCGATTCTTCGGCCATCAACTCCCAGTTCCCAGAGTTCGCCAGGTCGGATTCTTCACCCCGAACGCCCAGCCCGGCCCGATCTGATCCCAATTGCGCTAGCCCGATTCCAACTATCTGTCGCTCTACGATTCTCCGACCTACAATTTTAATCTCCCTGTTTCTAACCCCCCCCACCCCCCCCCCCCCCCCCCCCTTCTGCCGCCGTGTGCTCACGCCGGCGCCAACAACAACGCTCCCCTAGTCGGCAGCTGCAATCCGACCGAGACTATTCCGACGAAGCAAATCTGCCAAGCTGACTTCCAGTTTGTCTATCTCTGTTTCTAGTTTGGGTTCGCATTTGAGGGAGAACGAAGAAGAAGAAAAAGCAAGGAGCGAGGAGAGGGGTAGCAAATAAAAAAGGGAAAGTGAACGATTAATTAACCTGGCAAATAAAAAGATGAAAGAGAAAGAGTTAGTGGAGCGTTTTCTCTCCGATTTGGGGGAGAGGGTTCCACAGTGAAACTTCCCCCCCCCCCCCCTTTTCTTCACCCGATTACTGTGCTCACCTTTGAAAACAGGGGAAAGTTTATCGAAAATTGCACTTTCCTTCCTATTCTTTCCTTCCCCATGTTTTCCGCTCTAAAAAAACATAGTGCTAGAGTCTAGACTTCTTCCTCTGAGCTCCTTTCTTGGACCTCCTCTCTGGTCTCTACAATCAGTTCACTAGTTACTGATTAGCTTTTAGGGCGGGCTATTTGGTTCGGGTTTTTTGGTTTTATCCGAAACCGGATCTTATAATCCAGATCGAAACCGGATCGGGACCGAATAGTAAACAATCCAATCCAATATTTGGGCATAGATTTGAGGTGAAAAACTATTCAGGACCGGATCGAAAACTGGATAAAGACCAGATAAGAGAGCTCAACACTCAAAACTTAAGGGTAATTTGCATAAACAGTCACAAACCTTTGCACTTAGTACGAAACTTAACCAACTCATTACCCTTTCAAGCCTTAGGCCACTCAAGTCCCCACAAGCTCAATATAAAATCAAGACCGAATTGGGACCGGACCGGATCAAGACCGGACTGTATCCAATCCAATCTTTGATCCTTATATTTTCAAAAAGACCGAACTGGACCGGATTAATTTGGTCCAATTTAACCAGATCGGAAAGTATAGCCACTCCTATTAGCTTTGGTCGAACAGAGAGCTTTACTTTTCTTGGGGGAGGTTAACTATTTGGGCCCGTGATTTGGAAGCTCTTCTTCTCTCGTATTGGGCCTCATAACGGGAACAAGAATTGACACAGTTTTGATTCCATGGGTTGACATTTTGGGCTTCCGGTTACTTTAATCTTGTCTCGTTTCGAGTGGATTCAGGGATGGCAAGATCCATGCCTTCTTGTATCATGTGACTTGTGATTCAATTTTCATTTATTTGGCAAATGAGTTCGTGGTCAAGACTAAAGTGATCGTACAATAGGTTTTCAATTTGGAGGCGTTAGTTTTGAATTTCAGGGATAATCCTTGTTTCTCTCTTGTCCTTATCCTTTCAGTAGCACACAGGTTCGATAAAAAAAAAATCTTTTATTTGATCTTTTGATTTTAGGCTTTGTGCCCTTTATCTTACTGGGTACTGTTTTGCTCGACTTCACTTCTTACGCAAGTGTCTGTTGATTAGGGATGATAAAAATGTCCGAAATCGTGAATATCCGTCTAATGGAAGCACCTATTAAGCCAAGGATAGTTTAGTATTTTGATAGGCTTAAGTTGTTTAGGGTTTCACCTAAGAGTCTATATAACGTACGTTAATTACTTTTCTCAGAATTATCAATCAAGATTATAATCAAAGAATAGTTTATCGTATCTCCCAACCCCAATTTCCTCTCCTCTTCCTAAATCAGCCGTCGGTTAGTTCTTTCTCTTCTTCTCCCCAAATCTTCGTCTAATCTCTCCTTATTTATGTTCCTAATCACATTCTATCACGATAATCTTGGGTGTCAAGATCCGTGCATTCATCACCGTCTGAATCCGATCTAATCAGATAGGGTAAAACGCGAACCCGAAGAATTTTTGGCGGGTACTAGTAAAACCCGAACCCGGATATTGCAGGTAATGGGTGAGCATGGTTTTCTCACTATACAACCCGAACTCGCCTGATGATCACATGCATATGTATTGTGTCTAGAAATTATCATTATTTTTCTCAACATATTTTATATATAGCATACAAGTATAATATTTTCATGACATTGTGTTGTTTTTAAATAATTTTATTCATTCAAGTTTTTCTATTTAACACATTGGTTGTAGCTATAAAGAGAAATTATTACTATGAATAATGTAATAATGAAGGAACCATTGATTTTCACAACATGACATTGGCAGTTGTATTACATAAAAAAATTATTGATTTTTCATAAAACTCAGCAAAAGATATTTCAACCCCAATGCATCTGTCAAATGACCAATCCGGTCTTTAACTGAACATGCTAAACACATAAAATGGATTGTCATGTTGTTCATAAGATATTGAAATCATGACTCTAGCTTCTTCATGCTAACACAGAATAACAACTACCAAATATTTTCACATAACTTTTTTTTTATCAGTTGATCAATTTATTAATGATTTGTTATCCAAGTGCACAACATGTGTTTGCTAGCTTATGGAGGCGTGTGAAGAAAATGTATGCAGCGCTAGCCGCTAGGGGTGATAAACCGTAATTTTGTTAACAGTTTAATCATTAATCGCAAAGGAGAATGTGTGTCATTTAATGGAAGCTCAAAATTCTTTATCGGGTTACCAAGTCATAAATGGTTAATAACCGACAGTTAGAGGTTAACTGATTAGTAACCGATAAGGGAGGTTAAGTTAACCACTCAAAATAGACAAAACATCACACTCGATGAAGGAAACAACTCCCCCCCACCCCCCCACACACACCACTAAACACTCACCAGCTACAATCTTCTCGTCTTCTCGGTTCAAACGAAGCACATCAAATGGCAGAAGAGACTATTTTGTGAACAATGAATCTTTGGTCGTTCGTGCTAAGGATCCTATATGGTGGCTTCCCCATTAGATCGATGGGAGGATGATTAAAAGAGAAGCATCGTTGGTCGGCATCGATGTTGCCGCCATCTCAACCCCTCCCCATCTATTTTAGTTGGACGGAAAAGAGCTGAGAAGAGGTGGTGGCTAGGGTTCGAGAGTGAAGGAAAATAGAGACTGTGTTTTCTTTAGGGATGGCAATTTGAACCCACCCCGCTGGGTAATACCCGACCTGACCCACGATGGGGCAGGTATTACCCGACCTGCATTAGCGTGGGGCAACGCATGGGTATCAACTTCCGACCCGCCCTGTCCTGCCCCGCGCCGCCCAATTCTTAACCCGTTCTAGGTCAATTTTTTACCCCATCCACTCATATATCTCCTAATTTGGCTTTTATTCAACTAGTTAGACTTGATATTTCAACTAAATAGACTCAATTACTTATTATATTATCACTATTATTCATTCATCAAGTCTTTTCCCCTTCGTTTTATCATAAAAAGTAAAATTGTGTGTGTATTTTTCTCAAATAACATGTAAGAATGAGTCGACCCGCCCCACCTCGTACCCGCGCAGGTGTTACTCGCCCGACCCATACTAGCGTGGGACGTGGCATGAGTATTGAGGTACCCGCCCAACCCATTGTCATCACTGGTTTTCTTCTATTCGCTGATTCCCAGAGGGTGTGTGTTCAGTTTTTTTATCTGCAAAGAAAAAAGAGATAGGCGAGAAGAAGTACGGGAAAGAAAGAAGGGAGTGTGCGGCTAGGGTTTCTTCCCCATTACTATCCTTTTATACATTCTAAAAAGATAATTATGCCCCCTTTTTTTTTTAAAGATATCATGTATTGATCGAAAAAATAGACAGTTACACCCTGGAAGCCAGCCAGGTCTGGAAATCAAAGAAGCGACTCATAGTCGGATACAAAGAGAGGGCTTTCCTAGCTACCAAATGAGCTACCCTATTGTTCTCCCGGCCTACAAAACGCAAACTAAAACCAGGCTGAGTACGAAAATAATGAGCAATCTCTTCCAGAACCGCACCCAACCGGCTATCTCTTGTTTCGGCTTGATTAATTTTGTCAATAATCACCTTTGCATCGCCCTCAAATCAGACCTCCGAAAAACCTTGCTCCAAACACCAAATAATAGCTTCCCTAAGCACAAGCAGTTCCACCACTACAGGATCATCCATTTGAGAAAACTTGACCTCTCTAGCCAGAAGGAGTGTCCGCATTGGGTAAAAGAAAACCATCCCACCAGTCGAGTGTGACCCACCCTTAGTAGCTCCGTCCCACATGCAAACCAAATGGGAATCACTCACATTTGTTGTAGAGTGCATTATCGGGATTGGAGTCCTAGGCGCCTGGTCCGTTGGTAGACCCACCCATTCCTCATATTGTTGGTTAAACTGTCGCATGAGCGTCGGGATCCCAAATTGTTTGCCTTCAAAGACTACCCAATTCCGAGATCGCCAGATCCTCCAAAGGATGGCAACAACAGCCATAACCACAGACGGTTGATTGATCAATCCCAACAAACGTTTGAGAAACAAAGGAAAAGTATGTCTAGGCAAACCCTCCCCCAAGTAATCCAGCCCAGAATAATCCCAGAGGGCCTGTGCAACCGGACAATAAAGGAACAGGTGTTCCATTGTCTCCAGGCCATCCCAACAAACTGGACACCGAGGTAACACCTGGACCTGTTTCTCAATAAGCGCCTCCGTAGTCGGCAGAGCCCGATTAGGAATTTGCCAAACAAAAACCTTCAACTTTGGAGGGATCTTCGCCTCACAAACTCTAATCCAACTCAGCTTATCCATCCAGGTAACCGAGGACCGCCACCCACTCCTCGTCCTGTCCAAATCGACAGCCAAATGATAGGCCGACTTGACCGAGAAGACCCCGTCATCCGTAAAATGCCAGATAAGCTTATCAGGCATGTCCCAACGTGGGAGAGTAATAGCTTTAATAGCCTTACAAGTGGGCGGGTCGAACCATTGACTGAGCTTCTCATCCGACCAACTCCCTCCCCCCTCACAAATAACCTCCGCCACCAAAGGATTACCCCCCCCCCCCCCCCCTCAGGCAAGAGCCGCGGATTATAGCTTGGGGGATCAAGTTGGTACCTAGAAATCCAGTTAGAATGAAGGAGGGAGATCGATTGGCCATCACCAACCTGCCATCTCAAACCCCTCTCCAATAACTGACGCCCATGAAGGATACTTTGCCACCTCCAAGAGGGACGAGACCTAGCAGTCGCAGTCAGGAAGGACCCTTGAGTGAAATACTTGCCTTTATAGACTTGGGCAATAAGTGATTGAGGTTCATTGAGAATACATCAGCCTATCTTAGCCAACAGATAATTATGCCCCTTGTCTTTTGCCAAATCGACAAATCTACCGCCATTCTCTTTTTCAGCCAAACAGACAATTGACCGATAAAATCATCTCTAACCACGCTGACAAATAACGGTTCACCACAATTGGAAGGGAAGCTCGAGAAAATTTGAGTATGAAGGCTAACCGATTTAAGCTTCCTTTCGCTTCATTTCAAAGAAATTAAATTTCGGCTCATCACCGATAACCAAAAAAAGGGTAAAAATTTACTGTAGTCCCCGTAACTATCAGCTTAGTTACAGCCTCCTCCACACCCCGAATAACCATCAATATATACATAATTGATCTCCAATTGGGGCGGCCCTTACTCTTCGCGTACGCAATTGATCTCCAATCTAACAAATGACGCAAGAATTCGGATCGTCGCCGACGACTTGCGCGCCGCCGCCGTACTGGTGGTAAGGGTAATTCCCGTACCCTTTCTGCTGCTGATAAGGGTATTGATTGTAGTAGTAACCACCGTTGACCTGAGGAGGGTAGTAGGAGATAACGGGAGGAGGAGGCGCCTCGGGGTTCTTCTTGTCTTTTCCTTCCTCTGCTTTCTTCGCCGCCGCCGGCGGCTCTTCCTTCTTCTTCTCCGGCTGCTTCGGCGGTCCCACCGACACCACCTCCGTCGGGAACAGCTTCCTCAGCTTGCTCACGATTTCCACCGGATCCACGTTTCCCACCACCGTCATCTTCATGTCTTTCATGTCCATCGACACCGAGTCGACCCCGGAAATCCCGGTGACTCTCTTCATCGCTCTCTGCTTGTCTCTGTCGTCGTGCAGATCCAGTTTAAGAACCACAACCTGTTCAAACAAGAAGATCGAAAATCAGAAATTAGTAATCGAATAATCAGTAATTACTAATTATCTACAGCATAATGAATCCAAGACAGAAACAGGGTAATTAACAGTACCTTCATTTTTGGACGAGAAGGGAGGGGGGAAAACAGAGGAGTGAGCTTCGGAGTAGGAGTGGAATCGAACAAGGGGAGATTGTTGGGAAGTTTTGAGAGATGGGAGTTAAGAGCTTGAATGATAGGTTTGGTGGGTGAAGCTTTTTTTGGTGTGCGGGTTTTTATAAGGGGGGAAATGGTTGCGATAAGTCAATGGAAGTCATTGCCATGGCTTCCTTCCTGGCGGCTGCATCAGCCTGTGGTCAGGAAAGAATACAGTGATTAATTAAAAAAAGGGAAAGAGGGGGTTTCCGTGCGGCGTGCGAAGGAAGGGTGATGCGTCCTTTGGCCTGTTGAAAGAGACGACGCGTTTTCTACGCCCAACTAGCTATTTCGCGATTTCTAGAATTCGTTTTCTCTGAGCTTCTTTCTTGGACCTCCTCTCTACTATCAGTTCACTAATTAGCTTGGTCAAAACTCAAAATAGTGAGCTTTTACTTTTCTTGGGGTGATTAACTAGCTATTTCGCGATTTATAGAATTCGTTTGGACGTTGAAGTGGTCGTCGTCCAATCCGGCCGGACTCAACATCTTCGTCTCTCCGAGCGAGTTCCAGATCCAAGTCTCGCCTGTGCGAAAGCAGGAAGGGGAAGCGGTGGAGCCGGGAATATCGATGTCAATTCTGCCGCTACGAGAAGCCCATTCTCTCGTCCCTCTACCTCGCCGCCGTCGCGCTACATCGATGTCGATTTCGCAACGAGTCTGCGGCTCCGTAGCGACGCCGATGAACGCGGCAATGTCTCTCAACTGGCTTGATTTTACGTTGTTAATCTAATGGCTGATTATGCCGCAACGACGTCGACGCCGATGCCGCCAGAATTATATATAGCAGTAATATTCAGATCTGGAGGAATTTTACAGATTGTGGTGATTATTCTCTACGGGTTTGATTTTATGTTTCTAATAGGGTTTAGTTTTAGATTAGTAGTAATTTGAATGTAGTAGTAATTTATTTGTAGGGATCATGATTAAATTTTATGTTTCTAATAGGGTTTAGTTTTAGATTAGTAGTAATTTGAATATAGTAGTAATTTATTTGTAGGGATTATGATTAAATGTGTAGTGATTTTGATCAAGGTTTTCATAGTTATGGTAGCATATTTTTTCATTCGGAGTATTTTTTATATTTTGTGGTAGTGATTCTCATTAAAAATTATCAACCGCTACAAATTAAAAAATGTTAAAACACTACTATTTATTTCAAAACCACTACGACCCTCCAAAACACACTACAATGAGCCTCCATAATAATTCTTCCTTATTAATTAAAAATCCTAAAATCACTATTATCGGCCAAAATGACTACTAATCTAAGTAGTGGTAAATTTATTAGTAATTTTTTCGATATAAAATGCTAATAAATAGATGAGAGAGAAAATGACATTTTAGTTTTTAATTAGTTTATTATTTTAATTTTGTGAAATTCCAAACAAACCCTTCATTATTATCCACCGTCAGATTCAACTTAAAAGAATGTATGATGATTAGAGTAGTTAGCACTCTAACCACTCCCCTGGCAAGATCCATGCCTTCCACCAAGTGGTTAGTTTACTATTAGTTTTCAGGCAATATTAATTAGCAAGAAGGCTTGGCTGCTTTTATCTTGTGACTTGTGATTCTGTTTTCATTTATTTGGTCTTTCGGTTTTAGACTATGTGTCGTTTATTTTACTGGCTAAAGTTTTTTTTTTTGGTCATGTGATTGATGGGATATAGTCTGGGCTTAGTATGTTTACCTATTTTTTTTTTTTTCCAAATGTTTACCTATTATTCATTGTTGTTGGGTTAGTATGTTTATTCGTGGGTTAGTTGTAATAGAGTTACGTATTCGTGTGTTAGTTTGCATGGGCCGAATGGTAGAGCAAGGTTAGTGGGCAATTAAGGTTAATCGTCCAGTAGGCCTCCTTGCCAATGAACCTTAAACCACCCCTCACACCACCTTCAAGCAATAGAATGGAAACTAATTCAGTCCGGATGATGTCCATGAGATGAGACAGTTGTCAATTAATTGTCTTGGCAATTGGCATCACCTTGAATGGAAACTGGCTAAAGTTTTCTCCAGCTTCAATTCTTACACAGGTGCCCGTCCATATGAAATGAAAGTATTGCCCCAAGTGACCAACTCATCTTGGGCCTGACACTCGCTGGGCATTTAAACCCAACAAGGTTTCGTGACAAAAGCCCGACGGAAAAGAGTCAAAGAAACTGGGTTGACATTTGGGCTTCTGCGCCAATTGAGAAGCTGATCTTCCACGAATATAATGATTTTATTTAATGATTTTATAATGATTTCATACAAACACCTTTAGTATCATACTATTATGATTTATGACACAAATGTACCGATATGTTTTCATAATATTTTTTGTCATATAAATTTTTTAAGGGTTTTTATGAAACAAATTGAACATGTACTTTAAATGATATTGTACGAACTTAGTTTGTACCTATACTTTTCCATACAAATTTATTTATGGTACAAACCGAGCTTGTATCTTTAAAATTTTAATTTGTATCTATATATTTTTCTAATATTATTTTTCAAAATTTTATTTTATCATACAAATTGAAAAGGTACATTTAATGTCTACGAATTTATTTTGTACCTATACTTTTTCACACAAATTTATTTAGCTTGTATCTTTAACATTATGATAAAAATCCAATTTGTACCTATAAATTTTCACACAAATTTGTCTATGTTACAAATTAAACCAGCATCAGTATTTTAATATTTTGAAGTATAGTAGTTGGACCCTTTTACAGTAGCCTAAACTCTTTTGGGGTTGCTATACTAAAAGTCCAAGATAGTCATTGAAGAGTGTGATAGTTTGAGTTTTACAATTGTTTCACCTCATGTCGATCTCACATGTTTCTGTAAAATTATAGTATTGTCTCTCTGAACCCTCATACAGTTATCACCAAGTGCCAACTCTCTTTTGTTTTAATCGCCTGATTAGTATCATCATCGAATGATATATACGACTTGAGTAACCTAACTAGTAAATCGAATTGACGAGACTAATATTTAGAAATACGGAAATATCAAATTCCTAGCAAAAATATATTGTGTATGCATATACCAAAGTAATGTGAGGCTCAAGAAAGAGCATCAACAGAAACAATTCCACATGACATTCCCCCACAAAAACATAAAGCTATAGAACCCAAGGGTGTGAAGGAAAGTGATAAATGAAAAGCCAAAAGTTAGGTCTCGTGGCACACCACTCATTTCCCTTATCGAACATTAAGCCAAACCGAGTTAGGCCATCCGACGGTAAACACGTTACTTTCCCCCAAACCGAGCAAATGTAAAAAGAGAGAAGAAAGAAACCTTGGATCAGCAAAGCTTTAGCTGGATCCAAGCAATAACTCTTGTTTACTTCCAATATGGAACAAAATTACACCATCTAGCATCATAGCCCACAACCTCAGTACAGCCATGTTGTGAAGGAAGGTGATCGAGCAGCAGCAATGGAGGGACTTCGTCTATGTACAGAATAAACAGAGCACTGGTTTGGGCTTCCTTTAACCCAAACCAGAGGAAGAAGATGAAGTAGCTGCTACGGCGTCGTGTTTGCTTGTTGTCTTCACACAAGTGAATGCGACGCCGTTCTGCCAAGTGACGTTGAGTGAGCAACGATTAAGAAGACAGGATTTACACTTGGCGCCTCTCCATTGGTTGATTTCAACAATTAGTTTGTTACCGTTAGCTGAACAGTGTATAGATTAGCTTTGTACAGTTTGGTTTACTCTGCAGTTTTACCCCTTTCACTCTTGTATATATATGAATGAAAGATCGAAAATGGAGGCAAATTCGGCATTTCCACAAACACAGCCGCTCTCATTGTTTATCCTTTCTCTTCTACCTCATTCTGTAACCCTAATTCCACCTAGGGTTTATAGTTTTCTCATGGTATCAGAGCCTGGTTAGGCTTCTGATCCTTCATCCTTTCTCATTCTCTAAACGCATAGCTCTTCTACAACAATGGCAGACGATGAATCTCAAGCATCTGAATCAAACAGAAACACTCAAACCCTCATCAATCGATATGAAGACCCTTATTCAAACCCACTGTACTTGGCAACCAGTGACAATTCCTTCCTTCCAGTCATCGGATTCAAGCTCAACGATGACAATTACCTCTTATGGAGCGAGTCCATGGAGGTTGCTCTTCGCACCAAGAACAAGTGGGGTTTCATCAATGGAACAGTACAGGTACCACCCATCACTGATCCTTCTTACAGCACTTGGGATAGATGCAATGGAACTGTCCTGTGTTGGATCAGGAATTCTGTCTCTGAGGATATTGTTCCAAGCCTGAGAAATATCAGGTCAGCAGCTGAGGCTTGGGCTTATCTCAGATCTAAGTTCAGTCAAGGCGATTCCGTGAGAATTGCAAACTTGCAGGAGAAGGTTGATCTTACCAAGCAGGGTAATCAAACCGTTAGACAATATCACACCAACCTGAAGGTGTTGTGGGATGAACAGGCTAGCTATGAACCGATCCCGATTTGTGAATGTGCTGCTAAAACTCATGAAACTGTTATTATGTACCAAGACAGAAGGAAAGTTATCAGGTTCTTGCTAGGTCTGAATGAAACATACCAACAAGCAAAAACCCAGATGCTCATGCTTGACCCTCTCCCAGACATTGATACTGTTTACAGAGCTGTGATTCAACTTGAAAGACAGATGAACACAGGAAAAGGGAAGTCCACCCAAGATTCCATTGCACTTGCAGCTGCAACTGGAAACCTTAACCAGCGAAGAGAAGATAAGAGAGATGCTGGGAGAGAAGGAAAGAAAGGGCAGGAGCTGTTTTGCAGGTATTGCAAGAAAGACAATCATGTGATTGAGGACTGTTACAGATTAAAGAACAAAAGGAAATTAGAGGGAGGAAACAGGAACTTTGCTGGTTCAGTTGAGGTAAACTCTGGTGATGGAAACAATTCTGCTGGAAGCAACACTCAAAGTCCAACAAGTCCAGTTTCTGAGAACAGAAACAGCCAGGAAGGACAATCTATCTGGTTCACTTCTGATGAGATTAGCAAGCTGAGGAATCTGCTCCAGCATCAATCAGCCACACCACAGTTTGCTCAATCCAACTCAGTCACTACTCGATCCAGTGCTCCTGTTCCTCCTAGGCATTCCATTACAGGTAAAGTTTGTCTCTCGACAACTTTAGAAAATCACATATCTGCAGTGTGGGTGCTTGATACAGGAGCTAGTGACCATATTGTGTGCAATGTGAATTTGATGCTTAGATGCAAAGAGGTGTCTGACATGTATGTCACTCTACCAAATGGACAAAGTGCCAAAGTTTCACACATAGGAATAGCTAAGATTCCTTGTGGTATTCTTATCACCAATGTCCTGTTAGTTCCATCCTTTACTTACAACCTTATCTCAGTTAGTCAGTTGACCAAGAAAACCCCAGTCTCACTATTGTTTGAATCCAACTTCTGTTGTATCCAGGACCTAATCTCACAACAGAAGATTGGTTCAATCCAAGTAGATAGAGGGCTATATCTGCTGGGGAGTGGAGCTGGAGGAAACCAAAGAAACAAGCACCAAGCCTATGGAGTTAATACCAATCATGAGTCTGATTTATGGCATTTAAGACTAGGGCATTTGTCTCTCCCTAGACTCCAAACCATACAGAAACAGAATAGTTCAATTACCTTTCCTTCTTCTTCTCATTGTGAGATATGCAATTTGTCCAAACAAAAGAGATTACCATTTCCCAGAAGCAATTCAGTTTGTAAGGAACCATTTGACATGATCCATGTAGACATATGGGGGCCAGTTAATGTGGTTTCTCATGATGGTTTTAAGTACTTTATGACTGTTGTTGATGATCATAGTAGATCCACCTGGTTATTCCTGATGAGTAGCAAGTCTGAGGCAAGAGGATTTCTACAATCCTTCTGTGCAATGGTTCAAACACAGTTTGATAAGACCATTAGAGTAGTCAGATCAGACCAGGGACAAGAATTCAACATGCCTGATTTTTACAATCAACATGGCATGATCCACCAGCTGAGCTGTGTTAGAACAGCACAACAAAATGGTAGGGTTGAGAGGAAACATCAGCATCTGCTGAATGTTGCTAGATCTCTCAAAATTCAATCTGGAATGCCTGTCAGTTTTTGGAGCCATTTTGTGTTACATGCTGCATACCTTATCAACAGGATCCCTACTCCAATCCTGTCCAACAAATCACCCTTTGAATGTTTGTATGGCATACCCCCAGATTACAGTAATTTGAAGGTGTTTGGATGCATGGCATATGCCACTGATTTGAATGAACACAAAGGAAAACTTGATCCTAGAGCCAAAAGGGCAGCATTTCTAGGATATCCATACAACATCAAAGGGTATAGGCTGTTTGATCTGGAAACTTTACAAGTATTTGACAGCAGAGATGTTGTCTTCAATGAAAGCTGCTTTCCTTTCAAGCTCTCCCAACAAACCTCACCTAATCCCTCCACTCAAACCTCTTCCTCTATTCCCACACCTAATGACTTCTATGAAGAACCATCTACACTTCCTATACTGCCCACAGATCATAATGTACATGAGACTGTGGATCCAGATTATGACCCTTCTTATGCTTCAGATTCAGATAACTCTGATGAAACACCATTACCTTCACCTATTCCCACTTCACCTGACCCATCTCCACCATTACCTCAACCTGCCAGTACACTTGATGTTCCTATAGCACTCAGAAAAGCCACTAGAGAAACCAAAAGACCCAGCCACCTTTCTGACTATCATGTCAGCTTACTCACTCACTCCACTCCTGAACATGATACTACCCTTCTATACCCTCTTAGCCAAAGTGTCAGCTATGACCATCTTTCCCCATCTCACAAACATTTTTCCCTTTCCATTTCTGTGGTGCCTGAACCACAGTCATACAGCCAAGCCATTAAAGACCCACGTTGGGAGAGAGCTATCATTGAAGAATTGAGAGCCTTGATTGATAATCAAACCTGGGTTATTGTTGAACTTCCATCTGGACACACAGCTGTTGGTTGCAAATGGTTGTTCAAAACCAAGTATCTTGCAGATGGCACAGTGGATAGATTTAAAGCTCGTTTAGTCGCCAAAGGGTACACTCAGATACCTGGCATTGATTTTGTGGATACATACTCACCTGTAGCCAAGATGAACTCAGTTAAACTGCTTCTAGCAGTTGCAGCCATTAAGGGCCGGTATTTGCACCAGTTAGATGTAAGTAATGCATTCTTACATGGTGATCTCGAAGAGGATGTTTATATGGAACTACCTGAAGGTATGAAGGATCAGCCTGGCATGAAGGGAAAGGTACTAAAATTGCAGAAATCCCTTTATGGATTAAAACAGGCAAGCAGACAATGGTACATTAAGCTTAGTGCTTGTTTACAGAACTTGGGTTTTGAGCTGTCTTTTGATGACTATTCAGTTTTCAAACTACATTCAAAGGGGGCAACAGTGATTGTCATCATCTATGTAGATGACATTATTGTTGCAGGAGATGACCTTGATCTCATTCAGCAGACCAAACAGCAATTACAGCAAGCCTTCAAAGTTAAAGACTTAGGCAATTTGAAGTACTTTCTTGGAATTGAAATTGCCAGATCAGCTGCTGGGATTTCTCTATGTCAACGTAAATTCTGTCTTGAACTGCTCTCAGAATCTGGTTTTCTTGAGTCCAAACCTGCCAAGACACCCCTGAGTATGAAAACCACTCTCTCAGCTTCTGATGGTATCCCATTAACAGATGGAACAGAGTATCGCCATCTGTTGGGCCAACTCCAGTACCTCACTACAACCAGACCAGACATCTGCTTCCCAGTACAGCAGCTCTGTCAATTTCAGGGGGCCCCTACTACAGTCCATCTTTCTGCTCTTCATCGAGTTTTAAGGTATCTGAAGAGCTGTCCCGCTCAAGGTCTCTGGTTTTCTTCAAGTTCATCTACTCTGATTCGAGGATATTGTGACTCAGATTGGGCCACATGTCCTGACTCTCGCAGATCAGTCACAGGGTATTGTACCTTTCTTGGGGACTCCCTTGTGACATGGAAAAGTAAAAAACAGACCACTGTCTCACGCTCCTCCTCTGAAGCAGAATACAGGGCATTGGCTCAATTATCTTGTGAGGTTCAGTGGTTGAAATCTCTATTGCATTTCTTTGGTCAAGAACATCCTGATCCAATCAAGGTGTTCTGTGACAACTCTTCTGCCATTCATATTGCAGAGAATCCAATCTTTCACGAGCGTACAAAGCATATTGAAGTTGATTGCCATGTGACTCGTGAAAGATTGAAGTCAGGTCTCCTCACCCTACACCATATTCGAACAGATAATCAGCTGGCAGATTTTTTCACAAAGGGGTTGTCAACTGATCGTTTTGCTTCTCTACTTTGCAAGCTGGGAGTTCATGATATGTACTCCGCAGCTTGAGGGGGCCTGTGAAGGAAGGTGATCGAGCAGCAGCAATGGAGGGACTTCGTCTATGTACAGAATAAACAGAGCACTGGTTTGGGCTTCCTTTAACCCAAACCAGAGGAAGAAGATGAAGTAGCTGCTACGGCGTCGTGTTTGCTTGTTGTCTTCACACAAGTGAATGCGACGCCGTTCTGCCAAGTGACGTTGAGTGAGCAACGATTAAGAAGACAGGATTTACACTTGGCGCCTCTCCATTGGTTGATTTCAACAATTAGTTTGTTACCGTTAGCTGAACAGTGTATAGATTAGCTTTGTACAGTTTGGTTTACTCTGCAGTTTTACCCCTTTCACTCTTGTATATATATGAATGAAAGATCGAAAATGGAGGCAAATTCGGCATTTCCACAAACACAGCCGCTCTCATTGTTTATCCTTTCTCTTCTACCTCATTCTGTAACCCTAATTCCACCTAGGGTTTATAGTTTTCTCACATGTCGATCCGAGCAGAGCGAGTCGGTGAGTGACGCTTTCATATTGGCAAACCTAGGAGAGGCATTCTCGAGTCACGATCCGGTACTCATCTGGGTCCCAAATTAATACAACATTTATAACTTTTTTAAATTTTATATATTCGATCCAGTACTTATCAGGTCACGATCCAATCCTCTGTGCCTCTTTTCGAATTCGACTTAATATTTTTTTTTTTAAGAGATATCATATATTAATCCAATCAAAAAGATAGTTACATCCTGGAAAGCAGCCAGGCCCTGAAATCAAACAAACGATACGCAATCGGGTACAAAGAGAGGGCTTTTCTAGCTACCGAATGAGCTACCCTATTGTTTTCCCGACCTACAAACCGCACACTAAACTTCGGATGAGCATCAAAATACTGACAAATCTCTTTCATAATTGCCCCCAAGTGATTGTCACGCGAATCGACTTGATATTCCTATTATGTCTTGAATCAATAATTGGGCTTTCATATGGATGCAAATGGAGCAGCAAATGGGTCTCGCATCAGAAAATAAATATCTTCCCCTTCATATCTCAGTGAGTGCTGCTGCTGTGCATCGTGTTGGATCATGTGGCCTTGGTTATTGGCCACACAATCAATCAAGAGGCTGCTCAGAAAACCACTGTGCGAGTATCAATGCCGCGCCACGTGTCCATCGTCCCGGCGGGCCAAAGGTTTCATGGAATATCTGTTTTAGGACCTTTGGGCCGCGGCCTTTATTCCTTTTCCCCGGCGCCGGAGAGCGTTGGACGGTGACGAGATAGAAAGAAAAGGGTCCGATCAGGTGGGCAATGGTCCACCCTAAGCAATTCGGGGTGGATTAAATGAACAATTGGTTTGGTGAAAAACCACAATCATGCAACACTGCATTAATTGATCATGGGTTGGTTGAAGTTAAGGGGTTGACCAAATGAGTCACATTATCACAAAATATAAACCGTTGAAAACCGTCTATTGATTTAAACTTCTGTAAGAAAAGAAAAAAAAAGTTCGGTCGAACCGCTAATATGGTACTGTTTCACAAGCATCGATGTTAAGAATTAGGGCCAAACTATTTTTAGCCAGTTGGGGTCCAGATATATAAAGTGTAGTTCACATGTGTTTGATTTAAATTCGTTTATTTCCAACCCACCACACTTCTTATTTAAGACTTTAACACGTAACCTCAATGACAAACCAGTTATGATACGATATCATAAACTAACTGGGTCCAATAAACCGATTTGTTGAAAAATGACCATATACGATATTTAGCCACTTACTTACAATAGAGATTGGGGATTTGACCACCCATTAAAATCAACTGCGAGATGAAAATTCTCAAAATATCGCGCTAAGAAAATATCACAAGACATAAAAAGTCACAATTAAGCTAAAAATTATCATACTAAAATCTCTAACTAACAGAATTTTCGTTAATTATGTTGACTCATAATAACTATGAAAGTACGACCTCTACAATTTTCCCACCTTATATAAATACAGAAATTAAACTTGAGTGACCTCTCTAATATGAAGAACTGAGCTAAAATATTCAATTTTTCTACTTATGTACTTCATCGTCAAGCGACTTTATCGGGACAGTCTATAGTCCATCACTTAATTAATGAAAATACCCAGTTAATCACTGGTGCGGGGTCCACACTTAACAGTTACGCTTGAGGACCCGGCCCACCAAGGCAACGTGGCGCTTGCTAATTCGTTGTGCGGAACATTGGACTCGAGAGAGCTCGAGAGCAGGCGATTATACCCCGGCGCCTCATATAAAGACCAGCCTCGCTGTCTCAAGGAAAGCCGCATTTCTCCGTCACTACTAAAGCTAGAAACCCGAAATTCCTTTTTTTCTTCTCCGACCCTCCTCTCTCACAGCGCCAGAAAATGGTGTCGAAGAACCCGAACCCGGCCGAAGGATTCTACCTGGATCCTAACGGAATGGCGCTCCCGGGGCTCGGCCCTTTCGCCAACTCTAGCGCGGCGGCCTCCAACCCGCCGGCGAGTTCCGCCGTCGAGGATCCGAGCAAGAAGGTCCGGAAGCCGTACACCATCACCAAGTCGAGGGAGAACTGGACCGAGCCGGAGCACGATAAGTTCCTCGAAGCTCTCCAGCTGTAAGTTTCCTTCTCTGGTGTAATTTTGATTCGCTGGAGGTAGTTCGAGTTCGTTCTTGCTTCAATTTAGGGTTGTCGTGCGAAATGGAGCTCGAAGGTTGAATTTAGGCCGACGAGTAGCGAATTATGCTATGGTTGGTGGCCTGGAGAGTTCAGGTTCAGTGAATTTGGTTGTATCGGAGAGCTGGAGGTTGAATTTAGGCTGACGAGTAGCGAATTAGGCTATGGTTGGTGGCCTGGAGAGTTCAGGTTCAGTGAATTTGGTTGTATCGGAGAGCTGGAGGTTTTACTTTTGACGATTATGGTATGGATACGGCGGATTCTGAGCTTTTTTTAGCCAAATGAATCTGAGATGGAGACGCTAGTTCGCATTTCATTTTCGGATTTTGGTATTCTGGTGCATTTTGCCTCCCTTTGAAGTGTGTAATCTCAGACTTTCACTAGCGGGGGAAGAAATGTGTCCATAGGTAGATGATGACTGTTTCTGGAAGCTACGTAAGGAAATAAGGAATTGTGTAAGGTTTATCGAACTGATGATGTAGGTAGACGATGACTGTTTTATGGAAGCTACTTTAAGAATTCTTTAAGGTTTATCGAGCTACTGGTATAGGTAGATGGTGGCTGTTGCTCAAACCTCAATACAGATCTCTTTTAAGGGTTGTCCAGCTCGTGATGTTGATGTCAATGGACTATAAACAATGGTAAGAAACATCTGAATGCGAGATGTAATTGTGAATTTTCAGAACCTTAGAAGTGCTTCAGTGAGAATCCAATAGGTTGTCTTAGTCTCCTACGGTCGGCGGGGATGTGATTTAGCAGTTAGATCTGGATTACTGTTACCGGCGCTTAAGTGTCAGCAGAATGAACTCCTATGGCATTTATGTCAGCAGAATGAACTCCTTGATTTTGACTTTATTTTATGGCAGTGTGGTTTTTAGTATGCTATGGTTTTTGCTATTGGTGGGTAACTTATAGGGCACACTCCTTTGTTCTTTTGCTCCTTGTAGTTTTGACCGAGATTGGAAAAAGATTGAAGCATTTATTGGATCCAAGACTGTTATTCAGGTATGCTACTGCTGTTTCTTGGTTTTGTGGGAAGTAGTCTCATAATATGTATTCAAGGGATGGAGATGTATCCTTTTTACTTCCAAGTTTTCAGAACTGCTGATGTTGTTAATTTTAAGCAAGTCAGCTTTCATTATGAAGTGTCATTGTTTCATTGGCAACTGAAGGAGTGATGAGATTACTTGAACTATGTACCAATTTTTGGATATTGTCCCTTCAGTTTTGGAACTTAATGTTGTACATACATTATGTCACATTCATGCAAGATTATGTTTAGTGCTGTTTGTATCAGCATAATGAAATTTAGAATGTACCTTTTGCAGATACGTAGTCATGCTCAGAAATACTTCTTAAAGGTTCAGAAAAGTGGAACGGGTGAACATCTGCCTCCTCCCCGGCCTAAAAGGAAAGCTGCTCATCCATACCCTCAAAAGGCCTCAAAAAATGGTAAGATGTGTTGACATTCTGTATGATTATTAAGTAGCTCGGAAATGTGTTGCTGATATGAATTGTATTCTCTCGGGTTGTGTCTTTAAATAACAGCGGTTGCAGCGCTTCCGCAGTCTTCTGGATCTATCCAGTCATCATCTGCTCTTCTTGAGCCCAGTGTTCCACCCGACTCCCCGTCAATGCCATTGAACCCTATTACAAGTGCAGCTGCAGTATCCTGGAAAAACAATGTCCCTGCAGTCTCTTTGTCGAACCAAGGAAAAGGTTTGTAAAACCAAAGCTTATTCATGTATTTTTGCTGGTTTTTTAGTAGTAGGCTTTAGCTTTGGCTTCAGTTAGCACTTCAAAGAATGGGAAACTTTGGTCACCATGTTCCTTGTCTTTTTCTGTCCTGTAGCTCCATCTTTGTCAAATAATTGTTGTAGCAGCACTGAGAGTACTCCAAGAACAAAACAAGTTGTTGATGTGGCCGAGCAAGCAAATCCATTAAGAGGTACATAATCAATGACAATTATTTGTACTGTGGACTACCTAATGTTATCAAGTTGGGACTGTATTCATCTCTTAGCTTAGTAGTTATGGAAGAGTCTTTATGTAGTAGCCGTTGCAGCATGGTTATTTGATCTTACTGAATTCTCTATGCCATTTTATGGCGAATGAGTGCTTGACCGTCTTTCCATATATTTATAAGTGACATTCGTGCCTTTCTGTCTTTCCATGACTAGTGAGATGTCCTCTAGCTAACATGGTGACTTGATTTTTCTTAGTTTGCTTCAGCCTTTAGAGGAGATAGAATGATAGGGTGTTTGCTTGTCTTTCCTAGAGAGCATCCCATTATAGTATTTAGGATTAGCTGTATACCTGGTTGGTGTTTGTTACCATTCCCCCATTATATATTGGACATGGTCCAAGTTTTAACCGGGACATGTTTAATATTTTTCATCCCTTACCGCTACTAGGTACGTGTTACTACATTTTCTTCTTTGTACTTCTATTCCAAGCTTAGATAACACGGCACTTACCATGACATATACTTAACGCTTGTTTGATTGTCTTGATTGAAACATGATTGTTTACTGTGAGTTGTATTCGCTTTATCATAGTTGATAGTTTCTCGAACTTCGGAGTTCATGCTACTAACTATGCCTATGTGATCACACAGTTGCTTTCCTCAATTCCTTGCCATTAAAATGTTTGTTCTAATGTGACTAAATTATTTCTGTGTGCCCTGCGGTTTTGTTTGATTGCAGTTCTGCCAGACTTTTCGCAAGTCTACACATTCATTGGCAGTGTCTTCGATCCAAATGCTGGTGACCATTTGCAGAAGCTTAAGAAAATGGACCCTATAGATGTTGACACGGTATGAATATGAGAATCCTCTTTTTACAACGCATTTTTATAATCTTTCTAGAATGCGCTTCATTGTCAATATTTATTGAAGTTCTTTTTGTGTATGTGATGTTTCAGTGTGAAGTTATTGGTTAGCAGATTGGTTTTCATAGCGTGACTTTTTCCCTATCTTTTCCTTTTCAGACGCTGTTGCTGATGAGAAACCTGTCCATTAATTTAACCAGTCCTGATTTTGAGGATCATGTAAGTGCCTTTTCTACTTTACCTCACTCTCCTCCATGCACTAGTTACTTATGAGTAGTTCATCTCGTTCTGGTTGTGTGCATAATCATCTGTGTGTCTTTTCAGCTAGTGCACTACGCAAGCTGCCGTTATTAAATATCTGGTCTCCTCTCCCTTTCAGTTGCCTATAGTCTACTCATCTAATGAAGCTTTACTATAATTCTTCATGTAGTTTCAGTTAGACAGAGGATTCATTAGGTCCCTAAATTGTGTGTTTTAGCGGATGAAGTGCAGTGTTACATTGTTGTTTATTCCATAGAAATGCTACAGGTTGGGGGTGTAAACATATCACATATGCATAGCTGACTTCATCTAGTGAAATTCCCTATTATACACTTCATAGCAGTTCCATTCATCTTCGCATTACGCCCAAATTTTGAGTCTCAGTTAGGCATGAATTATAAAAGATTTATAAGTGCATCAAGCAATGTTTAATTGATTGAACTCATTACTATTTGGAACCTCCATTTCTGTCCATTTTCTGTAATTGGTAATAATTTACGGTCTCGTGACATGCTGTACTTTTGCATGACAGAGAAGGCTGCTTGCTTCCTACGACACGGATGCAAACAGGATATGAACTGTTGCTTGATCCGGGCGAGGTAAATTGGCCGGACGGGAAGATCAGCAAACGCTTCCACCGCCAACAATTAAAGGTGCACAACGCGCTCTGTACAGCTCACCAGTTCCCCTCTTTGGCCAGTCCTTCGGCTTTGTTGTAATCTTACAGGTAGTGTGTATATGGGATTTGAAGAAGAGGAGAAACAATAACTAGTACTAGCAGCAGCTGCTGCTGCTCCAGAGAGCGGGTGTATAGTTGGTGGTTCCCGGTAAAGGCCTTGCTGTACAGCACCTCCTGCGACGGAGGAAAGAAGGAATTCACGCACCTAATTAGTGAGAGTATGTAATTAAAGTTTTGATCACAAGCTTGTTCAGCCGTTGTTAAGTGTAATTAATGCAGCCTCCACAATCACCTTTGACGCCTTCCTATGTGAAACCTGGGGCGTCGGTCTGAGTTTTTGCGACCCGGTTCTTCGGTGTAGCACCGTTAAGAATTGAGTGTAACATAAGCCTTTTGAGAGCTCATTCTACCTTTGAGCCAGGCCTTGGTTGTAAGTTGTAACCTTACCTAGAGACACATCTAAATACTGGTGACTCATTTCTGAGGCCTCTGCTTTTTGATTCCACGAAATTATTCGAGCAGCAGAGTTGGCACATTAACAGAACTTGATAGATTATTTAGCGCCTTGGCCTAGCGAGTGAAACAGATCTGCAAAATGTCGTACTGCAAGACCGAAAGTGTTTAACCGTGCTGAACCGCATGCATATTCTGAAAATTCGCGCAGCTGAATTGTGTTTTTTTTTTTTTCCGGAATGGAAACATAACCGACTTGGTACAGGTTCCACGAACATTTTGCAAATATGATTTTTTCAATTTTCGACCAGATGCCACGAAAGAAGAAAAATGAACAAATTCGACTAAGCCCCACTGGAGTTGTTAAAAGTATACTGTTTCAAAGGTCTGTGCTCCTTTGAACATCACTACCATAGGCTACTATCCCCGCTTCACATGCTTTCTTTGTTTCTTTCCAGAGTTGGGAAATTTCTAATCCTCCACTAATTCAACTAGGACGCTAATTTTGTTGCTACTAATCACCATTTGGAATCTAGTTGAAAAGACCACCTCTAACCAGAAGTGTCTGCTTTCTAAAAGCAAATCGTGACTGCAATTAGGTCTAGAAGGCGGTAACTAAACCTGCTGCTCACCTTCCCAGTCAGATCTAAGCGTTGCCGAACCAAGGCCACCCCAAGTTCTGATCTGTAAACGAAGAAAAAAAAAATTAACTAACCATTTTGCTTAGATATAGTCAAATAAACGAGCTGGAGGAATCAATCACTCGAGGCAAAACATATGAAGTCAAGTTTTTACTCTACTTTTTTTCATTTTACCTGGACTGGCCAATAGGTTCGTATAGATGTGGACCTGATTACCAAAGGGGGAACACATGCCAGGAGGATAGAGCGCCATAGGATGCGGAGGAGGAAGGACAGGGAGCCATGGCACCATACCAGGAGGAGGTGGAGGATGAGGAGAACATATCATTGGTCCCATAGGCTGCTGTGTAACATACACACATTTTTTGGGCTTCATCTTCTTCTCTGGTTTCCTCCGAGAGCCAAGCAACTGTGGGCAGGAGGAGGACTGCTTCTTACTCAGTTCGCCGCCGCGGGCGGTTTCATCCACTGGACATACGAAGTCGTCGATAGTAATCAGACTGTCTTCCTCCGGCCAGCAGATTTCATCACTTGTATGAGGCTTCTCATGGAAGTCAGCTGCAGCCAAGTCTGGTGAAGTTTCCTGTTTAGTTCGGACTTCAGCAGCAGCACGCTCGTCGCCCTTGAGGACATTTCCGCTGCAGCTTGAAGCATCGACTTCGGCTGGAAGAACAATGTCGTTATCACCAGAGGCCAGAATTGGTCTCTGTCCTCCAAGGTCGAACTCGGAGAAGCCCAGCATCGAGAGGTCCTGGCTACGCCGGAGCTCGGTAGACTGGCACGTGGTTTCTTCCTCTAGTAAAGCAACGAGGTCCTGATAGTCGGCATCATCGATCTCTGGATTGTCTTGCGTAGGTTCAGTGGTTTGAGGGGAAGGGTTAGGACAAGTAGTTGCTTTGTTGACCCATTCGTGCAGTTGTTGGTGAAAGACTTCCTTGGTGGCTGAAGGAGAAGTAGATGGGTGGGACTGGCTTGTAGCTTTGTTACTTTCTGAATGAATACTTGTCAATGGTTGCTCGTTCAGCTTTGTGGCGTGATCCATAGGTGCTTGTCCTGTTCCACGTTTGCCATCGGTGTTGGACATGCTATTGCCAGTTGGCTTAACCCAAGATAGGAAGTAAGGACAGGACATGGTGGTCTGGCCGGTCTTACTCTGCAAATACAGCATACAGAATGTCACCTTACGTTACAACTTAATAAACCCTACAACTTCCAACTTAATAACAGAAGATGCTGTAAATAAACTGGCAACATAATGCACTGGTTCCTGGAAGACTTCTACATTTGCAGGTAGGAGAGCTATAAACTGCAACATAATGCACTGGTTCCTGAGAGACTTCTACATTTGCAGGAAGGAGAGCTAACCAAAGTATTTCCCTCAATTTCTCACTAGTACTTGATTTAGTTAACCATCATATATAGACTAAGCCAAACGTTAAGTTCACTAATGGTTTGAAAGCGTGTCTATCTCCATCATACTTGATTTTGTTAAGTTCATTAAGCCAAAGTTAAGCTTAGGGGTAGGAAGAACTTTATGGGATCAAATACCTCCCGTTTCTCGGATGTCCAACTTCCTTCAACTCCATACTTCTGGGAATCTGCCGGGTCTGTGGCATTACTTGGGTCCTGGTTTTCTTTCTGATCATCTGAAATGTTCTTCTGAGTCTCCTGAGTTACTTGAAGATCACTCCATAATGATTCAGATGTTTCTGATGATATTCGTAAAATAGAAGAATGTTTAAGACAATTGTAGGCTGTATGCAGAAAAATGCAGGAACTTGCAAAACAATATAGCTCGACCTGAGAAGCTTACCTCTCTGTTTTTCCACTTCAGTCCTCCGCAGTCTCAAGGAATCAAATGTTTTCTCGCTGCCAATATCCACTTTCTCTGTTCCAGAATGGAGATCCATCTGAAAGACATAAGACCAAAAGTATCTTAAGAGATCAGGATGTCAACTTCACGCGTATCTTTCAAATTCCTAGGCTTACCCTGTACAGATGCGGAGGCCGATATGGTGTAGCACTTCGGGTTAGCAGATGACAGGTGCTAACCTCGTGAATCTTTGGAGCAGAATCAACAGCCATAGGTTCAGGTGCTGGCAGGAGAGCACCCTTCCCTAAAATTCCACTTTCAGGATTGTTCTTCCCTAGAGTTCCACTTTCAGAAGTATTCTTCCCCAAAATTACACCGTCATGATGATTCTTCCCTAAAATTCCACTTTCAGGATTGTTCTTCCCTAGAACCCCACTTTCAGGATTGTTCTTCCCTAGAATCCCACTTTCAAAAGTATTCTTCCCTAAACTTACATTTTCAGGAAGATTCTTCAGTAAAATTCCACTTTCAGGACTAACTCTCCAACTAGTTGATAGAATGTTGCCATCCCATCTCGCCAACTCTGCATTTCAACAAAGAAGTTGAGTATTACACAAGGCCAGCTGGATCTCATACATAAACATCGAAGAGGGTAGACACAACAAGGGGAAAGCAACTAGGCATGGCGAGCATTAAAATGATGCGGTTACAGAACATCAGACTATCACAGAACCAACCACTAACACCATTCCCATCTTCTCTGGAGCTAAGTTAGTGAACAAATTACTGGCTAGATCGTTAAGATTTGGAACATCCACATTGGTAGTCTGAATGAGATAGAACTACCCCTTCTATTGGAGTTCAGAATAATAATTCAGTTTTCCTTCGAAGGCTTTCGCCTTTTCGTGGAAGGCGTAAACCATCTCGACCGAGGAAGGGCAGATCAGCTACGCACAACCTAAACTATACACTAAAACGTAGTAGTTAGCCAAGTGAAAGAAGAGGTCTTATGAATTCCCTATCTATTTACTTCCGTTAAACAACCAATTCCAAACTAGCTAGACTGATTTTCATTGTTCAATCTATGCATCATCCCAGGCTACAAGTCACAAATCACTGTAGGACTGGTTCCAAGTTAGATGGTTGCACATGCTTGTCAACTCAAATTCACGATACTAGTAGCTAGAGCCTTCACATAACTAAAACCTCAGAGATCCGAACAAGAGGAGAGATCAAGCCAAATGAAAAGCTACGCCGTGGATCGTACCAGAACCAGTCTTCGGCTGCCACCGAACTTTAGGGCGATCGTCAAGCTCACTGTCCAGAGATTGTAACGAATTAAACAACGGTGATAAAGCAACTTTTATATACACTTCCAAGATAACGCCAACAGATAGATCGTAATCGTACCGCAATACATCGCAATCGAAGTTGCAAGGCAACCTCTGGCATATATCCAAAACAGCCATGGACAAGAGAAAATCCGTCGAGTACGCAAACTTCGAGCCCCTGTAAGCGAACGAGAGAGAAAGTGTAAACGGATGTTACTTTTTGAAGGAAAGAAACAAAGGCGGTTAGAACTGAAAAACAGTAGGCGGTGTTTGTTTGCCGAGAAAATCCGTTTACCGTTCGTCGCGTCAACTTTCCTCTCATCGACAAACCAAAAAAAAAAAAAAACGCTAAATCAACAGAGAAGCTTGACGATTGATAGAAAAACAGAGTCGAAATTTTACCTGCGGAACGATGACGCAGGGACGCCATCGTCTGCTCTTGATTCCACCAGCAAGCCTTCAGACGGAGCTCCGGCGCTCATTTTTCTTGAATGCTCCAAAACAGTACCAGAGAGAGAGAGAGAGACGGACGACTTCGTCGCTGTGAAGTCTACTGAGAATCAAAAATCCCGGCGCTGAACGATCTAAGACCTCCAATACAAAATGTAGCTAACTAACCCTAGCTCCGAAAACCTCTACGCCGGAAATCGCTGGTTTACGACTCTACTGGCCGATCAAATGAAACGGAAATGGCGAGAGAACTAGAATCGGAGTGCGAGGAATCAACCGGCGGGAGTTCGTTTTTTCAGCAACGAGACAAAAGAAAAATGAAAAGGCTCCATGAGCGAGCTCTATAAGAATGCTAGAAAATGTGTTTTTGGCGAGAGAGAAAGGGAGGGAGAATTAGCGTGATGGAGAGAGGAGAATAACTCGGGGGCTCTGGCGCTCTATAGACTGGTTAGAAAAAGGAGGTCTGGAGCTGGCAGTAGCAGTACCTGCGTTTCTTGCCATTTTCACAGATTAAGCCACTGGCGAGTTGTACGTTGTTGCTCGGCCTATAGACGTAGGGCCCCGCTTTTAGGAATTGGAGTTGGCTGTGATCCGCTGTGGACGGTCTCACTAGGGAAAAGGGCGATCAACGGTGGATAATAGAGCAGATTGTCATTGCATGTAGGGATGGCAATTTCGACCTGACCCGTTTTACCCTACCTGTTTAACCTGTTTTGGGACGAGTCCGACCTGCCCCGTAGGCGGGGCGGGGCGGGCATGAGTAGTCTCATCGACCCGACCTGCCATGACCCGCCCCATTCTCGACCCATTCTTGTTTAAAGTACATGTAATCTTAGTCAAATTACTTAGAATTTTCCTTTTATTGCATCATATTTTTAGCTATAAGAAAGTTGTAAATTAGTGAAAACCTCAATTTTTTCAATAATTTAACTACAATTGTCATAATATTGTTTGTTTTCTTAGTCTTATAATAAAAATAACGAAATATTGCTAATGTTTTTAATATAAATTGCATACCCATTGAGTCGACCTGCCCTGACCCACGACCCATGATCAATTACCCGACCTGCCACGAGCGGATCTGGGTACCAAGAAACCCGCCCCGGACCTGCCCATTGTCATTCCTAATTGCATGGTGATGTGGACGGTCTGCAATGGATTCAAACTTTGCTCGTATGCTTTCACGGATATGGAGCAGATGATTAGCTCCAATAGATTTGACTTGTAGCCGAAGCAGGCGCCGGAGAGGAAATTTGACACGGAGTCACATAACTAACAACGTTACAACAAATATATGCTTTGACTATTGTGAGATTAGAGAATGGGTGATTTCTTTGGGCCCAAGTTGTGTTAACAAAAATATTCACACACTTTATGTTTTTTTTTTTGCATGTAAGTTTATTAATAATTCGCTTGTATTCATAGAAATAATCTATTTTTCTTGAAATTTTGCAAATCTCTCAACTAAATTTTTATGCATTCTCATCGACCATAAAATCTCATAATCACCGAGTAATAATAAATGACTACACGAGAGTCTGTGTTCAGATAGATCTCACAAAGTCTCAAATCTCTCAATTCCGTATCAATTACATAAAGTATTTTCATTCACTATGAAAGTCTCGACAAGATAATGCTTCCAATGTAGGACATACTATGCGCGAGCTCGGTGCCACTGTGTGATCTGCAAGGAGCAACAAATCAGCCTGAGTTGAAAGTCAATCAAGCTTCAAAGAAGCTGATTCGTGGAAATAAAAAGCGACAGGTCCTTGTGTCGATGTGTTGACAATAGACTAGGTTGTGGTTGGCTCTCCTTTTTCAGAAGATGAGCTTGTGACAGTAATGACCGAGACAACCACAACAATTACAAATGCCACCAAACCTCACAGTAAGAGAAGAGAAGAGAAGCACGGGCGCGCGACGATAACGGTAATGGAAACCACTAAAAAGGCTTTTGTAAAACTTGGGGAGAAAAGAAGTTATAAAAATAGTATTGAAGTTTTCCGGATGAGATTTGCACAAAATGCATAGGGAAAATATGTAAACAGTGGGTCAAATAATATTTGGTTATTTTAGCTATAGACAGTGGGCCAACATTCGATATATGATCTCACAAGAAACAACTTTAGGAGACAAGGAGGAAGCTACTCGCAGTGATTTCAAATATTTTAGCTAGTTCCCATTGTGTTGCCAACTCCTGTTGCCACAACAGTATATATGAAAACAAAAGAAAACATGTTTTCAATGTCAGTTTTCAGTTCACTAGTGAAAATAGAAAACACAAACTAGGAATGATACGAAACAGAGCCATAGATTTTGTAAACCCACTCTCTAAATGACTCCTATCAATCCAGGAAGAAGATGATTGATTTCCAACAGGCATCTGCAGAAGGCGGGAGCTTGAAGATTGAAGAAGAAACGGACCAGGCAGAAACGAAACGTTTCTGCCTTCCCCTCCATCTGATGTTTAAAGCGAAGACCAAAGCGACGTCGTGGAGGTTTTCTCAGTGAACGTTAGGTGGAGCAACGAAGGGCCAATCACACGATGACAAGTGGCGTGTTTATTTACTGCATTTTGTATTTCTGTTTTAACGGACTGGTTCCATTTTTACTGTACTGAACTTTACCTTTCTCTTTGGTATAAATACCAAACAGCAGAGGAGAATCACCTCTTGCGGGTTCCCTCATTTCTGTGCCGCCTTATTCTCTTCTTCTTCATCTACAAACCCTAAGCTCATTGAGCTTTTCTATATGGTATCAGAGCTGGAACAGTTCCAGTGATTTGCAATGGCGAATACACCTCGTCCAGACACTCCTGGTGGCACTCCACTCAACCCTGGAGCAATTCCCTTTGGCAGCTTCGATGGTCAGACGAGTGGAGGAAGTAACAACACCGGGACAACCAACAACAACAACGCCAACAATGGACGAGTAGATCTACTGTTTGGTAACCCATTTTACATAAACCCAAATGAAAACATCTCACAGTCGATTGTTTCTGAAAATCTGGATGGTTCAAACTACCAAATGTGGCAACGAGCAATTCTTATGGCTTTGAAAACTAAACACAAGATAGGATTCATAGATGGTACGATTGCCATGCCACCTGTTGACGATCCTGCTTTTGGGTTATGGGATGCCTCAAATACTTTGGTTCTATGCTGGATTCTCAATTCAATTGAAAAGAAAATCAGAAGAAGTGTATTGCAGCATGAGAATGCCCAGGTTCTCTGGGAAGAGTTGAAAAGGAGATTTGGACTCCCAAATGCCATTAAATTGGCTAACCTTCAGGATCAGATCATTGCTTGTAAGCAAGGATCCATGAATATCACACAGTATTACACAGCATTCAAGGGTCTATGGGAAGAATACTCACAGTTTAACCCCATTGTTGAATGTGATTGTGTAGCACAACGTTCTCGACCTTGTGCAGCTGTAGAGGCTTTTAAGCAGAAGCAGGAAGTGGAATACCTCATCCGCTTTCTGAAAGGGTTAAGGTCTAAGTATGAGATTGTGCATACACAGCTATTGATGATGAAGCCACTTCCTACAGTGGACAGTGCTGTAAACGACTTACTACAGCATGAACAGAAGATTAAAGGAGACAAGGCTGGAGGGACTAAGGGAGTTCAAACTGTAGCACTTGCTGTCACAGGAAATTCAAGTAATCAACAGAAGGGTATGGACATTACTCCTGATGGAAAGAAGTTTTGCAGGTACTGCAAGAAAGAAAACCATACCATTGATGAATGCTACAGTCTTAAACGTAAGAAGGCAAGAATGGCAAGAGGAAATGTGGCTGCAGCTGTTTCTCAAAGTGACTCTTCCACTGACAGTGACACTGCTAGTTCAGAATCCAAACTAAGCATTGACACTAGACCCTCCAGTGGCAACTTTGGCTTGTCTTCTGAGGAATTAAACAAGTTGAGGTTCCTCCTGAACTCAGTCCCACCTTCACCAAGCCCATTTCCACCAGCCTCTCCCTCCATTAATCATCATGCTTTCTCAGTGGCTCAGCACATACCTCACTTCCCAAATCATGCTGGTAAATACATTCTCTCTTCTTATCTTCCACAACAATCGAATGGGTTGCTTGGTATATGGATACTCGATATTGGTGCTTCTGACCATATAGCCTGCAGCCTAGATCTCTTCTTTGAGTCTCACCCTGTTCAAAACCAGTTTGTTTTCTTACCTACTGGAACCAAAGTCTCTGTAAGTCATATAGGGAGAGTTAAGCTTCCTTCGGGACTAGTACTTGACAATGTCCTTCTAGTGCCCAGTTTCTCATTCAATCTAGTTTCTGTGAGTAAACTTACAAATGACTTACCAATATCCTTACACTTTGAATCTGACTCTTGCCAAATTCAGGACCTAATGACCCTCACCAGGACTGGTTTGGCAAAGCAGATTAGAGGCCTGTATCAACTAAACTTCAAGACTATCCCATCTTCTTCACCACCTCAATCACAACATCAGGCAGCAGTCATCTACAACTTTTCCCCTCAAACATTTGACCTGTGGCATTGGAGACTTGGACATGTTCACAGAGAGAAAGAGAAACTATTAGTTCCATGTAATAGGGTCTCTAGTTTACACTGTGAAACCTGTCATTTTGCCAAACACAAAAGGCTCCCCTTTCCTGTTAGTTCCTCTCGTGCACAGGATGCTTTTTCCCTTATTCATGTGGACATCTGGGGTCCATTGGCTGTTAAATCACATGATGGTTACTCCTATTTTCTAACAATTGTTGATGATTACTCAAGAGGTGTCTGGACTTACTTGATGAAATATAAATCTGAAGCTAGCAAACTGTTAGAGTCATTCTGTGTAATGGTGTCTAAGCAGTATTCAAAACATGTTAAGGTTGTCAGAAGTGATCAGGGAGGTGAGTTCCACATGGCAGAATTTTATGCTGCTAATGGGATTGAGCATCAACTTTCTTGTGTTGAGACTCCTGAACAAAATGCCAGAGTTGAAAGGAAACATCAGCATATACTGAATGTTGCCAGATCATTGAGGTTTCAATCTGGAGTTCCCCTTCAATTCTGGAGTGACTGTGTGTTGCATGCTGTGTATCTCATTAACAGAATCCCCACTTCTGCCCTGAACAACACTTCCCCCTATGAACTCCTCTACCATAAACCTCCTAGCCTTTCTGGTTTAAGAGTTTTTGGTTGTTTATGCTATGCTGCCACCTTGCACAGGGATAGGACCAAATTTGATTCTCGTGCAGGGCAATGCATCTTCCTTGGCTTCCCTTCTGGGATTAAAGGCTTTAAACTTTATGACCTAAATTCCCACAGTTTCTTTGTCTCTAGAGATGTTAAATTCTATGAGACGATTCTACCTTTCCACATCACTTCCTCCTCTTCTAATACCCCTACTCTCCTTTCAGATCCTATTCTTCCTACCTTGTCACCTCTAGCTTCTTCCTCTTCATCACCTACCACATCCACTTCCCAGAATGCCCCCAGTTCATCTCATTCACACACTTCCTTTCCATCTCCAACTTCTTCCTTTACTCCTTCTTCTTCTAAACACACTTCCTGTTCAGAGTCTCCTGGTTTGCATTCTGGTGGGGGGGAGGTTGAAATTGAAGTTTTCCCTGATGATGATGATTCCAATGAGGCTGAACTCCTCAGGAAGTCCACTAGAACCAAAAATGTCCCAGCATGGCACAAAGACTATGACATATATATTTCTGCATCATGTTCCAAACATCACATCTGGAAGACCTTCTCTTATGAAAACCTCACTCCTGCACAGAGATCCTTTGCATTCAGTGTCATGATGGAAGTGGAACCTACTTCATATGCTGAAGCCTGCAAAGATCCCAGATGGAACCAGGCTTGTAATGAAGAGTTGGCAGCATTGGAAGAGAACCAGACTTGGGAAGTTGTGAAGTTACCTCAGGGTAAGAAAGCTGTAGGTTCAAAATGGGTGTTCAAGATTAAACACAAATCAGATGGGACTATTGAGAGATTTAAGTCCAGAGTTGTTGCCAAGGGTTACACACAGATTTATGGAATTGACTTCCTTGACACATACTCACCTGTTGCCAAGATTAATTCTGTCAAAACCTTGTTGGCAGTGGCAGCTTCAAAGGACTGGCATATCCATCAAATGGATGTCTCCAATGCATTTCTGCATGGAGACTTAGAAGAAGAGGTTTATCTCAAAATACCTCCTGGAGCTAATGTTCCTAGAGGTCAAGGCCTTGTTTATAGACTTAAGAAGTCTCTTTATGGGCTCAAGCAGGCTAGTAGGCAGTGGTTTGCCAAACTAACTACTGCATTGATGAAGAATGGGTATTCTCAAACATCTTCAGACTACTCTATGTTTGTGAGATGGATTCAGGGCAGAATTGTTGTGGTCCTTGTGTATGTTGATGATATCTTAATTGCAGGCAGTTATTTGGGTGACATTGAGCAGTTGAAACTGTTTCTTGGGAAGGAATTCAAGGTCAAGGACCTTGGTCAAATGAGTTACTTTATGGGCTTGGAAGTTCTGAGAGATCATAAAGGGATCTCTTTGAGTCAAAAGAAATACTGTCTGGAATTAATTACTGATGCAGGGTACATTGAAGCAAAAGGATGTTTGTCTCCTGTTGATTGTAACTTGAAGTTGACAGCTACACAAGGAGAGGCTTTGCCTGATCCTACTGTTTACAGGAGATTGATTGGTAAACTCCACTATTTGACTATCACCAGGCCTGATATCACCTATGCTGTTCAGCAGTTGGCCCAATTTCAAGGCACACCAACTGTTGAACACCTTCAAGCTGCTCATAGGGTTATCAGGTATTTGAAGCACACACCAGGGCAAGGTCTGATTTTCAGGTCTGATTCGAAATTGGAGTTGTCAGGGTTTTGTGATGCAGATTGGGCCAGCTGCCCTGATTCAAGAAGATCTCTGACTGGTTATTGCACTTTCCTGGGAATATCTCTTATCACCTGGAAGACAAAGAAACAAACAACTGTGTCACGTTCTTCTTCTGAAGCCGAGTATAGAGCTCTGGCACAAGTTGTTTGTGAAGTTCAGTGGCTCAGGAATTTGCTACTGGAAATGGGAGTATAGGTGCCTCTTCCAATCCCTCTTTATTGTGATAACAAGTCAGCTCTACATATTGCAGAAAACCCAGTTTTCCATGAGAGAACTAAGCATATCGAGATCGATTGCCATGTTACAAGGGAGAGATTGAAGTCTGGGTTGATTAAACTAAGCCACGTGAGAACTGATGATCAAATTGCTGACATCTTCACCAAGGGAGTGACTCATTATCGTTTGAATTTCCTCTTGAACAAGCTGGGAGTCTTCAATGCATACTCGCCAGCTTGCGGGGGGGTATCAATCCAGGAAGAAGATGATTGATCTCCAACGGTCATCTGCAGAAGGCGGGAGCTTGAAGATTGAAGAAGAAACGGACCAGGCAGAAACGAAACGTTTCTGCCTTCCCCTCCATCTGATGTTTAAAGCGAAGTCCAAAGCGACGTCGTGGAGGTTTTCTCAGTGAACGTTAGGTGAAGCAACGAAGGGCCAATCACACGATGACAAGTGGCGTGTTTATTTACTGCATTTTGTATTTCTGTTTTAACGGATTGGTTCCATTTTTACTGTACTGAACTTTACCTTTCTCTTTGGTATAAATACCAAACAGCAGAAGAGAATCACCTCTTGCGGGTTCCCTCATTTCTGTGCCGCCTTATTCTCTTCTTCTTCATCTACAAACCCTAAGCTCATTGAGCTTTTCTATAACTCCTAAGTTGATTTTCTACTCTGAATCAAATCATTGCAGCTTCCATTATACATGCCGAGCAATTTCTCATAGCTGGGAATTGGTGTAGAAAAACAAGCTGCAAGACCATCCACCGACCAAGAAAAGTAAACCGTCTCTCATCGGCAACAAGCTCCAGTTTCCCCGTCGCCAGATTGCACGAGAAAACAGCAGTCTCTTTGACCTCATCGGAAGTCGTCGGATCGAAATAAATTTCCGTATTTTTGAATTTCGGATCGCGGCGACATTCCAAGAACAAAATTTCCGGCCGCTCCGAATGCTGAGCGAACACAGAGACGACTTCCAGCTTCTCAACTTCCGGCCCGCTGTTACGTTTTAGCTCCTCGAACGACACTTCGTAGCATAGATTCCATGTCATGCGGCCTTCTTCCCACCTCCGAACCATGAAAACATCTGGGTCAGGCCGAAGAGATCCCGATCGATCATGTAGACCAGAACGCCAAAGTAATTCTCACTGCGTCTGCCTGCAGTGGTTGGATGCATATTTGGGTGAAAAGGATCAAACCTCAGAATTTCACTATCCACCCAATACAACTTCCCATCATCCAAAGATGTTGCATTAGGTGCAAGAGGACGCATCCATTATGGTCGACCATTTTCGGGACTCGAAGCAAAACACCTGTAGTTCTGAAATCCATGGCGACCAAGCATATCTATCCACTCCATATCGAACCAGAACGCGAAAGCGATAGTCGGGGTACAAAAATACCCGGCCATCACCCAGATCCAAATCATTAGCATTACCAACTTCTCGACCGATCAATTTCACTTCCTTCGTTCCGTAAGTCCTGCACGAGGACGTTTCAGGCGCCAAGGGAAGGGCGACCCACTGCTCTGTAAAGGGATTGCAGATCAAGAGCGATCTGGCCCTTTCGTGATTGTCGTCCGACGCCGAATGCTGAAACCCGCACAGAAGCAAGTCCTTGAAGGAATCCCAAATCACGAAGTTGGATCGGAATTCGTCGGGCACGGGGAGGAAGCTCAGGAGCGACGGCAGTTGCAAGGGGTCGTCCTTCGGGAGAAAAAGCAGAGGTGGTAATTGGCCTAATTCGTTCCTGCTACGGCGGTGAGAAACGAAACGGCGGTTGAAACGGGAGCGAGAGATCAAGGAGTTCCATCGCTTGCAGACTGATTTGCTACGGCAGGCGGATCTGGGATTCGGGAAGCTGCGGACGAGAATTTCTTCGAGGAGATCGTCCCCCAGTTTGCTGATGGGAGCGTCTGCCGCCAGCCCGCCATTGATACTTTGATCCGCCTCCTGATGGAAAGTATCTATTGCTGCGGCCTTGGGAGATTCTAACCCTAAACCCTATTTAACATAAGCTTTCTTTTTCCCAAACCAATTAATGCGCCTAAATATTGAGTCGCAGTATTGCTTAAATTACTTATGAGAAAATGGAGACCAAATATGAAAATTGTTAATCCATTCTAGAGAAGAAGCTCATATTCGTATCAATTTGTATCTGGGTATATGTTTGTCTTCGTGTCTCGTGATTATCAAGTCCAATGCGAATTTATTGGGCCACGATTGCGATTCATAATTGGGGCCTTCGTAATCCACGAACGACCCACTACTTCGCAGTTACGTGCTCGCTACCGCGGAAGAACCGAAATAGCCTATGTTTTCACGCTGAGTTGAAGTCTAAAGCACAAATCTAGTTTCATACTATTCAGCTAGGCAACAACTTTGTAAGTCCGTGGTGAAGGAGAAGAGCATCACGGTAGACGAGGGACTCCACACATTTAGACGTATCAGCTGACAACCACCACCTACGAACTGGATATGTCGTAACATTGATGGATCGGTTACTCATTCGTCTTCGAGCACGGGGCTGGCGACATCGTGAGGGGAGGCAATGATCATTTTATTAGAGTCTACGCAATGAACCTAGAAGGGGTTTGATTACCCGTGCAGAGCAAACTGGAATTGTGCATAGACTGAAACTTACTTAGGAATCAGGAGATGAGAAAGTTCTTCTACGGGCCAACTCTATCACAGCCAAATCTCTTATCGAGTCGGCTACATCTCATCATCCGCACAACTATACATGCATTGTGAAGATCCGTCGATGGCTTTATGCAAGACTGACATGTTATGGTCGAACATGTTTACAAATAGGTCATTTGTTTCTCATTCACATTTTTATTTTCTTGCTTATTGGTTGTACTATGACTTTCTTTGAGTTGAATCGAAATAAGTCCTATTTAATAAGTTATATTTTAGTCTGATGACTCAGATTAATTTCTTTTAAATTATATATTTTTGTAGTTTCTCTTACCAATTGGTTGAGCTGACCCTAAATATACAATCCCTCTGTTAATTTTAATCCTTAACAGGTAAAATGTTTTTTTCTCTCGATATTTGCAAAATGGTCTCCCCCTCCAAACTCCATAGAACAGGCAAAAACAAAATGGTAAGGAAGATAGCAGAGCAGGGAATTGACCTTGAGTTACTGGGCCCAAACTTAATCACTATAGGCCCATGACATTGAGGGCAACTCAATAAGGGCCACACCAGCCCATCTAATACGAATATATAAACCTCGGCCCCGTTTCTTTAGGGTTTCAATCGCCGTCTGTGTAAACCCTCGCGAAGGAAGAGCTCCTCTGCATAACCTGCAAGCCGCGCAAAGGGTGCCTCTTTTCTTCTTCATCTTCCATCTGCAACCATGGTAATTAGCTGAGGCTCTGTAACTTCTATCTCCCGTTGCTTAGTTTACTCCATGAACATGCCCCTCACTTCGTTTTCGATGTTGCTTTCAGATTATCTCAGAGAAGAACAGGAGAGAAATCTCCAAGTACCTCTTTCAAGGTTCGTCCCGTATACTCACTCTGTCCGTTTTAATTCATTTGCTAGAAGGGGTTAGGAGGATTGAACTAATGGTTTTATTTGGCGGGGAAATTGAATGGGCAATTGGGATCTAGTGAAACAGGGAAATGGGGTACATTGATTATAGTTAGGGTATGGATTGTCTTTAATGTATCCTGTTTGTGCATGAACAAAGATTAGTTGGGATGCTTTGTGCCTTCTGGAGTCTGATTACTGATTAAAAGCTTGTTGATTGTTGTTTTTGATGACCATTCAGAGGGAGTGTGCTTTGCCAAGAAGGACTTCAACCTTGCCAAGCACCCTGAGATCGATGTTCCCAATCTCCAGGTGATTAAGCTGATGCAGAGCTTCAAATCGAAGGAGTATGTCCGCGAGACCTTCGCCTGGATGCACTACTACTGGTACCTTACCAATGAAGGGATTGAGTTCTTGAGGACTTACCTCAATCTTCCATCTGAGATTGTGCCTGCGACTTTGAAGAAGTCTGCTAAGCCTCTTGGCAGGCCCATGGGAGGTCCACCTGGTGACCGCCCGAGGTAATATCCCAGTGTTTGCTTTGCTGTTTGCATGGATTGTGTGTTCCGAGATTCCAGTTGTTTCTGAATTCCCTCTTGAAGCTTATTGATTCGTGTTTGTTCGTATAATAACTTGTAGGGGTCCCCGTTTTGAGGGAGACCGTCCAAGGTTTGGTGATCGTGATGGGTACCGTGGTGGTCCTCGTGGAGGGGGTGACTTTGCTGGTGGTGAGAAGGGAGGTGCTCCAGCTGACTTCCAGCCCTCATTCAGGGTAATGTAACTTTCTCTATGAATTCATATGAAGAAGAATGCTCCGTGGTTGACCTGATTGTTTATATGTTCATATATCTGGGTGGCAACTGTAGTTAAATGCATCTATCTTTAACAGTAGATGTGTCTGCGGTCAACAGTTGTCTTTTCTCTACTTAATTCCTTTTGTATTTGTACTCTTTGGTGCCGCTGTCAATGGTTTAATTCTCATCATTTGTTTTCTTGTGGTTTTCAGGGCTCTGGTGGAAGGCCTGGATTTGGTCGTGGTGGTGGCGGTTATGGCAGTGGTGCACCACCAGCTCCAAGCAGTTCCGGTGGATTTGCTTAAGAATGTGCTTGTAACTTTAATTTTTGGGCGTCGCATGGATGTTTGCATATGTAGCCTTTGAAAGTTACGAACATTTTTTGGTATTCCGTTGCAGTAGTCTGTTATTGTAAGGGATTGACAACGATGAAAACTCTTCTTTTACGATGATGTTGTCGAGTATTTTGTTCGTTACGATTGGCTCACTTTTCCCAGTTTCAATTTACCCTCAATCGTACGAAATAGCAAGTTCATGATATTAGTATTACTGATGTTGCTCTGAATGGGATACTAGGAAAGTAGTTGTCCCTAGTCTTTCTACAGATGTTAGATATCTGCTGCTGGGCTATGATATTGCTCTGTTATTACTTGTCACAGAAGTTATGCCGGGGTTGACGAACCATATTCGAGTACTGAGCGATGAATGGATCGCATACAATTTCTGTAGCCTTGATATGCTGTAAGCCCTTCTATTCATCTCTTTCACGATATAGGAGAACCAAAGCACACAATATTATACTTGTTGAGCTGAACAACTTGTCCAGCTGAACAACTTGTTGAGCCATCATTCTCAGTCAATAGATCGAAGTACACCAACACATAATCAAGGAACTTCAAGGATAGTTAATAGTACAAATTCGTGCGAGAATGGAGGAGTGCTCGAACGGATAGCAGCGGAATCAACTGCTGAGGATGCCTGGGCTTGCTGAGCGATCATTCCCCGTCAAGAGAATATGATCGAAGAACACCAACACATAATCGAGGAACTTCGAGTAGAATAAACAGTACGCACCAAATGCTAGTTCCATATCTCCAAGCAGTTGAAACCAGTTCCATCTTTATGGGTGCAGTTTTAAGTTAGAACACCCATCCACTTAATTCTTAAATGTGTATACAGCTAATTGCTTACGTAAGTGAAGGAATGGCGACATCACTGTGAGCAAGAACAAAGTAAAAAGAGCGACGGAAAACGCAAAAACCATTACGTTGACGAAGAACTCAAGATAACATAAATCTCCGCTTGGTAAAAGAAGAAAATGACAGTAGTTTAGAAGGGCTAGAGTACCAGCACAAAAACAAAAATAACCACAAAAGGATAGCGAAGAAAGTCTGCAGAGGAAAAACCAATAGACACAGAACTAAAGAGCTCCACTGTTCTAAAAAACTAAAAGATAAAAAACTTAGTCGACTTCCTCCATCTTGCTCTCCTCGGCACCATCATCCTCAAGAGGAGGCATCTCCGACTCATCACCAGCGGCCAGGTCGTCCTCGTCAATGCTCAGCCCAAGCTTCAACATCCTGTGAATCCTGGTCGCGAAGGTGTTGGGGTCCTCGAGACTGAACCCGGAGTTCAGCAACGCGGTGTCGAACAGCAGCAGCACAAGATCCTTGACAGATTTGTCGTTCTTATCGGCATCAGCCCTCTTCCTAAGCTCGTCCATGATGCCATTGTCGGGGTTGATCTCCATGGTCTTCTTGCTAGACATGTAGGATCCCATGCTGCTGTCCCTCAAAGCTTGAGCCTTCATGATCCTCTCCATGTTGGCGCTCCAACCATACTCGCCGGTCACCAAACAGCAAGGGGAGTCGACGATCCTGTCGGAGACGATCACCTTCTCCACCTTGTCGCCCAAGATGTCCTTGATCGTCTTGCAGAGCTCCTCGAACGACTTCTTCTTCTCTTCCTTCTTCTGCTTCTCTTCCTCGGTCTCATCATCAAGCTTCAACCCTTCCTTTGTTGCAGAGACAAGCTTCTTTCCATCATACTCCTTCAGCTGCCCGATGGCATACTCATCAATGGCGTCAACCATGTACAGGACTTCGTATCCCTTCTTCTTCAGCCTCTCCAAGAAGGGAGAGTTCTCCACTGCCTTCTTGCTCTCTCCAGTGATGTAGAAGATGTCGGTCTGACCTTCCTTCATTCTGGTCACATAGTCCTTCAAGCTGGTCAACTCCTCGCCGCTCTTGGTGGAGTGGTACCTCAAAAGGTCAGCAAGCTTGGAACGGTTGGTGCTGTCCTCGTGGATACCAAGCTTCAAGTTCTTTGAGAAGGACTCGTAGAACTTGTTGTAGTCCTCCTTGTTCTCAGCAATCTCGTTGAACATCTCAATGCACTTCTTGACGAGGTTCTTTCGGATGACCTTAAGGATCTTGTTCTGCTGGAGCATCTCACGGGAGATGTTGAGCGGCAGGTCGTCAGAGTCAACCACACCTTTCACGAAGGAGAGGAACTCAGGGATGAGCTCATCACAGTTGTCCATGATGAAGACACGCCTGACATACAGCTTGATGTTGTTGGCCTTCTTGCGAGTGTCAAAGAGGTCGAATGGAGCCCTTTTAGGAACAAACAGGACTGCCTTGAACTCAAGCTGGCCCTCAACGGAGAAGTGCTTCACAGCCAGGTGGTCCTCCCAGTCATTGGTCAGGCTCTTGTAGAATGAAGCATACTCCTCCTTGGTGATGTCTTCTGGCTTGCGGAGCCAGATGGGTTTCTGCTTGTTGATGAGCTCCCACTCATGAGAGACTTCCTTGATCTTCTTCTTCTTCTTGGATTCAGTCTCTTTCTCTTCATCAACCTCCTCAACTTCGCCTTCCTTTTTGGGCTCCTCTTCATCTTCGTCATCACTGATCTCCTTCTCGGTGGTTTTCTCGGTCCAGAGGTAGATCGGGTAGCTAATGAACTCAGAGTGCTTCTTCACAAGGTCCTTGATCCTCCTCTCCTCGAGGTATTCCAACTATGGAAAGAGATACATCAACACGTGTCAACCATCTCACCAAACACATGTCCCAATCTAATAATTAGACACTATCCAACCCATTCTGAATTCAGAAAAGAGTACACACTCATTCAAATTCAAGATACAAACATGGCCACTTCTACCCAAGACTTCAAACCAACATAAGTAGAAAGTTCAGAAATAGGATACACTAACTGAGCAGGCAAAGAGCGCAAGATTCGTTCTCCTATTCACGAGGCTAAACAGCAATTGCACTTAACTAAATCAATCTAATCAGAGTCGCATTGGGCAAATTTTACCTGGTCTTCCTTGAGGTGGAGGACCATCTTGGTGCCTCTGCCGAGCTGCTCACCGGAGGTGTCCCTTGTAACGGTGAATGAACCACCGGCCTGTGACTCCCACACATACTGCTCGTCATCGTTGTGCTTGGTGGTCACGATGACCTTCTCGGAGACAAGGTAAGCGGAGTAGAACCCGACACCGAACTGGCCAATCATGCTAACATCAGCACCAGCCTGCAAGGCTTCCATGAACTCCTTGGTTCCAGACCTCGCAATCGTTCCCAAATTGTTCACCAAATCTTCACAAACAAAAAACGAAACCACTCTACCTCAGTAACCATCATTCTAACCGCTCAATAACCACCATACCAAACGCATACACATATTCAAACTAGGGCAAACGAGAGAAAACATCAAATTCAAGGGCAATGGAACTCACCAGCTTTGGTCATGCCGATGCCGGAGTCGATGATGGTAAGGGTGTTGTTGGCCTTATCGGGGATCAGCCTGATGAAGAACTCCGGCTGTCCATCGAGCTTGCTCTTGTCGGTCAGGCTCTCGAATCTAATCTTGTCCAAAGCCTAAAAACAGCAACAACCACAACACAGCCATAGCAGCCAGAAATCAGGACTCAATCTACAAGCCTGACGAAAAAAATTTGAAAAGGAATTCGGATCGAAAGCGGGGCTCACATCGGACGAGTTGCTGATGAGCTCGCGGAGGAAGATCTCCTTGTTGCTGTAGAAGGTGTTGATGATCAAACTCAGGAGCTGGTTGATTTCGGCCTGGAAGGCGAATGTCTCGGCGTCCGCCATTGTTAGAACACCCTCGGAATGACGAAGCGAAGAGCGCTGGATCTGGAAGAGCGTTTTGAGGGAAGAGGAAAATCGAGACGGGGGCGAAAGAGGGTTTGAGCAATGGGAAGCGGAGAGCGTGTTTAAATAGTGCAGTGAGGGTTTCAGCCTTCAGGGAGGTTTTGCTTTGCTAGGGCAACAAGGTCAAGGATGCAGGAAATTCTAGATCCTTCTCTGGATGGGCCCCCGGCCTCCTACTGAATTCGTAGCTTCAGATTGCGACTTTGCACTTTGCAGGGCCTTACTCTTCGAAATCGGTAGATGAGCGTGTTAATTCGGAGGCAAAGTTGCAAGAGACGTCGTCGTTTAGAACAGGCAGTCTCCCTTTTTCTCCCTTTCGAACTACTGGGATTCTTATTTTCCTTTTTACCTTTTGTGATTCTTCTTCGTTTGGGGAGTAAAGTGGGATTCTTCCCTAACAAATGAGGAAGCCAATAATTATGAAAAAATATTTTAAATTATAATATAATCTAGTTTCTAGTCCGGTTTGTTGGTCGGATTGCTTTAACTTACCCGTGGAGTGGAAGTACGAGCGAGACCGAGAGAACGTCTATTTCATAATAATTAAACATTCAAAAAATTAATAAAACTTTATTATTAAATACTTTAATTAGCATTTATCAACTATCCTATCATATTTTAGACGAAATACTACCACGCCTCTTCATTTTATAATTAAATATATATTTAGATCGAGAATGATATGACGAAATTTAATAGCTCATTCGAACGCATTAGTTATCAATTTAATGCCTAAATTACTTAAATTTGCTTTGTGTCTTAAACTTTATTCACTGAATAAAGAATAAAAGTACATGTATTCCCTTCTCAACAACCACCAATGTTTCTCTAAATGGCACTCCAATACTCCACCCTCACGGTATTACTGTTTTCATCATCTTCCAATTTTTTCCATGCATCGTTAACCCTTCATTCTCTTCCTTCTGTCTTCTCCAACATTCCAAGATTATAACATAGAAAACTTTTCATACCAGTCCAAATTATCTTAGATTAGTGGTCACGTAAATAATTTAAATGAAAAATCTCTTCCAATCGAGTCCTGACTTAATCCAGTTGAGATCACAAAGAGCTCAGATACTATAGGAATCTTTGGTGATTGATTGACATGGAATTTCTATGTAATCCATTACGAGTACTCCACTCGGGTTTAGTATGGAGCCTTTGGCTTTTTCTTCTACTCTTTTATCAAAAGTTGCGATTGCTAATGTGTTTTTTTGTGCTCGTGAATTTGAATGTCGAGATGTTCTATTGCTTATGATTTCAACTAGTTTTACTTCTCAATCTTGTTGCATAACCCATGACACATTGTACACAAATGGGATGCGGAAACTAAATGGTGTGAACATCGGGGAGCTACATAAGCTCGAAAGGAAGTTGAAATCTGTGACCATCTTCTTTATCATTAAACAACCATTGTGTATGTAATATATGTTTAAAGTCCGAGCTTTGGTCTGTGCTGCTTGTGGTTATCCGCCCAGATTTGAGATACCAATGATGTTTTTTCTCCAATGGTTGTCCCCTTCAGTTTCACTAGCGTATCTTCTTGGGTCGTCTCGTTGACAATATGTGAATTTCTGAATTTTTGTAAATCTCATATCGATTAATTTTCTTAATTTTGTGCTATTAAATCCGCTATATAGAGCGCAACATCAATGACGTTTCAATTTTCATTTGTTTTAATCTTGATCTAGTGTTGTTCCTTTTTTTTTTTAAGAAAACATTCATTCATTCATTAATTCCCTTAAAAGTGTTGTTTCTCTATTTTTTTTTTTGCATTCACAATATAGTTAATGGAGTAACTCACAACCCCAAGCATCTCATACCCTTTTCTAGGGTTTATTGTCAATAGAGGTGAGAAATTGATTGGATTGGTGGATTGGATTGATAGATCCATGAATGTTTCTCTATTGTTTTTTTATTTTTTGCATTCACAATATAGTCAATGGAATAACTCACAACCCCAAGCATCTCATACCTTTTTCTAGGGTTATTGTCAATAGAGGTGGCAAATGGATTGGATTGGTAGATTCATGGATCAAATAATTTGCATCCAATGGATTGGTGAATTCATGAATTGGATGAAGTCGATTGGTGGATTATCCATGAATCCAAATGACATCCTCAACCTTGGACCAATATGTAAAATGTGAAAAGTTTAGGTACTAAAATATCATAATGAAAATTTTAGGCACCAAAGTGTAAAATATAAAAATTACAGGTACTAAACTATAATTTGCCAATGAATACACCAATCCAATTGGATTTTCATAAAATGAAAATATTTTTTTGTGTTGTTCATAACCTGCTTATTGAACTAACCAACTAGAAAAGCTTAAGTCTTGCTCCTCATGGTATTCTGTTTTTTGCTCATCTCATCTGCTACATGAAATGATGAAGAAATCTTTTAAGACCTATCATCATATATTTGAATTCATAGACCAAGTGGGTCAAGCTTGCATCTTTACATGGTTGATCAACTTTTGGGTAGCCCGTCAAGTTGACCATTTGATAGGGTCTTGGATCAAGCTAATGATATTATGAATGGTCTTTTGCCATCGCTTGATAAATTTAGACTTTTAGAAGACAAGCTTTAGTTGTGACTTAAGATGGATGGATATTAGAAAAACCGGAAGATATTCTTCAGTTGGTATTTGATTCATTTATCATATGGTTATGCAATTATTCCATAACCTTTCGTTGCCTATTCCAATGGCCTTTCTTAGAGCATTGTGCAAGTTCTCTCCTTTTCGGCCGGTGACAATTTGATTTCATATACTCGTATCGTATGCAAACACACATGTATCACAAAGCGCAGCGAGCGAGTCCTATCTAGTTGTGACTTGTGATAGATATAAGGATGAATGGGCTTGCCCTAATGAAAATGATCCATCCGAGGTGGTCAAACATAGAAGTAGGAGAACCTTATCTTAATACAACAGAAATAAAGGGACTAAATGAGTAAATGTCTAAAACAAGGCCGACTAAGAAACGGAAAAGTTTACTTCCCCTAAACGCAGTCCGACTAGGAATCGGAAAACCTTCGCCGGTATTTATTTACAACGAAGCCTCCTCTCACTTCAAACAACAGAGCTTCTTTAGGAAACATGGCCGCAAAAATTTGCTCCGATGCGCAAGAAGCAGCGTTGAGTCTTATCTCAGAAATCAAGCGTCGGGTTACCGGCGAGAAGTACGTCCGGTTCATAAACGCGTTGCAGCGGCACCGCCCCGGCGGCGGCCGCCAGCCGGAGTCACTGACGGAAACGATGATGATAGTGGAGGATATTCTGGAAGGGCAGGGAGACTTGATGCAGAAGTTTTACCGGGTGGTTTATGGCTCTCCGATTGACGTCGAAAGGGAGGAAGGATGCAAGGCGGCCGTCGATTTTATCAACCGGATTGGGACGCGCAACCGAGGGTTGCAGAAAACGGTGCTCAAGCTCTTCGATTCGTACAACAGAAACTCGATCGGGGAAGACGACCTCCGCCTCGAAGTGGTGGAGTTGCTGAAACGGAACCCGGATGTGCTCGACGGGATCGGTAGGTTTCTCCCCGTCACCGAAGCTGCGCCGATCTCCGTCGTCGTCCCGCAAGGAGAAAAACCCTATTCGAGGAAGATTGGGGATCGCGGCGATCAGGAGGCGACGGTGGAAGAACATAGGGTTTCAAAGAGGGCTAAACCCGTAAACGGAAATAGTCTCCAGAGGGAAGAAATCTCCGAATTAATTTTTGAAAATCGGGAGAAGTTCCCGCCGTCGACCTTGTACCGCTACAGCACCGGCGGCGACGATTTTCGCGAGGAAATCAGTAGGTCGCTGTCCCAATTGATTCCGCCGGCTGCTGCCGCCGCCGTCGTGGAAGAGAAAGAAGAACGACGAGTTGCCAACAGAGAAAGGGAAAAGGAATGGGCGAAATCCCTAATCTCTAGATCCAAGAGGCTGACCCCGAGCTACCTGCCGCTGCCACCGGAGACAAAATCGAAATCGAAATCATCGTCGCCGTCGATTCTGAACACCAGCTGCGTGTCGGCGGCGGCGGAGGAGTGCGATTTCGCAGTGGGAGCAGAGAGGAGGCGGCGGCTGAGGGTGGATCTGAGGGAGGAGAAGCTGAACAGGATGGAAGACGACCTGTACGAGGCGGATATGGCGAAGAGGTATCTGATGTCCATGGTGGAGTACGTGGAGGAGAGCGAGAGAGGGGATGAGAGGAAGGAGTTCCGCTTCAAGAACTGCGTGGAAGCGATGTACGGCGGAGCCGTGGAGCTGCCGAAGAGGAAGGAGGATCGGGAGTCGTTGGATCGGGCCGTGAAGACCCGGTTGTATCAGAAGATTGGCGAGTTGAGCGTGCAACGGTTGAAGATGACTGCTAAAGCATATCTCTAGCTCGCTTCTGTGTGTGTAGTAGTTTCTTCTGAGACTTGTGTATTCGATTGCAATGGCAAAGTAGAAATTCAGTTTGGACGAGGAATTCCAATGGAACAATCTGAAACAATTGTCTCGTTTTGAGTCAATTGTGCTAGATTGATTCATTTGAGAGCAGAAAATTTGAATGAAGCAATTTGAGCTGGGGAATTCTGAATGAGTCAATTACAATTGTATGAGGTGGGGGCAAGTAATATGAATTGACTCGTTTTAAATGACCCTTTTTGTAAAATGAAATAATTGATCTGAATTGACTCGTTTTAAATGACCCTTTTTGTAAAATGAAATAATTGTCAAAATTGTCTCGTTTTACAATTGAAGCTTATTGTTCTTGAAGTCAAGTGTGGATTTGAGATGAGTTTTAACAAATTTCAACCACTCTCTATTTCAGTATTGGTTGTCTCATTGTAGAGAATCGTGCAAGCATTTCCAGGGAACTATTAAAACCTTTCTCTACACCACAAACGATGACATGTCCCCAAAATACATGACGAACAGATAGAACAGAAGAAAGCACGAAAACCAGAAAGAAAGATAACACTAGCACACACAAAAAGACATGAAACTTCACATACTTCTCTGTAAAATTTGTCAACCCATCCCACCATTTCTCTCTTCCACAACTCGAAGGCCACTTGACAGACTTCAGTCGACTTCCTCCATCTTGCTCTCCTCAGCACCTTCCTCCTCCAGGGCCGGCATCTCAGAATCATCACCACCCGCCGCATCGTCATCCTCAATGCTCAGCCCAAGCTTCAGCATCCTGTGAATCCTCGCTGCAAAAGTGTTGGGATCGTCGAGACTGAACCCAGAAGTCAGCAGCGCGGTCTCGAACAGCAGCAGCACCAAATCCTTCACCGACTTGTCGTTCTTGTCGGCCTCAGCTCTCTTCCTCAGCTCCTCCATGATCCCATTGTCAGGATTGATCTCCATCGTCTTCTTGCTCGACATGTAGGAGCTCATGCTGCTGTCCCTCAGAGCCTGCGCCTTCATGATCCTCTCCATGTTGGCAGTCCAGCCGTATTCTCCAGTCACCAAGCAGCATGGAGAGTCCACAATCCTGTCAGATACCACAACTTTCTCCACCCTGTCTCCCAGGATGTCCTTGATCACCTTGCAGAGGTTCTCGAAGGACTTCTTTTTCTCCTCCTTGGCCTTCTTCTCTTCCTCCGTCTCGTCGTCCAGCTTCAAGCCTTCCTTGGTGGCAGAGACGAGTTTCTTGCCATCGTACTCCTTCAACTGCCCAACAGCATACTCGTCGATGGCATCCACCATGAAGAGAACCTCGTACCCCTTCTTCTTGAGCCGCTCCAGGAAAGGAGAGTTCTCCACTGCCTTCTTGCTTTCTCCTGTGATGTAGTAGATGTCCTTCTGTCCTTCCTTCATCCTCGTGACATAGTCCTTCAAGCTCGTCAGCTCTTCACCACTCTTGGTGGAGTGGTACCTCAGGAGATCAGCCAGCTTGGTCCTGTTCTGGCTGTCTTCGTGGATGCCCAGCTTCAGGTTCTTCGAGAAGGCCTCGTAAAACTTGGTGTAGTCCTCCTTGTTCTCGGCAATCTCGTTGAACATCTCGATGCATTTCTTCACCAGGTTCTTCCTGATCACCTTCAGGATCTTGTTCTGCTGAAGCATCTCTCGGGAGATGTTGAGTGGCAGATCATCAGAATCTACCACACCTTTAACAAACCCGAGGTACTCGGGCATTAGCTCCTCGCAGTTGTCCATGATGAACACCCTCCTTACATACAGCTTGATGTTGTTCATCTTCTTCCGGGTGTCAAAGAGGTCGAAAGGAGCACGTTTAGGTACGAACAAGATGGCCTTGAACTCGAGCTGTCCCTCAACAGAGAAGTGCTTGACAGCAAGGTGGTCCTCCCAGTCGTTTGTCAAGCTCTTGTAGAAGGAGGCGTACTCATCCTTCGTGATCTCTTCTGGCTTACGCAGCCAGATGGGTTTCTGCTTGTTGATGAGTTCCCACTCGTGAGAAACCTCCTTAATCTTCTTCTTCTTCTTGGAGCTGCTCTCTTTCTCCTCATCAATCTCCTCGACGTCCCCTTCCTCTTCCTTCTCCTTCTTGGGTTCGTCGTCTTCATCATCGCTGATCTCCTTCTCGGTTGTCTTCTCGGTCCAGAGGTAGATTGGATAGCTGATGAACTCCGAATGCTTCTTCACCAAGTCCTTAATTCTCCTCTCCTCCAAGTACTCCATCTGGCAACAACAATTCGCAGTAAACATGACCATTAACAACCCTGAAAATGATTCAATTCCAAAACCAAATCGAATATGTAGAGAACCGATTCATACCTGATCTTCCTTGAGGAAGAGGGTAATTTTCGTTCCCCTTCCGAGTTGTTCCCCATTAACATCCCTCGTCACAGTGAACGAGCCTCCAGCCTGGGATTCCCAAACGTACTGTTCATCATCGTTGTGCTTGGTTGTGACGACAACCTTCTCAGCAACGAGATAGGCGGAGTAGAACCCCACACCAAATTGACCAATCATGCTCACGTCTGCACCGGCCTGGAGCGCCTCCATGAATTCCTTAGTTCCGGATCTCGCAATTGTTCCCAAATTGTTCACCAAATCTACGCAGATTACACCACCACCAACAGTTCTCAATATCCATGATCAAATCAATCCCTAACCACCAATAATGCTTCCACTATTCAAACTATAATTTCAGATAACAGATTAATCCACATAATCGAATCAATTGACGCAACATATTGGATATTGCGAAACATCCCTAACTAATTACCTGCTTTCGTCATGCCAACACCGCTGTCGATGATGGAGAGAGTCTTGTTGGCTTTGTCAGGGACGAGCCGGATGAACAGCTCCGGCTGGGCATCAAGCTTGCTCTTGTCCGTCAAGCTCTCGAATCGAATCTTATCCAACGCCTGCAGCCAAACAGAAAACCATTCAATCCACCGAATCGACATTGACATAACCTTTCGCAGGTAGAATTCAAAGAAACCCGTAGATACATACATCGGACGAGTTGCTGATGAGCTCGCGGAGGAAAATCTCCTTGTTGCTGTAAAAAGTGTTGATGATCAGGCTGAGGAGTTGGTTGATCTCGGCCTGGAAGGCAAAGGTCTCGGCATCGGCCATCTGAACGTCCGCCATTGCTGCTTTGCTTCACAAGAAAGCAGACTGAATCAGATTAATGAACGCTGCAGAGAGAAAACTGAGAATGGAGCTTGTTTGGCTGTGCAGAGAGAATGCAGAGCGATTTTTCGACTTCTGATGAGGGCGACGGAGGTGCTTGCTTGGGAATATAAACGATGGCAGAGAAGGCTCTGGAGAGTTTCTAGTCTCTTCTTCGAAAATATTTTGCCGCGGGGGGGAAACGAAATACAGGGAAAGAGGATTTCTGGATCCTTCTATCGGTAACTGGAGCGCAACAGATGGATGAGGGTGTCGTTTTGAGGTTTGGAACGTGGCGTTTCGCTTGAGCTGGATTTTTTTTTTTTTTTTTTTTTGCCTTCGAGAGAGTTCGCCCAGCCAGGTAGGATGATGGCCAGTCAGTTCTGGAGGAAAAAACTGTGGACCAGTAATCATATATTGGGCTTTATTTAGGAGTTTTTCCGGTAATGAAACGATCTATTGAATTAGTTGTGCTACTGGTATTGGGCCTGAAATTTATGGCTTGTTCCTCAACGGAAAAATGTTGTATCTGATTAAAAATTTAATCAGATCCATAATTTTTTTCTTTATATATCCAATTTCGTTTTCTGAATTTCTCTTTTTCATAACCCTATTTATGTATTTCTAAGTTGAACATTTAAATATTGATGCCGTATGAGTATTGATGCCGTATGAGTGTGTTTGAATTTTCATTACATATTAGATCCAAGTATGAATTATTATTTTGGTGCATTGTTATATGCCATTACTCATATGTTGGATGGAATTTTATATAATTTATAAATATACGAACAATATAATGATTTTTTTTATATATCTTGGGTAAATCGGGCTAAATGATCAGATCTCTGACCCTTAACCCACTTACTCGACCTGACCAGCGGGTTAAACCAAGTTGACAATCTTGCACTACATGTTGGATCCAAGTATGAATTGTTATTTTGGTGCAATGTTATATGTTATTACACATATGTTAGATGAGATTTAATATAATTTATAAATGTATGAACAATATAATTACTTTTGCCATATATTTATGTTAGATGAGATTTAATATAATTTATAAATGTATGAACAATATAATTACTTTTGCCATATATTCAAGCTAAATTGGGCTAAAGAATCGGACGGTTGACCCTCAACCCACTTGTTCGACCAGACCAACGGACTAAACCTAGTTGACAACCTTAATATAGATAGACTTTTCTAATTTTTTACTTGCAGACAAATTTTAGGTTGCATGTACTATATAGTACCAACTAGCTCCGCACGAGTTATGAAAGCCATGGTTGTCACATTGGTGGAATTTTGATCGGGAACTAGGTACAACCGTTGTCGGCCATAAAATCAGTTCGAATGTCACATGTATGACTAGTATGATCGATTTTCGATTTCTAAACAAAATAACATCGTTTTTAGTGAATTTAATAAATTACTTTATGATTTATTTCATGAATTTGAAAGTTAAATGTTGATGTTATTTATTGGATTCAAATATAAACATTTGAGTGTTTATGTTAAATGTTGCATTTAAATATGAGTATTTGTTATTTTATTTGTAATGTTATATTTTATTTAAATATGAATGTAGATTATATTCAAATATGATGTATATATGGTTAAATTCATCTGATGTCAATAATTTTTCATATTCTTACAGACTTTATTAAACCAATATGAATCGATTATACCACCGATTAAACCATACCACTTACTAAACCAACACATCTCTATAACCCTTTTTTACAGAAAACAAACAAAATTTGGATATGATAAGGGGAGTCTCCTCAAACGCTTAACCAACTCGAAGCTTTTACCATATTTTCTTCTTACTAATTGAGAAACCAAGACTGAGTGAGAGCACTATTGTGTCGAAGGAAATTACTAATAAGCAAGGTTGTCAACCTGCTGGTTGACCCACTTTGATCCTGACCGTTGAGAAAAATGGGCCGCACGCACTCGCCGGGTCGACCGCTATAAGGTACCGGATTGGAGGTCAAATTGTGCCTTTTTTTTTTGTTTTGCGAAATGCACCTATTTTCCGATTTTTCTTTTCGCCTAACTCAATCTTTGGAATCCTAAGTGTGTGTGAATTTTCACTATATGTTGAATCTAAGTATGAAATGTTATTTTGGTGTAATATTATATGTTACTAACTCATATGTTAGATGAGATTTGATATAATTTATCAGGATAAGTACAATATAATGACGCTTTCCATATTTCTGGACTAAATCGGGCTAAAACGGGTGAACCATTAACCCTTGATCCACTAGCGCAACCGAGTCCGAATCAACCCCAGGTTGACAACCTTGCTAATAAGACAACAGAACACAACTACAAAAGAAAGAAAAGTCACCGCAGAGAATTGAACCGAGAGCCAAGTCAGCAAATTTAGCCGTCCAAAACCAAACGAACCTCGCCTGAGTTGGGCGTTTCTCTTTGGTTGGTCGCCCCCGTCGAGCACTGAACGAACGCGCTTTCTCTCCGTACCTCAATTATCGCAGATGAGTCTCAATGGGAGCCAGATCGCTTAAGAAGATTAAGCGATCCTCCACCAATTCCAAACCCACCAGCAGCAATCCCATGCCACCTTCGCAAACTCGGGGTTTCAGCTGGAACAGAGGCCCCGTGTTCGTGTCCGTAGCCATGGTCTTCGGGGTTGTTTTTCTCTTGGGCATTTCGTCGATCATTTGGAACAGTTTCGCCGGCGTTGATGCTACCCCCAAAATCTATGCAATTCAGGTGGTCAACGAGTACCCTCACGACCCAGATGCCTTCACCCAGGTAAAAAAGTTTCGACATTTCCAATCCGATGGATGGATTGCTTTCTTTTTTGGGGGGGAATTCTGATCGTCGATAAAGCTACTTTGATTTTGGTTTTCAGGGTCTTCTTTATGCCGGAAATGATACTTTCTTTGAGTCAACTGGGCTTTACGACATGGTGAGTTTTGGTTTCCTCATCTATGGAATGCATTGCTTCTTTCGCTTAATCTCAATGAGTGAGTTCTATTATTTCCTTTCGCTGTGAATACTTTTTATCGACAGTATTCGCTGTGGATATTTGTTGTGCACCATTGTTAACATTTTGATTGTTTATACTGTGGCAGTCATCAGTTCGGAAAGTGAATCTGCAGACGGGGAAGGTAAATGTTGTCCCTTCGCTGACGAATTTTCACTCGATTGAAATGTACAATTACACTCAGTTGCCTGCTGAATTGCGCTAGACAAGTAGTCTGATACTCGGAGCAACTCACACTACCGATGAGAATATTTGGAAGTTAAGTCTGTCTTTGGTCTGCCATTTTGCAGGTTGAGGATATCCAGCAAATGGATGGACAATATTTCGGGGAAGGATTAACTCTTCTCGGCGAAAGGTCTTTGGCTTGCTCTCTTCTTTCTCCCCCTATTCGTTTAAGACGTCGAACATTTGTTGCTCATGTAATTTATGAGGCAGAAGTTCTCAATTTGAATCTTCTACAAGCATTATCTGATCTTTCTGAACCTTCTTTGAGTTTGAAGGAAACAACACATGGTTTTTTATGTCATGTTGATTTATTTATTAACTTTAGGGGTGCAACACAAGACGTGTCATGTCGATTAATGCAGTAGATGTAGCTGGTAGTAAAACACAGTTTATGACTTCTCCTCCATGATCTCAAAAGCTAGCTACTTTCACAAGCAATTAATGCAATTAGGATGTTTTGTGCAGCTTATTTTGCCGAGTGGTTAGCTTTGCAGACAGTATGCTGATCTGATAACTTCTATGTCCTTTTTCAGGCTGTTCCAAGTAACCTGGTTGACAAGTACTGGTTTCATCTACGACCGTATTAATTTGAACAAAGTTTGTGCTTCCTTGTTCTTCCTCGTTCTTCCTCTGATATGTTTGCATATGCATGTACACTACTATACTTTACTTAGTTCTGGCTGTATGCTTTCTCCTCTGTGTCACGGTGTTGGTTCTACAAGAACTTTTTTCCTGCAACATTTTAGGTTTTACACGAACATAGTGTCTATTGTCATATTGGAGTTGTGCTTCTGTAGATTTCGCAGTAGCGTTATTCTTGGTCTTTGACCTTTCTGTAATCATTTTATGTCATGGAGCACTTGCTCACTCAGTTAGTTTTGGACGGTTTCATGATATGAATTGTACCCAATTATTTACAGATTGGGGAATTCACTCATCAAATGCAAGATGGATGGGGACTGGCAACTGATGGCAAAGTCTTGTTTGGTAGTGATGGGACTTCATCATTGTATCAACTTGACCCTCTTACATTAAAAGGTCTGTTAGATTCTTGTTTTTTCTTGCTTATGAGATATTAAATTTGCTAAACCTTGCATCATGTACTGCTACTTTCTTTCATTCCCTGGATAGTTCCTTCTTCTTTTTCCCCCACTTCTGATGATTGCTGCTTACTTGCTTTGGTAATGCAGTCATCAAAGAACAAAGAGTCAAATACAATGACCTTGAAGTACGCTACATCAATGAACTTGAGTTTATTAATGGTGAGATCTGGGCGAATGTTTGGCAGGTACCCTTTGTTTTAACCCTGTTACTTCATACTTCTATTTTTCCTGACAACATTTGCTGAGCTATTCTGCTATTGAGTGTCCAGTTGAGTTCAGTTTTCTGGGACATTATTTTGTTTCCGAAAAAAAGAAGAAAGAAACCGAAAAACAGAGGATTTTCTTAATATTGTAGTGCCGCCTGTGCAGACTGATTGTATTGCAAGAATCTCTCCTCAAGATGGTACTGTCACCGGCTGGATTCTTCTTCCGCAATTAAGGTTCGTACCATTTGCTCTTTTTCTTATGTTCTTCATAGCTCTATGCCGCATTGCTGCTCAAAATCTGTTTGTTGAAGTTTGCTGAGCAGTTGTTTTATATTTACAGCAAGGGACTGAGAGCATCTGGACACAGAGTAAGACCTCCATCAACATTATTGCGTCTCTGTTGGAAAACTAAGTTTCACTTAGGCTGTAGACTTCTTAGCTATCTACGCCTTTCTCTGTCTTGCAAAGCTTCTCTAATTAACTTTTTTGCACTAAACTGTAGGGCATCGATGTTCTAAATGGCATAGCATGGGATAGTGAAGGGAAACGTCTTTTTGGTAAGCTGCTGCAGTAACATGTTTCTAGCTAATTATCACCAAGTTGAACGTCATGAATCATGATCTTTTGGCGAATCCATATTCCTAGTACCCCTTGTAGGATCAGTTTGACTGAATGTTATTCTACTTGTTTGCTATGTCTGATCATAAAATTCACGGTTCCATAAGTTTCGCTCTTTGTAAATCCCGGAGCTTTTGTTTTGAGTATCAACTTATCGTTGCACTTGGATTTTCTTTTTTCTTGCAGTCACGGGAAAGCTATGGCCGAAACTGTATGAAATCAAGTTGCATCCAGTGAAGAAACCGATTGGCAGAGGAAACATTGAGCAGCTTTGCATCCCGTAGTCAAACTGAATCGTTGCAGAACTTGCAACAAACCGGGAGCTCAGGGATTCATATGCTGATCAAAGGTGTATATTCTTCGTAATGCTGATTGGTTTATACCTCAACATGCATCTGAAGCATAGCGACTATTCCCATCGAATGTTGTATGATCACTCTAGTCTAGCATTTGACGTTGAGCACTGCTAGCAATAGTCAGCATCCCAGGTTGTTGGCTGCTGCATACAATTTGTAAAGAAAGAGACCATTTCCCCTTTTCTTCCTATAGTTAAAATAGTAACTTCATTATGTTTTCCATTCTTATTTCTAGTTTGTTTATCATATAAACAAGAAAATTACAATTTTTTTATTTTCAAGGCTGCAACAATGAATTTCTTCCTGCAATTGCTATTTGCTGGTTTAATTCTTCAATGCTTTTACTAGAAGAGTTGAACACCCTGCAAGACCTTTCTCTCCAAAGGAGAGCAATATACCAGCTCCATAAACCTCCCACAATACTGCTATTCACTGTCCCCTGCTGCTGCACCAGGCTGCAAATTGTCTCCAGCATGCCTCTCCATTCTCCGATCCTCGGGGCCAAATCGCAGCTAGAAACAAATAATGCAGTACAGCACATGAGTAAAAACACTTACAAAATAGGTGATCTCTGGTTTCAGCTTCTTGCTTACACAGTAAACATTCATCTTCAATAAATCCATAATTCTTCAGCTTCTCTCTTGTTTTGATCCTGTCCATTATTACTAATCATGCGAGGAATCCTGTGACTGGGTATGATATAACTTCCCCTTCGTCTGAGCTTTCAGATTCTTGATCTTCCTGCAAAAACAAGATTGATCTGCAAACAAGACTGCGCTATCCTACTAACAATAAATTTTAATAAAGTGATGAATGTTCAAATGTCCACAAGTACACACCCAAACCTTAAACTTACAAAATCAACAACCAAATCCATAATACCATAAATGTTTTAAGATAACACGGAATCTATCTTATAGTTTTTCAATCAATATCATCCAATATAGTATTGTCTTACCTGTTATAAACTTCACACTATAATAAATCTAAGCATGGTAGCAAGACCGAGATATTTCTCGTGATGATCCACAACTTTCATTCCTAGGATAGAGGCTAATTGTTCCCGTGTCTCTCCTCTAATATTAGGGTTGAAAGATAGCTCTGATTTCTCCAAGTTCACCTTTTGTCCTGACTCTGCCTCGTAGAGGCTTAGAATTTGCTTCAGTTTCTCGCACTCCTGTCTAGTGGCCTTAGTGAATAAGATGCTATCATCAGCAAATAGAAGATGAGAGACCACAGGTGCTGCTCGTCTCGCCTTTATACCACTGATGTGGTTTTCCCTTTCGTTGCTGAGCAGCTTTTAGTCTTAGCTAGTTAGATGTGTTTGTACTTTGTACTTGATTATATTTGAACATTCATAATTAGTTAGATGTGTTCCTTAGTTCTTCAGATGTGTTCCTAAGTTTGGTTCATTTGAGTCCCTCTCTGTCTCACTCACTTCCCCTTTCGGTTTTTTACATTGCATGTAAATCCAGCAGTGAAGTTTGGTTCAATTGGAATCCAACTTTCCCGCTACTTCCCGTTGGGTTGTTGTTGCCGTATGGTTTAGCAAAGCAAAAAATCTCAACAAATAAGATCTTCCCTTATCCAAAAAAAAGTTCTCAACTTTACAAAAAGACCCAAAATCCGAAACCTTAACCACATTTCCCCTGTAGAATTGACATCACAGATCTTCAATCGATTATGAATTCCGATCTTGCGCTGCCGTCTTTCTTCATAAAGATGTCCTTCTTTGGAATCAAGTTATGGGTTCTGATCCTCGCTCTCGCTTCACTCCTCACTTGCCTGATCCTCGCCGCCGCGCTCCTCTGCATCTTCCAACTCCGCCGCCGCCGCCGAAATTCCAAACTTAAGAAACTCAACCCCTGTTTCAGTTCACAACAACACCTGATTTCCTGGGGCGGCGGCGCTGCCTCGTCGCTGGACAGGAGGCTTCTGTCGCAGCGCATTATTCCGGACGTTGAGATGCAGACCGATCCTCGTCAGGATTGTGCGATTTCGATCCCAGGCGTCCTGGAATCAGATTCCAGGCCGCCCCGGCGGCGTAATGCTCGGAAAGAAGGAGGTGGGTTCCTTCTGCGTTGGTCGGAGATCGAAACGGCCACCGGCGGTTTCGCCGATCACAACATAGTCGGAGATCAAGACGGGGTGATTGTTTATCTTGGGTTGCTGAAAAATGCCAGAGTGGCAATAGTTCAGCTACCCTCGAAAAGGTAATTAAAATTAGCAACTTGGAATTTGAATGGCAGAGAAATGAAAAGCTATAGATTGACACAAATTTGGTTTCTTTTGCGGGTTGGTGGTGTGATTGATGCGCAGCTGCCAGGCTGAGAAATTCATGGCGGAAATGGATGCGATTGGGCAGATTAGGCACAAGAATCTTGTCCATTTGCTTGGATACTGCGTTGAAGGAGATCACAGGTAGACACACACACACTCCTTGCTTTGCAACTCATAATTTGTGTAATTGGCACCACAATTTGTGATGAAAATCTACTGGCTTATGGATTTCGTACATTAAGAACAACAATGGCTAGAAAGGAATTGAGTTGCTGCAAAACGTTGATGCTGCAAGCGATCATGGACATGCTAATGAATTATGACGCGATGCAACTTGCGAATGATGTCATTTCATGCATTTCTCTGTTAAGTTTTGACTGAAATGTTTCGTTACTCACACTTGTTAGAGCGATTGTAATGGAATACGTGGCGAATGGGAATCTGCATCAATGGCTTCATGAATGCCCTAAAGAAGCCAGCTCTTTGAGCTGGGACCAAAGGATGAATATACTCCAGGGAGTAGCAAAAGGGTGAGTTGGTCCCAAACTTCCCTAACCAGAATTCTCCTCTTCTATGCTTCATTACCCAAGTTCTGCATTAATCTACAGATTGGCATACCTACACGAGGGTGTCGAACCACGGATCATCCACGGACACCTGAAATCCACCAGCATACTGCTCGATCGCCAATGGAATGCCAAGATCTCCGACCTCTGCATCTCTAAGCTTCTGAGCCAAGAATCGCATTCGATTGCACTGTCAGGGTACGATTTGTGCAACATACAAAAAAAACCATAGCGAAGTAACTAAATGACTTTAACTTAATGTGCACTTCTTTTACAGATACCTGACTCCAGAATTTGATTCAACCTGCGTTATGATGAATGAGCAGAGTGATGTTTATAGCTTCGGGGTTCTTGTTACGGAGATCATTTGTGGTCGAAATCCTGCTCTGGGAAGCTCGATCGAGTGGCTGAAATCCATGATAGCAGATGGGAAGACAATGTCTGTCTTGGATCCAAAACTGCCTCAGATGCCCTCTTCCATAGCTCTGAAACGGATGCTTTTGGTGGCTCTTAGATGTGTGGATCCTGAGATCTGTCACAGGCCAAGTATGGGTGAAGTGATCCATATGCTTGAGACCAGTGACTTGCTGCTTGTTCGTGTAAGAGCCACACTTTGCTTCTGTAGACAAATAATGCGATGTTCAAAGCTAAAAGCTTGGCCCTGGCTTTTGCCTAACTAACTAATTAGGACCTTTGATCAATGTTTTTCAGGAGCGCCAGATTGTTGAGAGTGTTGAAAGCTTGGATGAAGAGCAAAGAGGTAGTGTTTCGGAAAGCTCTGCAGGAGGATAATGACGTCTATTTTGCTGGTTGATGCAATTTCAGGGTGGAGTTTAACCCCATGGTTTTTTTTCTTCTTCATGGGCTAACCCTGTCAATATATGCAAGAAGAATATTCTTCTTTGAGTAATATAGATGAAAATATTTGACAGAAAGTAAAACAACAATTCAACAAATGTGTAGGGATGACAATGTACAAAATTATTTTTATTTCGAAATAGCCGACATACCTTCAATAATTATAGCCGACACATCTTCATTATAGTCGAAGAACTTATTATCCAAATAAATCAATCTTAATCATAATACATTTTAATTTTGTTTAAAATAACTCATAAATCATAATCCTATCACTTCCTATTAAAAAAAAAAACAGACTCTCAGCCCTTACAATATATATGTGTGATGTGTGTTGGGTCTGGGCCTATAATTAAAAGAGGGAAAAAAACCACAGGCCAAATGGCTAATAGTCCAGGCGGACACTATATATCCTTTAGTTTACTTGCTGTTGAAGGTGGTGTTGACTTTACCTGTTGCAAGTACAAGCTACGAAAGAGCATTTTCAGCTATGAAGATAATCAAGAACGATCTTCGAAATCGGTTGAGTGACCAATTTATGAATGATTGTTTAGGTGTGTATATTGAAAAAGATTTGCTTTGTAGCATAAGTGATGAATGTATTTTAGAGAAATTTCAATAGATGAAAAGTCGTCGCGGTTCGTTGTAAATATGACATTGTGAACTTTATGAATTAATTTCTTTTAATTTGTACTTAATTTTTTATTTAATCTAATTTAATTATTATTGGATTTTATCGGCGACATACCTCTCCGGCAATCCTGGGTCCACCACTGTGTGTGTGGTTTTCTGAAATCTAACAAAGAGGTAACGAGTTCGGTACGACTTCGGTATTTTAAGTATTTACGCAAAACTCGATAGAATATGTATTTCAAACTCATTCACTTCAACACTTCGACCATCCATATCTTTCAAATATTATAATTCTCTCCTAGATGCAACTTTTACTTGTTTTCCTTTAGCAGTCATTTTGTTTCGTGGATTTAAAAAAATGAAAATTTTGGTTAAAACTTGGATTTTGTAAAACTATGAATTTTACATGGAATTGGCCCATTATGGATTTTGGACTCAACCATTGTTTGCTTGTTAGATTTCATGATGGATTTTGTTCGGTAAATTACAAGGTTGGTCACGAACATTACTAAAAAAATTCGAATTTGATCACTAAAAATATTTCATTTCATTCCGTGATCACCAAAATTAGTTTAATATTTCATATTTGTTCACTCTCCACCAATCTTCATTAACCACATCAGTGTTTAACTTTTTTATCTACTAGGAAAGGGCTTGATTACGAGCTATATTGCTTTCCACATCAGTTTTTGTATATATAAAACTTTTAATAGTGGTAGAAACACAATGAAATCAAGTCAAAGTATCCTTTGACTTAGATCTTGACGGGCCAACCGAACCCGAAAAGAAAAGAAGTCGGACCAACCGAAAGAAAAGTAGTTAGTTGGGCCTTCTGGACTGACTTCATACGAGAACCCCATGCAGAGTCTACAGTGACCCAAACTATTCAGAAGAGAAGGCCCAAAAACAGTTTCTTGGATAACAAGTAAGTAGCCCTCACACAACTCGTCTTTTTTTGTAATAGTTAGAAACTCTACCTTATCGGTTGTCCGGATAAGAAATATCATATGCTGAACTCAAGTGATATGAGATTTTAGCGGTACAAAATGGTTGAACCACGGTTTAATCATGATTTTAGTATAAAACACTTTGTCACTAATTTTTCTAATATCTTTATGTACGATTTCACAATTATTGGTTTCCCCCTCTTTCTGAGGTACCTTAAACACGATTAAACCCATGTATAACTAGCTTATAATATATTGGGTAGTTTAACTAATTAAAGATGCAGAGACTCCGAACTACGTTGCTTAAGCTAACACTCAATAGTGATTAGTGAGAATGTCTCTTAATGATTTGACTATACTTTTGGTTTAACTAGACGTAAATTTAATCGAGTTATTGTGATATTCTACATTAAACACAAAAATACCAAATTTCCAAGCACTTTGTTCACTATCTCCTCTTTCCCTCTTCTATTGGAGCACCCATCAAAGCAAAAAACATGCTTAGAGCAAAAAAAAAATCAAAATCAAAATCGTAGATTAGGATTTTCACCTGGAGTCCCTCCCTGGTTTGGTCAACTCATGGCACCGCGTTTGTGCATTATTGTTGGGAGTCAATATATATCGTTATCCCTTTGCTAAAGGAAGGCTGACTGTGGAGTTCGATGTGTCCATGTCCATTAACAGTCCACGTCGCCCTTTTTCTGGTAGACTTTGTAATAAAAGAGAGGATTATTTATCGTGCACTCTACAATTAGGTTTAATTAGGGTGTCATTTGACTAACTGCATGCCGCCAGAAATCCCTGTCGTGTTGGGAACCTATACTAATCAATTATAGGAATTTTGGGCGTTTGGACTTTGGAGAGAGGGATTTGGCTATTTAGGGATGATTTGGAAGTTGCGATCTATTTTGTTGAGATTGTCATTATGCATGTATTGTTTACAATACATCGTTTTTTTTTAGCAGAAATAATACATGGATTGTTTCTGTGATGAGACAGAAACTATCACTCATTTTGAGTGATTGTTATATCTCAACTTTTAGTTGTGGTTGTTGAGATAGTTGAGTTGAGATTGTTTTGTCTCAGCTTTTAGCTGATGCGACATACACAATCACACATACCAAACGTTGTATTCTACAATGCATCAAATTCGACAATACATGTATGATATTATACATGCATTCTCAACAATACATCTATTTAACAATCGCAACTTCCAAACGACCCCTTATATCATGTATCTTAACTTCAAAGACTTCAAATCTCCAAAATTTAGTGATATCAAATCTCTCAAGATTCTTTTTTTTTTTTTGTCAAAAGATATCATGTATTGATCGAAAAAATAGACAGTTTACACTCTGGAAACCAGCCAGGTCGGGAAATCAAATAAGTGACTCATAGTCGGATACAAAGAGATGGCTTTCCTAGCTACCAAATGAGCTACCCTATTGTTCTCCCGACCTACAAAACGCACACTAAAGCCAGGCTGAGTACGAAAATAATGACCAATCTCTAACAGAACAGCACCCAACCGTCTATCTCTTGTGTCGGCTTGATTAATTTTGTCAATAATCACCTTCACATCGCCCTCAAATCGGACCTCCGACAAACCTTGCTCCACACACCAAATAATAGCTTCCCTGAGCACAAGCAATTCCACCACTACAGGATCATCCATTTGAGAAAACTGGACCCTTTTAGCCAGAAGGAGAGTATGCGCTGGGTCAAAAAGAACAATCCCACCAGCCGAATGTTACCCACCCTTAGTAGCCCCGTCCCACATGCAAACCAAATGGGAATCACCCACTTGTGTTGTAGATTGCATTGTCGGGACTTCTACCCTAGGCGCCTGGTCCGCTGGTAGACCCACCCATTCCTCATACTGTTGGTTAAACTGTCGCATGAGCGCTGGGATCCCAAATTGTTTGCCTTCAAAGACTACCCAATTCCAAGATCGCCAGATCCTCCAAAGGATGACAACAACAACCATAACCACTAACGGGTGATGGATCAATGCCAACAGACGTTTGAGAAACAAAGGAAAAGTATGCCGAGACAAACCCTCCCCCAAGTATCCCAAGCCATAATAATCCCAGAGAGCCCGCGCAACCGGATAATAAAGGAACATGTGATTTTTAACTTCGAGATTCTATATTTTAACTTGTGATTTTTTTTAATATTTTTTATCCCTTCGTTTCTTTTATCCAGTTAAATACTATGACCAATAAATTATCAATATTTCTCGTCGCACTCTTAGTTGTTTTTATTGAAATTAAAACATATTATTTAATATATCATTAGAATTTATATTTTCATTGAATATTAAACATGTCATTTTACAGACATCGTTGCTTACGATAAGCAAACTAACAATACACACTCCATCTTTGTATACGGTCCAACCAATCGGCAATCACAAGCCATTAAAGTGTTGACAAAAAACTCATTTTCCGCACGTAATGATGTCTACACTTATATTTATCTATCTAATTAAGCATATACGTCTAATTAACGAACAATTAATTATCTTTCTAAAAGGTGTATTTCCAACACAAGCCAAGCTTTTTGGCCTTTTTCCCCCCCTGTAGCAAACAAATATAATCTATTAACTAAGTGGACACCCTTTCTCCCTGTATTTGACGGGTAAGGTTGAAGATTAATAATATGCGATATTGCAACATTAAAATCATATAAAGATTAATCAGCATAGCCTTGGTGGGATTGGTGCAACCTAGCCTATCACTAAGTGCTTTGACTAAAAAATATGTTACATCCCTAGTTTGGTCCGTCTGGCAGGAATGTTACCTTGTTTTTAAATTTAGCTTGTTTTATGGAGAGTCAAATAACTTCAGATCATTCCCCGTGTCAAGAACCAGTTGATCCCAATAACTCAAGTTGTTGGGAGAGGTTCAATTGGGGATCATATACCACAACACTAACACGCTCCCTCAAACGAAAGTCACTCACAAGGGCTTGAAGTTTGCACAGGTCTGAAGACAAGAATACCATGTGCTTAACAAATGAGGGTCACCGGGAATCGAACACAAGACCTCTCGGTCACAGAAGGCTCTGATACCATGTCAAGAACCAGTTGATTCCAATAACTCGAGTTGTTGGGAGAGATTCAATCGTGGATCATATACCACAACACTAACAGGATTCATTTCGCCATGAGGAAAAACAACCACATGCTGATTAGTTAATTAAGCATTATTGTTCTGATTAGTGGAGTAGTGTCACGGTCCAAATTAGGGATTAAGTAAAGGAGGGTGTGAATGGGAGATCAATGAATGGGTAACTTTGCAAAACTTTCTCTGTTGGTGATTGGATGGAAAGTTGGAGTGGATAATATAATTGGGGAGAGGTAATTGAGGGCTAGATGGAAGCTTATGAGAGGCACCACGTAGCATTAGTATGGTCGAATGAAAGTGTTTCTTGATACTACTATTGGGTTGTGTCATCATCCCCACCGAGATGAAGACTTTGGTGTTGCTTTTGTGAACAATAAAAGATTTGTTAATAGGAGAGGGAAGACGTGCATGCTATTTTGGGACATTTTTTGGTCGTGACCCACATGAAATATGGTGGTTTTAGGGCACTATTTTTGGGCAATAGGGGTGGGCGCAAAGGGCAAATAATTCATGAGGAAATTGTCCCATCCCACAACTACCTAACTTTTCCCATCCTCCAACACCCTCCAATCCTAATGTTCCGTCCAAGTACACACAACTTCCATTGGTGGAATTGCCACCAACAATAGATATGGGTCAATTGCATAAACAGTCACTCGAGTTTCGAGTCACCGACGAATTGGTCACTAAGACTTGGTTTGGTAGTAATCAATGTATTCGGGTATTAGGTTTTTTTGGATGGCCTAAGAAGGGGGTCAATCCAAGATTGTATGATTCCTCTACAAAGACAAAAGACGCTCTCAAAGGCTAGGCACCATTATCTTTTCTGAGTGATTTCAGCTTTTTATGATTCTGTGTTGTGGTGTTTACAGGGAGAGAGTCAGAATGATGGTTGATCAGTTAGTCGTTCCGAACTTTGGTGACGAGTTTGTTAGAATCCGAAGTCTCTGGGGACCGATTCGTGTGACCCAGAAATTCAGTGACCATTTATGTGTGAATCGTATTTTCTTTCTTGTATGATTTTTGTGGAAGGGAAGTGTGCCACGACGACCCAACCCATTCGTAAGAATGAATAGTGCAGTGTTTAGTACTATAGTGCAAGCCTTTAGATGGAAGGGTATCCCAACTATCTATAGGGATGAAACCTATGACAGTTTTGTGATTGGATTGGAGGTTGCATATGCTTATGAACATCTCCAAGCTTCATGTGTAATGTGTTAGGCTTAGGCGTCCAGAATTTGAAATTGCTCTTTTTTTACGGGTAATTCCCTCAAGAGGTCCCATCTCAGTATAACTCTTAATGCTTATCTTCGTAAAATTTCAATCATCATGTGTCGACAGTATATTCAAAATTCTATCACAATAATGTATTTTTAGTGTATCGTCCATAATTACTTTTATAGTGTGTCGACTATATATTGAATGATAAAAGTTAGTCAGAGCATCTCATCATGTTCTTGTTGTTATTGTTTAACATACTAAGATTAGAAATATGTGGTATTGTTTGTGAAGTACCATGAATGGAGAAAAAAAGCCAAATTGAAGGTCAGTGTTTCACTTCATATGTGATGTAAGATGGCCTGCCATTAGGTCTCATATATAAGCTTCCTAGTTGGCTTAGGTGTGTCACCCTCATTTATATTCTATATATCTAAAGAACTTAAATAAAAAAGAAAACAAGTTAGGTTTCCACTGTATTGAAGGCTTGTATATTTCAGTCAAAAAAAGGCTTGTATATTATATCTTTGTAATTTTTCTTTAATGTCGTACAAAATCGCTAGTTATAGTGTGCCGATTGTACTATATGATAAGAAAAATCAGAATATATTACGCCGGATTATTATAATTGTCGATGACATACATGCTTGTAATTATTTCTGCGCCGAAATATCGTGAATGAAGAAGGAAAAACAAAGTTTTGTGTTACATTTCGTATGTCACGTATTTAGTTATATCATATTGATTGTCGTATGTAGATATGCTTGCTAACTAGTTGCGCGGCACGATGAAGACAATAAAAATTGGCTTATCAATTTTTTTTTTGTGTTTTCACCCGTTTATGTGTATTCTATTCAGAGCACATCACGAGATCATATAGTTTCTTGTGTATGAAATAGAATCATCAAAATCATAATACCAACCGATACATACATATGATGTTCAATCAATTCGACCGGTCTATACAGTAAGTATGTGTATGATGGCTCCACAGACTATACATGAAGTATTATGTTCAATCAATAATTATATGCTAGGATTAAGAATGAAGGAGAGGACTCCTAATTTTTGAGCGTGCCAGTAGTTAGGTCTTCTGCACGTGGAAGTTGGATCAATTACAAAACAAGAAAGAGAGCCCAATTGCCTAATCCAACTCATCAACATTCACATTTGCATATGGACATGTTTTTAGCTCCTAGAGAGTAATCTTCTTTGTCAAAATGACTCAATTTTTTTAGAATCTCTTACGTACACATACAATGATACAAATCGAATTCGTTACAATAATTATTCGTATTTGGATGGATCATTGGAAATTGAGATGCCACACAAATCACCGACTAATTGAAAATCTTACGTGGTTGAACAATATCATTCACAATAGAAGAGCTTCTGTATGCAAATAAAAATTTGGTCTAGAGATAATAACACTAGTCATGAACCTGGATAGCATCTACATATAATATATTTTTTTTTCCTTTCTTACAAACACGGATTGTTTCACATAGACACCCAACTACTACATAACCACAAGAACTAAAGTCATTGAGCGTATCGAATTGAGAATTTACATGACTGTAGCTTTAATTAGCTACATATTCCTATGATCTGATTTTCATTCATTTTCCATTTTTTTTCTTTCTCGATAAACAATTCTCCAGTAGTACTAATTAATCCAAAATTTGAGGCAGGAGACCCCGTAAAAGAAGAGGGGGAAAAAAAAGTCAAGAACCCTTGTAAGCTTTGATTCTCCTAGCAATCTCCTTCTCCAATTCTTCAAGTCCTCCAACTTCCTCTAGTTCCTGTAATATTAAACAAAGGCAGCCTCTCAGCTTACTAACTGTCCACTGGAGCGTTTGGAAAACCATTAAAAATCGAAATCCGAACTAAGTAATTGTCCAAAATACGAACTAAGAGAAAACCAATAAATCCTTAACAGATTCGTTTTCAATCAAAATAAACAAAGAATCGGAAAAACGAACTTCTGACTGCCTTAAGACTTATTGGGTTTTTATCAGTTCAGTTACATTTTGCTATTTCAACTGAAACCATCAGAAACTTATCGTCCGCTAAGAAAACCCGATAAACTTATAAAACTTGTTTGGTTTAAATCAGAAAACCGAAACCGAACCATCACCCCCTAAACTCACATGGTGGCCATGTCAAGTGTTGACTATATATAAGTAAATAAATATTATTATTATTATTATTATTATCAGCGGCGGATCCAGGACACAGCGTAGCACTGGGCCGCATTTCTTTAGAAAATTAGATATCGTAAAAAAATCATAGTTTTTTTTTTACAATATCAATTGTAAACGTCAATCTTTTAAATTTTAATATAGTGAATTTATCAATAATAGAGTTTACATCCACTTCAATAGCATACTCTCTTTAAGATAATATAGTTAACCAATTGGAGAGAAATTCATCGTTCATTTTGTTGCGCAAATGTCAAAACAATCGACTAATCAATTTCTATTTTCAACAACTGCTCAAGTAATTTCTTAAGAGAATAAACCTCATATTTCTTTTAGTCTTTTACGTTTTAGAATTTTAGGTTTCATTGTTTACTTTTCTTTATATGAGAATTATTGGAGCTAGAATTTTCAGGCTAAATCTAGAGTTGTGATTTGAATATGTTCATCTTACCCATTTTTCAAATTACAAACAATTTTATTATAAAATAACACTGGGCCAAATGGTTAAATCGATAAACTCATAAGAGCTATACTAGTTCCGGATCCAGAGGAGGGCTGGGCCGTGACTCGGGGTGGCCACCCCTGGATCCGCCACTGATTATTATTCACACAAATAATAAATAAGCAGAAGAAAACAAACTAACCTTGGGTCCAAGGAACAGCCCATATGGGACTCCTTCGAACTTCTCCGTATGGTGAAGCTGATTTGATCCCGACATCAACCAACCAATTATCAGTATTGGAATCCAAAAGAAAGCATAGTAAAAAAGTAGTTTTTAACCTTTCATCCCATCATCTCGGTAAAAACACACAAAAAAAATCAGCCCTATACTGATAATTAAGCTCAGTAAAACCTAGTGAAAGCTCACTTGTGAATTTTTTACCTGGTGGGCGGCAGCAACCTTGCGGAAGTAAGGCACGTTGGCGATGGGACCCACGGGGAATCGCTTGTGTACGAGACCATCGTGGACGAACATGTAGGCCATCCCAAACACCGTAATTCCCAGTCCCTGTATTTGTATGGTTGTACATAATTAATCCTCCAAAGTCAAAATTCGTCAGAAAAAAAATTATAGTCCCCATAAGACTACATTAATCAACTATTATTATTATAAGACTGGTTTACTATAATATTAATCCCACAATCAACTGCTAATCAGGCAGTTAGGTGACAACATACATCTCGATCTCGTTCATTCAGTCGAGGAAGATATTATTCTGACACAGAGAGAGAGAGAGAGCGCGAGGGAGAGACTTACAGCTCCAAAACAGAGGCCCGGAATTAGGCCTTTGTTGAAGAAGCCGTAGGAGAGGAGGGCGATAGCTGGAACGGCGTTTATTATTGCGAACACGTCGTTTAGCTCGAACGGCCCTTCCCTCGGTCGATGGTGGGACTGCCCCAGAAAACGACGCCGCATGAATCAGTTGTTTGTTCAGTTTTCACATCAACGAAACCAAATTCCCGTGGGAACGGGGGAATTAAAGAAGCCCAAATTACGGGAATTACCTCGTGCATCTCCCACAAAGAGGCGTGCCATAGCGCCTTGTGCGCCCATCTCGCCCAGAATTCCATTCCCACCTAATGCCAGCCAAACAAGCAGAGAGGTTCTCAGTATTCTAATTACGCCGCCGGCGGAATTTTCTTGTTGAGAGACGGTAAAGGAAGGAATTAGGAATGTGACTTACGGCGGCGCCGACCGAGAGAGCGAATGTGCCGAACATTTCCGATAACGGCACCTCTCCTCCCTGCTCCGGGGGAAAAGAAAAACGGAATCAAAACGAAATTCAATTTTCAGTTTCAGTCTATCGGTTTGAAAAATCAGATTTGAGATGGAGGAGGAGGAGGAGGAGGAGGAGGAGGAGGAGGAAGGAAGGAAAGTTTTAATTGAATACCTCCATTTGCCAGTGGAAGCGGTAGTAAACGGCCATGACGGCCATGGAAGTGATGCCTAAAGTCGACATGACGGCGGCCACGAGATAAGTAGTCCTCTCCGATTTCTTCCGGGCCAGCCTCTCCAGGACGCGAGGCGGCAGGATCTGCGGCGTCGGCGCCGTCGCGGTCGTCGTCGTCGTCTCCTCCGCCTCCTCAATCATCGGCTCTTCCTCCGCGGCGGTCGGATTCTCGATCTGGCGGTCGTCAATAACGCGGACGCTCTGCTTCGTCTCCTCCAGCACGAAACAGACGGCGAAGCTCGTCTTCCTCGTCCGGCCTCGTCGGAAGAAATCGGTACTGTTATTAGTGGTATCGGTTCTGTACCGAATCGAAGGAGGGAAGGGGAGTAGGGGGCGAGCGGCGCCGTGGAATTGGCGGAGAGGTTTGAAAACCACGGCGGCGGCGGCGGAGGAGGAGAGTCCTGCCGCCATGGTAGTTGGGGGTGGGGAAAGGAAAGGCGGATTGGACGGTGAGGAGACTGGAGAGGAAGGATAACGAGGAGAGGGGAAAGGGTAGAGGGAGGTGGGGAGTTTTTTGAGGGCCTGGCGTTTGGATGGACCTCTGGTTAAATGCACGAAGACCACATCTTCTTCCCTGTGACTGTGAGTGGGCTTTTCGGTTACGGGGAAAAGAATAAAGAAATTAAATGTATTTATTGGTACTAAAATATGTTTGGCCCATGAGAGACGAGAGACGAGAGACTCGAACGATCAGCTAACTAGCGTCGTCCAGAAACTGCCACTGATGTTTGGTATTTATTGCAGTTTTACCACTGTTAAGTGTTAACTCAGTTCTACACTCCAATGCGTTAAAAGTTAAAACTTGAAATATATTTAAAAAAAAAAAAAACCAGAATGGCAATCCATTTGCTTAAAGTTTAGGATGGCAAAATTTGAATTGCGAGAGATGGGTATGCATGGTTTGTCAACATATTTGACATTTATCATTTTATTACTAATTCTATTCATTCATTGTTTTAAATTTTCACTTATGTAATGTCAGTATGTGTAAAAAAAATTGTTAACATGTTGGTTGAAATCATAAAGACAAATTATTATCCATAGTTAATCGTGGAACCCAAACCCAATAGGATATGACTCATATGAGTATAGTTTTGATATTCTACTCGATTCTTGTATGGGGTACTGATATGGGTAAAACCAAAACTATCGGTGGTCAAAGACGGGTCAACAGCAAAACCCTATTAAACGGCACAATGAAACTAAACAATAGCGGACGGTCAGAAGTGGTTCTTCGTATTGAGTAGTAGATATGCACTATCTATACCCGACTCAACTCGTTGAGCCATCCCCAGAAAAAGTTAACTTCATAGTTGATCGCATTCACTCTATGTGCTCTCATTTTGGGATAATAGGATAGATGTTAATATCATGATTATATTTAACGATAATACGATAATCATAATTGTTTTAATAAAATTGTTATTATACATGTATCGTTTAAGACGCTGACGAAGAAAAATCATAATTCAAGGAAGGAACAGCGGCAAAGATTTGGTTAGTTGAGAAACTTATGTGTGGTAATTAACAGGGAATAGGGAGCTAGAGACAAGTAGTACAGTGGCACCAACCGTCATAAAGCAAAAGGACGAGATGAAAAATTGTGGGCCGGGCCGGGCCGGATCCCCTTTTTTACCGGGTTGGAGATCTCACAGACAAAACGACAACGTTTAGCAATTTGCAGCAGTACCCACTTGCCACGAGAATCCGCCTTTTCAATTCTGGACGAGAGAAAGGATACGGTTTGGAATGTTGCTTCATGGATTGCCAGCTTCTCCATCGCGCCACGTAGCCTCGACTATTATCACTAAACCTATCACTACCTTTTTAGCCAACTGTACGGGCCCCTGCCATTTGTCGTCTCGTGATTCGTTAAATGCTTGGTCGTAGACCGCCTCCCACTCCCCGGCCTACGCTGGACACGTGGGGCCCGTTCATCTTTGGGCCCATCTGGGAGGCAGCAATGGATACTTTTTGTTTCCTTCTATTTTAACTTTTTTCTTCTTCCAAATATAGGAATGGAGGCCCAAATGGGAGACGTATTAATTGTGATTCCTAGGATGCAACTGGCCCATTTATTTACCGGGTATGGGCTGACTTAGCCGAAAGAAAGGGTTAGGACTAGTAATTTGTTTCAATGTATTTGAAAAATATGGGTTTGGTAAAACTTAGAATTTTGACAATTTCTAAATTTATTATTTATGACGGATTTGTTATTATTATGGATTTGAAAGAGCTTACAAGGTTGCTTGGCGAAGCTCCGTTGGCGTCGAAATTGATTGCAGGTGGCCCCCAAGTTTAGTAGGATCCGCTGTCACAAAGTGGCACGTGGGGCTGAGGTTCCTGGGTAATAAAAAAATCTTATTGTTTGCTTGTTGAATTTTGTCATTAATTTTACTTTATTAATTATGTTGGCATGATGAATTTTTAGCCTTCGCTCAAATCTCACCTTTAATCATGGAATTTACAAGTCTGTCGGGTCCACGGAGTTGTACCCTTAAAGTATGTAGACTCATGGATTGAATTTTCTTTTTGTAAAAAATTTACGATACAAACTAATTTTGTAACTTTACGCTATGGTATTGGTACATACGTAACTTGTATCATAACATAAAGGTTCTAATTCTTTTATGATTCAAAAAGAAGTTGTGCTTTTAATGTTGTGGTACAATTTCAATTTATATATATCCAAACGCCAATACTTTAGAGTACAGTAGAAGAGCTTTCTTAAATTTATTTAACCAAAATTAGTTTTCTACATGAGATCTCAATCTTCTGAGAAATCTTTCATTCAAATTTTTTATTACTTAAATAGGAATAGTTCTTCTACTAAACTTAACTGTTGTTAGGTTGTTGTGAACATGTGTAGCATGTGTATCTCCGTTATTGTTTATGGTTTCCGTTATCTGCATCCTTGTTCGATGAAACTATAGCCGTGATTTATATGAAAAACGATCCAGTGCATGACATATGAAATTAAACACCAAACTTTGGCCTTTTCTTCTTCATTCGGCATACTTCAATGCAAGTGGTGGTAAACATTTTATAGCGTGATACATTGAACAATAACGGTAGTAGTCCGTCAACACACAATATAAATAATAATTATGCACGATACATTGAGGAAATACGACACAGTATAAATAATTCCATCCGTTCATTCATTAGATGTTCCATCCAAATTCGTCCATGATAAATGGGTGATTAGTTTTGAAATTGACCCATTCATATTTCTCATGGCAATTCCAATCCAACCAATGGGAACTTGTGTCTACTTGGAGTTGGACGAAGCTTTTTTTTTTTTTTTTGTTGTTGTTGCCGTTGACGATAATAACCTATTACACGGTGTTACCAGCCTACTAGCGGGCAAAGGAAAAGTGACATCACTGGAAATCAAACACACGATTTTACAATGGAAAGTGTGTCGACTCACCAGTTAAGCTGACCCTCGCGTTCGCTACTTGGACGGAGCTTTAGGATTGGAGGGGTTGGAGGATGGGGAAAGTTTTGGTAGTTGTGGCCTTGTGGGACAATTTCTTCATGAATTATTTTCCTTTGCCCACCCCCTACGGCTCAAAACAGTGCCCTAAAAAATCACCATATTTTCATGTGGGTCACGACCAACAGATGTCCCAAAATATCATACACGTCTTCCCTCCTGTTAACAAATCTTTATTCATAAAGCAATACCAAAGTTTTCTTCTTCTTCTTCCTCCTCTTGGTGGGATGACACAACCCAATAAGTGTCAAAAACACTTTTATTCGACCATATTAATGCTACGTGGTACCTCTCATAAACCTCCATCTAACCCTCAAAAGCAGTGTTATTAAAGTCGAGCCGAGCCGCTCGGCCCGACCGGTAAAACCTCCACTCGATCACAAAATCGACTCGGAACAGTCTAAAAGCCGCTCCGGTTTTATGTAGCGGTTGGCGAGCGGCCGAGGCGGTTAACCGTTCGAGCCGATCGAGCCGCTTGTCCGGTTTTTGTCATTCAGCCACTAAATTTAATTAAAAAAATTGTAGAAAATTGAAAATTGAAATAAACCAAAAATGTCGGGCTCTCAAATTGAATCCTTATTTCCATTTCACAATTTCGAAGGAAAGAGATGAGCTCTGGTTAAGAAATGTCCACTATTTATACTGATAATGTTTATTAGATACCGGTTCTCTAACGGTTGTTAAACGGTCTAATGCCAGTTGGACCATTAAAGTGCGAGCCATTCGCATTACCGGGTCATGCTCCGGTTCGGTTCTGACAACATTGCTCAAAAGCTCAAACTCACCAATTATAATATCCACTCCACCTTTCTCTCCAATCACCAACATAGAAAGTTTGCAACTTTTTTTTTTTATCCCAGTGTTCTAGAATACTATTGTCTACCTTTTTGTCATTAATCCGGATTGTGACACCTCACTAATCAGGCTACTCATGGCAAAGACTAGTTTTTCAATGTCTCGCGAGTTTCTCGAAAAACAACACAATCATCTAAAGTAAATTCGAATCTTTATCATTATTAAGCGAAACAAGTATATAAGGTCATTTGAGAACGAGAGTAGATGTTATTTACGTATGGCAATGGGTCGGGTTTTACCAAACCCAAACCCATAGGTTTATCCGTGAAAAAACCCACTGGGTTTGAAAAACTCAAACCCAACCCAACCCGCTGGGTATCCGCGGGTTCATGGGTACCCACGGGTTTTTGTCGTAAAAAATTTACAATAACAAGTTCCTATCAAAATTAAAGTCAAATATCAATCTCTCAATACAAATTATCCATATTTAAAACACCAATCTAGAAAATTCAAGCAAATCACAAATTAACTATACAAATTGTTCAACACCAATCTAGAAAACTCAAGAAAATTGAAGTAAATCATAAATTATCCATAAATAACATATTAATTGAAGGCTTCTTCCTTTCAATTAAGTTTCTTCACTCTCCACTCGATAACACAAACTTCATTCTACACAATTAGAAAGAAAAAATTAGACATGTCTCCACAAACATAAATAAGATTAGTTGTTTAAAATATTAAATATACCGAGAAAATTAATTATATGTGTGGGAGGGTACCCACGAGTCGGGTTTACCTAAACCCAAACCCAACCCAACCCGATGAATAGTGAACAGGTTTAAACCCAAACCCGACCCAAAACCCGTCAACACGGATTTTACCCGCGTTGACCGGGTTGGGTCGGGTGGGTACTCGTGGGTTCGGGTTTGGTTGCCCACCTCACTAATCAGACAATCCTACTCATGGCAAAGACTAGTTTTTCATGTCTCGCGAGTTTCTCAAAAAACAACGCAATCATCTAAAGTAAATTCGAATATTTATTATTATTAAGCGAAACAAGTATATAAGGTCATTTGAGAACGAGAGTAGATGTTATTTAGGGATGGCAATGGGTCGGGTTTTGCCAAACCCAAACCCAAACCTATGGGTTTATCCGTGAAAAAAAATGGGGTAAAAGTAAAACCAACTGGGTTTGAAAAACTCAAACCCAACCCAACCCGTTGGGTTTCCGCGGGTTCATGGGTACCCACGGGTTTTGCTCATAAAAAATTTACAATAACAAGTTCCTATCAAAATTAAAGTCAAATATCAATCTCTCAATAGAAAATATCCATATATAAAACACCATTCTAGAAAATTCAAGCAAATCACAAATTAACTATATAAATTGTTCAACACCAATTTAGAAAACTCAAGAAAATTGAAGCAAATCACAAATTATCCATAAATAACATGATTAATTGAAAGCTTCTTCCTTTCAATTAAGTTTCTTCACTCTCCACTCGATAACATCAACTTCATTCTACACAATCAGAAAGAAAAAATTAGACATGTCTCCACAAATATAAATAAGATTAGTTGTTTAGAATATTAAATATATCGAAGAAATTAATTATATGGGTGTAGGCGGGTACCCATGGGTCGGGTTTACCTAAACCCAAACCCAACTCGGTTAATAGTGAACTGGTTTAAACCCAAACCCGGCCCAAAACCCGTCAACACGAATTATACCAACATTGACCGAATTGGGTCGGGTGGGTACCCGTGGGTTCGGTTTTTGTAGCCAGCCCTGATGTTATTTGCTTCAACTCAATATGTAGACATGTAATAGACTCACTTCCAATGATGAGCTCAATATGTAGAAATAGTTGACATCCCACGATTCATGGGATTTTGGTCTATGATTGAATTAGAGGGTGTCAGATAAAATGGACAGATTAGATATTTTAGATGTAGCCACCGCCAATTGAATGCTCAGTTGCCACCTCCATGGATGCACTTTTCAAGTGTCACTTCCCAGTTATGTCCCAGGCTAAATACTAATTGCCTGAATGTTTTCTGAGGCCTTCTACTTGTTATCCAAGTAATTGGATTACAAATGATAGCAAATGATAGGATTACAAATGATAGCAATGAGTCAAATACTAACTAATTGAACATGAGGAACCAAAGGCACATAGAATGAAACTCACAACTTCAACGATGAATCTTAAAATTAAGTCTAACTAAAACCCAGTTGCAAAGTGTAAAAGTAACCTTTTATCCCTAAATTGTGAGAGACGGGGCTCGGTCTATGTTTGATGGAGAGAGCCAGCTAAGTGTTGTTTTTTTGGAGAGAAGAGAAAAAGATGGAGTAAGTGTTGATTAGCTTTGTGATGGAGAGGAAAACTGTGTACAGGAGAGATGGCAAAAAAAATAAAGACTCTTTGAATGCCATCATTAGAAGAGAAGGCAACAAATGAATTTCACTGCTTCACTGTACACAGATTTTGCTACTCTTACAAACCTGGAGGAGGATAACAAAGCTCTGCTGTTTCGTGGAGAAGTGCCTGCTTCAATTCGGAAGTCTGTCCGTCAAGAGTGGCCATATGAGCTCTAAATCATTCAAATCAGTTTCCAGTACATCCCATTCATTGTAAAAAAATTTTGTAGAACGAGGCTGCTGCCCTTCTCCTATAACATCCTTGTCGATTTCCTTCTTACTCTACTGAATGATTTCAGCCAGCATGTTCAGACTTCAGAGTTTCCTCTGCAGTGACATGTTCTACATTATCCTTGGAGAAGACCGATTTCAGAACATGATCAATCCAGAAAACAGGAAACAAATACATGACATTAAGTCAGCAAAACCTCTAGAGGACTAACAGACATACCAGGCTGCAGCGAATGAACAGACAGCTACCAGTCGGAGCAACTATACCAGCCACAACAGAAATGAGATGAACTATAAGAACAGAAACCAGAAAATAGAGAGGGAGTCATTGCTCAGAACCCAATAGCTACCTTGCAACCCTTTTACCTTGGAATTGGAGTAGCCCTAGCCCAGCAAGAAACCCTTGGCTGGAACACCTGAAGGTGATGGGACATCAGGCTGCCATTTGAGTTTTACCGAAGAACTAGCTCTTCCCTTCTCAAATAGCAGCAGAATATGGCATACATATATGTAACGAGCAACCGGACTGAAGTAGACAATTTCCGGGCTATGTGGGTACAGAAAAAGGCTCATAACAGCCCTCAACTTCATAGTTGCAACAAATTCATATATTGTTCACCAACCCCTCACATTGTTTCCTCCAAGATTCACGGGTCTTCTTCCAGTCTCCAGACGCTTGAACGAACCGGTACAGTTTCACTTTCTTGTGCAATTATGTGCACTGCACCTTGTGAGCAGTAAATATACCACTTTGGTTTCACACGAAATGCAAAAGCATCGATAGAAGTGGGAGGGTAGAACCATGCACACTCTGTAGCTTGTTCAATGAATTTTGCCTTCAGAAGCAAGCAATTACCCATGTGTTAAACCTTAAAAGGCTTGCAATATAAAGCCAGAGGGTACTCCATGTTCTCAAGGTAATCCTACTCCATGAACTTAAATAAGAAGGCAAGCTTTAACTCAATCACATTGATAACATGATCCACTTTCATTATCCAGAACAAAAGAAAGAGTTCCTGCCACTTCGCTAAAAAAAGAATAATAACCACAATCAGCTACCAAAAGAACAACCAAAACGTGGAAGGCTGCAGTTTTAGCAGCACCACACTCCAACACTACAAACAATGGAAATAACTACGACGGAAGTAAAAGAAAAAAAAAAGCAAAAAATGAACATCACTGCTACCCTGTACACTGCTTCTCCTTGAATCCCATCAATGATCACCCACCTAGCTTTCCATCCCCAACTCCATAGCCATCTCATTACCGGAACCACATGCCATTAGAAAACTCATTACTACCCACCAAAGAAGGAGAACAACCCTCTTCTCTTGGGCTCTTCCTCCACCAAAACAGCCTGCATACTATCCTGCTCAACAAGCCTCCAAGCCGCCTGCTCGAATGCCAATCCGGCCATAGTTGGAGGCTTGTTCAACACCAGAGGGTACCCTCGATTGGTGCTCCTGATCACCTCCGAGTCCTCGGGTATGGCTCCCAACAATGCCAACCCCAGCATTTCCTGAACGTCCAGAACAGACATCATATCCTCTCCCTTTATCATATCAGTCCTAACCCTGTTCACAATCATCTTTATATCCCTAATCCCATCGCATTCCAGCAAGCCGGTCACCCGATCTGCATCGCGCAGGCTCGTGATGTCCGGAGTCGTCACCAGCACGGCCTCGTTTGCTGGCGTGATGGCAGTAATGAACCCGGCGTCAATTCCGGCGGGGCAGTCAATGAGGATGAATTGTGGGGAGCCTTCGGGTCTTTGTTTGAGGGAGTCGACGAGCCAGACCAGGGCTTTGCCGCCGAATCCGAGGGGAAGCTTGGATCGAGGCTTGGAAATGCAGAGGAGCTCGAAATTGGACCAGCGCTTGTCGCGGACCAGGGCTTGGTCCAGTCGGCAGTCGCCATTGAGGACCTCGACTAAGGTGTAGTTGACGCGATTCTCGAGCCCCAGGAGGAGGTCGAGGTTGCGGAGGCCGACGTCGCAGTCGACGGCGACGACGGAGAACCCTAGACGGGCGAGGGAGATGCCGATGTTGGCGGTGGTGGTTGTCTTCCCGACGCCACCCTTTCCCGAGGTAATGACGACCACGCGCGGGGTCTCTCCGGCTAGCTCGGGCTTCCTGTTCCACTGGAGCGCCGATTGGATCGCCGACGGCGGCGAGGCGTGCTTCGAGGGTTTTAGGGTTTGGGTTCTGGGGAAGGGCGGAGTGAATGGGGTTAAGGAATGAAGGAGTGAAGGGTTGTGGTTCGGCGGGAGCGGTTTGAGAGACAGCATTGCTGGTGAAGCTTGGGAGGGTGAAACGGTTGAGAATGGAGAAAATCAATGGCGGATTGATTGAATTTTCAGAGTGGAAGGAAGGAAGAAGAAGAGCTCAGCAGATTTCATTTCGACAATTCGACTTTTTCCATTTCCGAATGGATGAGAGTGAGAGGGGAAGAAATTGCAGGGGAATCTTTTCGAGCGAAATGGGAGAATCCTTCGTTTCGCGAAAGCTGGGCTTCTTTTAGGCCATTTTGGGCCCGGTTCGTGAACTCAATATGCGGGCTGAACATTGGGCCTGTTTTAACGCTCAATTAGATTAGCTGAGGCTTTGAATTGATTGGGCTATCGATGAAATCTCTGTTTATCGCTTTGTTTTTATTTTTATTTTTATTTTTTGGACAAGAGGTCTACCAAAGTACCAAGGGGAAGTATACTTTGAGATCCAAACATGGTTGAAAATGAAAAGAAGCGATAGTATCGCTACACCAAAGATTATCTGCACCCATAGTTTGTTCGAATACTTTAGAATGATAAGCCCCCTACCTCCGCATCAGTCTGAGTAAGCACTAAGCAAGGCATCAACTCGCACGATACAAACAGGACCATGGCCATTGAACATGCAACTAGGGCTGCAAATGAGCCAAGCCGTTCGCGAGCAACTCGGCGTTCGAATCGTAAAAAACTCGTTCGACACTCGACTCGTTATTTAACAAGCCGGCTCGCGAGCCAACTCGTTAGTTAACGAGCCAAGCTTGAGCTAGACCATGCTCAGCTTGATAAGCTCGCGAGCTAGCTTGATTCGGTGGCTTGGTGAGCTAAGCTCGCGAGCTGCCTTGTTTAGAGCTTGTGGAAGGATGAATTACTCTTTTAAACATGAACATTGTCTTGTTAATACAAATGTGTATGAAATTTAGATGTTATTTATAGTTTTTAGTGTTCTTTCTATCATTTAAATTCTTATGTTTACACATTTTTCAAGCAAGAATGATTTTAAATCAAGCTCATCTTCAGCCGAGCTTGTACTTAGCTTGACAAGCTAAGTTAATGAGCATTTATCGAGCTCTACCGAGTCGAGCTCGAGCTAGATTATTTTTATTCAAGCCGAGCTCGAGCTCGAGCTAGATTATTAAAATTCGAGTTCGAGCCGAGCTCGAGCTAAAAAATTAATAAACGAGCCGAGGTCAAACTAAACAAAAACTCGACTCGACTCGGCTCGTTTGCAGCCCTACATGCAACATCATAAGCCACCACTTAGAGTGCACTCAGAAACGACCCATCGTAGTGAATCTCATGAGGGGGATTACTAGACGGTGGACAGGAGTAAAATCAGAATGCTATGAGTTGAACAAGGTCGAGGGAGCCAAAGAAAAGGCGAACCAGGACTCGGATAAACGAAGAAACACCTTCAAAATCTCCCAAAAACCGCAGAATAACACCCAACGTCAAGCAAAAAAGACACCATCACCCACTTCATTCGCCTGAAAAAAGGAAGCACACAAGCGTACCAAAGAAAGACAAAAGGGGAAAATAGCGAATATACTTACTAGAAAATATAAATCCACCAACAACGAATAGAACCCCCAACTTAAGATCTCAAATAAAGGCACTCCAACCTGCAACTTTCGAACCCATATAAAGCAAGGTCAAACAGGATTTAGAACCCTAGATCAGACACAAAGTGGAGGAAAACCACTAAGTAGATATGGAAAAGTTAGCAAATGCCCTTTATCTCTTCACAATTCTATCTCAATTCTTTGTGAACTCATACTCGATTCAATCTTTATCTCTTCTCAATTTTCTTTCTAATCAACCGTTATACTTGACTCTTCTCTTAGTCTAGTAGGCCTCCTCACTGGTTGAAATGATCACAATATCTTAAAATGAAATCCTGACACGATCAATTCATCGACTAATCAGAAATCGTAAAACAATTATCATAGATTTTATCGAATAAATTTATAATAGGGTATTTTTATTTTATGTATAACTCGTAACGGTTGAACCATTCATACTTGTAAAATCGCCTAATGAATTGGGTTCGGCTTAATTCCATTTGGTCACTGGAATTACTTAAAATTTTCATATTTGCCACTAGAATTACTTTATTCTATCCGTAGTCACTTAAATTAGTTCATCAGTTCAAGTTTGGTCACTCTCCGTTAGTCTCTGTTAACTTTGACTGACGTTTAGCGGTTAACTACATGCGTCGTTTTCCTTTGGCATGTACTGTCTCGTGATCTTGTTTAGTCACGAGTCTGCAATAGTCCTGGAAGTTGGGCTAGAAATACATTTATGGTTTAACCGATAACCTCATCAAAACTCACAGTTAGCGGTTAACTACAAATCGAAAAACATACTACTTTGTGGGAGCGATTAGTAATATTGCTTGTTTTACAGTTTGCGGTTTGCGGTTTAAGCGGCCGTTCGCAGTAATAACCGAATAAGCCCCAGTCCATACCACTAAATCAAGCGCCCAACTCCTATGCTATTCAGGCTTGTGAATTTGGCTTTGGCCCTTCGGATCCCTACCCAAAATTTGGCTCCATATGAAAGCTCGTTGTTTTGCAATCTAACGCTTTATTGATTGACAAACAGAGAGCATTAAATCTGGTATGATGGCTGTAGAATACAAAAGACTCCCAATTAGTCTTTTATACTCAATAGGATCAACTAAGACACCATCTCCTGCCTTGGTGAGCTTTACTCCTGGATCCATAGGATTTTTCACAATATTACAATCAGCCAAATTGAACCTTGTCAACAAGTCTTTTATGTATTTCTGTTGGCAAAGAAAGATTCCACCCTCATTTTGAATGATCTCTACCCCCAGAAAATACACCATCTTGCCTAGATCAGACATCTCAAACTCGGCCTGCATAGTAGCCTTGAAGACTGCAATCATTTCAGGACTATTGCTAGTATACAAACTCACTTTGAATGATCTCTACCCCCCCCCCCCCCCCCCCCCCCAAAATACCTCATCTTGCCTAGATCAGACATCTCAAACTCAGACTTCATAGTAGCCTTGAAGTCTGCAATCATTTCAAGGCTATTGCTAGTATACAATAAATCATCCACGTATAAGCTAACAATCAAAATGAAGTCTTCAGTCTTCTTAATGGACAGGGTGTGTTCATATGTACTCCTTTCAAAATCAGACTTAAGAAAGAAAGTCTTTATCCTGCTGTACCAACCCCTGGGGGCTTGCTTCAGTCCGTAGAGTGCTTTTTGTAACTTGTAGACCTTAGATTCCTCTCCAGCAACCACAAAACCTTGTGGTTGCTCTACATAGATATCTTCAGTTAATTCTCTATAAAAAATAACACTCTTGACATCTAACTAATAAACCACCAAACCATGAAATGTAGCAAATGTGAAGATAGTCCTGATAGTGTCCCAACGAGCCACATGAGCAAATACCTCTGTGCAGTCAATTCCATGTCTTTAAGTGAAGCCCTTGGCCACTAGTAGATCTTAGTAAGCATAGTTGTACTTCTGAGTTCCAAGACCACTCTTGAGATTCATCAAATATAACATCTCGACTGATAATTACTTTCCTAGTAGCTGGATTGTACAACTTGTAGGCTTTGGACTCCATGGAGACACCCAAAAATTGACACCTTACACTCTTGTAGTCCAATTTCTTCCTCTGTTGATCTGGAATATGAACATGGGCCACACAACCAAACACCCTTAAGCGAGCTACTGATGGAGGATGCCCTGTCCAAAGTTCTTGTGTTGTATTTTCTTTATTGGCTGCTGTGGGACTCCTGTTTAGAACATGAGTTGCCCATGCTACAGCTTCAGGCAAGAAAAATGTTGGAACCTTGCAGTATTCTAAGATACACCTCACCATATTCATAACGGTTTGGTCCTTCCTCTCAGCTACCCCATTCTGTTGAGGAGTGAGGGAAGCTGTGAGCTGTCTTTTGATACCTGTCTCATCACACAATCCTCTAAATTCTTGTAGCATGAACTCAACACCCCTGTCTATTCTAAGACATTTTATACTAGTACCAGTTTCATTCTCCACGTAGCTTTTGAACTTCTTAAACCCATCTAATGTATCTGATTTTGTAGAGAAGAAATAAACCCATAATTTTCTGCTGAAATCATCAATCAACGTGAGAATATATCTTTTCCCTCCATTGGAAACATGAGTGATAGGGCCACACATATCAACATGGAGAAGATGTAGCTTTTTTGTGGCTCTCAAGTTGCTCTTCATTGGAAATGGAAGCCTGTGTTGCTTTCCTGCTAGAAAAGTCTGACAAATGCCCACGTCTCCTTTCATAATTGGTAAATCTCTTACTAGTTACTTCTTTTGAAGATTCTGCAGCCCTTGGATATGAAGATGCCCAAAACTCATGTGTTATAGTTCAAGAGATGAGTCTCTAGAACATCAATTTGCAAGCACTGGTAGTCTCCATTCTTCTCCTGATTTGCCTAAAGTACAAACATTCTGATTGTCTTCATTTGGGTCTGCAGCAGCAGTCCCCTTTCTTCATGAAAGAGCTTGCAAGAGCCTTCTTTGATAAAAAAGAAATACCTCTTTCCTGTAATTGTCCTATACTCAGAAGGTTAGTTTTGAGTCTAGGAACAAAGAACACTTGTTGAATGACAAAAACAACCTGGTTCACCAAAAACTTGATTGTTCCTTTGCCTACAACCTCCAGCATGGAATCATTTTCCAATCTCACACTGCATTTGAAAGTTGTATCAAGATCAGTGAACCAAATTCTGTCACCACTCATGTGGTTGCTGCATCCAGAATCCAAAAACCACCATGCTGCATTATTGGGCTGATCTGTCCTAGCAGATTTGCTATCCTCCACATAAGCCATTAACAACACATCATCCTTCATATCCTGTTGTGTCCTGTCCTGAGAATAGCTGTAGTAAGCCTGTTGTCTTTACCATTCAGGGCACTCATACTTGAAATGCCCTAACTTGTGGCATTTGTAGCATTCCACTTATTCTTTGCTCCATCCTCGTCCTCCTCTTCCTCTACCCCTTCTAGGATAGTCTCTTCCTCCAAATCCACGACCTCCCTTTCCTCCATACTCATGGAAAGTTCGTAGGACCTGATCCACCTCACCACTGTTCTTCCTTTGAAACTTTTGCTCATGCACAATTAAGGAACTTTTGAGAGCATCAACAGTTAATAACTCTATATCCTTAGATTCCTCAATTGAGCATACCACGAAATTAAACTTTCCAGTCATTGTTCTGAGAATCTTCTCAACAATATGAACATCAGTCAACATTTCACCACAATTCTTCATAGCATTAACTATAACCATAACTCGACTAAAATAATCAGTAATGGTTTCACCTCCCTTCATTTCCAAAAGCTCTAAATTCCTCTGTAATCCCTGCAATTGAGCCTTCTGCACTCTCTTGGTCCTTCACTAGCATTGAATCCCACAACTCCTTGGATGTTCCTTTCTTGTTGATTGTCTTCAGGATGACCTTGTCGATGGAACTAAACATATAATTTTTGGCCTTCAAATCCTTGAGCCTAAGTTCATCAAGCCTATTAGATTGTGCTTTTGTTAGCTCCTCCCCTTCTCCTGACTCCTTGAATCCATCCTTCAGCACTCCCCAGTACTCCTTGGATCAGAGAAGATTCTCCATCAGCAGGCTCCAATGGTCGAAATCTCCATCGAACTTTAGAATGTACACTTGTGCAAAGCTACTGTTTTCTCCCATGAACCAAAATCACAGATCAATGCTTCTCTCACCCTTAAAACAACATTCATCCACATTCTTGAGTCCTCTCCTCCGTCTATGAGAGCCGGCGAGCGAGTGACAGCCAGAGCTTCCCTGAGTGGTCTCCTCCGTCGTTGACTTTGGGATCCTCCAAAGTCGGCGAATCCCAGTCCCTGAGCTTCCCCCGCCTTCCCTTCCATATTCCTCTTCCAGACTTTCTCAACTCATTCAACATCATGAGTGCATGACAACCCAGATTCTTCAGCTCGTCGCAAGGCATCAACTTCAACAACTCCAGTTAGCAATTTATCGCAATTTGTAGTGCGGTTGTTGTTGGCGAATATGATCTTGTTTCGATTGCGGTTAACAACAACCACATCATTTCCCAGCTCTACCTGGAAGGAGCACGTAAGCTTAGAGAGAAGGGATAGGGCAATTCAAAACAAAGTAAGAAAGAGAGGGTATAACTATAATTTTAGGAGCGCGATCCTATAAACACTTGATGGTGTTATTTTCCCAACTAAAAAAACAATCAATTGAATATACCTCTATAATCCCTCATAAGTTATAATTGACTTCACCACTATATATGATCTCATCCAATGCAGTTAAAAGCGTGATTCTATGTAAAAGCATTTTAGTGATCTAGAAACGTAAAAGTGTAAACTCTCAAGCTTTAAAGCACGATTTATTTTGACTATATTAGTAAGAGCAAAATATTATTCTACATAGACGCGTTTTGATTACCTATAAATATTAAAGTGTAAACTTTAAACCGCTATTTTTACTGCATTCATCCAATCGAACTAAGACCACAAAACAATGTCATACATCTCGTGAGTGTGATTTGGGAGAACTTTAAACATAATCATTTTGGTATTATTATGAAGTTTAGAATTGCTAGAAATGATGATTTAATGATTTAGCTTCGAATCAAAGACGCCAAAACAAAACTTGTCTCTTCAATTGGGTAAAAAAGAAAGTTGGTTGGAGACGAGGGCCCAATCCAAATTCCCAAGTCGCCAATCCATTCATCAAAATCCAATTTGGCTTCTGCTTCTCCCAACCCACGTACCCGATTGGGTTTGTGATAAGATACAACTTCATACAAGAAATCACCAGCCGTACACGTAATTCGTCCAAAACAAGAAGCCTTAAAATCGAAGGGCCAGGATTCATTCCTTCCCGGGGGTCGGGTCCCACGTGTCCAATAGCGCTGAAAAAGCTGAAAGGAGCGGTCACTGAACTTTATTTTTTAATACGGAAATGGTCAGCAAACTTTTGGGGTATCTAAAAACCGGTCACCACGCTCTCATAATTGTAGGTATAACATACTTATCTATTAAGTTTGAAAGAGTTGTCAAGAAAAAAAAGTTAAGTTTGAAAGAGGTTACAATGATAGTCACTTTTTTTTTTCCTCTGAGAAATGTCAAGAAAGAAACAACAATTCGAAGAAACACAAAAATCCAACTAGGCCTATTACAAAAACAAACAGAGGCAAAAAGTTAAAAGACACCAACTCTAACAAAGACAAGGTAAGGTCTCGACGTGCCATTCTATGAGCAACCCAATTGAAAACTCTAGCAGTCGTTTTAAACTCTACACCATAGGGCATGGCAGAGAATCGCTGGAGACAAACACGGAACATAGACCCATCTAGGACATCCCACTGGAATCTCGAATAGCAACTTCGTAATAGGAAGCATCCTGTCGAACCGCCACATCAAACTTATATTTTAGAACGTCTGAAGGGGAGAAGGTTTTTTTTTTTGTGAATTAGGTTGTGAATATGCGATTAGTTCGTGAATTATTGTATAGTAGGATATACAAATTTGTTGAGCAGTGTAGATACAAAGTCTATATTATATTCTTTTGTCGGAATACGAAAGAACGTTGGAACCTTTTGTTAAAATTTGTACAAGTCGAATATTTTCCGATTTATTACTTATTTAATTTAATTTTGAATAATGACACCCTTATAAAAATGTTTGGATCCGCCACTACCTACAATCCTACATGAGGTTAATAGTATTCAAATATCAAAGTGTTCCGAAATAAATGATAGTCGCTTTTGTCTATTAGCATGTGAGCTCCTCAATATATATGTAAAATCTAATCTTCTTAGCTAAAACTAGAGAAATCACTTTATACCAATTACCGACCAATATCATATGAAATTTTTTGTCTCATTAGACGAATTAATCACTTCATTCGTAATTTTACGATGTAATATCATCTTTCTTAAGGGGTCGTTTGGATGTGGAAATGTAATGCAGTAATTGGACCAAATTACTACATAATGCAGTAATTGGGTTAAAAATCCACGTTTGGGAAAGCAAAAATTGTATGGAAATCGGACCATGGAAATCGGCTTCAATTACCACATTCATGGTAATTGATAATACTATACCTCCCCCTAGTAATTTGATATTACCACGTTTTCTTACTTCTTTTTACAAATTCCACACCATCAATTCCCATAAAACTAAACCTTATCCATACGTGAATTTTTTTTCAATTTCCACAACTAAATTCTTTAGTTTTGTAAAACATTGGAAACTCGGACAAATTTCTAACGTTTTAAAATTTCCACATCCAAAAGATAGGATTCGAAGTTCAGTGACCAATTTGTTGTGACATCAGAGTCTAGTGACTGCCAAAAAGGTGAATGGAAAAAATCGAACTTCTAGGTTTAACTTTAACCCCACGCTTCCCACGCACGACGACACAGCACGCAAAGCACAGACGGACACGTGGCCGGTTACCATTCGCAACCGGCACGATAGCATTTCCCCTCTTACCTTTTCGTTTTTGTCTTTTTTTTTTTCTTCCTCTTTTGTTTTTTTTTTTTTTTTGCGCGCATTTTTCTTTCTTCATTCCGTCCGTCCGTCACTCAGCCAATCTCTCATCTCATGTGATCAGTTATTTTCTCTCTCTTCGATTTCGTGCTGCTTCTTCTCCTCCTTTTCCTTTTTTCTCTATCTATCTATCTGTCTGTTTGTCTGTCTACTTTCTCTAGATCCAAACACCCTCTCCTTCTTTCCTTCCTTCCTTCGTACCCTTTCTCCGCAGTTCCGAGTTTCTCCGTGTGCGTTGCTTCTCTCTCTCTCTCTCTCTCTCTCCTCGGCGCGTCCGTTTTCCCGATCCGAGGAGGAGTTTCTTTCTCGCGCTTTTCTTCGTCTTCCAACCCATTGGAAACCAAAGGTTCGTCTTTCCTCCCCGCTGTTTGATTGATCCATTTACTGTTCCATCTCCTGATTGTGGTAGTCATTCGGCGGATTAGGGTACCTGGTGCAGAATTGGTCTGATGAGGGTAGGATTGTTCTTTGAATCGACGGATCTGTGAGTTCTGAATTGGGGTTAGTTGGATCTGATTGATTGCCTGCTTGTAGAATGGTTGGATCATCGTTTGTAGGTTTGTTTGAATATCAGAAGCAATCAGTATGTATCGGAAAAAAGGAATTCTGGGTAGACGTAGATTTTGTATTATTTGATCTGAATCTGAGGTAATTTGATCATGTGATGGAAATGGATCTCGGGATTTGAAGTATTGTTCTGTCGAGTATTTGATCTGATGGCAGTTTGACAGTCTAGTACGTTTACCTGCTGAATTGGATGTCTTAGGTCGGTGAGGGTGTGAAAATTGAGCTCTATTACGAATGCTTTGAAGTCGTAAGAGAGCTAGGGTTTGTTGCTATGGTTGATGTCTGAGCTATATAAATCAGGAGACCAACAATTAGCCTTTTTTTTAATCTTCTTGGGTTATCTTCATGTGAGGATTTCGTCAATTTTTGTTGTATGATATGGTGTGATTGCCTGATTGGCCCTTTTTAATATGTCTTGCATTTGTTTGCATAGGTGATGTTTGATTGGCGTGTTTACTGGGTTCTTTTCGTGGTGTAGGGAAGGCAATGTGAGCAGTTTGTCCCATATTCGTGATTGTTGCTTCATTCCCCGGCATTCTGGATTTAGTTTTCAGGCTGTTCTGTCTCGGTGTATGCAAAGATGGGCAAATGCAGCGGTTATGCAAAGCTTGGAGGATTGGTGTCCAGGGATCAATCCGTTAGTGGCTACCATTTTGCCATTCTCTTGTCTCCCGTTCTCTCCTTCTGGGATTGCATCGTTCGGAAAATGAGGTACTCCTACAGACCTGAGTGGGTGTAGCTCTCAGCCACTTGTAGCTCCTGTTCCATAATCGATACTGAAAATTAGGGTAGTAAACCACTTTTAGCAATATAGGGGAACATGTACACTGTTTAGAGGAGGATTTCGGAGTTCTCACTAGGATTACGTTATAGATTGAGCAAAAATAGAACTTCATTCTTCATAGAGTTTGGAACAGTTTTAATTTTAAATAAATGGATAGCATAGCGGGTAAACCCGTAGTGAGGAAAGTGAAGAAGAAGCAGGTGAAAGGTGAGATGGACCGCCTCAAACAGGCTGAGAAGAAGAAGAGGCGCCTGGAGAAAGCATTGGCTACTTCAGCTGCCATTAGGTCCGAACTAGAGAAGAAGAAGCAGAAGAAGATAGAAGAACAACAGAGGCTCGATGAAGAGGGTGCTGCAATAGCAGAGGCAGTAGCGCTGCACGTTCTGCTTGGCGAGGACTCCACTGATGATTCCTGTCAGATTGTACTACAAAAAGAAGAAGGGTTCGAGTTCAACCCGTGGGATTGTGCCCCTGAAAATCTCAATATCTACATGGACAAGAGTGGAGCATCATTCCTCCCACATCATTACTGTGCCGGCGGGGATGGTGAATGGTCGTCGTTCTCTTATGGCTCCCTTGGTGGAATGGATGTACGAGGATCGTACTTTGGTGATGAACGTAGCTGGGGAGCTGCAGCGGAGTTCTCGGCTGGTCTTATTGCGGCTCAGGCTGTTTCATCTCTACAGATTGGGGAGGATGATGCTGTCGACACATTCGTCTTGGACGGAATGCTGAGGGGGTAGATAGATAACATTCACATTGGAGCAGTGATTCTCTGGTTTGCCTCTCAATGGAGTCAAAAGGTCATTTAGTCCATCGCTTCAGAATAAATGCTTTGTTGTGTGTATATATAGTTCTCGAGTGTCTTGCCCTCTTGTGTGTCCAGATGTTCTGGGCTGAACTCCAACAGTTGTTGCACCATAACACTCAACTGTTTTTATTATAGTTTTCTTTGATCTTTTCTCTCTTTTTTTGGATATTCGAGGATTTAGTTTCTCATGCTTGTTGTTTCTTGAGATGTAACAATTATGCAATTTGGCCTTTGGGTTTCTTCTCAATGTTGATTTTGGTGTATTCGAATGTTGATTTTGGTGTATTCGAATTCTTATATCGTAACACGGATGTCAATTTAGCCCCGGAAAATAGAATGAATTGGTTGCCTGGATATTAATGGCTGCAAAATAATGTGTCGCTGCTAGCATATGCGTAAGAAATATGGACTGAGATAACCAGTCATCAACCTGCACAAGCTAAACGTTCGTGTGCTAACTACCATGTATCAAGAGCTCGATGCGAGGCTCTGTGAGCAATCAGAAAGCAAGCCAGGCAAAAAATTTGCAAGAGAGAAAGAAGCACTAAACAGATCACATCAACGAATATCATGGTACGTTCTCCAACATTCTGTTTTACAGGCACCTCAAACGAAACTTTGTGTCAGAAAGCAAATGAAACATTTTACAGAGGTAGACGATGAACGGCTTTCCATTCAAACTGTAGGGCGTGAAATCCTCTATGGGACAACAAACGCATGCTTCTGACTCAAAGAGAGAGACACATCAGATCTCGTCGTGCCTCGAGTTGTGTCTCAGCAGCCTATCAGACTCATCTCGATGTCCATTCTGCATTGGTGTTACTACTGCATCTTCTTGTCGCGACTTCTGCTGTCGAGTCAGTGGTGGAACTGGTGTGAGCTGTTGCGGAGAGACCAGATCCACCTGATTGTCAGCTTCAGTACTGGTTGACGGTTTTGCCCCGGTGGTGACGAGGTTCTTGAACCAAGTTGCTTGAACCCTAGGAGATCCTCCATTCGAGTTTCCAGGGGATTCAGGAGTAGAACCATTGTTGGATCCCACGCCTAGAAGGAAACGATAAGCTACCTTGCTAGCTGATACAATCTCTGTTTTAGCTTGTCTGAACTGCAAGCAACAGAGGCGCAAACATACAATTGTCAATCAATAGCCCTATATTGTAAAAATATTAGACCCACATTTGTTAGTAATGAGAGGATGAACAATACGAGCCATGTTACAGGGATAAAGCAGCCCATATGCAGTCCGCATGCATGTGAAAACACAGAGGTCAATTGATCAAAGACTAGACATTACATATGATGGGTTGAACTCTGAATATGATAGAATGAATCGAAGTACCGAATCTGCACTGTAAGCTACTTCCATGTCCAAGAAAAATAAGCTGGATAAGTAACATAAATATGCAGAACTCCAAGGACAGAGAAGAGGGAACTGCAAAATGGGATCTTACTCGTAAGGCTGTGGTTCCAGCTATTTCAACAGCAGCATCCCCAGCATTGGCAAATCGGTTCACCCAACCTGTGAATAAGGTGGAGAACATAAAGAATGTCAGATTTGCATGAACTGACTCCTGGATGGTTGAGAAGGACAAACATAAGACAAACTAGGTTCATGATCGTAAACAAAAGTCAATTCCTTCTTAACATTTCTTAACCCCATCCATATTTACTTGAGATCTAGTTACAACACAATTCAAATTTATATTTTCAGGGCAGGCGTTAGTGGACTCCACCAATAATCTTTAAAACACACACTATTCAAAGGAACCCAAAAAGATAAATACATTACATCTAAACAACAGAAGACAAGGGCACAGGGAACTTTCCAGTGAACAGAAAGGTCCAGTGGTTTCTTAACCTATCTTAAACAGCCACCAAAGCTAAATAACTGTGCACCCATCATAACTACATGTTTCAGTGAAACAGACATGAAATGTATGGTAGCCACCGACAATATCAAGCTTTTAAAGGAAGGATAGTAGTAGCAAGTATAAAAATCATTACCTGGAAGCTTTGGAACTCCTAACTTCTCACAGAACTCATCACAGAAGTGATTACAGTTCTTGGCCAACAAATCATAAGAGCTTCCAGGCCACTCCCTACTAAGTTCACGAAGGATCTGATTCACTTTATAGATTGAGAAATTGGTTCTTCCAAGTATAATGCTTTCACGGTAAGTATACATTGGGTTCTTTCCCGAAGGGCAACTAAAAACTCCCGTGCCTTGTTCACAAAAGCCAAACGACCATTCATCTTCTCCATATACCTGTCACCAGGGGGGAACAACTCAATAATCCATAAGCAATTCAACATCAGTGCAAAGAGAAGCAACAGTTGATCATGGAAAGAAGTCACTTAAACAGAGACCTTCATCATTGCACAAGGGTCTTGCATATACAACTTACAAGAATACGTCAAGCACTGAATTGCACTACAGTATTATGTTAGGAACTCTCTGAATTGATTATTATATTGGTCTTATTCATTGGTTGATGCATTTAACTAACAGCTCCTTTTCTCGCACTCTTCTAGTAAGTTGAATTTCTAATATGTTAGACCTTCTGTTGCGGTAAGATAAGTTTAATTTGGAGATCCATATAATAGGGACGGACATCATACTCATTCTAGCCTAAATCCATAATCCACAGTGCCTGTCTATAACTTCTTTGCTGCCTTAACCGTAATTCCGTACAAAGTTTAGGAAAACCCCAGACGACACGGAGGGAAACAACGGTAATTTCCCCCACGGTTTTTTCTTCTCTCCTTCTTTCCCCCACGGTTTGAAAGAGAGTGGTGAAAAGTACGAACGACTTAACAATCTCAACAGACCTCATTGTTCTATCCATTCTAGTCCTTAACAATCTCATCACTACTGACTTTCACTTACAAATCTAAGCAGGTGAGGGAAGACCTCTCACCAACCACAAACTATTCCGCAGCATAACCATGCAGCCCAGCAGCTACCGGAACCATTAACCAACTGTCATCAATGAGTATCATCAACACACTCACTAGCTTCCAATGTCATCAAATTCAGCAACAAGACCAAAGCAAAAACCTGAATCCGCATTCAATTATCTTTAATAACAATGTCGGCCATTACATCTACCAAAATTCATTGTGTAATTTGACTCCAGAATCTACTCAGGAAGTCTCCAAGACATTAAGCACCAAATGGCCAGTCCAGTTTACAGAACACCTCAAGAGCAATTTGAGTAAGAGTCCAGGCACAGCTTAGTAGCGGTTCGCCATAGAAAATATAACGACACGATTCTTACACCCACAAAGCAAAGCCCAAAGTCTCACATGCAAGGTAAGAAGAACACTCCAACTAGTACACATACTGCAAGTAAAGAGAAGATCACTTTTTCTAAGTTCCTTTTTCCCCCTCAGAGACCTAGATCTTGTCCAGAACAACTCTCTCGCAGAATTCGAGCAATAGAAATCAACAGATACACTCTCACCAGCACACCGCAAGGTTACGAAGACAGTACATTAAACTTCACAAAGAAGCGAACAAGAGAGAGAGAAATTCGCGAAGAAGGAAAACCTGAACAGCACTGTGAAAGATGCCGCCGATGCCAATACCGTCCTTGAAGATCTTATTGATCTGCATGATTGTGGTGTTCGTCTTCTCCGATCCACTGTTGGTCACATCGTATATGTGCAATATCACATCCGTCATCGTTTCTTCTCCACAAATCGACAATCGGTAACCCTAACCGTCGAGCTGCAGAAACCTCCACCTTTGTTTCTCTCCTATCCCGGCGGAAGCTCCTCCGCCTTCCGCTTCCGGATTCCGGCGCTGCTTCTTGCTCCGGCGTCCCTCTTCTGCTCCCGTGCTCCGTATTCTTCTTCCTCGCCCAACTCTACCTCTACCAAGAAATGATTCGCTCTTGGGGTTTTTTCTCCCTTTTTTTTTCAATTTGCTGGCGCGCAGCTAATTTTTTTCACTTTCCTTTTCTCGTTTAAAACCTTTTTTTTTTCTTTTTCCTTTATTTTGATTTTTTGTCGACTCGTCCGCTTCCGCAGTTTGGAGGAGTGGGCGGTGTGGATGACGTACTTCGAAGTTTGAACCTATCTGGATCTTCTTTTTTCGGTTTTGGTGTTCTTTGCTTGGGAAACTGTAGATTATAAAGCTAAAACGTCACCGTAAACTGGTGGAAATTGAAGTTCACCGTCAGTTAAATATCATACGTAAATAATTAATTAAGGGGTCGTTTGAATGAGTTAATTGTCTTTTTTTTGAATAATCATACTTTCATTCATTCCAACCCAAGTGAAACTCGGCAGTTACAACAAGTCAGATAATACAATGAGAACAAAAAGCCAATCCGGGTGAAGGGAATTCATTCTACAATTGCGTGCAACCCAATCGGCTTTCTTGTTGTTTTGGCGACCAGTAAAGGAAAGGTGGATCCAAGGAGAGCATCGCAGAATCTTGGTGATAGAGGTCAGTGACGCAAAACATCGCCAAGGCCACAAAGAAGGGTCACTGTGAACAGCGTCCACCAAAACCTTGCTGTCAGAAAGGATCGTTGAAGGGACATGGTCATCCGCTGCCACCTGGCAAGCTGCGAGGATAGCAAGCGCCTCAGCTTCAATTGGGGAAGAACAAAGAATCTTTCCAGCCTTTCCGTCGCACATCTGCCCTTCAGAGTTGGTAATAACCACTCCAAAAGCCGCCTCTTGTGAAACGCTATCAAATGATCCGTCACAGTTAATCCTACGAAGATTGATTGGCGGTGGACAAGATTGAGAGGGAATGACCCCAGGCTGGGGTGAAGGAGAGATAGGTGGAGAGTAGTGAGGTTCCGCCGCATCACGGAAAGCGCAGATCGAGGTTGCCGTTGGGGAGATGACGACACCTCTAAAAATACACTCGTTGCGGGCCTTCCAAATGTTCCAAGCACAGAAAATCTTTTGCCGGATAGAGAGATGGGAATCTTGATCACGCATGGAGAAGATCCATTGGGAAAAGTTCTGCGGAGAGGTGAGAGATGGGATGACTTTTTCCCATGTAGTCAATGCATGGGGGCAAAGAAAAAGGCAATGAATCAAGGATTCTTCCTCCGCGTTGCATAATTGGCATCTCGGACTAGGAGAACACCTCCGTTTGAAGAGGTTGAGGCAGGTAGCAAGGGCATTGAGGATACCTCTCCACATGAAAAAGCGGATCTTTGGAGGGAGCTTCAGGGACCAAAGCCATTTCCAATTATCCTCCGAGGCAGGCATGTTGAGATCATGATGTTGCAGGTGATTTGACTGTTCCCTTCGATGCATCTGTATCCCGTGATAAGCAGAACGAACAGAGAATGACCCATCTGGGGTGAATTTCCATGCCCACTTGTCGTCTGTACCTTCCGGGCCAATATGGATACGTGAAATGGCCTCAGTTTCTTCCATTGTGCAGTGCCTCCGAAGAAGATTGAAGTCCCAACTTCTGCAGTCTTCATTCATCCAATCACAAACACGAGATGGAGGGTCCAAACGAGAAGAGATCTTGTGTCCCTGGCCGTGGAGAGGATGGACCCATGGATCACTATGGAACCACGTGGTTTCCCCTGTTCCAATTACCCAAATGATGCCTAGATCAAGAGCTTTCCTGGCGTCACAGAAACTGGCCCAGATCCAAGATGGGGAGCTGCCTTTGGTTGCTGAGTAGAAGGTACCGTTTGGTAGGGCTGGGAATTTAGACCAAACTGTATGAAAAACCGCGGATTAGACCGTACCGTACGGTTTGGTCCGGACCGTTAGACCATGAATACAATTTGGTCTGGTCCATGGTTTGCCTCTTTCACTTGCGGTCTGGAACGATTTGGTCTGGTCTAGACCGTGGTTAACCGTCCAGACCGTGGCCAAAATTAAGTATGGGCTGAGCCCAACTAGGCAGCTCCAAACCTCCATATTTCAATGGGCCAAGCCCAATTTCTTCTCTCACTCGGTTGTTGCGTGCTTCCCCATCGACCGTTCCTAATCGCATTGGACGCTGAAAGTCTGCAATGCTGGGAGAGGCGAGAAGGAAAACCTACATATTCGTTGTCGTTGTTGCCTTCAGCCATCGACCTCCACCATCTTTGTTGCCTCGCCTCGCCTCGCCTTCAGTCATCCAGCAGCTCCGTCGCAACTCACACGACTTCCACCATCGAACTCCACCATCGCCATCGACCTCCGCCATCAACGTCCGCCATCAACCTCGACCTTTGCCTGCCTGCCATCGACTCTGTCATTGCCGACTGACCCCTGCAACCGAGAATCCCCCATTCACGACCAGCTTCCCCTGTCTTTGTTCTCAATGGTAATGTTGGCAGATGGCTCGTTGGTAGTAGTGTTATAGTTTGTTAGTTGTTGCTTGAAGCTAGAAACATGGGATATAGGATTGTTTGTTGTGCCGAAACATGGGGTAAAAGGAATTAGGGTTTGTTGTGCTCTGCCATTCAAATCGTACAGCCAACATTTCCTAAAACTTTGATTTTGCATTGTATACAAGGTTATGTTATGTTGTTGATTATTAATGTCATGTTATGTAGGGTTGTAGATTTGAAATTGTTGGTGTTATGTTGATATTTAACAATATTGGATAATACAGGTTTTGTTGAACATGGTCTACTCGGTCCAGACCATACCGGACCGCACCGCACAGGCGTGGTCTGGTCTGGACCGTATAGGTTATGGTCTGGTCCATGGTCTCTGTTCTACCCTCTCGGTCTGGACCACAGACCGTGTATATGGTCTGGTCTGGACCAGACCGCACCGTTTCCCAGCCCTACCGTTTGGGAAGTAAAGACCACGCATCAAACGTGCCCAAAGGGACTGTGGCTCGTTGATCAGTCTCCATCCCTGTTTGGCCAACAAAGATAAATTAAAGTCTCGGAAATTTCGAAAACCCAACCCACCATTCATTTTAGAGTCATTGAGCACTTCCCCTTTTCGCCAAGGAATGGATCGCTTTTTCATAGAGCCGGACCAAAAAAATCTGTGAAGAAAGGAATCCATTTTCTTGGTGAGGGAAGTAGGAAGGAGGAAGACGCTCATGATGAAGGTTGGGATTGCTTGAATAACGGCCTTGAGCAAGGTTTCCTTTCCTCCGTGAGAAAGGGTGAGACTTTTCCAAGAATCTCCTTTCTTTTCCATTCTCTCAATGAGAAAAGCAAAGGTCTCCTTCTTTGATCTTCCCTATTCCGTCGGGACTCCCAGATATTTGTCATGACAAATGGCCGAGGGGAAGCCGATTCGATTAGTGATGTTGTTTCTGAGATCATCCGGGGAGTTTTTGCTGAAGAAGACTGGGGATTTCTCGATGTTGACCTCTTGGCCGGTTAAGGATTTGTATGTGTTAATGATCTTCATTATCTCTTCAGCCTCCTCCATAGATGCTCTCCCAAAAATAACAGTATCATCTGCAAACAAGCAGTGAGAAATCCGTGGACAATTAGGCTTGATCTTGATACCATGGATGGTCCCTTGGGAGACACCCTTATCAAGCAAAAAGGAGAGGGCATTCGACATAAGAATGAATAAGAAAGGTGAGAGAGGGTCTCCCTGTCGTATGCCTCTTGATGGAGAGAAGAACTCGGTCGGGCTCCCATTGACCAAGATGGAGAATCGAACAGTTCGGACACATTCTTTAATCCATTTGCACCACGAGTGGTTGAACCCATAGGCAATGAGCAAAGGATCAAGGCAGTTCCAATCCACCAAGTCGAAGGCCTTTCTCATGTCCATTTTGAGCATCAAGTCAAATCTCTTCCCTTGACGTCGGTTCTTAAAATGATGTAGAACCTCATGCACTATAGTGATATTGTCCTGAATCAAACGGCCACCGGTGAATGCTGCTTGCATTTCCGAGACAAGGCAAGGCATGAATTTCTTGATCCTGGTCGACATGATTTTAGAAACCACCTTGTACTTGAAGTTACAACAGCTGATAGGTCTGAATTGGCTAGCTTTCTCCGGAGATGGAATCTTTGGGATAAGGGCAATGTGTGTATCATTCCATCCCTGAGGGAGGGTAGCCGTGGAAAAGAAAGATTGCACCTCCTTACAAAGATCTTCTCCAACCGTACTCCAATACTTCCTGAAAAAGACACCCGTGAAGCCGTCTGGTCCGGGAGATTTGTGAGGCCCCAAAGAGAAGACAGCTTGTTTAACTTCTTCCCTTGTAACAGGTTTAGTGAGCTCCAAGTTCATGCTATCTGTTACAAGTCGGGGGAAATCAGCTAGAATATCATTATCAAACTCGATCTCCTTTGCTGTGAAAAGATCCTTGTAAAAGTCATTGATGTGAGCTGCAAGTAGAGTCGGTTGTTTGATCCAGCTTCCATCTTGACCTTTCAATCCGAGGATACGATTGTAATGTCTTCTAAAAACCGTCGAGTTATGGAAGAAGTTGGTGTTCCGATCACCTTTGGCCAGCCACTGAATTCTGGACAGTTGCTGCCACTTAACTTCTTCATCCCTCTAGATACAATCCAGCTCTTCTAAAAGTTTGGTTTCTTCTTCATGAACCTCCTCTATTCGAATGGCTTGGGCAAGAAAATCCAGTCGGATTTTGATTTCCCTTTCCTTCTTATATTGGGCTTCATTCGTTTCCTTGGCCCAAGTTTTTAAATGCTCTTCACATCATTTTAACCGCTGGTCATGGGATCCCCCTGCAGACCAAGCATTTAAAATAACTTGATCACAATCTTCCTTACCAATCCATCTGTCATCGAATCGAAAAGGTCTTTTGCTCCAAGACCCTGGTGAGTGAAGCTCTAGACGGAGAGCTCGATGGTCCGAACCAACATCGCTCTCATGGAAGAGAGTACTTTCTTCAAAAAGTCCTCGCCAAGAGGGGGAGCAAAGGGCTCAATCAAGACGGCCTTTAATGTTCCGGTCACCTCTTCTTTTGTTTGTCCAAGTAAAGTGTGGTCCCTTGAATCCCATATCAATGAGTCCATTGTTGAAAATGAAGTTCTTGAAGGGATCAACGGATTCTCGTCGCAATGGGCCTCCTCCACACTTTTCATAGTCAAATAACATTGCATTAAGATCACCAATAACAACCCATGGCACATTGACATTATTTCTAAAACTAGAAAGCCTATCCCAAAACGCCCTCCTCTCACTAGGAACGGAGGGGGCGTGAACAAGAGTCATGAAGAACCCCCCACCATAATTAATAAAAACATCAAAAAAATTCCGTCCCCGATCCAAAATTTGGATAGGGAAGCCTGCTGTCCACCAGAGAGCTAATCCACCGGTTGTCCCTTCCGGGTTGACATATTCACCCTTGAAAAAGTTGTTGCTGATCCTTTTTTGCTCCATAGTCTCTTCAGTATTCATAGTTTCCATAAGAAAAACTAAAGAGGGGCGACACCTCCTTACCATCCGTCGAAGGTGATTTTCTGTCCGGGTTTGCCCAATTCCCCGGCAGTTCCAGCTTATGTAACTCATTTCTCTCTTGGTGGCTTAGAGCTGGCCACCTTCGCTTCAGAGTTAGAATGCATCAGCTGCTCCCCCTGCTCTTTCTCTTCATGACATTCTTCTTTTCCATCTCCAGCAATTGACTTCATTTTGCGACCCTTCACTTTTATTCTAGCATTTCTCGGCCTGCTTGAATCATCGCCAGGAGAGAAATAAGGTCCACCAAAGTCCAAGGGTTGGCCATGCTTTCTTTTTTTAAGTTCAGCCTGGCCTTCCTCTGTCAGATCGGTTGGGAGAGGGAACCCAAAATCATTGGGCCTTCTGTTAAGGTCCATTTTCTTTCCCAAATCCTCCACCATCTGAGAGACGTTTGGATGGTTGCTTTGAGCTTGTTGGGCTTGGAGGTGGAGTTGTGATTGATAAATGGAGGATTGCATTTGGGCCTGGTGAGTTTGATATGGCCCATTCAGAAAATCAGCTTGATGAGGAAACATGTGGGCCCACGCAGCAGCAGCTTCCATTTCAGGTGTGAGGTTTCTCGCAATAGTAGGCGAATGAGAGTGGAATTTGACAGAAGGAGAGAAAAATGGTACTGTCCCATAGGCCCTCAAATTAGGTTCAGGACTAGGGGAAAAGAACCGTTGGCTAGCACTCCCTGTAGTGGATCTTGGGCTTGACGCAAAGTGGCCTGATGGAAAAGGGTGGGGCGTGAAGCCCGGGGGTCCTCGAATTCCGAGCTCCATGTCTCCATCGGAAGGATTTGCCGGCGATCTGGAGTTGGAGGAGCCTGCCGTCGGAGAGGGTTTTCCTGGAATCCACAGCTGATTCTGGATGAAACCTGGTGACCCCGAGCTAGATCCGGCATCACCCGGGGAACTGTAAACAACTCTTCCTCTTGGGGGAGGAGGAGGGCGAACAGCCCTGGTCCCTGCCTTCATCCAGGGGGTAAATCTTCCTTCTGGTGGGCCTGCAATTCTCAGTTCAGCATCAGACTTCATCTTCAAGCACTCTTGTTTGGTATGACCCTGCCTTCCACAGTAGTAGCAGAGGATGTACAACTTCTCATACCTGAACCCCAACCATTCTCTTGTCCCATCCACAGTGTAATACGAGCCAGGGGGAAGGGGACGGGTCAGATCAGCTTGAACAAAGACGCGGATGAACTCCATGTACTTGTCTGGATTGAGCCCTCTCATATCTGTGCCATGAATTTTTGGGAACATAGCCACCGCAGATTCCACATTAGAGACAGTTCTTTTGTGGTCTGGGATGCCGTGGACTTGAACCCAGTAGTCAGCTAGGTCGAAATTGACATTTTGGGGGCGAACAGATTCCTCCCATTGCTTCAGCTGTAGGGTGTTGCCTGAGATTTGCCAAGGCCTTCCTTCCCAAGCGCGATCCATCTCTCCTTTGTGATTGAAAAGAAAGATGAAGGTATTTCTGGTTTTGTGGATCTTCTGGACCGATGGCTCACAAAAGTGTGACCATGCCCTGTTAATCATGCCCACCATCGCTTGCTTGCTTATTTCCCTATCACCGAACATTCTCCCAACTAGCCTCAGTCGAGATCCTCCTTGGGGTCTTGGTGCTTCATCGTTGAAAACCACCTCATGGTCTTCATCTTCCCAGGTCGCCTCTTGGTTGACAAGATTGCTCATCTTCTTCTTTTGCAAGGATTTTGAGTGGGTTAATATGGGACTGAAGTGGGGTTGATAGAGGACGGATGGGGGTGTTGGTGTCCAATAACTCATTTATAGTGTCCATGTGGTATTTCATTAATTGTCAATGTGGTATTTGTAGTGTCCAATAACTCATTTATTGCTCATGTGGTATTTCAGTGTTATTTTAGTGGTAATTGAAATAAAGTATCTCGTTTGGTTGAACCATCCAAATGTGGTATTTGACATGTGGTATTTGGTAAAAGCATAGTGATAAAACGAGTTATTTCGAAATAACACATGAGTATAAGTTATTTCAAATAACTCGTTTTGAGTTATTTGTAAATAACTCACTATCCAAATAACTCATTTCGCTAAAACGCTGCCAAACGAGTTATTTGCATCCAAATAACTCATTGTGAGTTATTTGAACCCAAATAACTCATACAAATACTCCATCCAAACGACTCCTAAGATTCTACGACTTCGGGTTTTACTTTCATTTCTGTTTCCTGTTTTTGAGAAAACAGATGTTGAAAACAGGTGAAAACAACATTTTGTCATTTCCGAAAACAGCAGGAAGTTGCCACTTTCTGTTTTCATAATTGGAAACGAATAGAAAACAGAATGAAAAATAAACAAGTTTTCTCATTTCGGTTGCCAAATTTATTACATGAAAACAGAAACAGGAAACAAAAATGGAAGTGAACAGTAAGTAAGAGTTTAAATCAAGGAAGTGATATTTTAACTGTGTAACGATGTTAATAAAAAATTAAAACAATTAAAGTGTTGCGGGGATGGGTGGTCTTCCAGCTGTATCACTATGGTTTTTCAAATTTTTTTAGCGTGGTTGCTGGTTATAGGATCAGACCCACTGGGATACGGACAACCTGAGAGCGACGGCCCATGTCGGCCGGCCCATCACGCATGTTTTCAATCAATTATTATTCCAAGCAAACTGCCACGTCAAATTGGGTAGGGTGATAACCGGTTTGGTTTGATATTAATTTTTGGGTTTGGTTTGATTCTCACGCATCTACTAACTCACCATAACTCAACCCATGGTGATCCAACAAGTCATGGGCCCTAGTCATGGCCTACCAAGTCCCGACCCGCGACCCGTAATAAATTACCCAATCTGAACCCAACCTGCCATAGAATGGGTCTGGGTACCAAAAAACCCGTCCCGGACCTGCCTATTGCCATTCCTAAGGCCAATTCATTATGACCCGATCCACCACCCACCATAGCCCACACCATTGTGACCCGACCCGATCCATTTAGCTATATATAATCCGGCTACTGGATTGGAAATCTCTATGAGATGATACTCTGGATATCCGGCATGAAGCCCTGCTGCTGCAATTTAATATTTCAGTGAACCGAAACTTCGATCCTTCTGATAAAGTTCCATTTACAATTTCACTGTGTACATCAATCAAACTCACAATACAATACTCACTCAAGCCTAACTAAGTGTGAAATCCTACAACAAACCCATTGAGCTCCTCATGGCACAGAAACAAACCTCTCGAAAAATAAAAATTCCCAAATCACAAACACTACCTGCCTTCATTAGTCACGAGCTGGGAGAAAACCAGAGCTGTGGATGCTTCAGAGCTGCAATTCTCTTCACTCCTATCACCATTCCCCACCACCATTACCGGGTCGCCGTTTGCGTTACTATCTTCACGCAAAGATCCAGACTCCTGAACCTGAAGCGCGTACTCCAGGTTCCACAGCACATCTCCCATGCTGGGGCGATCCACTCCATACTCCGCCAAGCACTTCTCCGCGGTCTCCACGAACTTCTCGAGCGAGCGGTGCTTGATCTGCCCTCGAAGTTTGGGGTCGATGATCTGGTCGAGCCTGCCGCTCTGCTTCCACTGCAACGCCCACTCGGCCAGGTTCACTTGCTCCCTCGCTAGCAAAGGGTCGATGGCTGGCCTGGCGCAGAGAACTTCCAACATCACAACACCGAAGGAGTAAACATCAGACTTGTCAGTCAGCTGCTGTCGTCTGAAGTATTCGGGGTCTAGATACCCGAAGCTGCCCTTCACCCCGGTGCTCACGTGGGTCTCGTCCAGGCACGGCCCTGCCCTCGAGAGCCCAAAGTCCGCGACTTTAGCCTCGTGGTTCTCGTCCAACAGGATGTTCGTCGACTTGATGTCTCGATGGATGATCCCCGGGATGAACCCCGTGTGAAGGTAATGTATCCCCCTCGCTGCACCGATACATATCTCCAGCCTTTGCTTCCACGTCAAGGTAGCTTGGCCCTGACCGTACAAATGGCTCTTCAAGGGTCCATTCTCCATGTACTCATACACCAGAATCATCTCTGACTGTTCTTCACAATAACCCACGAGGGAAACAAGATGTCTGTGGCGAATCCTGGATAAGACGGTGATTTCGGTTTGGAACTCGGGGAGTCCCTGGCGATGCCCCGGGACACCTCTTTTGACTGCAACCTTAATGTTTGCATCTTTGAGTACACCTTTGTACACCATTCCGAATCCTCCCATTCCGATGATCAAGTTCTTGTCGAAATTGTTGGTCGCGGATTGGACTTCCGCGAAAGGGATTCTCAAGTTGTGGTAGCCATTTCCGGCTGGGGAACCTGTAATTGTGAGCTCCGTCATTCTGCTGCGCGAGCTACCTTGGACCCCACGCAGTGTAGTCCAAGCTGAGCTTTCCGTTCGTCTCGATCGAGGGTTCTTCATTTGCTTCTTCTTCCTGCATCTGCAAGCTAAAAGGACCATCAATCCAGCCAAAAGGAGTAACCCAAACCCTCCTCCCAAAATCGAACCCACTATAATCCAAGTTCTTCTCTTCTTCTTTTCGCTAGACACGCTTCCTGAAGCGGCCAGATTCACCATCTTCATAATCTCAACCCCATTCAAGATCGCATTTACATGTGTCGAAGTGCTGAGATCAGAAGGTCCAACGCTGACCCTCATCTTCCCCAGATCGTCAGAGTCAGCGACGAAATCCACGTACATTGGAGAGCCCAGCTCGTGGAAAGTGAGCGACGACAGGTCCATATCTTTGTAAGCTTCGAGATCGTTCAAATAGACATTAAAATACAACAAGTTGAGACCTGTACTGACGATATCGCAGAAATGGAGACGGACCAGGTGCTGGACGCCGCTCGAGCCCACCGGGAAATTCCAGCTGATGTTGAACTTGGCACCTAGAATTGCGTTTCCCCTGTTCATCGATTGCGCGGTCATGTACACGTGATCCGGCGCCGTTTCCCTCGTGGCTCCGCCGGCCTGGTAATTCGGCGGGTGCGTCGACACGACCTTCTTCGCCGCCGGTTTCAGGACGAGGAATCCCTCGTCGGGGACCCAAGTCCGCCAGAGGGTGTCGTTAAACGGCGTCATTTTCGACCCTCCGACGTTGATTCGATGAATCATCTCCAGAATCCTCGACGACATGCCGTCGAATTCACCGATGGCGTTAGGGCTCACGATTCGAGCTCCGCGGTCGATTATGAGGTCCTTGGGAGCGGAGAAAACCTCGATTGCGTTAACGAACCCGAAATTGGACCCGCCGGCAGCGGGCCGGAGCAGGATTTCCAGCTCCTCGCCGTCGATTCCAAACAAATACTCCTTGATTACGAGCACCTCGGTGCTGAAATCTCTCAGCACGGAGTTGCCGTTGAGCAGGAGAGTGAACTTGGCGGCGGAGAGGTTGAAATTTGGAGAAGGGAACGGGGAGAAATGGAGGCGTACCAAGTGGGTCCCGTTCTGCCTGATGTTGAGCTTGTACCCCGAAGCGGAAGTGAAAACCCTAGCTGTAGCGTAGAGTTCCGGCGAACTGGGTGATGGGTTTTGGTTTGCGAGAGGAGTGGAGCGGTCGGCGGCGAGGAAAGCCGAATCGGCGGCGAAGACCCTGTCGTCGAGGGTTGCATTGGCGGTGGAGCCGCAGTTGAGGAGGTAGTTGTCCGTCGGGACGAAGGCCGAGGACGGAGTGAAAATAGAGAGTAGAAGAAGAAGGAGAGCTGTGAACTCCATAATAGAAAAGGGGGGGAAGGTTTGTTTCCCTCTACTGCTTTCAAATTTGAGCTTGAGCAGCCATGGCAGAAGGAATGACTGGAAAAGGGGATGGTGGTGGAGAAGATAATAAGAGAGGGGATTCCGCGTGCGGTGGTGGCGGCGACTTTCTAGTATGCGGAGACGGAGAAGCGATCGGTGGAGGTGCCATGATTGGATTGGATTATCACTGTTTCTGGTGATTTGGATTGGGGATTTTTCTGCTCTGGTTAAGTAGGGAGAAATTTCAACGATTCGTTTGACGTTTTTTGGAGCGGGACGACGGTGAGTGGGGCTGTGGCCCAGTGTCGGTTTTTCAGGTCTAGGCTGGCTTTACTGTAAACAGCAACAGAGAGATAATGACATGCCACTTTATCATCGAGCCGTGAATTAGATAACTAACAGTCCAACAAATTAGTGATGACAATTCGATAGGTAACTCAATAACCCATGGAGGGGACTTGGGTGGTTAATCCGTGGATTGATATCTGTTCATCTGTAAATTAGTTGAATCATAATTATTGGGCGATTGATGTGGATGAACTGAGAATTGATAAATCTTCTACCAACACTTATGTGAGTGGGTGGATTGCGGGTCATCCGAATGATCCGCACTGTATTATCACATGACAAATGTTGTTTCTTATGCTATCGAATATTCATCATATATTTTAACTGCACTGCACACTGATCATCTACTTCTAAAAATGGAGAATGAAGAATATTTTGGACTACTATCATTGGTTATTGTGTTGCGTGATATCAATTAGATATTGGATGCAAATCATAATTTTTTGTTGTTGTTGTTAAAGTCACAAAATGCCAATATTACAATTGGAGATCGCTACATAATTGGTTGATGGAGTATTGAATTTTTTTATGCAAATACTACATTGATTCACATGAGACAAAGTGATAAGTGTCTAGATTGATACAATCTTACAAATATACAAGAAACTTTCTTAATGACCAATTGGAGAATTGCTTTTGCTTGTTAATTACTCACCACCCAACCACACTCATCCACCGCCTACCCAACCCAACTCGCATAAGAATGTGGGTACATAGCGTGTCACAATACCAACTCGCTAGTAAGCGGGTGGGTCGATTTGAGACCGAACCCCACCCAACTCACCCCATGGCCCACCCCTACCCATATCCGCTCTACACTAAGTAAATGTCAGGTCGAGTAATGTTCGAATGAGTATGTATCGGGACAGAATGACACATTCTTATATATAATTTGAACAATGTTTTATTTTCAACGATAAAAATAAAGAGAACGTTGTTCATACATGAGCGTTAGAGATAATATGTAGATTAATTGAGTGAAATTAGTTGAAAGATGAAGCATTTCACTTATCTTAAATATCATTGGGTAAAAATATGATTTAAGATAAGTAAATATAGGAGAAATACAATTGAATATTGAGATAAATCAAGATAAAATGGAGAGGATTAGACGAGACAAGTCAGAACTAGTACCTGTGATCAGTTGCACACTACCATCAATCGAGTATTACCCGTCCGACACGAGTCAGGTATTACCCACTCCAACACAGATTAGGTCAAATTCAAATTACCATTATTACCCATCTCAACAAAAATTAGGTCGAGTTCAATGAGAAACCAATCATACAATGAACTATCTCGTTAGTAATGGTCACATGGGGGTGTAGGTTTGATTGCTCTTTATGTCCTGTTTTCTTCCAAAACCAAAAAATATTATGTTAGCTAGATCGTCATCTTATGCATTTAATGGTCTTGATTGCTAGTTCAATCAAACTCCATCATGCCGAGCTAACTACCTCCATTTAGCTTGTGTAATGCAATGCTTTGAATAGACACATCTTCTCGGAAACAAAATAAAAACTTGTTTGTATGTACCACATAATTTTTCTAGCAAGAATTCATACATTATACTTCTTTCTCGTATTTCGGTATCCTTGATGAAGATAGGTTGAATAAACAACTAAAAGATAAATGAAATCGATCCATTTCTAGTGAGAATGACATTGAGTCAAGAACATATCAAACAATACTATGTCTGTCCGACTCGCAACACTCGTCATGCTACGAACATGATTAGTACGAGCGCGTTAACGAAACTCTCGTTATTGGGTTAGTCATACACTGTACTTGTTTCTAGCGATTCACATGATACAAGTCTTGGATAAGAATCTACAACTCACTAGAACACTCTTGTTGACGATCTTTTACTCCGACAACATTTAGAGTTCCTCAAACAATGTGATATCTGCCCCAACACACATATAGGTCGAGTCGAATTGGGTCGGATATTTTGCTCGAATGCTTTGTCTTGTGAAGAAACAAATGAACTCGACGCTCCTCGCAGTATTTTAGCAGGCAGTGGAATGGAGGGGAATCTGCCGCCTTTTTTCCTCCAATGCCTTAACCCCGTATTGGACGATATTGATTATCATATTGTAATAGTATGGCAATTGTCTTACAGCCATACACCCACTAACACACATTAATATTACACGATGTCTCTCTCTCATTCCCAATTTTGACCACTTGGAAATTGGGAATCGTCGGTGCTCTAAACCCACCGAACTAAACCAATGCGAAACAAATGCTTAAACCGGGATTAATCACAATTAAGGCCGACTAAGTTCGATTAAGTGAGTACTTAGCATTTTGTTTGTTTGGTGATGTGAACTGGCCCATTTAATACTATTGCTTCTTCTTTTAGGGTTTAGGACTTTAGACAGGTGGACTCGAAATTAACGGCAAATACGGCTGGATCCCATCATTTTGGTTCTGAGCTGGAATCTGACGTAAGCCTCGCATCATCCTTACAGTAATTTGTTAATTTTTTCGCGCCGATTTCTTTTGGGCTGAAGCTGTGTCATTACCATTGGGCTTTTGGCGCTATTGGACTTGATAATTTGGGCTGACAGCCCCTGGTGAGTTGGGCTTTTGTCTTGACGATCCTTTTCCGGTTTTTATATTGTCTGGGACGGGACTACCAGACTCGGGGAGGAATACGGCGAGTAGCTTTCATAGGAAGGAAAATCCGTTGCTTCGTGTTCCCTCGATAGTCTTCCTTGCCTGCTCAACCTTTCCTCTCTGGGTCGCCGGCGGCCGGATCCTTGCACCGGCGGGCCATATAGGAGAGCGTTGAGCCGGTCTCTTTTTCCTGTTGTCGTTTCGGTAAGCGATCGGAGCTCTGTGTTTCCACCAAGTTCAGTTTCGTAAGTTCTTATTTTTTGAATCGAATTTCTAGGGTTCAATTGGGGGCAATTTGCTAAGGGTTCAGGAATTGCCAGACGGGGCCGTGGTTTCAGTGTATATGTGATCAGTCTGTGCTGGGTGGTGTTGAAGTTTGGGTAGAAATGATTGCTTCCACGTTAGGGAACTTCTGCCTGGAAAAGTTTCATCTGAATTTGGCCTATTAGTGTAGAATCGACGCAAGAGGACTTGGCATTTTAGCTGAATTTCTTAGTTAGTTGTGCTTAGACATAGTAACCCCGGTTGCCGCTATTGCGTCAATTGTATTGTGTGATAGGAAAGTGGTTGTTTGGCAAGGTATTTGATTCTGTGCTGGTCCAGTGGACAGTCGGAGTTAGTTTGATCTAGCCTTCCGTGCTTTGAAATCGTTGCTCTAAAATGATGAACTTAGTGTTGACTGTTGAGATGTGAAAAGAAGTCAAATCTGTGGCGGTATCTGATTCGCTAAAGCTCTCGACTTTGTGATTCATTTTGCAGTTGTTGATGCTCATGAGGTCTGCGGTTTCTGCTCAACTTGCCCCCCTAAACAGCAATATGGTAAGGCCTATGATCTTTGAGTACCATCACCCCAGATATAAATGATACCATTGAGTATGGGCACTTGAAGTACCAGTTTAGTGATTGGATGAGAATGTTTAGCTGCATTTTCCTACAATCTTGGGGTCAATTTTAGCCATCAGGAGGGAATTTTCTCTATCAAGATTCAAGCATCGGAAATTTATAAGCTTGATGAAAAATTGTTACTATGGGGGCTTCTGAGTAGAGTTTGGTTGTAGCATTGATGCTGGTGCATCTTTCATTGACTGGTTAGTTGTGTCTGCAGGATCTTAATGGTTTCAGTGGCGACAAAGCAGAAAGTAGACTTTACGTTGGTAACCTCGACCTGAGAATAACAGAGTAAAGAAGTTCCTTAAGTTCTTTCAGTTTTGAAGGAAGCAGATGTAGTTCTTGTCCTATCTTTGATGTTGATTACCGTATCCTTTTTTTCATCAGGGCCACTCTGATTAAAATGTTTTCTCCGTATGGAAAGATCATATCTGAGGACTTCTTGTGGCATACCCGTGGCCCTAGACGTGGAGAGCCACGTGGCTTTGCATTCATCCAGTTCAGCTCCAAAGAGGTAAGCTGTCTGGTTTTCTTTAGCTTATTCTGGTTTCTAGGCAAAATTTCCTGATTCCCACATTTAAAGTGAGTATGCAGGAAGCTAAATTAGCCAAGGAGAAGATGCACGGGAGATTAGCTTGTGGCCGGCCACTGGTTGTCCGTATTTCAAGTGACAGAAGCTTGGAGGAAGCGGCTGCACAGAGTTCTTCAAGAACAGCAGCAAGTGCACCCAGAAAACCAGGCCTTCCTTCGCAACCCACTGGGCAGACGAATAAGAGCGCCAAGATAGCTGCGATAAAGAACAAACTGAGAGCCTTGGAAGAAGAGACGACTAGCGTCAAGAAACAGAAGCTGGCCAGTGATAGCATCACATCTAAGTGAGCCTCAATGTTTTTGTAGGCCGATGATAGACGACTCGAGTCTGATATCGAAACCCAGATACTCATACCATACTAGAACAACGTTGAGGACGGAATGGGGTGGTTCCCTGTGTTGTAATTTGTTACAATGGATGAAATATGGAATGAATGATGCTGAACTGCTTTATATGGTTCAGAGCTTTTATAATCTGTACTTATGGGATAACAATCTGGAATTTGTTGTTTGTAGCTGTTCCAAACAAAAGGTCACTCAAACGTGCTTTTAACACCAACTCTGAGGTACAATATAGAAAATCTGCATCAGCTGATTTTTTTGTTATGTGGCGAAGTGAACAAACAATTTCTCATTTTGGCGGCGTCGAACTGTGAAAGCACCACTGTGCTCCCAACTGAAACGTCTCTCCCTTTCTCCCAAGCTCGACGATAATGGCGTCAAAGCTTCTCATTTCCCACATTAGCCGGACGCCGGCGCCGATTTCAGAGATTCCACGCTCGGGTTGCTGTTTTCCCAGCCAAAAGTTCACTGCATCCTCATCGTTAATCTCTTCGGAGACCAAATGTAGTCGCCCCTCAGTTTCATCGCCGCCGCCGTTCCAATTCCCCGGAGAAAAAAGCCAGATCTTTCTATCTCCTAGCTGGCTTCCGAGGCAACCCAGTTCGATCCGATCTGTAACGGTCAGATCCAACTTGAGCTTCCCTCTAATTTCTCCGGACGACAAATGGGGCATCTGGACCGCCCTCTTCGCCGCCGGCGCTTTCGGCATCTGGTAAAAAAACCCCACTAAATTCGACATCTTTTCAACACGTTATGCAGAACCCAGAACCGCATTAAGCATTTTTTTCTTCTTGTTCATCTGATTTTGGAGATACATGAAGGTCGGAGAAGACCCAAATTGGAAGCGCACTGAGCGGCGCTCTAGTGAGCACTTTGGTCGGGCTGGCGGCCAGTAATCTAGGACTCATTTCTTGCGAATCGCCAGCTTACTCAATTGTTCTGAACTTTCTCCTCCCACTGGCAGTCCCTTTGCTGCTGTTCAGAGCCGACTTGCGCCGCGTGATTCAGTCCACTGGAAAACTACTCCTGGCTTTCCTAATTGGATCGGGTATAAGATTGCACATAGCAGAGTTCTTGTTAAGAGCTTTTTCTTCTTGACAAGTGAATTTTGGGTTGGTTTTGTATGAGCAGTTGCAACGACGATTGGAACAGTGGTGGCTTATCTACTGGTGCCGATGAAATCACTTGGCCAAGACAGTTGGAAGATTGCAGCTGCTCTCATGGGAAGACATATTGGTGGAGGTAATGACTTAATTATATGTATTCTGCTTGAATGATCTGGTTACATCTCTTAAGCATCCTTCTTGAGTCAAATTTTGGTTTGTGTTGCAGCTGTGAATTATGTCGCCATTGCAGATGCTCTTGGAGTTTCTCCATCAGTTCTTGCAGCTGGACTTGCTGCAGACAATGTAATCTGTGCTGTGTATTTCACCACGCTGTTCGCTCTTGCAGCTCGAGTGCCTCCAGAATCTGCAACCTCTTCGAATGGTAACCACCACAAATCCGCGAACTCAAATCTTTTGTGTCGGTTTGAACAATCTGTTTGCCATCATTCAAAGGATGATAGAGTTTGTTGAAATCGGTACATTCAACTAGTGGATATTAGTAGGAAGTTTAGTCCCCTTCATTTTGGGCTGCTGAACCAGCACGCAGCTGTGGCAGCAGCAGCTTATTCCCTTAATCAGAATTGAACACTGATTAGACATAAGGCAGTCCTGTCAAGTAGTCTACATTTGGATGTATGTTTCACAAAGTTCACCAGTAAAGTCCGATTCCAATTTTACCATGATTATCAGTTCTATGTACCATCTAATGGTTTTGAGTTAATTTGATTCCACCAGATGATGCCTCAGCTAATGGTGGCACCGAGCCTGGCGACAAGCCGCTTCCCGTCTTGCAAGCAGCCACAGCTCTTGCAGTATCTTTCGCCATTTGCAAGGCAGGTTCTTACGCCACAAAGTCCCTTGGCTTTCCAGGAGGCAGCTTGCCGGCCATAACTGCCATCGTCGTGGTCTTGGCAACTGCATTCCCTTCCCAATTCAACTACCTCGCCCCATCCGGCGAAACCATGGCCATGATTCTCATGCAGGTGAGGAAAGACTCCCAACTTCCCACAGCTCGTCCTTCCAATTAGTCAAGTACCAAGTCTTACAACAACTCCGATTATTATTGACGGAAACCTAGTCTTGAATCTTGATTAACCTCCAGGTGTTCTTCGCGGTGGTTGGTGCGAGTGGCAACGTGTGGTCCGTTATCCAGACAGCTCCGAGCATATTCATGTTCGCGCTCGTCCAGATATCGGTCCATCTGGCGGTAATCCTCGCTGTGGGAAGGCTGCTGTTCAGGCTCGATTTGAAGCTGCTGCTTCTGGCGTCAAATGCTAACGTCGGCGGCCCTACCACTGCCTGCGGGATGGCTACTGCTAAAGGGTGGAGCTCCATGGTTGTTCCCGCCATTCTCTCGGGTATTTTCGGAATCGCCATTGCCACTTTTCTTGGCATCGCTTTTGGCTCCATGGTTCTGAAATTCATGTAACTCCTCTGTATGCCGCTCCTTTTTGTTAATTCATCTTACATGAAAATTGAAAACTGAGAGACACAAGTTCATAGAACAGTTTCAATAAGATTCACACCCCTAGCAAAAAGATCGACAAAAATTCAGGCCAAATTTAGGCCGGGTACAAATGTGATTATAACTACATATATGATCATCAAAAGCACCCATAAAATGCACAGGAAAGTAACCATGTAATTAGAATTCTGATAGGTTATCCGCTTGATCGTTCCCCGTTGCTCCGTCGCCATTAAAACCCCTCCCCTGCTGCTACCTTCCTCCAACTGCAGTTCCTTCATCGCCGGCGTAACATCCTTCTCCACCGCAACCAGCCGGAAACTCCTACCTCCTCCTTCTCCCCCTCGCTCCCAACTCACCGCCACCGACTCTTCATCCCCAGCCGCCGCCACGACACACAGATTTTCCCGCAGGCGGAGCTCCCCTGCCAGCAGGGGAGTCCCCGCCGCCACCAGCATCCTGCTCTTGCTGCAGGCTCCGAAGATCAAAACGTCTCCTGTGTCGAACAGGAGAAAGAATCTTCCTCCCCTGAATCCGATTCCCTCGCAAACTCTCTTGCCCTCTTCCCCCTCCCGGCAGTAAGTGTAGCTCTCCCACCACAGACGGCCGCGGCGGAACGTGCTGAAACTGCGGTGGCTGTTCACGATCAAGACGGTCCAGTCCGGACCCGTCGGTGGGGCCGAGAACGCGGCTTTGATCGGCGGCTGCGGGAAGGGATCGCGATTCAGCGGACGGAGTCTCAGTATGGGAAGGCGGAAGTAGCAAAACGGCCATGGAAGCAGGGGATTGAAGCATCCGAAGATTGAATCAGGTATGCTTTCGTATCCCACAAGCCACCACCCGCTCGCCCAATTGTAGAACACGCGTAAGTAGGGCGAGCTCAATAGCTCCCGAAATCCGCCGGGGACATCCTCGCCGACGTGCGATCCGACGTCGATAGGGTGACCACGCTTGCCGGAGACAGGAGTCGTCGGCGGCGGGGCTGCGGCGACGGCGGAAGCGTGAATGTGATGGCAGCTCTTGCACACGCATCCGAAATCGGCGCGGTCGGGGGGAAGGAGCTTGATGTAGATTGAATTCAAGAGATCCCGGCACAGCTCATCCCACCGTCGTCGACGAGGAGGCATCTTTGACGTTCCTACTTCGCCGGCGGCGATGGTCGCCTGGCGTCTAGTGGCAGACTTGTAAATTTTTGGCGGGCAAAGTGGTGCCCATACCGGAATCGCCACCATTAATTCTCCACTCCTAACTCTCTCCCTAATTGTTGCATAATTAAAAGCTATATTGGAATCGACAAGCTATATATAATATAGATTTCAGTTCCGGCTGCCGGAGTATAAGAGAGAGTTGTTATCCTAGAAAATATCTTTTTAGAAATATTTTATATTTTTTAGAATTGAAGTTAGACATACAACTTAAATTTGAATAAAATATCTATTAAAGTTTCTAAAGGGTGCATATGTTTAGTTTTCCATCAAACTCAAAATTTTAATTATTTTTTTTGGTATCCAAAACTTTTAAAAACACTCAAACCTATAAGATAACAAATAAATATACTATAAGATAACAATAAATATTTAAAGAAGGATAAATAAGATAGATAAATTATTAAAAATGATAAACGGATAAAATAAAATAGATAAATTAGTAAAAATGATAAACGGATATCAAGAAGAATAATAAATATACTATAAGATAACAATAAATATTTAAAATCTATATTAGAAGATCTATTTAAACTCCTAATTCAATTAGAAGGACCAGTAAAAATAGTTAAAGTAGAACATAATCGATCATCAATACAACAAGATCAAAAAAGGATAAATAGACACAATCAAAAAGAATTATACATATTCCAGTAATAGGAAAAAAATAAAACGGAAAGTAACTTAGTAATAAATAAACAGTAAAAGCTACACCATTCAGTAATAAATATAGAAAAGAAAATATGACTATAGAAAGAGAATTAGAATTGATAAATTTAACTAATATGGAACATCTCTACAATATAATATTAGAGAGTTAAAAGGAGATTTAACATGGAAAATTAGACAACATCAGCATGAGATGTAAGAGAACTAAATATAACATTCTCAAATTATTTATATCGAGATTGAATTCATTGGAAATATTTGCTTTAGGGTATTATTCAATTATTAGAACACATAATGATAATTGATTCTAAAAATTCTCATTCAAAAATTGATTTGATATAAGATGTCTTCAAAAGATGATTCCAAATATCCAACTAACCAAAATTCATAGGATATATTTGCTTCATAGAATAATTTAACTATTAGAACACAATGATAATTGAAAATACTTATAATGATAATTGATTCTAAATTTTCTATTAAAAATTGGTTTAGTATCAAGTCGGATTCCAACTAAACAATAAAAAAATATTTTTCATAAGTCCAAATAACTTTTTTACAATAAGAAAAATATTGATTAATTGTAAAAAAAGGAAAGTAACTCGTCTGTATACCGCTCCTTTTTCAATTCATCATAATCTTAATAGTAAAACAAGGTTGTCAAGCCGCGGGTCGACCTGTTACTTTGGTGTAATGTTATTACTCATATGTTAGATGAGATTTGATATAATTTATTAGGATAAGTACAATATAAAGACTCTTTCCATATTTCCAGTCTAAAACAAGCTAAAAACGAGTGACTCATTAACACTTGACCCACTAGCTCGATCGGGTCTGGTTCACAACCTTTGAGTAAAAGTAAAAACCGAGAGACACAAGTTCATAGAACAGTTTCAATAAAGATTCACACCCTAGCAAAAAGATCGACAAAAATTCAGAATGGTTACGAATGTGATTATAACCACATATATCATTATCAAAAGGATCCCTAAATTGCTCAGCAAAAAACACATGTAATCAGAATTCTGATAGGTTATCCGCTTGATCGTTCCCCGTTGCTCCGTCGCCATTAAAATCAATATAACACCACATTATCATTAAGTGGAAAAAATTTCAGTTAGTGTATCAGTTTGCAACTTATAAAATAAATGACACATAACAATCAACACATCATTATATTTAAGTCTCAACGTAAAACCATGCAATGTTGGGAGGAGATTGAAGTCAACTTCTCTAAGTGCCCTGGTAACAACAATAAAAAAAAATTGTATTATATAACCATGCAGGGATACTGTCAGGTTGCAGAGCTTTGGACGTAGGGGTGATGGCTTGTGGGCCGAGATCATTGCGACATAAACTATCCCAGGTCTGTTCGTCTGGCTCGGCCCAAAATATGCACTTTGAGTCCATTAGTTTTAACTGGTGATCCACTGTCTTTCCAAAATTATCTCAGTTTTGGTGCCAATATGGATCTGGATTGCACCCAGTGTGGACTATGAACTGTGATGTGAAAGACAATAATGTGCTCACAAGTTTGAAAAGGGTAAATCCTTTGTGTACTGAATTGACAAAAAATAAGAGAATAAGAACTTAATTTTGTGTACAATATTGTCTTAATTCATATTTGATGCCGATAAATTATGTCCTGGCTAACATAATGTGGCTAGATTTTGGTGATTTAGCCAAGTGGAAGCGACCACAATCATATATCCTAGCTTGCAACCTGAGACGATTGTTACTTTCTAGATAGACTTAAGCAATGTAACATGTATATTTTGGGATATATGAACTATGTGAAATAAACATACATTATCAGAATCATCACGATGACCCGACCTCACGTTCACATGAAAGGAAAAAATTCGCAACAATGATCTTTGTATCATCATCCTCGTCAACCTATAATAATCTAACACGCAATGTCATGTCATTCCATATCATCGCTAGACTAATCTTCGCTCCTAAATCGTTATGACATGGTCCAAACATACGTGTTCGGTCTGAATTCCGGTCCTAAATCCTTAAAACTTAAGGAGAATCCCCCCCGACCCGATATCCCGACCTAAAACGATCTTACACCCCTAATATCCTTTTACTCTACACCACCATAACCGAACTCACCCCGGACCATGAATTATAATTATATCCCAAATCACACAATTCATATATAACTTATAACATCCATAATTAAACCTCTTTCAACAACCGAAATGTCTTCCCATTTGAATCCCCCCGACAGCCTCATTTATTATACTTCCCTTCTATAAGAACTTAACCGTATCCCCCTAAAATCCTAGGAAAATAACAAACAAACACCACCAAATTAACCAGTCAGTTTTCTGTGAGGAGGAAAGCAAAAGAAGAATATCTAAACCCGACAAACACATGGGTCCAGGCTTCCTCGTGGGAATCTATAAAAAATAAAAATTGCGGTACAGAACGTCAAATATGAATGAACCCAAGCCAGCCATCGTCTTATCTTTCTTTCTTTCTCCTCTAGTGGAAGACTTTTACTTTCAGTGGTGCTGCAGCCATATATAGCGTCCGATATTGATTATCATAATCACTACGAAAGATCCTAAAAAAAAAAAAAAAGAGAGAGAGATGAGAAACTTGATGATGAGCATATTCTTGCTGGTTGCCTTGGTGGGATGGCTGCTGAATTGGGTTTTGCTGCCCACCAAGGTTTACAAGGATTCATGGAGGCCAAGGCTTTCTTCCACCAACTTCAACTCAGCTTATTTCGAAGGACAAGGTATATATATATATATATATATAATTGGGTTTTCTTTGATTGCCTTAAATCTTCTGTAGTTAATTACCGTTTCTATACTATATCATGTGTGTTATTGGGTTTTTATAGGGACGAACCTTCTGCTCTTCTCTTTCCCTGTCATGTTCATGGCCGCTTTGGGATGTGTCTATCTCCATTTCCACACCAATAAGCTCGAGAAGAAGGAGAAAACACTCTCCTCATCATCTTCCAAAAGGTTACTACATTTACCAGTACACCCTTTTGCTCTCTCTCTCTCTCTCGTTTGATAGCGAGAAATTGAAAATTTTCGATATGGTACGGTTTTGCAAACATTGATTTATGGTCGAGTTTTCTCAGCTCTTGTTGACGAAATCAATTCGTTGCATAATGCAGAGCGGTTATGGGTAAATTCTTTCCCTTGTCGAGGAGGCCACGTGTAATTTCGCCGTTGGGTATAGTCACAGGAGTGGAGCTCGCTTTCCTGGCAATGTTTGTGGCGCTTCTCGTCTGGTCGCTCGCAAACTACTTGCACAGGAGTTTTGGCCACTCCCACAAGCTCAAGCACGGCATAAAACCGTACGGTTTCCCAAAACTTCCCCGTTTCATTTGAACTTTCCCAACGACTCGAATTATTGTGATCAATTAGTTTGTGACGTGCGTTTTCTTTCCCTTGACGCAGTTGGCAGGTCAAGTTTCGAATCGTAGCACTGATGCTCGGCTACGTTGGGAACATATGTTGGGCGTTTCTCTTCTTCCCCGTGGCTAGAGGATCTTCGTTGTTGCCGCTCATAGGGCTAACCTCAGAGTCCAGCATCAAGTACCACATCTGGCTAGGGCACATCTCCAATACCCTCTTCACCTTACACGGAATTGGCTACATCGTGTATTGGCCAATGACCAACAAATTGTCCGAGGTATAGTATACTTCCGTCGAATTAGTATACTTTTTCGTCATCGTAAGTCTTTTCTCGATATCCAGTTTAAACATAAGATACGCTTGATGATGTCTACTTCGTTTTCACAACACAACGACGAAAAAATAAGTTGACGTAGGGAACCAGTGGCGGAGCAACATGGAGATGGTGGAGGCCCCATGCACCACCTCAAATATGAAATACCCACCTAAAAAGTATTAAAGATTTGTAAAATCCTATCCAAAGTTGTACTTGAAAATTCGTCTATTAGGGTATTTTGTGCTGAAATTTGTGGTTTAACATTTTCATCATTTCGTTATAACTTTCTACCGGCTTGGGCTTCGATAGGTGATTTTTTTTTCATTCTGGGCGGTACAGTACGATTTTGCGAATACTGGAAAATACATTACCAATGGTTTGCTTATAAAGAGAGACGAACAACTTCTTCACAACCGCTAACCTATCCACGATTTCATGGTTCACATTATCATTTCGTTCCTCGCGCGATTTAATTCTCTTGCGGATTGGGTCGCTAGGAATGCACGACTTGATCTCTTACCACAGGATTGGATTGTCATTGCAAATTTGATTTTCGCCCCTATTGTAAACGTTTGTTTCTGCTGGTCTGGTTTGGTATAAAATAAAAAATTCTATGACATGATTTAATGTTCCATAATGACATCTTTGATATTTTGGACGATGAATATATTTTTAAATACTATTCATAATATGAAAACCCATCATGTTGTAAAACATTAATATATGATTTATTAATGTTGGACCTACCTCAACTAAATTTCTGACTACACTACGCACTGCCGTTTCTGAACATTGGTGAAAATTTTGTAGATGTTGGAATGGAGCAGGACCTGGGTGTCGAATGTCGCCGGAGAGATCGCACTGGTGATGGCTTTGGCGATGTGGGCGACGAGCTTTGCTCCGATCAGGAGGAAGACGTTTGAAGTCTTCTACTACGCTCACCATTTATACGTTTTGTTCATATTCTTCTACGTGTTGCATGTTGGTGTCGATTTCATGTGCACGGTTCTTCCTGGGATTTTTTTGTTCTTGATCGACCGGTACTTGAGGTTCTTGCAGTCGCAGAGGAAAGCCAGGTTGGTCTCGGCTCGGCTGTTGCCTTGTGGCAGCGTCGAGCTCAACTTCTCCAAGTGCCCAGGTACGAATAGTACCGTTTCTTTTGGTGGATATATATATGACATAAAATTAGTGATATGACATAAAATAAAATTAGTGGGAGAGCTTAATTCAAAGTATTCGTATATGGATGTGTGATTAGGGATGGCAATGGGTCGGGTTGGAGCGGGTTTTGTTAAACCTAAACCCAAACTCATGGGTTTATCCGCAAAAAATACCCGGGGTAAAACCCGTTGGGTTTGAAAAATTCAAAACCAACTCAACCCGCTGGGTATCCGCGGGTTCATGGGTGCCCGTGGGTTTTTGTGGTAAAAAATTTACAATAACAAATTTCTTTCAAAATAAAAGTTTAACATCAATTTTCTCATACAAATTATTCATACAAAAAACACCATTCTAGAACATAAAAACAAACCGCAAATAATCAATACAAATTGTTCAAAATTAAAGATAAACAACAAGATTAATTGAAATCTTCTTCCTCGTCAAATAAGTTTCTTCACTCTCCACTCCATAATATCAATTTCATTCTAAACAATTAGAAAGAACAAATTATACATGTCTCCACAAACATAAACAATATTAGTTGTTTAAAGAAGATATATTATTCAGAATATTAAATATACCGGGAAAGTAATTATATGTGTGGGCGGGTACCCATGGGGCGGGTTTACCCAAACCCAAACCAACCCGGTGAATAGTGTAGCGGGTTTAAACCCGAACCCGGCCCAAACCCGTCAACACGGGTTTTACCAGCGTTGACCGGATTGGGTCGGGTGGGTACCCGTGGGTTCGGGTTTTGTTGCCATCCCTATGTGTGATTATACCGGGAGTGAGCAACAACTGGTTTTATGTGTATTTCGGTGGATTTGGACCCACTTACTACGTGGTAGATGAAAGAGAAAGTAACTCACGTTTGTGAAGAATGGATTGGATTAGGTGAATTCATTGTGTTTAGAACATAAATTTCATAATGTTACATAGTTTAAATTGTTTTAACCTTCAAACCACTATCACTCACCAAACACTCATGAAATAAATAATAAATAAGTCAAATTAATATACAAGCAAGAAAATTTTAAAAGGAATTATATAAAACAACAAACATATGATATTGAATTCTAGTTACTGAAATAAGTGACTTTGCAATAATTATACTCAATAATAATTATTATTTTGAGAATATATTATTTCAAAATTGGGAAGTAATAATAACTATAGATTTGGCAATCTTTCGATCAAAGTTGGGGAATTATTTTATTTTATTTTATTTTGAGGATTTCATTTCAGGTAAAGCTATAAGTGAGATATTCACATAATTAATGTTAAAAAGTTGTCTGGATCGTCGGTTAACTACACTTTACCTGCAATTGCTCAATCGATAGTGAATGGCTTATTTTGACACCTATGCTCACATACATGAACCACCCACAATATAATTGATTGATCCATTACAATTGAATTTGTGAACTCAATTAACAAATGCTCACCCCTAATTTAATTTTATGAATATTAAGTGGGTTAGTTACACCCTCATCATGTCTTTGATGCATATGTACACAACAATAACTAGTGGGAGGAGTACCTCTCATCTCGACAGTCGACACCACTTAGTATAATAGCATTCCCTCAATATAAAATTTCATAATCTTCACACGAATTAGTGGGTTAATTACACACACTCAACTTTAAGCCACTGAGCTTTAAAATGGAAACAAGTGCGAAATACTATATAGGTCATGATCTAGTTAAATGGGTGTTACTGTCAACCTATCATTCATCAGCAATCTAATCAAAATCATTTAAAGAGTTTACACTTCTAAAATAGAAGATTTTCTTAGGTGTGTTTGACATATAAATTATATCCGGTTTGTATTAAATTTAGAGATTTATATGGTTTACTAACACGATGTGTATTAGTTACATCTACGAACAGGAAAGGGTAGTTTCAGTATAATTGAGAAAAACGGAACACTAATCCCATTTGATAAAGAATCGAGTTTTGACTATGTCCGGCAAGATCCCGTGATTTCCAGTTTGATGCGGCCATATAATAATATCAACCGTAATAAATGTCTACTTGTGTGATTCTTTCTGCAGGGTTGCAATATAGTCCAACGAGCATCATGTTCATAAATGTGCCAACAATTTCCAAGCTGCAATGGCATCCTTTCACCGTTATCTCAAACAGCAACTTGGAGCCCGACGATCTCAGCTTGGTCGTAAAATGTCTTGGAAGCTGGTCACAGAAACTTTCTCACCAAATTTCCACCTCAACGGATCACCGTCTCGAAGTCTCTGTTGAAGGCCCCTATGGACCCGTTTCATCCCATTTCCTCAGGTATTGGATTAAAACTCAAGAGTTATGATCCGTCACTAAATGCAACAAAGTGGTCACTAAAACAAAAAGGTAGAGTTGGACTGGGATTTGGTGGTTAATGTTTCTGTTTCCCTCTTAATCTTCATAGGCACGAGGCGCTGGTGCTGATCAGCGGAGGCAGCGGAATCACTCCATTCATATCCATAATCCGCGAAATCATCTTCCAGGGCTCATCAAACCCTAATTCTCAAATCCCATCCCAAATCCTTCTGATCTGCGCTTTCAAAAACACCGCGGATCTCGCCATGCTCGACCTCCTGCTCCCCGCCGGCGGCACCCATCACCCGATCCCCGAACTGAACCTCCAGATCGAAGCCTACATCACCAGAGAGACCGAACCGCCGCCGGCCGCGACGCCGCCGCCGGCAGCTCGAATCCGAATCAAGAGGTTCAACCCGACCCGGTCCGACCTCCCCGTCGCATCGAACCTCGGGCCGAACCCCTGGCTCTGGCTCGGCGCGATCGTCGTTTCGTCCTTCTCCATCTTCATCGTCCTGCTCGCGACGCTCACCCGCCTCTACATCTACCCGATCGACCGGGACGCCCGCGACGGCAGCTTCCACTACTCGTTCTTCGTCTTGTTTGACGTCTTCCTCGCCTGCACCAGCGTTCTCACCGTCTCCTCCGCGGTGTTCATCCTCCGCAAGAAGCAGAGGGGCTCCGGCGGTGAAGGCGGGAAAGTGAAGAGCCTGGAAGTGGAAATGGAAGCCTCCCCGTCTCCGCCGCGGCCGGCGGGAAGTTTCGTCGGAGGAGGAGAGGTGGAAAGCGCTCCTGCTCGGCAAGTTGCTGAAGCTACCAAGGTGCATTATGGGCGGAGGCCCGATCTCGAGGGTAAGAAACCAACCTGTCTGTATAAGCTTCAATTCCCGCCATTGCCATTAGCGATCTTTATTTGAGAGAACAATTTGGGGATTTTTTTTTTTTTTTTTTTGCAGGGATTTTGCTTGGATGCCAAGCATCGGAAGTTGGGGTGATGGCTTGTGGGCCAAGATCGTTGAGACATGAAGTGGCCAGGATCTGTTCGTCCGGCTCGGCCCAAAACCTGCATTTTGAGTCCATCAGCTTTAATTGGTGATTAGCCCAGAACTGATAACTGTATACAAGGTTCTGGTTCTGAGAGGGTATAAATAATAAATCAAGAATGAATATATCTAAACGTAAAAGGGTAAATGTATATAACTTCAAATAAATTAGGGGGTCATTAATTCTCCCATCTTGGCTTAAATGGGTTTACAAGCCTTCATTTGGGAATATAAAATCATGACCATAGATGAATAAAACAAGGATGAGATGTAACCGAAGTTTGGGTAACTCAAAAAAGTATAATGCCGTCGTTGACCTAACCATATAACAGATGATTCAATGCACAGAGTTTTATCCATGGAAGAATACAAAAGCAAAACATTTACTCAAACAGAGAAGGACAATTGCATTGTTAACCTGCTGATCAGTAATTGCTACTGCTTTACCATGGGTTAATTAAAGGGTACAATTAACGAAACCCACCCTTTTTTACCATTCCTCACTAAACAAGAAACATGAAACCTCATCTTACCCTTACCTGACAAAAGTTAAAAAAGAAAGGCAATGCGTGACACAAAGAAAAAAGAAAATAGTTTGTAATAAATATGAATTACAATTATGAATTATGTATGTTCAGTTTACCTTTTATGTAAACTAAGTTGAAACTTGAAGCGTCCAGTTGTGTGAAAGGAGAGTAGAAAAAGAGAACAAATTGGGATTATCAGAAGATTGGTTTGGCAGAAACAATGAGAACAGACTAGGAGAAATGAGCAAGTCAAAAGAGATCCTTCCGCCGTTACCCTGGACTAATAATTCGTCTAACCATAAGACTTTCCTAAACCCATTAAGCCATTCCATTCAAAGCTTCAATTTTAACATTGACATATCCTGACAATTGTCATTTCAACACTGTTCTTTAGCTCTATACTACATATATATATCACTCTGTATTCCGTAACCATAGGACACAGTAAAAAAAGTTTGAGATCCACAATCAGAGAGTGAGAGGGAGAGATGGCTTCAGTTACCAGAAGTGAAGAAGGTGCTTCAGTGAAAGCGATCATGGCGATGAGAGCGGCCATAGAGCTGCTTCTGGGAATCGTCTTCCTCGGTTACATCATGGTTTGGCTAATGTCATCCACAAACATCTTCTATCTTCACTGGATGCCAAGGGTTCATGCAGAAACAAACTTCACCTTCATTGGAGCTCAAGGTTTTTTTCAGCCTTCTCCATTCCCCGTTCTGCCTCTTGGCTCTGTGCATGCCTGCCTTTCACTAACTGCAAATAACCAATAAATCACTCATTCACTGTTTGTAGGTCAAAACACTCTGATATTCACACTTCCAATCATCTTCATTGCCGTCATGGCCTGCCTCTACCTCCATTTGGGGAAGAAACTCGGCGATCACGGCATCAGGTAAAAAAAAAACTAGTTTTACCATAGATGTTTTCATGTGTGTGTGCGCAAAACCATAAAGCCAATGGCTGAATCAGACTGGGTGTGTGATTTTTGCAGCAAGGGGGGATCTATGTTCGACATATGGAAGCGACCCGTGTTGATAAAAGGGGCACTAGGGATAGTTACATGGACAGAGCTAACCTTCTTGCTCATGTTCATAGCTCTGTTATGTTGGTCCATCTATTCCTACTTGCACGCCATGTTTGCGCCTATCCGCCAGGAAGCTGCAGCCGAAGGATTGAAAGTGTAAAAAATCTCTCCTCTGTCTATCCCTTGCTTTCAAAATCATTAGAGGTTTGATTGATTGTCTTAGTAATTGGAAGCATTTGAAACAAACAGATGGGAAGTGAAGTTGTCAAGCTTGGGACTTACATTAGGGCTGGTTGGGAATATCTGCCTTGCATTCATCTTCTTCCCGGTTACCAGAGGATCTTCAGTGCTTCAGCTGGTTGGCCTCACTTCAGAGTCAAGCATCAAGTACCATATGTGGTTGGGACACATGGCGATGACCCTTTTCACGCTCCACGGCCTATGCTTCATCACCTTTTGGACCGAGACAAAACAACTATCCAAGGTAAGAAGCTCACATTTGTAAATGTTCATGTTCAGTAGCTAAGACTTGAGAATTACTTACCAATTTTGTTACATTGTGATGATGAGAAGATGCTGAAATGGGACGATCTCTTAGTATCCAATGTGGCTGGAGAAATAGCTCTAACTGCTGGATTGGTCATGTGGGCATCAAGCTTTACTTGCATCAGAAGGAAGACGTTCGAGCTCTTCTTCTACACACACTATCTCTACATCGTCTTTGTTGTGTTCTATGTGTTCCATGTCGGCTTCTCTTCCGCCTGCACAATCCTTCCTGGTTTCTACCTCTTCGCCATTGATCGGTTCCTGAGATTGCTTCAATCCCAGCAGAAGGTTTGCTTGGTTTCAGCTCGAGTCTTGCCCTGTCGAGCAGTGGAGTTGAATTTCTCCAAGAGCCCAGGTCAGTACTCAAATAGTCTAATCTAAAGCCCCACCGTTGTTCCCTGCAAGCAAGCAATCACACTTTCAAACCCGTGATTTTCCTGAAACTGTTTTGTTTCCAGGACTGAAGTATAATCCAACAAGCAGCATGTTCATAAACATCCCAAGCATTTCAAAGCTGCAATGGCATCCATTCTCAGTTACATCAAGCAGCAAACTCGAACCAGACAGGATAAGCGTGATGATCAAAGGCGACGGGCATTGGACGAACAAACTGCATCAGAAACTGGCATCCACTTCACCAAGAACAACTCACTTAAAAGCCTCCATCGAAGGACCTTACGGGCCAGCTTCACCCGATTTCATGAGGTAGTGTATATAATATATAGTAATTTACTCAAAACATAACCAAAAACCAGAACTCAATGCAATGAAATTTTCATACCCAACAATCTGATCAACCATACACATCTCTTACCAGGCACGATACGCTGGTAATGGTGAGCGGAGGCAGTGGAATCACGCCGTTCATCTCAATCATCCGAGAAATCCTCAGCCAATCCAACACGAAGACCGTCAAAACTCCGAAACTGCTATTGATCTGCGCTTTCAAGCACTGCATCGATCTCACGATCCTAGACCTAATCCTCCCGGTACCGGAATCAGCAAACGCAGCCCCTCTAGACTTCTCCGGCGCGGAGCTGCGGATCGAAGCGTTCGTCACCAGGGACAAGGAAATCAAACCTGAGGAAGAATCCTCGAGCCAGATCCAAACCCTCTGGTTCCGTCAAAACGGCACCGATTCCCCCGTCGCCGCAGCGCTGGGCTCCAACAGCTGGATCTGGCTGGGAGCCATCATCTCCGGCTCGTTCGTCATCTACCTGGTGCTGATCGGGCTCGCCACGCAGTACTACATATACCCGATCGACGGCAACACGAACATGCGATTCTCCACTCCGGCCAAGGCAGCGCTGAACATCCTGTCCATCTGCGTCGCCGTCGTCGTCACCGCGACGGTCGGCTTCCTGTGGAACAACAGACGAAGCAGCAGCCAAACGACTCCCGTTCTCAACAGAGCGATCCCCGCGCCAACAACGACATCCCCGGCGACGCTGCTGAGCGGCGGAGAATCGGAGTCGGCGGAGGAGGTAGAGAGCCAGCCGCGGAATGCAATCCGGCAAGCCACTACAGTGCATCTCGGGAAACGGCCAAACATGAATAGTGAGTAGTAAAACATACATTCCCAATTTTCCGATCCTTTCATTTTTTTTCACCACCGCTCGTTTTTTCATCTCACCGAGCTGCTGCTGTTTGGTTCTCAGGGATACTGCTGGAAGTGGAAGGAGAGAGCGTGGGAGTGCTCGCCAGCGGGCCGAAGAAGATGAGGCAACGAGTGGCCAACTACTGTCAGTCGAGCATCGCCGATAATCTCCACTTCCACTCCATTAGCTTCGCCTGGTGACATGTTTTGGCCGGGAAAGCTTTCTATAATGCTGGAATCATACGAAATTTCGATCGAATCGCCAGTTTGCTACATCCAATTGATACATCCAACCACACCCTATTGTTTCCCAAAGTAATTTGTTCCTCAGAAAGTGATCAATAAAAGTTGCACATTGTATAGAAAAAGTCATGCCGAAATCGCGATTTATCTATGATCCATCTATTTCACACTCTACAAATCGCCTGAGATTCAACTCCGGTATGAAGTTCTCCTATCAGACCACCAACACAATACCACAGACACGCAGATGAATTCAACGAGAGAGAAAAAGGAATTGAAGCGGCCGACAACAAGAAGATTGAGACTATAGGGATAAAATTAACGAGAGAGAGAGAGATGGGGGAAATTAATTAATTAACGAAAAGGGAAGAAATAAAGAAAATGGTGGACTGCCAAAATCTAGAAGCACCCACCATCCTGGAGAGAGAAAAACAAAGGAATTGAGATGCTTCCTGCCCAAAACTGGCCCCTTTGAAAATAAGACTAACAAGAAGAAAATAGAAATAGAAAAAAAAAACGACATTTTCAAGGAAAATAAAAAGGGGGAAAAAACTCCTATGTTCTAAACTAAAAAGGAATGTTACCGAACCCAATGGGACGATGATATAGCAGAAACAAGTTGCTCCCGCGACCTTCAGCCAAACTCCACCAGCTCCCTCTCCTCCTCCCGCCATTCCTCCATTTTATAAAAAAGTTGCAGATTCCTTAAGTTTTATGCTCCGACACGACGGCTGCCCGCTGCCTACTACTCTTCCACCGCTGCTGCCGCCGCTGCTCTCCTAATTACATCATTATTATTATCATTCCCCCGGCTGTCGACGTTGTTGCCGCCTCCATTGTCGAAGTTGGAAGAAGAACCGTTGGCAGCCTCGAGCAAATCGTCACCGGTGGCATTCCATCTGAACGGCCTCATTGGGCGAGCGCCTTCCTCCGTATCATACCGTCTTGGCCGAGACATCTCGAATCTGTGATTCCTCTTGCTCCTTTCGTCGTCACTCCCCTCGTACTCGGCAGCAGCACCGCCGTTCACCCTGTTCGAATCTACCCCGTCACGGAACTTCCTAGCAGGTCTGAAATCGAAGGAGCGCTGGGGATCGAACCGGTTGTTCCCTTGCTGCTGCTGCTGCGGCCTGTACATCCTCGCCGGTGGCAATTTCCTTCCACCACCTCCCCTGAACCCGTCCACGCCCCGGTCATCGAACGACCTCACGTCGCAGCGGTTAGAGAAGTGGTTTCGCGTCGGGGAGGTGAACCGGTCTTCGTACTTGGCTGGAAAACGCTTCTGGAACGGCAGTCTCGCTCTCATCCCATCGGGGGACCTACTGCGCAGCACTGAACCACCACCATCATTGCGTTGTTGCTCCCTTCGCTGCATATAGATTGGAGGGGATCGTGACCTGGATCTCGACCGCGAAGGTCTCCTGTACGGCATTGCCATGTGTGGCCGTCGAGAGAGGTGTCGGGGGAGTGGAGAAATGCCTCTATCCCTCTTCAACGACGGACGATGTTGTCCGATGCGGTTAGGATACTCTGCAGAATCCTCGGGCAAGGGCCTCCTGAACTCATCCCTGATGCCTCCTCCCCTACCTCCACCTGGAGTGAACCTCCGAAACCTGTCCCTTGCAGGACTCATATCTCTCATAGGCAGCATCCTCGCGTTCATATAAGCAGAGTCATGTCTGTTGCTCGGTGATCTCCTCCTCATGATGCGTTGTTCATAGACACCATTTGGGGGAGAGTTCACGAACTGCCTGTTGAGACGATTGTCAAAGTAACCCCCTCCGTCGGAATCCATGTTCCTGTCCGATGACATCATATATCTGCGGCCATCAATGTTGTTTCTAGGACGACCAGGCAAATACGAAGGACGAGTTGGTGAGTAGCGCCGTTCGAAATTCCAGGAACTGGTTGACGGATTTCCAGCACAACGGCCAGGACTTCTGCCACGCATGTGCATGCCAACTCTTTCCCTCCCCATGTATCTTCTTGGTCCACCCATATTATCCCTCTCGTCTCTAGGGAATACGTTGCGACAATTCTCCGACCTGAAACATGTGGATAGAGAATTGAATATGTAAGCAACCTGCTTCAGAAATGAAACAGGAAAACAAAGAAAAAAACTAACAGTAAAAGGTTGTTGAAAAACTAACCTGCTCCTGGAGTAAGGATTTTTCCTAGCATCTGGCCCCTCAGCACATGATGCAAAATGACCCTGGAGTGTTCTTGTTGCAGCAAGTCCAGTGGCTAAACTTTTCTCAAGAGGCACATCCAAGACTCTGCTTTTCGGGCTCACAGAATCATCATGAGTAATATCTGCTTTCCTACTACAATCGACTTTTCTATCATAAGAACCTGGGGTGGATCCTCCTCTCACGAATTCCACCTCTTTCTCATGCATCGATCCGAGCATCTCCTCGTCGCCACACTCAGAACCATAGTCCACATGCTCAACCTCTCCATCCTCACCTTCGTTGTTCTCATCCCAGTAGTAACGGGCGTCAGATTCTCTCAATTCCCCGTCCTCAAACTGAGAATCATAACCAGCCTGAAGCTCATTGTTGCTTCCAGCACCACCCATCTCAACCTTTTCTGTTTGATAGACATCAGAGCCATAACTGTCATCATAACCAGCCGCCTCATTGCTAACGGAAATCCCAGCCCCAGTATCTTGCCCATCTTCAATGAAACCTGCATCACTCTCATGAGCAGGCTTCTCTAGATCAAGAGAACCTGGAGAGGTGGAAGCATCGCCATCCTTCCCAGAACTCTTAACAGTATCCAAATACCCAAGAGAACTGATCACCTCAGAGATCTTAGAGGACCCTTTAACATCTGCAACTTCATAAACCAAGTGCTCATTAACAGCTGAAACAGAAATCTGCCCTTTGCTATTTTCATCAAGCTCAACACAGCTTTTGAAACCATTCTGTCCACTACTAGCTTCAAGATGGCAAAGAGGCAGCTCTTCCTTGGCATCTTCTGTAACATGTTTCGCAAAAGAGTGTATATTATCCTTGGATTCAACCGTGAACTCAGAATTTTTCGCAAGACTCTCGATAGTAGAGGCATCACAAGGTTTTTCCCAGGCATCTTCAGGAACGTTCAAGTCCCAATGCAGTCTATCATCACGTGCTGATCCAGATCCCTCCACAACTTCGATTTCTTTGGTGATGTGAGGTCTCTGCAAAACACCTTCTGAATTACCCAAAAGAGATGATTCCATATCTGTTTCATCACATGCTGTATCTGTAGAAGATGAAACATTTTTAACAGCTGGTGCTTCCGAAGCGCACAAGGCAGTTCCATCTTGTGTTAAACTTTCCAAGAGTGACCTATCTGTATCAAGATCAACATCTCCAATCATGCTGTTACTACAAGCCACAGCTGCAAGTATCTCCATGCCTGAGAAGTCTTCACCCAAATCAAAGGCAGTCTCCTTCACTTTAGTACTCTTCCTTTCAGGACCACCCCTGTTACCATCAACAGTTGCTCTGACTCTCCTCTTTCCATTAGCAGGTAATTCAAAAGGTGATCTAGGAGGTGGTGTGTTAGATCGATGCATAAACCTCCTCTTCTTCAATGGAATATTCTCTATTTTGTCACTAAAGCGTCGCCCAAGAATAGCCACTCCGTGCTGCACCAAGAAGAATACACATTAGCATACATTTTAGTGATAGTAATTCAGGAAAACCAATGAAGCAAGGGATCCAACACCTACCTTCTCAGTATCTGAAGCTGTTCCTTCATCAACTTTTCTTAATCCCTGATGTACTAGTTCCTCCCCAACAGCAAAGTTTCTGAGAACATTTTTCCTAGTCCGTCTTGAGGAGCTCCTATATCCTTTAGCTACTGTCTTCCAAGTTAAATCAGGGTTTATATAGTTCATGAGTTCCAAGCCAATTGTACTCATCGCGCTTGGAGATCTTATAATCCCTGTTCCATCAACAGATGCTATCCCGGTGGAATCCTTGCAAGATGCAGGTGCTCCTTGCTTAGAACTTGACACCAGAGGAGACGGCTTAGCCCCGGTGCAAGTGGAGAACCGAGTCTACAAAGAAACAAAAGGAAAATCCATTAAGCAAGAGATTACTACATCCACCAAGACATAAACACAAGCTTCCAGACTACTGAAGAAACACCAAAATACCAAAAGCTCACCTTCAATTTAATTCCCCCTATCTTGTCAAAGTTTGGACTCTTCAGAGGGGATGAATTGCTAGGGAGATCAAGCAGATCAGCTGGTACAGCCACCACCCTGCTCTCTGCAAAGGAAACGAACAGCTCAGTTACAGAACCAACATGGGGTAAAAGATGCAGAGATACAGATGGCACAAACAGACGTGGGGATAGAAGCTATACAAGAAAGCAAAGCTCCATTTGAATCACATAAACAAAAAACCAACGTAGTTAAAACCCAAAACCAAGCTGCCTTGGCATCAACCTTCCGCAACAGAACTCATTTCAGTGAAAAAACAACGAGGGTCAATACCAAACAGCTTCAACAAACATAGATCTTAGATCTGAATGTAAGAAGGTGACCAGACACTGCCAGAAAAGGCCTTAGGGATGCTCCACAGGAAGCAATTTGCCTGCACCATCCGTCCACACTTTCCAACTGGAATCCCCAGCCAAAGGTGGAGCCATCAATCAAGAAACTTCCATGCAAGGTACCGTACCACACACCAGCAATTAAGGCCCAGCTATGTTTGTCCTAACAGGATTCTTTGAAGAGAAGGGTCACAAATCGGGTGCATCTAAATACTATTCAGAAGAAGAAGAAGAAAAATCCCCAGGAGCTCTTCAGAGATGAAAGCCAGGAAACGAAATCAGAAGTTCCAAAACTCGTGTATTCCTGTACCGATGTGGAATCAAGCCGCCTGGGAAAAATAAGTCGCAACAAGGCGGCGGGTTTCAAAAACGAGCCTGGCGTGAATCAACCCTAGAAGTCTCCGACTCCAAACAGTAAAAAGTCTCCGGTGGAACAAAGATCCAAAGAAACCAACCAAAGCTTCCAAGGAATTCCGAGGAACATGAAGAACAAGCGATCAACGCTCGGATAGCCTCACGGGTAAACCCAAACAATCACTAGACGAAGATTTTTCCAAACAATAGATCGACCGCTCCGACGAGAAACGGCTTTGCGCCCATCCGTCAAAATCCACAAATCTCGTTTGAAATAGCGCAGACATGTCACCGACAGTAGATCTGGCCATCTGGGCAGTTCACACGAAGGATCTTAGGCGCGTCTGACATCCGATTTCACCAACCCTCGAGACGATTCACCGTCTCCAGCTTCCAAAACGGTAGACAAAATCGGAGGAGAGATGGATGCAGGCAAATCTTCAAAAACAAGACTCAGAAACAAAGCGCAGAGAAAATCAAAAACTAGGGTTTTCTATACCTGTAATCGTCTCCGTTTTTTTTTTCCACCCCACAAAATCCACCAAAATCGCCGCCCCGGTCCTCCGCTCTAGATTGTTCGCCGAATCAATTACTCTTCAATGGACTACGCCTCCCCCGCCAATAAAACGCCCACTTCGAATCAAATCCTCGATATAAACAGAACCACGCGCGCGGCGAAGATTCTTTCCTTCCTCTTTCCGCCTTCCTTCTCTTCTCGTCGTTGCCTTTTTCTCCACCTAAGACTACCACAAGCTCCGTTTAACGACGATCAAAACGGGGACCTCAAAGTCACAGATGTGTCGGCCGTCGGATTCGTCGCCGGTCAGTGGAAGGCTCGTCGCTCCGAGCTTATAATCGCCGGTCTTCCTTTATTGTCGTCCCCCACCACCTCCGTCGCCTCTCTCTCTCTCTCTCTCTCCAAGCCAATCTGATACACCGGGGACTAAAAGCTGTGTTTGGATCAACGCCACGAAAGCCCTATCGCGATTATTTATTGAGGGATTGGAAATATAAACACCCACGAATATAACAGTAATTACGAAGAATGCCCTTCCACATGGCCGCCTCCTTGTCCCGAAGGAGGTAGGACTGTTATTTCGTTTCTAAAAAAGAAAAAGAAAAAAAAATAATAATATATTTGTTATATATTTCTGAGAAGTCCGATCTGGGGCTGTAAAGTCAAATAGTCAAACAGTGAGGCACGGGCGATCGAGGGAGGGCAAAATTGACTTTGCCGATTTTGTGCACACATTGGATTGGATCGGAACGTATTTGGTTTTTCTTCTTCTTTCTTTTTTTTTTTTTTTTTTTTTGCTAGGGTAATTTTTATTTTCTTTCTATTTTTTTTCCTTTTTTTTTAGCCAAATTCTATTTTTCCTTTAATGGCAAAATTAATAGTATCAGTTTTGGAAATTTTGAAATTTCAAATATTTTTCTCTGGTGAAATTTTCCTTATAGGTTCCCGAATATTTGGTTATTGATGGTATATAAATCTCTTAATTTAGTGAAATATGGCTAATAAGATCAAATAATATCGTATGGGTTTTAGAACCATTCCTTTTTGAATTTGTTTTCCTTTTTTCATGATGATAAGGTTTGTTTTACCTTGTCAAAAAAAAAATTCTATCGATTTTTTGTTATTTTGTTCAAATACGTTGAGTGATAAAAAGAACTCAAATTTAAATAAATAAAATTTTTTTACGTTGGATTTTTTCATATGATCTTCATTTGGTAATTGAGGAGGTAACTAGTTTATAAGATGAGCATATACAAAACATAGTTTTATAGGATGAACATTTACAAGCATATAACTATGTGTTTGTATATGTAGCAAAATATATAATTTTTTCCTATAATAATTCAAGTAGAGTAATAGACCGTCATAAAAAAAAATTAACATTTATACAATGAGAAATTGTAGTGGATCATAAAATTATGACAGTTATACAATGACAAATAGTAGTGGATCATAAAATAGATTTAGCCAAGGCTTATGACAGGATCAACTGGAGTTTCATAAGATCTACTCTGGAAGGTGCGGGCTTCCCCCAGGATTTTATCTCTCTAGTCATGGCCTGCATTACGACTTCCAGCCTCCAGGTCCTTTGGAATGGGAACTGCACCGACGAATTCAAACCCACGCGCGGTCTTCGACAGGGATGTCCTCTTTCTCCGTATCTTTTCACTTTATGCATGGAACGCTTAAATCATAATATCAAAAAATTTGTTAAGAATGGAGATTGGAAACCGATTTGTCTCTCTAAGAATGGCCCACAGTTAACACACTTGTTTTTTGCAGACGATCTCGTGCTCCTAGCAGAGGCAGATGTCAGTCAAGCTAAGACAGTGATGGAGTGCCTGGACCAATTCTGCTCAGCTTCTGGAGAAAAAATCAACAAAGATAAGTCGCGAGTTTTTTTCTCGAGGAATACTAAGGATAGAAATAAGAATAGGCTGAGTGGTATAATGGGTATCCCAAGTACAACCAATCTTGGTAAATACTTGGGGGTTCCTGTTATCCACGGACGAGTCACAAAGGAAACTTATAAGTATATCCTCGAGAACATAGACAAACGGCTTACGAACTGGAAAACTAAGAGCCTCTCGCTTGCAGGAAGGGTCACTTTGGCTACCTCCGTTCTCAATGCGCTCCCAAACTATGCTATGCAAACTGCCGTCTTGCCCTGCAATGTCTGCGACTTGATCGACAAGAAGATCAGAGGGTTTGTTTGGGGTGGGGACAACAGCAAGGCTAAGCCACACCTTGTTACTTGGGAAACCATCTGTAAACCCAAGGAGGAGGGTGGTCTTGGTCTCCGGTCGGCTAGAGCGCTGAATCTCGCCTATTTGATGAAGCTAGGCTGGTTGTTTCTAAACAACGAAGATGATCTCTGGGTTAGGGTTCTTCAGGGGAAATACATTAAGCAAAATGAGGATGGCAGTGTGTCTTTTAGTCAAAATAGGGTGTCAAGGCTTTGGAAGGGGATTAGGGAGGCGCTGCCCCTAGTGAAGCAAAATACCATCTGGGACATTAGGGATGGTAAAAGTGTTAAATTCTGGACAGACAAATGGATTGCAACTGACATAGCTTTGAAGGATCATGTTAGATATGATGGGCAGGACATTCAGTGGGACATTTCAGTTGCTGACATGGTGGATACCTCAGGTGAGTGGAATTGGAAAAGGATCGAATTATACCTCCCTGATTCAATGATATCTCTGCTTGCAGGTATAGATACACCTCTTCAAGAAGCGGGGGAGGACACCACTATATGGGGATTGGAAAGCGATGGACGATTTCGTCTCGGAAGTGCTTATAGGGCTGCAGTAGAATGGACTCAAGGAGATGAAGAGGAGGAGGTCGACGCGAACAATCATCCCAAGTGGAGGAGTGTTTGGAAATGGCCAGGACCTAACCGCATACGATACTTCCTCTGGCTATCGTTGCACGATCGCCTCATGACCAACAGTGAAAGGAAGAGGAGGAAACTTTGTGACAATGATGTGTGCGAATTATGCAAACAACAACCTGAGACGGCAGAGCACGTCATTCGAACATGCCCCTTAGCTAAACAGGTATGGTACTCCCTCGGCATAAGTGAGTCCTCTCTCACACATGGTTTGAACTTCGCAGGTTGGATGGCGACTAACATGAAGAGTGAAGAGACGGGCTTGCTGTTTGGAGTCGCTGCTTGGTACCTGTGGCGAAGAAGAAATGATTGGATTTTCGAGCAGAAGTTCCAGGAGGCGGACACGCTTGCGAGTCGGATTCAAAGCTGGATCTCAACGATCAAGCATGCACAAGACAACAACAAGAAGCTCTTTACCATGACGACGAACACTAAAACCAGACAAGATCTTTCATGGCAGCCTCCCCCTACAGACTGGATCGTAGTCAACTCGGACGGATCTGTTTTGCAGCATAATTCGGCAGCGGCAGCAGGTGGGTTGCTACGTGACCACCTTGGCAGATGTGTAGGAGCCTTTGCTGCAAACTTAGGCTGCTGCTCCATTACCAGGGCAGAGATGATCGGGGCACTTACAGGGCTACAAATGGCTTGGGATCAGGGTCACAGGAAAGTTCTCCTCCGCCTAGATTCCACTGCGGCTATGGCCATCTTAGCAGCTAAAGACAACGGAAACGGGCGCTACCACAACCTTACTCGGCGATTTCAGGATCTTCTACAACGTAATTGGGAGGTGCAGATCTCCCATTCCTACCGCGAGTGCAACAAAGCGGCTGACTATTTGGCCAATAAGGCCCATGGTTTCAGTTTAGGCACTCATTTGTTTGACATTTCGGATTCGGGTCTTAATTTCTGGATCATGTATGACAGCATGGGTACTACCCAAGATCGTTTAATATAAGTTTCAGGCAGGGGCGCCCTTTTAGCGTCCCATTTTCTACCAAAAAAAAATAAAATTATGAAAAATGAAGATGATAGAGAGGGATTATATGATTGAGGTATGAGGAGGGTTAATGGTGATATATGATAACTTATCTAATGGAATTTAGATTGAACAAGAATGGACGTAATTTGAAATCTCAATAATTTATGATGATGGAGTTTGTTTTTTCTTTTATATAACAAGATGTTCGATTACAAGCTATTTACCCATAAAAATATCATCGTCGGAAAACACAATTATTAAAGGGTAGTTTTTGAAAAATCCCATCCTCCTAATAGCTCTTTAAAGTCCATCATTTATTAAAAACGCATCGATCATGTCAAACCAAAACTGAAACACATTAAGCAGGTCTAGTCTTTCTTATAAATCATAAGCAACCAACCCATGAAAAACAACTCAATGCATGGAAAACTAAATCAGCCGATAGGTTAACTTGCTTCTAGCATTTCCGTTCTATATACATGAATTATTATGTTAAGTATGTAAAAAGGTAAGTTATTCGAAAATCCTTGATGCGAATTATGTTTGGATTTGTTATACAGATAAGTAGTCATTGAGATATGTACGATAAGCACAGCAGTCTCACATACGCATTTATTTTATATGTCCTTTCAAATTCGGTGTCCGAATTCGCCACTCTAAGCAACAAAATGGAAATCGTCAACTTTTCAAGTTCATTCTTTTCGTCGCTCGTATATGCTAAATAGTAAATATACAATGTAAATTCGATTGCTTACTATAGGTGCAGTGGCGGATCCAGGGGGTGGCCACCCCGGGCCCCGGCCCAGCCCTCCTCTAGATCCATAGTTAGTATAGGTCTTATGAATTTTTCGATTTTAGATATTCGGGTCGTTGTTATTTTAAAATAAGATTGGGTATAATTAGAAAAATAATTCAGATGAACATATTCAGAATCACTACTCTAAATTTAGCTTATAATTCTAACCCCAAAGGTTATTTGTCTAAAAAAACAATGAAACCTAAAAATTCAAAAAGTTTAAAACGTAAAAGACTAAAACATATATGAGGTTTGTTACCTTGGAAACTTTACTACAGCAGCTGGTGGATATAGGGATGGAAACACAATTCAAATAGATTAGTAGATTGATTTGTCTAGTGTTGATGCTGCTCGTTTCAACAGTTAATACGAATAGAACCTTTTCAACAATGAAACATGTGAAAATTGATTTGCGCAACAAAATGAGCTATGGATTTCTAGTCGATTGCTCAAGTATTTTATTTGAAACAGTGTACTATTGGTATGGATGTAGACTCCATTATTAATGCATTCGCTAAATTAAAATACCGTCGTGTACAATTTTACATTGTAAAAAAATTATAATCATTATATTTTTTTATTATTCTAATTTTCTAATAAAATACGGCCCAGTGTACTTCTGTGTTCTGGATCCGCCGATGTATAGGTGGTAATATATTCATAAATGTGTAGGGATGTTTGCTGAGAAATCTCCAATCCTCTGCCAACCAAGAAAGGGAGAGAACTCAGAAAACCCTGTCCTGAATTCTATCACCCCATAATAAGGGACGAAGCTACCTACCAACTTAACCTTGAGTTGCTCCGTCATCAGCCATTCTACAACTAATTTACACCATCAAAGATTCTTGCTTCTTGGTGGTCGGCTGTGACTTACTTTTGATCACATATTACATAACTCTCAACTGTTTTGATTAGGGTGCACGATAACAATATAACAAGGACGATAGTCGGTCCGTTTTGATTTCTGACGCCTTTTTTTCTCTCGATAGGTGTCACACGTTTAATGCTTCCTATATATTGTGGCGTCGAAGCCTGTTTGAAGTGTTCCGTTAGTGAGTTGGTGCGGAAGTGAGTAGATCTCGTCTTTAATTTCCGGTGCTTGTGTTGTTCCAATCATGCGGTGAATTAGTTTACAGAAAATAGAAGATCATTCATTTACAGGGATAGGTAAGCGTTCCCATCTGGACTCCGATGAACATATATCAAATTTATAAGATAAAGAGAATGATAAGAAATATAAGAGAAGTATCAACCCGTCTCAAATGA